GCGCGCCGTCCGCACGTCCGCTCTCACCCCACACGACGCTTAACCCTGAGGCCTGAGCTCCACCCCGGTGCGCAGGGACGCGGGCGTGGTGAGAGCGGGCGTGTCGTGCGCGCGGAACTTGCCACTCGTTGGCCCTCCCGCCGGCGCACAACGCAGGGTCTCGCCATGCGTCGTGCAGCTCGGTTCGAGATACTCATTTATTGTGGACAGCGTCCACCCGCGCACATTGCACTCGTTCTTCTCGCCGGGCCTCCAGCCACGCGGGGGTCCCGCGCTCGCCTCTGTCGCCCAGGCGTCCGAACACCTTTAGGCTCGCTTTAGTGCGTCCGCCGCCCACCGCCCAACGCTTCTCCGCTCTCGTCGCCCGCTCCCACGCAGTCGCACGCTAGTGCGCGCTGCAATCGTCTCTCTCTCCTCACGCGCGCTCCAAATGATCCCGCTGGGCCCGGCTCGCGCGCGAGCACCGCGTACTAGCCCCGCTCGACGAAGCGCGCCTCCTGCCGAATCGCGTCCGTCGCGGGCTTGTTCTTGTTCTGTCAGCCAGGGAGAGGTGAGTCTGCCCACCGTCACCGTCACCGGCGCCCCGGCCCCACCGTCTCTCCCTCGCGTCCTCCGTGAGTGCAGAGGTGCGGTATGAACTCGACGGGGACGCTAAAGCATGGGATCGCGCTAGGGTCACTTACGCTCGCCTTCTCGAGCTTCCGCGCGCACGCTTTCGCGCTCCCCCACTGGACAATCAGACAGGTCCAGTTGACTTCCCTGCGGGCAGGCGACTGCATGGCGCCGCTATGAACCGCCCGCCTCGGTGCGGGAGAAGCGGGTTTGCCAAGACCCGTTCCGCGTGCGTCGAGCCCGGGGTCTGAGCTAGTCTGTGCTCTGAGATCTGAGAGCGCGAGCGTGGACGCGGTGGCGCCGGCGAAGGCTCGTCCGGTGTGTGTTGTGCGGGGCGCTGGCTGGTTGCGTCATGCGGATTCCACATGGGAGGCTGGTCCAGGAGCGCGCGGCGGCAATGGTCGGGGCGAGCGGTGAGTACAGCTAGGCTTTCCTCCGAACGGCGCGGGGCTTGTAAGACTGTTTATAGGTTAGGCTCGGAAGAGGGAGCCCAAGAGCGGAATCAGCTGAGGCTTGAGCGGGCGAACGCAGTCGCCGGCATTCGGGCGGGACCTCGGCCGGAGGCTCGAGGAGGACCAAGAGGGAGACCACCGCGCCTCGACGGTCGCGGCATGCGTGTGGCTTTCGTCGTCCGAGGAGGTGCATGACGATCGTCTCGAGGTGCGTTCTCAAGCGTTCGGTACGCCGCGTTCTCTGACACAAGTTAAGGGGTGGTTGCGGACGTAAAGCAGGCCCCGAGGTCGCGAGCGGCTTCGATGGTCCTGATCGACGCCCTCGCTTTCGAACTCGAGGGTTCTAGACGACACGCTTCAGCGGCCCGGCGCACCTGCACAGAAGCGCATATGCACGCCGCTGAGGCAGGCCGAAGCAAGGGCGCTCGCGAACCACACGCTCCTGCCCGCCCGCTCACCGAACGCAGTCAAGTGCCTGCGACGGGCGGGGTCTGGAGTGACGCAGTGCTGCCGGGCGACGGTCAGCGGAGCGATGTCCGAACATCGTGCGTGCGACGTCCCCCCGACGCCCGAGCCTTCTCAAGGCCACACTACCCTGGCGGCGCCAGATTGCGGGCACGACCTCGGGCCTTGTTGTCGTGCGTTGCCGTGGCCGTGGCGCGCGCGTCCTGCGTTGCTGCCTGTGTGGCTTCGCGAGCGCGAAGCTGCCCGCTGGCGTCATCTGCGTGCACCTTCGGAAAGCAGTAGTAGAGAAGGATGGATGTCTGGATGGCGCAGGCGTGTCCCGCTGCTGCGACTCGGCTCGCAGTCGTTGCGACGCGGTGTCGACGCTTGTCGACGGCGTGAGTCTGTGATGGCGGCTGCTCTGTGGGACAACGCAGCACAACGCAGCACAACGCACGCCGATGTCCACTTGCGCCGTCGTGCGCCGCACGCGAATCAGGCGCCGTTGCCTGGCCGGCCGCCCCGGGACTCGGGGCGTTCCCGCAAATGGCAGGCGCGCCCCGGATCGGGGCGGCGGCCCTAACGGATCCTCGCCCCGGCACCGCGTGCGGCGCGTCCGCCCAGCGCGGAATGCCATACACGGCCAGACGCGCCCCCCGGCCAGGCGGATCGCGATTTTGCGCTTCCGCACTGAGGTGAGAACGCGGAGGACGCTAGGCCGCGTTCAGCTTCATTGGGCAGCATCAGGATTCAGGAGGGCTCGTGGGCGGAGGGGGCAGGGCGTCGTGTGTCGGAGGCTCCCACGCCGCGCGCGCACCGGTCTGCCGTCATCAATCAGGAGGACTGGGTCGGGGAGCTGGTTTCGAGAGCGAAGTCGGGGGTTGTTGGGAGACGTGACGAGCATTTTAGTGCGTACCTTACGCGGGACTTCGATGCGCAGACCTAGATACGGCCAAATGGCTCGGCGCACGGACGAGTCCACAACGAAGCCGCAAACAGCGACCGTATTCCCAGTCCACCTCCCCGCTGAGATTCCAATACACATCTTGGGGATAGAGCGCTAGCTTGCTGACAACGACGCCGGCTGGGGGTGAAAGGATACCCAGTCAAATGAGCGTGTTGGGACCGCGGCCGGAGGTAAATCCGCGGCGAGCCTGTGAACCATGAGTGGATCTGGACTCATTTCAAGACCGGCGGTATAATTTGGCGTGTGTAGATTGACTGACATCAAACGGCACAGCGTGGTTCGTGTGGAAAAATGCGTCAGGGACACCACGTCGGCTACTTGGAAGAAGGCGTGAAAGAGAACTTACTGCCATCCATGGCTGTTGATGTACTACTATATCCGAAGCTTGAAGACGGCATCCTATAGTCAAAGTGTTACTATCTATGTGCCAATGATGGCACTGAGTGCACATCGAACGCCGAACGAAGCTGTGAATACCAAGTACTCACACTAAGCAAGCTCCACCTTCCCGTACGCGAGTATGTGTGGTGTGCGCTCCGTGACTGCCGCTTTCAAGGAGCGCGCATCTCGAGGGTGACGGAGAGCGCAAGGGCTGCGCACGAAGCCTGCAATTTTAGCGAACCGTGCTAAGCACTGACGCCTGGAGCCGAAAATGTGCTGACTCGAGTCTTGGGGTGTGCCGCGTCGATCGTGGGTGGACTTCATTCGGAGTCTTTCGGCGCTACGACGCGGTCGGCTATGCGGACGAGTAGTACACGACACGTTGCCCGCCTCGCTGTGCGCTCCATGGAGATAGTGGCACTGAGGGCAGGGACCCGTGAGAGAGGCCAAGTACAAGCCGTCCGCAGTAAGGTAGACGCGGTCAGGAACCAGCTACCATGACATAAGCAATCTAGGTGGCGTGGGAATGTTTCAAATCTCGCCGGCGAGTCATCGCCTCTTGAGAGGTGGTCAAAACATGTATTCCATAGACATCTGCACACAATCTTTTGCTGCTTCTGTCATTTGATGGTCTAACTGCGCCCTATGCATGTCCCAGATCGCTTCCCAACGGTGGCCAGGAGCCTCTGCGCTTCGCTTGGCACAGTGAGAACGAGTCCCGAAGAGCGTTAAGCTCCTCGGCGTCAACTGGCACGGGTGGGGCAGGCGGAAAGTTGTCAACCCCACCCTGTGTAATGTCCCTTGTATAACCGGCTGAGTCTTCCATGATGGAAGTATGACTATCTGCTGTAATGGAGCTTCAGAGGCTGGCACATGCAGCAGAACACTGTTCCCATTGCCTTTCCGGACGGTACAAGTCGGGCCGGTACATCACGTGTTCAGCGTCTACTGTAGACGCCCGTTTCAAACATTTCTCCTCGCCGATTTAAACCGTGCTCAAACACATTGAAACAGTGTTCTGCGACGTTTTAGAACATCTTCAATTATTGGCCAATAACTCGGTCAAAAATGAGAATATCACAAAAGTTCTTCCTAGCATTGAGAGCTAAGGATAGCTACTATCATTGTCAGAGACCAGAATCTTCAAACATGGGTGAGGGGGGAGGGGAAAAGGCAGGACAAACGGGGGGCGCCTGCTTATGTCATGGTGGCTGGTTCCTGGCCGCGTCTACCTATCCGCTGAGCAAGCCAGTTGGCGGAAATCGGCCTTTTGGGGAGGTCGCCGTAGGTGCTTGCCCTTGGGCTGAGGTCCGCAAACTCGGTCGTGGCCCAACTTCGCAGGATATCGGACCATGAGCGGAGTGCGGCGACCATGGGAAGGAGAGACTCACTGTCGTCACCACCAAAGGTCGGTTTGCCTCGAGGAGGGGTTCTCGTAAGTTTATTTTCGCCGCTTCTTTCGAAACTGGCGAGGAATGACAAATGGGACGGGTCGTACGAAGCACCACAGTGGAGGCATGCCACGGTCGTCGGAGCTGCCAAGTTCCAACACTGAGGGAATGGGGTGAGCCAATCTCTGAGCGGATGATTCCGACCGAAGGTCCGACGCGTTCGGTGGAAGGAGATCTAGTACGAAACAGTGTTGCTGAGGAATTGAAGACCAGGATCATAAGTACACCACATTGCAGTTGTCAAATAGATGCACGGAGAAGAATAGCTGGGGCATGTGATGAGTACATGAAGTTTGAGATTGGCGTTGGAAACGAATTGGTGGGGTGGTAAATAACTGAGTAACAAAAGTAACATACATCACAACGCCCGCCTAGCTCAATCGGATAGAGCGTCAGACTCTTAAGGCGGGTAATCTGAAGGCTGCGAGTTCGACCCTCGCGGTGGGCTAGTTACTTTTGCTTCTGCTTCTCTGGCTTTCTTCCGGCCCTTCTTTTCTTTGGGTTTCGCGGATCTCTTGCCCTGCGAGATAATTCAGCCCAAGTGTTGACGACTAGTGTTGACTGGCCGCGCTTCTTGACTGCCATTGCCTTATCAGGACATAGATCTTGACTGTGCTGGGCTCTCTGGAAATTTTGCCGAGGAGTGCAGTCGAGTCTCTACCCTCACCTTCAAGACGACATTGCGCGCACGAGATGACTTCAGAGGCGCTTATAGACAGCAACCTCGCCGACCTGACACTGCTCTCGAAGGGCAAGGTTCGCGACATCTACACGACCTCCGACCCGAGCACCCTGCTCTTCGTCGCATCCGATCGCATCTCCGCCTACGACGTGATCCTCAAGAATGTCTGTCCTTTCCTTTCCTCCTGGAACCATCGCTAAAACATCTACATCGTCACTCGCAGGGCGTCCCGGATAAGGGCAAGATCCTGACCCGCATCTCGCGCTTCTGGTTCGACCGCCTCGCGCACATCGTCCCCCACCACCTCGTCACCGACGACGTCGACGCGATGCCCGCGGAGGTGCGCGCGCACGCGGCGACGCTCGCCGGGCGCACGATGCTCGTCCGCAAGGCGCGCGTCGTGCCGCTCGAGGCCATCGTGCGCGGGTACATCACCGGTCCGTCTCCGCTCCCGTCTCCGCTCCCTTTCGCGTGGGCTGACGACGCGCGCACAGGGTCGGCCTGGGCGGAGTACAAGAAGACGGGGACCGTGCACGGGATCGCGCTCCCCGCGGGCCTCGTCGAGTCGCAGAAGCTGCCCGAGCCGCTGTTCACGCCCTCGACCAAGGCCGAGCAGGGCGCGCACGACGAGAACATCTCGCCCGCCCAAGGTCCGTCCCCCCACCCGCCCGTCGCAGTCGCCGCGCTCTCTGCTGACGCCCCACTCTCCGCCCTCCGCCCTCCATCCCCTCCGCCGACCCACAGCGGCCGCGCTCGTCGGCGCCGAGCTCTGCGCGCACATCGAGCGCGGCGCGCTGCGGCTCTACGCCGAGGCCGCCGCGTACGCGCTCGCGCGCGGGCTCATCCTCGCGGACACCAAGTTCGAGTTCGGGCTCGTCCCGCTCGCCGCCCTCCCCGCGGCGTCCGCGTCCGCGCCCGTCTCGCTCGCGGTCGACGGCGAGGAGATGGCGCTGCTGCTCGTCGACGAGGCGCTCACGCCGGACTCGTCGCGCTACTGGCCCGCGGCGGGCTACGCGCCGGGGGGCCCGCAGCCGAGCTTCGACAAGCAGTTCCTCCGGGACTGGCTCACTGCTGAGGGCTTCCGGAAGGGGCGCGAGGCGGGCCCGGAGGGGCACGAGGGGAGGGGTGGGCGATGAGTGAGGAGGTCGTGAAGGGGACGAGGGCGCGGTACGTGGAGGCGTTGGAGATGTTGACCGGGACGGGGCTTTGACGCGTGCGGGCAAGGAAGGGGAAATGCGGGAGGAAAGGGAAAGCCGTGGCGGTAGCAAACAACGTGGTGCAAGTCGCAGGTAATAATTCATGTTGTATACAAGATTAGAGCGTAGAGATATCGTAGCCCAAGTGCTTACCCTTTGGCTAAGTGCGCTCATGATATCGCTGGATAAGACGGGAGTGCGGCGCAATGGCGAGGCTGCATTCCTGGCGAAGACCAAGTCTTATCCATGGAACTAGGACGATGGTGATGCGCACATGCATGTTCACTCACGCAAGGCGGGGAAGGCTGCGTTAGGAGACGTAGCTCAGCGACCTACTCCCGCTTCCATCCACATCTGACCTCCAAATCGCTCACACTCATCCTGATTCCCTCCCTCTCCGGGCGAGAACGTGCACTCCTCGCGATGAATTGCCTCAAGTCCAACACTCTGCGCTGCAACTCCCTCGGAGTCGAGCCTGGGACGCCTCGGGGCGCCGTCGAGAACGTAGACAGGCGCATGGAGCAGGACACGCCGGGGCGCGTGCAGTGCGGGTGTGAGAAGTGGGCGAAGCACCTGCCACGGGCGGACAAGGACCCGTTCGACAGCATCTCCGCGACGGCGTGAGACGAATCCTTGTCCCGTGGAGGGAGACGATGGTGTGGATGGGACGGGTCGACGACGTTGGCCGCGCATTGGAGGATGCAGCCAAGAGCTGGTGTTTGGTGCGGATATGATCGTCAAAGCCGCGCGTTGAAGTATTAACGCCGTCGGTGCAGGTCGCCGAGGTCGCGGAGGAGCGATGAGATGATTTTCGTGCATAGGTCGGCGAACGCGAAACGGCGCCGATGGAGCGCCCAGACGCAGTCTATGAGTACACTCCACCGACGTAGAGGACAGGGCGTCGGAAGAGGGTTCTTGATTTGCTAGGGTGTATGTACTACCTGCGACGCGAACTTGCTCCGGGCGCGAATCGCAGGGCCCTTCCAAAGCAGCACCTGCAACGGGCATGTTAGTTCAGCACGTGGCTTCGACACCGCTGAGGGCAAATCACGCACGAATGGTATCGGAATCATGACGACGCCGATGAAGGCGAATAGCGACGTGCCCCATGGGTACCCGACGGCGTCGAACAGCTGCGTGGTGAACAGCGGGAATATGGTGCCCATCATATTGCCTGCGAGGAAGTTAGCATCCAGTCGAAACTCAGCGGGGATACATCGCGTGCCTCCGCAGAGAGACGCAGTTGCGCGCTTTGGGTGGGGAGCTGGGGAGATGAGGCGGGGACTCACGCGATAGACTTTGGCCCGCGAGAGCGGACGAGGCGAAGGGCCCGTAACTGTGGGGAAGGAGGAGGCGGTTAGAACTGGTCGTCAATGCGCACGCAGGCGTCGGCGGAGGAAACGTGCCAATCCGCGAGGTACGTGAAGACAGCGACGTAAATGATAAACAGTGCCATCATGATCACCTACGACGAGAACGATGTCAGAGGACGAGGGCCACACGCAGCGCCGCGGCGGACTCACAAAGATGCCCATGACCATGCCTATCCATGGGACGGACGGGGAGGTGCACCAGCCGTAGATGAACATCCCGGCGGGGGAAAGGACAGCCGCGAGACACGCGCTGAACAGTCGCGCTTCCGGACCCTTGGACGGGTGGTATCGCCTGTCGATGGCGCGCCGGAGCACGTATTCAGCAACCGTACCGCCGCATCGCAGGCAGTGGGCACTCACGCGTATAGCTTCTCTTGATAGATCTGCAGGAGCTCGCCCGCCAGGCAGCCCACGCTGCGAAAACGGGCATGGGTTCAGCTTCCAAGCAACGGTCACCCGACAGGGGCTCGACGACGCCAGGAACACACACATCATCGCGACAAACACCGTGCCCACTTCGCCCTGGTTGAAGTTGTGGATCGTGCGGAATGCGGGTCCAATCGATCTGTGGGTGGGATCAGTGGCCATCGTGCATGGAACAAGGTCGAGCACTGCGTACTCGATGAGCACATAGAGGATGCCCCACGCGAAGCCCGCCCAAAGCTGCGCGAGACGGTGGCGTCAGCACGGTTAAATACTGAGCGGCGGCAGGGAGGAAGGAAGAACCCACGCTGAACGCCGCAACGACAGGCTCTGTGAACAGCAGGTCTGCGCATCGTAAGTGGCATCAATGCCGTGCGTGTGAGCAGGGACGTGGGTGTGCGGCTTACACATTGGGCGTGTACAGGAAATGTAAATGAGCGTGCGCAGGCTTGCGCGCTCGTCCTCGATACGTGCGCGGTAGCGAGAGTTACCGGTCTGAGCGCGCAGCTTGCGCGCGAGGCGCATGAGAAGCACACCCGAACGCGTCTCCTTCATGAGCGTCGGACCATGAGCAAGAACAGGCCGTTCCAGCTGTGCTCGTGGAGGTTGAGTGCAGTGCGGGGCATGCCGGCAGGGCGGTTAGAGCGGAATGTTGGTGTGACGAGGGAAGGGCGTCAGCGCTGGAGGCGGTGAACGGGAAGATTGAGAGCGATACGTACATTGCATGGATGTACTGGATCCAGCGCCACTCTAGATGTGGGTTCTGCTCGATCCAACCCGCGGCGACACAGCCTACGCCTGGGCCTGAGAGCACCATTGTTGCGAAGAGCGACATTGGGAGCCCACGTCTGCAAGGAGCATAGGTGTGTGAATTCGCGCGGCGGCGCGAGAGAGTTTGAACTCACTCAGATGGCGCCCAAATGTCGGCGATGGTCCCACCGACCATGGCGGACGCCGTTGACGCAAAGGCGCCACAGAGAAAGCGACCAATAATGACAGTCTGTATATTATGCGCGCTGAGGGGACCTTGAGCGTAGGTGCAGGGGCGGAAAATGGAAATCATGAGCGGCGAAATGGCTGGAGAAGGAAAGCTGGCTTACAGCCCGGTCATGATGTGGAATACCACACAGCCGATACCACTGACGAGGTAAATGGGCTGGCGGCCGAACTCTTCGCTGAAGGACGTCAAGAGGAGGGGAACGAGGCCGAACCCGAGCGTGAACATGGATAGGCCGATGATCGCCTCGTACTGGGTCGCGTTGAGGTCGCGCGTCATGGATGGAAGGCCGAGGGCATACGCGCCTGACGTAGAAGCTATATAGAAAAGGTATAGCATCAGTCTTGTTTCTTTGCCCAGAGGCAGTAGCATTCATGATAAGACGCCGCCTACCAGCCGCGATTGAGAAGAATGAAGCCGCAAAAGTGATTGCCCATTTGCGCTTATGTGAGAAGTTGGCTGGGTTATGTGGGTCATCATTGTCAAAGTCCACCTGGCGTTGAAGTTGTGCTCGTGAGCTTATACCGTGAGCTGAGGGAACGATGGACCTGGGCTCACGTAAATCGTTTCGTCTGCAGTCGTGGTATGCTGAGAAGCCAAGAACTTCTCATTCTTGACTTGGTCGTCCGAACTGATATCTGGCTCGCCTTTTTCAGCATCCACATGGCAGGGAGTGATGCGAGGATCGATGGCCTCATGAGCACTGGCGAGCAAACGCCGCGCGAGGCCCCTTCCCTGTCTTCACCGTGACCCATGGGCGAAGGAGCGGGTGGTGGCTAAGAGAAGGTACGGATGTGGTCGAGAGCAAAAAGAGCGGGAGGTGGATGCGAGGCGGGAGCCCGTGCCCGAGCCTCTCCGCCTGATTAGCGTCGTGGTGGGACTCGTGCCGAACGGCGCCCTGCTAGGCTCAGAACCTCCCGACGCCCGTTCGACCAACTTGGATCACTGATCGCCTTCCTTTACCTTTTGCCCGCTGGGCGTGCTTTCGTTCGAATCCTAAACCAGCATTCGTTTCTAGAGTAAGCTAGAGCGGGTGATCTTCAGCTGAGAGAGAGCCAACACCGGCGCCGCTGTGGGCAGCGTCATGGACTACTTAGTGTGGGATGCGATCATGAGGTGCTGGGTAACCACACCGGATCTCTGACCACGGCACCCACTTGCCGCAGCGCTGGAGACCTGTGAAACGGACGCTTTATGCGGCATTAGCTCCACGGAAGGCACAACTCGCGGGTGAGGCTGAGGGCAGCACTCTCCTGGGATTTCACCGATCGCTGGATGCATGAGGTGCAGGGCTAAGATGTGCGAACGGCTCTTGGCGTCTACCACCATTCCCCGATCCTGGCGCTTATACAACCTTTTCCCTCTCGTCCTTCTCTGGCTCCACACGATCTACTTCGAGGCGAACCATTTGAAACTAGAGAACGGCCTCCAAGTGCGTTCTTAGCAAGACTGGCCTCATAGGGCGACGACGTTCTCTCCGAAGTTGGCCGACTGCGATTACTCCTGGGTCTCCAGGCCTCCGTTCCCGTACCAGGATGTTTCGACAACTACAGACCGTTCTCAACGCCCGGCGGAGACACGCGTGCAAACGCGTGCGCCTCTTCTCCACCACTGCAAACTCCCTCGCCGTCCGTGACGACCTCCGCGCCCTCCTCCGCGACACCGCGCAGCCCGTCGCCGTCGTCACCGCACTCATGGACCCCTCAAGCAGCTCGACAGAAAGCTGCCGGACGCACCACTCTTTCACGGCGCGACCCTCTCCTCGTTCAGCTCGGTCGCGATGGACCCTCTCCCGCTCATCGCGTTCTCGCTCCGGATACCGTCGCGCATGGCCGCCGCGCTCACCTCCGCGTACGCCCTCTCGTCCCTCCAAATTCTCTCTATCCGCTACCTCTCCCACTACTTGCGAACGTCAAGACCCCTACCCGCCGCACACATGGTCGTCAACATCCTCGCGGCCTCGCAAGCTGCGCTCGCGACCCGCTTCGCGCGCGCCGATGCATACCCCCGCCCGTTCGAGGGTGTCCCATACGACCACACGCTCGACGGGCTGCCCGTCCTCGCCGGCTCTCTTGGTGCGCTCTCGTGCCGCCTCGTTGCGCCGCCGTGGCCGCTGCACGATGTCGCTGCGCTCGAGGGGTCGGGGAACGCACGGGGGACGTGGGAGGGCGAAGGCGTCGCGTCCGAGCTATTCGTGGCGGAGGTTGTGCGCGTCGAGCGGACGGGTGGGGAGGGCGGGGGGACGTGCGACCGCTGCTGTACCATCGGAGAGGGTACGTGACCACGACGGGGATTGAGGAGGCGGGAGAGATGGGAGGAGTGGGGGTGCCACCAAGACGGTGACTGGCCGCATGTCCTATGCGCTCACCCATGACCTCGAGGTCACGTCCGCGAACAGTGCTCGAGCTGCGTACCCTTGCATAGTTTATCTTTCTGTTTAGAAAAAGATACCCTCTACGTGCTGAACGAACCCCAAGATATCCAGGGAGTTCTCGTTTTAATATCATCCTTCTCAACGACACTGACAGCGGTCATATGCCAACCGACGGCACCAATGAAACCTTGTTCTCATGACTTTGCCTCTGGAGAGTCATTGGCACAATTTGCGAGCCCTGATGGTCTTCAAGGAGTCTTCCTAATAACTAACGAGCCCAAAGAACCGGGCCTCATTGGATGGGCTGGATTCGAGGATGGTGGGGTTGAGTGTCGTGTTCCGTTGTGTCCCCAATAGCCTGCGAAGAAGCTTGTGGGTCTATGTATTTAGAACACTCCAAGTTCGCATCCAGTACAGACGAGCCCTCACGTTTCAACGCGGGTCGTGAACATGTTTTAAAATTCTTTGGCAAATACACGAAGCTGTCAACGGACAAAATTGAGAAAGAGGTTCCATCATTCTATCTCAAGTAGACGGTTTCGACACGGTACGAGCAGTTTCCCGTTCCTGTTCAAGTACCTTTCCCCACTCCTTGACCTCAGGGTGTCTGAGGAACGGAAGACTGCTGTCGAAGAACGGCTGAAGATTTTCCATGTCATGATTCCGTTCGTATTCTGAGGCTGTAGAATCTCAGCTCATCTGTAGGCAATATGGTGTCGGCCGTATCACCTTGGGAAGCCATCTCAAACCTATCGAGATCTTTGACGAACTGGGCCTCTTTGGTTTCTTGGGCCTCGTATTCTTCCCAGAGGGTCATGATACGCTGAGCCGCGGGGCTATCATGCAGCATCTCATGACGAAATTGTGCATGGCCTCCTAGTAATTTGTGAAGTTCGATTCGGTCCTGGAGCACATGAGTGGAACTTCACTCACAGCCTCCAGCCCTCGCTTCTCTGCTTTCGGTATGCCTTCTCGTGGAGAGATGTCTCCAACTACGGGAATTGTGAGATTCACCCTTCATATGCATGCGCCTAGAACGCGACCGAACCTTGGCTTCGGCCAGATCGTGCACAAGTGCCATCATGACGCATCTACGCCGACGTCAAGTTCGCCCTCTTTGCCGATGTCCCAAGACTCACTTTGAGACGTCGAGGGCGGCGTCTGAGGTGCACATCGCAAGGATAGCCATGCGATACATGTGGTCGATATGCTGCGTGCCATTGCAAAAATTGAGGTCGCGCATTTAGCTACTGGAGTGTATGTACAAGCCTTTCGGGTCCCGGGACCTACTGGACGAAGTTGTGTGAGCAGAGCAGACGCATCTTCACAATACATACGTTGTGATCTACCCATCCAGTCCGCTCTGCGTCTTCACGCCCCATGTTAGACATTACGCAGACCGTTTACGTAGCACCAGTGGCCAACCTTGAGTCTCTCCAAAACATGGAAGAACGCCAGTTTGTCCTGTGCGGCATCTCCGAGGATTTGTACAATGGGGAAACACTCTCTTTGCGGTTGCCGTTGTTGCGGACATGGATCGATTGGCTGCTGTTACTTTGAAGTGATTGTATCGGTGGAGAAAGGTGAGTTGAAGGAGTGGGCGCATGCGGGAAAGGGAAAGTGAACGAGATCAATGCCGTAAGCGGGATGGTGGCTGCGGGGCGCATACATGGACCGGAGACGCTGCACACGCATCTGACGCCACCAGTACCCCCACCACCTTGCCCCCCATTCCACCCCATCTTGCCACCTCGCGCCCACTGAAATATCCAGACTACGAACCACGGTCTATGCAGGAAGAGCCAGGCGCGTTTCTAGTCGTTTTGATGCGTAGAGCCTCGCGGCTTACACACAGTTCCCCAGACACTTGCCGAATATGCAGCGCTCCCGCAGAACCTGACCAGCCTTTGTTCCACCCTTGCAAGTGCTCGGGGACAATTCGATATATTCATCAAGACTGGTGAGCACCGCTGGATTCTCGCTTTGTACGCGTCTCGCCTCATTTCTTATGTCAGCTTGAAAGAATGGCTCACTCACAGCCGGAAGAAGACGTGCGATGTGTGCAAGTACCCGTACTCGTTCACGAAGGGTGAGTGGTTCGCCGTGGCTTTGCGTCCGTCCGTCCAACCATACCGTAGTGTACTCGGAGAACATGCCGGAACGGCTCCCCATATACCTCATTTTGCGCGAAGTACCCCGTCAAGTAGCCTCCGCAGTCCTCTTCATCCTACGCACCGCTCTTGTTGCGACCGTATGGCTTGCAGCGCTCCCCTACGCGACGATCTGGACGTGGAGGACGTACTTCGCGCTGGGCAATATGATGTGAGTCGCTTCAAAGGACACTTTCGACTCTGCCTTACGTTTCTGTAGTGCATGGTGGATCAGTGCGTTGCCACAACCAGAACCCATCACAGACTTCTACGGCCGCCCAGTGGTCGCGAATACAACTGCTAACACTACCACCAACGGTACTGCGAATTCTACTGAAGCCGTGTCCTTGGAGCAGCTTGTTGCAGCGCAGGAGCCCGTCGCAAGTTCCTTATTTGCCCACCCTCTCTACCGGTCCATCTCCTCCGACATCTTCTCGGGGCAGGTCATCGCGTCCTTCATCGTGCTCACGTGCGTAGCGGTCTTTCTCCTGCGCGAATGGATCAACCAGAACGCGCGCCCCGGTATCTTCGACGAAAGGGATGCCCAGTTCGACGCTGCAGCACCCGAAGCACCCCCAGCAGCAGCTCCCCCGCCCGTCATTCGCCAGCCTGCGGCACATCACCTCGAAGCGCCGCGGATGCCGCGGCCCCCCTCGCCCCCTCCGATGGTTCCAGACGCAAATCATCGCGCGCAGCTTCGTCGCGACCGCGAAATCCAGGATCCAGTGCAACCCACCGCGGGCCCTTCCCGCGTCAAGAAGCCGCGGACCAGGGAGTCTCGCCCAGGATCCGACGACGGATCAATAGCGAACCTGCCGCATTCGAATAAAGGCAAGGAGAAAGCCCCCCTCCTGTTTCTGATCAAGAGATACTGGCCAAGCTGCAATCGTATCCGAGGGACCCGCCGGCTTCTCACGTCAGACTCAATAGTTGGAAGCCGCGGAAGGTGCAGCTCAGGGAAGGCTCCAGTGACCGAGGCATGGGGAACCACAAACCGCGTGCGGTGTCGGCCAAGGCGAGACTGGAGGACTGGGAGAAGATGCGCGACCCAATGCACTTCGCCTCGGACAGAGCGAACGACATCCCTGTCACAGAGTTCACCTTCAGAGCCAACGGTCCCGCGTATCCGTCCCCGCCTGCCAAGTATTCATCAATCGGTCGTTCTAGGTCTGCCGACCCTCCAGATGAGCCCCCCATCGAAGCTCTACCGTTCGCGATCGTGCCGCGGGCTACCACTTCCACTTCAGTCCCGGCCGGCCCGCCACACCCTGTCTCTCCCGCCTCCTCCAGCAGAACGCACAGTTCGTCAACATCCCCAGAGCGTTTCTCGAGCCCGCCAGAAGATGGTGTACTCACTCCTGTCGCCATGGAGCCACCGCCATGGACACAGCAGTTCGCTATCGGAACGAAGCCGCCTGAGGAACCAGCGGCGGTCTCTCCCTCTGGCCTGCGACGCCCTCCCCTTCCTGCAGTCACACTCCCACCTTCTCCCCCACGTCCCTCGGATCCTGCCGTAACGTCTCTGCAGAATGTTCGTGGCTCCACGCCCATGGAGTCGCCCAGTCTTGCTACGTACCGCGCTCCGGAGGAGCTCGGGGCGGAACCGCAGGGCTACTTCGTCCACGATGACGCCGACGGGGCCGAGCAGGAGTACTTCGATGAGGAGGAGCACCGTCACTATTTCCGCGATCCGGAGGAGGCGGAGGAGGAGGCGGAGGATGACGAAGATGACGATGAGGATTCGCAACATTGGCAAGATGGAGATATGGACTTCGCGGAGGTGGGGGACGACGGGGAGGCGGTGCACATTCTCGATGAAGTGCAGGGGGACATGGCCGACGACGAGCTGGACGAAGGGGAATGGATGGACGAGGAGGTCGTGCACGAGGAGGAGGCGGTCGCGGATGCTCCGGAAGTGGGTCAAGCTCAACAGCCGGACAGACCAGCGCCGCAAGAGGGCGTGTTCTGGATCGACGACATTGCGGCGTTGCAGAACGTGAACGGACCGGACGGTGGCGAGGGTGGGAATGGCAGGCGGGAGCGGAGAGGGCCTCGGGTGCAGTTTGACCAGCCGTTCGCTGAGGTTGGGCCTCAAGAAGATTTTGACCAAGAGGTGAATGTGGAGGACGACATGGATGGCGCTCTTGAAGGTGAGTTCAGCCACAAGTCGATGCGTTGGAGTCGTTGAGGCTCATGATGTGTATAGCCATCGGTCTGCGCGGACCTTTGGTCAGCGTTCTACAGAACGTGAGTTTCTTTACACGGCCTCCTTACCTTTTCTACCCTGACTTTGTATTGAACCAGGCAATCCTGATGACCATCATCCTCGACGCCACCATTGGCCTAGGTATATGGCTGCCCTTCACCATCGGAAAATCAACTGCCCTTTTGTCGGTGAGTCGCAGCATTCGCGATGCCTCTGTGCTTGCGAGCTCATAAGAACGGTGAAAGTTGAACCCTCGGCGTGCCGTGGAAGTCGTACACTTCCCTCTCCAACTGATACGTCTCGTCACGGATCCTCTCGTGGACAACGTTCTCCTTCCCTTCCTCCAATTCGCCAGCGAAAGCCTCATCCGATGGGCCATCCGAGGTGTTGTCAGTACTGTGGGACCGGACCGCGCTGATCAGCTCGCTGAGTTTTCCAGCTCGATAGTAAGTAGATGCTACGAATTACCGCTGGCTGTAGTCATTGACGGCGCGTTGCTTGCAGTACAACCGCACTTCCATCTTCGCATCCAAAGTCATGGATCAGATCGCCCCAACGCCAGCAGCCTCAGCAGCTGTATCCGAGGTCCAGTCTACGTCATCCTCTCTGTACCGTCTGCTGGAGGAAGACACCACCGTCATGCGCTACGCCGAGCCATATTTTCACCCGTTGGCAAACATGTCCGCGAATGGTCGAGCGAAAGTAAGGAGGCGTGGATCAGCCTCGCAACTGGAGACACGCCCAACGACAAAATGTTTGCGGTTCTTCTCGGTTACGCCGTCGTCGGCCTGCTCCTCGCCATCTACCTCAACATCCTTACCGTTGGCAGCATGCGCAGCGCAGGCAGGGCCGTTCGCCATGCCGTTCGCCAACAACTACTCGTCGTCAAGGTCGCGACGTTCATCATCATCGAGCTCGTCACGTTCCCTCTGGGATGCGGGGTCATGCTGGATATTTGCACCGTGTGGCTGTTTCCTCAGGGGAGCTTTGGGATGAGAGCAGCGTTCCTTGTGTACGCTCCAGTAACCGCGGTCTTCTACCACTGGGTCGTGGGCACGATGTTCATGTAAGCCGTCTCCAAACGACTTGATTCGACCTTGGCGCTGATTTACTTGCAGGTACCAGTTTGCTGTACTCCTGTCTGGCTGTAGGACCATCATGCGCCCTGGGGCGATGTGGTTCATCAAGGACCCTCAAGACCAGAACTTCCATCCTATTCGCGATATTCTGGAGCGGCCCACTTTCGTTCAAATACGCAAGCTCCTCTTCAGCGCAGTTATGTACGCTATCGTTGTGGCCAGTGGAGTGGGGACGGTCTCGGGGATTTTCCGTTTGTTCAGCGATACCATCATGCCATTCCGGTGGAATATTCGGTATGTCTAGTATTCTTCTACGCATCGCACTTGGGGCTAGCGCTCACAAACTGTGTAGCGAACCACTCTCGGAAGTCCCCGTGGACCTGATCATGCTTCAACTCGTGCTCCCATACACCATGGACGAATTCCACCCTCGTGCTACGTTGCGGAAATTCGGTACGGGCGTTTGGAGGTACCTCGCCTCTCGTCTCAGGCTGTCGTCGTACATGTTCGGGGGCCGGTACCCTCTCGAGGAGTTTACGCCGAAAGAGTGGAACTGGCGTTTCCTCGTCGACCAGAACGCTTTGGCTGAAGTCGAGCACACGATGGACGGCTCCTTCCTCCGTGTCCCGAACAACGACAACGTTGCCCTTGTGAAGGACTCTCCCGCGACTGTCGAGGTCCTTGAAGACGGCACACCTGTGGACGAAGAAGCCAGGAAGCTCATCGACGCTCAGAACCGAGAGGCACAGAAGAACAAGCGGCAGGTCAAGAAAGACTATACAGTCACTTACGTCCCTCCTATGTTCGTTACCGCGTCGCCATCTTCCTCCTCTGCATATGGGTTCTAGGCTTCTTCCTCCTCGCCTCCGTTCTCGCTGCGCCGATCCTGCTTGGTCGCGCTTTCTTCGGTCTCTTCATGACGCGCGAGGTGCACGACGGCTACTCGTTCGTTGTTGGCTTCTACCTCCTTTGGGGCTGCTACCTCTTCGGCGGCGCGGTCGAACGGTTCGACAAGCGCCGGCAGCGGCGTTGGGTCGAGGACGAGGAACGCGGGGACTGGACGTTCTTCGCCGTGAAGCGCGGGCTGCTCTGGCTCTCGCAGGCCGCGTACATGATCACCACGCTCGGAATCGTCCTGCCCACTCTCCTCGGCATTGTCATCGAACTCTACATCGTCCATCCCATTCGCCACACTGCACACCCGAACGTGGAGCCGCGCATCCGGCTCGTAGACATGTGGGCGCTGGGTGTCATGTACGCGAAGATCATGTTGCGCGTGCTGAACACGCAGCGCCGGCCCGCGGACGGCATTGTGTACGGCATAGAACGGGTGAGCTGCAACATCTTGCTTCTGAATCAGCTTATACTGATCAGACGCCGACAGATACACCGTCTCGGGTTCATGCACATGGACCCCTTCGCAGCCACGGTGCAGGTATTCAGGCCCCTCGCCACAGGGCTTCTGGCCATGATCCTCTTCCCCGCTGCTCTTGTCTGGGGTGTCACGCGATTACTGCACCTGCCGGTGGACGAGAACCTCCTTTGTGAGTACTTGCACTCTTGACGTCATGGAGGTTGCTAACAGCTCTGCTCGTCCAGTCATGCACATCTACCCTAGCATTTTCTCAGCCGTGGGCCTTGCCCATCTCATGTACGCGCTCTCGCGCGTGTCCACGACGTGGCAGCAGCCATCCGCGACCAGGAGTTCCTTGTGGAGATGCGTCTGCGCAATCTAGAGCCCGAGAAGGAAGCCCCGCCGCAGACTACTGGCGCGACGGAAGCGGTGGGAGCCGCTGAAGTCGTGGATACGGGGCGGCACTTCCAGTTGAAGTTCAGGTTGAAGTCGAAGCATAGATTCTCTTTTGCATGCATCGTCGAATCGCAACACTACCTCCTACTTTATTATATACAGGATTTCGCATATTGAATTCATAACACTGTAGCCCTATACAATGCATTCTCTTGTCTTCACAGCACCTTGCGCAGTGAAGAACTCGTATTTTGCATCGTTACGGGGCTCACCACGCCAGTCCTGTGTTTATTTATATCCACTTGTTGCAGTGCCGCAAACAAGGTGAAAGCATTGGACCTATTCCATAGTATAGGTAGGTAGTAGAGTACGATACAACGGAACCCGACAACTTCTACTGTACAAAAACGCGCAAAACAATGGCTCAAACAAACATCTGCAGCGGGTGGCGGTCGTACACATTCTGGCCCTCGCTGAGCTCCCCGAGGTCGGGAAGAACGGCACGAGCGCGTCCGACGCGCCGAGGTAGAGCGAGTTGTACACACGCCAGTACACCTCGCGCACCTTGCGCGCGGGGTGGAAAAGGCCCTGGAGGACGTATGAGAGAAGCACCCCTGGCCCGAGTGTAACGCGCATCGCCTCGACGGCCTCCATGACAGCGCCGATGACGTGCGGGGACGTCTCGAAGCAGTTGGGCCAGACGAGGTTCATCAGGTGGAGCATTGAGTCCTCACAGCCGAGGCCGGCGACGCCGAGCGCGAGGTGCTTGACGATCGTGCTCGCGGTCTGCCGGTGGACGAGGTCGCGATCCGTAAGGGCGTCCTCGAGCATGGTGACGACGGAGTCGGCATAGTACGCGGACTGTGGGCCGACGTACTCGAAGACGAAGGAAAGGGCCTTTAGACAGCCCGTGCGGACGTTGAGCTCGGCGGTGCGGTACTCGTTGAGGATGGCGGGGATACATGTGAAGGCTGTGGATGAACGTCAGTCACGAAGTCAAAAAACGACAGCGAGGGGAGTACTCACGTCCACAAGTCTCCGCAACGATGGCAATGGCTACAGTACTGCAGACACGACTTTGACGTTCCTGGACGCGCAAGTTCGTGAGCAGCACCTGGAGGACGTCCTGGGGACCCAAGCTCTTCGCGATGTAGCCAAAGAGTTGACCGCCGCACGACGAATACCCTTCTTGTGCGCCTTCAAGAGGTCGAGAAGTTCAAAGCAAATACGCATCCATTCACGGGCGGGACAAACTCGGCACCGCGATCGGCGATGCGACCAATCAAGTTGATTGTGGCTTCCTGCACTTTTTCGTGTCTGTTACGCAAGATAGGTGTCATGCGCGGCACTGCGAACCGGTCAGCACATGAAATCGGAACAACCCGGATAAAATGGCCACTCACATAGATCCTTGACTGGCGGGTTCATCTGCGTCATGCCACAACGTTCGCGATAGCACCCTCCGCGGCGATGATACTACCGAGAGTATCGGGGTACTCTTCACCGAGCTGCTCAAAGAGCACAAGACCGAGCTTGCTGAGAAGCTGGTCTTCACCGCACTGCTTGATGACGACAGCGAGACGGGTAGTTAGATCCGCGGCTTGCTGACGGACCTTCGCGCTCTTGTTGTTGAGACGCCAAAGAATGGTGGAGACGATCTGCGTGAGGTAGGGCTTGACACGAATGCCGAGCGCGTTGACGACCGTCCCGAAACCGTCGAGCATGACCTGGTCCTCCGTAGTCTGCTCCTGGAAGGCGTAGATAATGCCGTCGACGAGGCGAACCTCGAGACGTTCGTCAATGTCGGAGGCACCGAGGGAGGCGACAACCTTGGTGATCGTCTCCATGACCATCTTCCTGTACGGCTCCGCCTCGTCCTTCAGGTCGTTCACGATACGTCCGACGATCTCGGCACACCCGACTTCTGAGCGAGCTCGACAGTAGTCTCGACAACCTGGCGGTAGTTCCGGCGGTCAAGTGCCATGCGGCGCACCCAGAACGCCTTGAAGAAGTCAGGAAGGATGTCCTGCTTGATGTACTGCGGGGTGACACCTTCCGTGGCTGCGCACTGCTGCACGACCTTCAGAACGATCTTCTTCATCTCCTCGTCCGAAGTTTGGAACTCGCGAATGAGGATGATGGTGACCTCCTTGATGTAGTACGAGACGTACTCCGGGTCCATGAGAGGCAGAATAAAACCGATGGCCTTGAGGAAGGCCGCCAGACTCTTGCCGCGGTGGAGACGGATACCGACCCAGAGGGGCTTGAGAACGTTGTCGAACGACTCGATTCCGTAAGGCGCCGCGGCCTCCGCCAATGCAGCAAGAGCCAAAGCGGTCATCGTGCGGACCTTTGTCTGCTCATCCTGCAGGCCGTGAGCGATGCAGTCGACAAGGTTACGTAGATGAGGGAGGACCGCGCAACCCATCATAATCGCGATTTGCTGGACGATACGGATACCAGTGTGACGAGCTTGCCAGGACTTCTTGCTACGACAGACAGCCTTCAAGAAGGGGAGGAGGGAAGGGATTCCGAGGGCCGACGCGACAACAGAGAAGGCTCGAGCGGTAGTGTTACGCACGTACTCGTCGGCGTGATCGATGTCGGGACGCATGGTAGAGATCATGTGGGCGAGACCGGCGGCCTTGGACAGGTTGGAGATGATCTCACGACCTTCAACGCGAGCGTAGTAGTCTTCGTCAATGAGCAGAGGCTCAATGACGACCAGAATCTTGTGCACGTACGGGCGAACAAGATCGTCGAGTTTGTACAAGACGCGGTCGATGACTTTCACGAGAAGATGACGCTCCTGGTCCTCGAGAGTGCGCTCCATGAGTAGCGGGAGGATCTTGTCGAAGAGTGGGCCAGCACCGAAGTCCCGGCCTTGTCTGTGATTTGTCGAAGGGCCGTTTTGCGAACGGGAGGTGTTCCGTTCTTGATTTTGAGCAACAGACGCATGATTTTGCGCTCCTTCATCTCATCCACCGTAAGCTCAGTCTCGTCCTCCTCCTTGAGGATCTTCGCAAAGTACTGGGCGTCTTCCGCCTTGAAGAAAGCTAGGTTGCCGACGCCCGGGATGTCGGTCGGTAGCTCAGGCGCAAGTCCCGCGGCCGCGGCCGCTGCAGCTGCATCCGAGCTTTCCTGTATCTGGAAGCCTCCTATCTCCGTGGACGAAGGTGCTGACAACTTGGGCGGCCTCATGAGAGGTGCATATCCTGGCGGAGGAGTAACGATGGTGTACCCCGAGGAGGGGAGGATGGCGTCGAGCTCCTCGTCGGAGAGGTAGCGATTGTGCTTGTCCTCTTGCATGAGACCGGGAGCGTTCATGATAATGGGCATCATGGGTACTTCGGGGGCGGCAGCGGGGGCCTGGTCCCAACGTGACTTCTTCGCACTGGGGGTCTCCGCGGCGACGTCGGCGGGGGTCGCATCCCATCTAGAACGCCGCTTCTTTGGCGCAGCGCCCTCGAGAGCCTCTTGGGACCACTCACCCTTAGTCACCCGGTTTTCCTTGTTCTCCTCCGGCTCGGTCTTCCTCTTGCGCTTTGCCCCGTGCATCGCTGCCAGCTCCTTCTCTGCCGCCTCGAGCTCGGCGCGAGGGGGCGTCCTATCCAGGTCCATCTTCGACTGGCCCTCCTCTCGCGCCTGCTTCTCCTTGTCGTCGATCGCCCTGCGCACCCGCTCCTCCTCCTTTTCCAGCCGCTGCAACCTCATCGCGTCCTTGTACCCTCCCTCGATCTCTTCACCATTCTCTGCAGCCTTGAAGGCGTCCGCACTTTCATGCGCCTGGCGGTTGAATTTGCGGTTCTGGTAGGCAGACTGGCGGGACGCGATTTGCCGGTTGGAGGCCGTCTCTGCGAACGGGTCGATGTCCTCTTCTTCGGCCATGTCCGCGAACTCCTGCAGGATCTCCTTTGGCGCGGTGAAGGAGTCGACGAGTCTTGGTTCTGACATGGTGGATGAAAAGAGCGCAAGGATGGGGAGAGGGAGGTGGAGGTGGGTGTTGTTGTCCAAGTGAGCGCCGAGTAACGCGCCACCGCTCCGTGCGCACATTTGGACTCCCTCAACTCCACACACTGAGTGTTACAGCTCCGATTATCTCCGACCCACGGCAGTGCGGCGGCGCCGCAGCAGCAGCTCCAGCTCCGCTTCTTCACCGACTCAGCAAACAAACAAGCTTCTCAAGCGCTGCGTTTGGTAAAAGTAGAGATGTCTTCGCGGGAAACAGACCGTATCACGTCCGCAGAGGAAACATTGAACAGTATGTGTATCATCTTCTCAGCAAATGTCTGCACTCTAATGGTTCCTTCAGCACTGTTCGATATCTCTCAGCTGCTAAATACAGGTCTTGACAAGGAAACGCTTGCGACATGTGTGGGTCTGATTGAGAGTGGCGTCAATCCCGAGGCTTTGGCGGTATGAGACACTCGTCTAATCTGCATCACTAGCTCACTAGTTCTCTGTAGGCTGTCATACAGGAACTCAGGCGAGAGAGCATGGCTACGAAGAACCCACGACAACGAGCAAACGGTCGCTGAATGTCCCTTCAACCACCAACATTTACGGTCACGTGTATTTGTATCCGCATGGGCGCAGGCAATACGTAGAAAGATTCAGCAATGCTGCACAACGTGCAGCGGTGGCCCGTGTGGCGCGCTCGGCTGATTCTGTAGAACTGCAATTGCAGCTCGCCGAATATCTCTGACATGAAGCAAGTGTCACAACGGCATGGGACACCCAGCATGTCCGGATCCTAACGGCATCCCTAGCACATTTCTGGTACTCCAGGCGACACATCATGCCAACATAGTAAGTACTGTGCATCCTCCAGCTGCCACAGTCATTCTCGTTCCCTCAGTTGATTCCTAAGCCGTCTAATGGAGTGCTTCCGAGGGACACAATTTCATGCCATGGCGATGTATGACTCATCCCGAGGTTGACGTCTGTAATAGATGTCCCGTTGGATGTTTTCCTGGATGCCGCACAGTCCGCTCGAGAATGCAAGGGCTAATTGATGAGTCAGCACTATGACGCGTACCTGACTGAGCAGTGAGCACAGAGGACAGAGCTGGACGTGTGAAGTCGATCGCGCAACAGTCACGGACCTTTATAAGAGTAAGAGCAGTGTTCTACCCTCACCCAAACTCATCCCGACTACACCCACATCTGCCATGGTGCCTCAGTACAAGTCACCGCTCCTCGGTTACGAAAACTGGCAGGAGCCTCTACCCACCGGCTTCAATGCTGACGGAAAGTCTCTGATCAACCCATCGGCGCCACGTTCGGAGGCCTACGACATATTTCCCAAGCCTATTGATTCCTCGAACAACGGTTTCGACTTTCATAGTGAGCCTCCGGAGTTCGCTGGAGTTTCACTGCCGGCCTAGGCTTATCGCATTCCAGTTTACCACATCGGCACTGCTCCAGACCAAGTAAAGTACGCCCGGGAGCTTCATGAGCGCATCCGAAGGGAGTTCCCAGAGGTAAGCTTCTCAGATACGGCATGCTAGAATCAAATTTGATCATTGTCACCACTGTACTAGTTCCGTGTCTATAAATTTTGGGACAAGCCCGTTGGCCCTCACCCGGTCCCTATGTTCGAAGTCAACGTGTTTAACCCCCACCAAGTCGGAACATTCTTTGCCTGGCTGGTTGTCAACCGTGGTCCGCTCTCGTGCGTTTGCGGCGGCTTTCGTCGTCACTCGTGTTTGTCGCTGTTTCTGACATCAACGTCCATAGCGTTCTTGTTCACCCCAACACCGACGACGCGCTTGCCGATCACACAGAGCTCGCGACGTGGATGGGGAAGCCTTTCCCTCTAAACACAAACATACTAGTGAAGTTTGATCTTGAGGATTGAGGTTCCGGCAAGGCTCAAAGACCAGTTGGTCTCAAAGGCTTGAAACGCGGCCGCTCTTGTATGATAATAGCACTATGCTGCGCGCAAATGGATGCGGGTTTGGACGTTGTATCTGTGACATCACTGCGCAAATTAGATAGAGCACCGACTCGTATGACTTCTTGAATTGCAGCGCTGGGACTGAGACACTGAGCTTCAATATTCCGAGGTACTATAAACAGCCGTACTACGACTCCGTTCGACTCCGTTCGATCGCTTACATACCATGCTGCCCTGACCATTCTAATACAACTACACATCCGTTCTACCCATCATCGTGTTACATTCAGATCCCTGCTGCTTCTCTGCACGCACTGAGGTCAGCTTCTACGACAGTCATCTCGATCGAGCACTTACGTTGTGGTGGTACATCACCGCGACGAACTTGTCGAACATCTCGCGCATCCCAAGCATGATTCGCGCATTGGGGTCGCACTTTGGGCACCAAATATTCCTCTCCAGCGACTGCGCCAGGATGCTCTTCAGCTTCGGATCGAGGCTGTAAATAGTCCCTCCGTCGGGCCCGCTCGAGAACTGCGCCAGCCTCTCCGCGAGCTGGCGCGACATCGCGATCAGCCACGAGTCCCCGACCTCGTAGTACTGCGGCCCCGCCGCGGGCCGCGGAATCCCCATGACCGACGCCGGCCGACTCGACGCGCCCGACGCGCTCGACACCACGCGCGCGACCGCGACGGGCGTGCCCGTGATCTGCTCCGCGGCGACGGCGCCCCGGCGCCGGTTGACCATGAGCCGGTGGTAGACCGCGGCGGGGGTGTCCTCCATCTCGGGCACGTACCCGTACGCGTACAGGTCCCCGCGGAGGCGCGAGAGCACGTCCGCGGCCCAGTCCGCGAAGCCGGCGCGGGCGGCGCCGAGGTACGCCGCGAGCGGGCGCGCGTCCTGCGCGTGCCAGAAGGCCTGGAAGCGGAGCAGGTCGAGCGCGCCGGCGAGCGCGTAGCGGCGCGCGGCGGCGGCCATCGCGAGCGTGCGCCCGAGCGTGAGCTGGGAGAGGTGCGGGACGGAGGTGCGTGCGCGCGCGTAGCAGAGCTCGAGCAGCGGCCCGAGCGCGCTCCCTTCCGCGTCCATTTCTAGCACCGGGGTGGGGAGGAACCCGGTTTTTGGGTCTGGTGCGGCGGCGGTGGCGGCGGCGGACGCGGCGGCAACGAAGTCGGCGAGGACGTGGGAGGCCATGGTGAGGATGATGCGGTGCGCGGGGAACTCGTATCCGTCCGTGGAGCGGCAGATGATGTCGGCGTACGGGCGCGCCTGGAACGCAAGCTCGCCGTCCTCCTTAGAGAGCCGGCGCGCCTTGCGTTTGTCGGTGCCTTGCTCGACGTCCGTGGGGTTGGGTTCGCAGAAGGTGAACGTGCCGGGAACGTTCCCTCTCGCGCGGTGGAAGGTCTCGAGGCGGTAGTAGTCTCCGGCTGAGACGTCATTGAACTCTGCGGGGGCCTCCGCTGGAATCTCCCTTCCCAACAATGATGTCGCGGCGGCCTTGGCTTCGTCTTCGAGTCGAAGGAGGCAAGCGGTCGCCCAAGTGCGGAGAGGCTCAGTGGCGATGAAGGAGCGGAGGAGGTCCTTCATGAGCTCGGCTGCTTCGTCCATCTCGTATTTGATTGCTGCGCCGAGTACACAGCGTATGTCGGAGAGCTCTGTGAGTTCTGGATCGCGCGTTGGGTAGCATAGGCGGAGCAAGGGGTCTAGCGTCTGACTGTCCTCGGTTAGCAGGACGACCGGTTTCCCGTCTATCGAGTCAGAGGCCTCGGATTCGTTGGCGTTTGGCTGCGGTATCCCTAGCATGTCTGCAAATATGGGAGAGGCCTCGGCGAGGATCGCGCTTCGTACGAGGAAAAGGGTTCCATCGCTTGACTGCAGGATGATGTCCCGGCCCGCGGGATTATTGAATGGCGCCTGAGCGTAGGTCCGACTTGAAGATGGTGTGCCCGACATGTTACCGGGGGATCTGTGCAAACCAGAATCTCGGTAACCTAGAGCGCGGAAGAAGTGGGAGCACTCACGGTGGCATTGGGTGGCGGTCAGAGACAGACCTTGGAAAGAGCGGCTCTGCTCTCGCACTCCCGGCTCGGCGCTCGAGGCTGTGCTGCTGTGGGTCCACACCAAACCGTCTGTGGATACCGACGCAGCGATGAGACCTACACACACAGCCTGCACAGGAGCAAAGCGACGAGTCGAACGAGCTACAAACTGCCAGAACGAGGCCATAAATTGTATAGCCATCCAGCGAAAGTAAGTGGCGAGACTCATAGACCGAACTTAAGGAGTAAGGGGGCCTGGTTTCGCGCGCTACTACGAAGTTGTACAGGAACTTGAAGGCTGCGGCTCGACATAGACTCGGAAGCCGCAGTGCGACCTCTATAATAGAAGGACCGATGATGTAGTGGCAGACCTTCAACCTGTGGGTAGCATGATGGTCTAGGTATTGCGGACTTCGTCTGAGACAGCCAGAAATGGCAGGAGGGGAAAGCATATATGAAGGAGTGGGCGGGGAAGATTCCATGAAACCGAAAGGCGCAAACCAAGAGAGGATCCCGCACGTGGGTGCGCATCGGATGGTGTGCGACTTTAGTCGCCGGCGCTTGCCCCGGGCCTGTCATCGAAGTAACATAGTATCCAGAAGTTGCGTGCGTTCATGTCACGGCAAGTCAAAATCATACAAAGCGACAGAAGGTTACGATAAGTTCGTGTAAAGTGGTATATGGGATGTTGATTGGTATCGTGGTGAGAAGAGCGAATAAAGTCGTGGGGTCGGGAGCGTCTATGTCACGGACGTCGTAGCATCGTTACTTCGGAGTACTGGAGTTTTGTCATCTTGGATGTCGCGTTGATGTGGATGCTTTCACCATAGGCACCTGACGCGGTTTCGATGATGTTTGTGAACTGGAGCCCTTATTTAGGCGGAATATAAGTCAGAGCCCCACAACCATGCAATGAGGGAAGGCGATTTACCTGACTGGCCGTGTGTGCGCTTTGGAGTGTGCTTGCAACTGCGCATTCCGACTGAACCTTTCATGGCAGTCTTCGCACGTATAGTTGTAGCCTTCTGCCAGTTCACGCCTGACGCTGTAGTGCCTTCGGTGCGCTACGACTCCGAGGTGATGGAGGCAAGCCTGTGAGACATGGACCTGTGGGGCACAGGCGCAATATATGCTTGGTGGAGGGTACCGCGGGTTGCTAAGTGCGACACATGGTCAGTTATGATAAACTGCAGCATGAAGCGGCATCCAGTAAAGTATACCTGAGGCTTCCGAGAGTTGCTTGCGTGCCGGTGAGGCTCTGGCCTCATTGAGAGCCTCCTAGGCAGCCCGGATAGTTGCAAATGTATGGGTACACGACGAGTGAGGCGTCTTTCTTGTTCTGAAGACAGACTTGTCAATGAGGTGTTGACGATGGCGCGTGGAGGGGGCACAAACACGCTTGCGCGGTGAGTCTGGGTGTGGTTGTGGTGTGGGGGGAAGGTTTTCTGACTGAGGGGAGGTGTAACGCCCGGTACTTGTGGACGCCAGCATCATGATGTCAGAGGCGTGTCGTGAAGGTATCGTAGAAGTGTTGAACAGCAACGTCGTGCAACAGACCTACGTGAGCGGGAAGATCACGTCAACAGGAAACGTGGAAGCATTGCATCGAAGTACGCACACCGAGGATGATTTGCGTGGTAATGTGGGCGTCGGAGAAGCACGGTGCAAGTGATATCCGAAAGCGTCCCGTACTTATAGCGCCTCTCGACGACGAGGCGAGGCGGAGCCTACCCGCTCGGCGCTCTCTGCACGGTGCCACTCCAAGCAGCGACCTTCTCGCAACATCAACGCACAAAGGTGAGGCGGGAGGCAACGGTGAGTTCATTGTCGACACAGCAAGCTTCGGCCACAGAAGCACGGGGGGTATTGTTGAGACTGCAGGCACAGACCTGCTTCTATGGCCTGCGCGTGCGGCCGTCGTGTGATGGCGGTCTTGTTCGCGAAGATCTTGATCTCTTACACAATCGCGCTAGGGAGGCCGGTGCCCTATGAACTGATTTACGCTGCCCGAGCTTCAGCCGAGCTGAGAGATGACTCGTGAGCATTTCTCCCCCTAGAAAGGGGAGTTCAAACGAATCCAGCGAGCGCGCTTCCGAGCTGGTGACGTTCAGTTCGTTACAGGGTGTCGCCGACAACAACCGTTGGGAGGCGGTTCCGTAGTACGCTCATGGAGCTCCGTCGCCTGGCGTGGTACGACTTCGATAAGCAGATATTCTGTCTGATCCGAATTCGAACGGTGTCAGTTCTCCCGATGAACTGAGCACCGATGGCGCTCCGGACGACGAGACTGACGCCATTGTGGCAGAATCCGGAGGAAATACACACCTGTATCTTCCGGTGTTCTTGCTGAGGTGGACCATGTTCAATGCCTGCTATGCAAAGCAAACTACGAGAGGGTGAGTTTAGTGGGACGCAATAGCATGAGAAGAAGGAGGGAGCTCTGAACGTGGCAATGTCGGGGTGTGGGCGCACGTGTTTGTGAGACGCGTCGCGCGATGGACTTGGCCCGACTTGGCTGCGTCTCGGATCCAGTCCGCGACGTAAGCATCCCTTTCAGCTTCTGCCGGGTCTGGCTCCCCTTCGTCTCTCTCTCTCTTGTCCTCGTCCACATCCGCCATCCTGCAGTGTACAAACATGGCGCGCAGCCCCTCGTTATCGACAGTGCCCTTGACGCTATTGGGAATACCCCTCTGGTCAGGTTGGACCGCATTGCAAAGGAGGAGGGTCTACAGTGCAACATCCGTAAGTTTTTAGATCCGGCGAGAGCATGGCCCGTCTGAATAGTCTTCTTTTGCGCACGTTCAGTGGGGAAGGTAGAATATACTTCTGCGGGTGGGTCCGTCAAGGACCGCATTGCGAAGCGCATGGTCGAGGAGGCGGAGAAGGAGGGCAAGCTAATCCCTGGCCAGAGTGTTGTTATTGAGCCCACATCTGGGAACACCGGTATGTGTACAAACGATATGCACTGTCTCTTCCTCATACCTGTTCAGGAATTGGTTTGGCTATGGCGTGTGCGATTAAGGTCAAACCTACCACCTACTTCGCAAGTGTAGCTGCTGAATACTACAGATAAGGGATACTCTGTGATTATCACTATGCCCAACAAGATGTCGCTCGTAAGCATGGACACATCCTTTAACCTCTTCCTGCGTGCTCATATGGGCGCCGGGCCTGCCACAGGAGAAGGAAGCTGCACTGCGAGCTTTGGGAGCCGAGGTCGTTCGCACACCTACCGAAGCCGCTTGGGATTCTCCGGAGTCGCATATAGGTAGCGCTATCTTTGCACTGGCACACCCTCTCGTGGCTGAATTCCTCCACGATTGCAGGTGTGGCGCAGCGGCTATGTCAAGAGATCCCGGGAGGTATCATCTTGGACCAGTACCGAAATGTCAGTTTACGGGCTTTCCTTGCGCTCATCTGCGGCATCCTGATGTGCACCAACCCAGGTTAACAACCCTCTCGCCCACGAGTATACCACCGGTCCCGAGATCGTCGAGGCTGTGTCTTCCACCCCGTCCTCGTCATCTCATCCCTCTTCTCAGAAGGTGGATGTGCTCATCGCTGGTGCCGGCACGGGGGCACAATCACCGGTCTCTCACGCGCAGTGAAGAAGAAGCACAACAAAGACTGCATCGTCATTGGCATCGACCCTGTACGTCCAATCCAGTCCAGTCCAGTCCAACCCGTATCCCGCTCTGAACCCTCCCGTCCCACAGAAAGGCAGCATCCTCGCGTACCCCGACGACTTGAACGCCACCGGCTCCGGCGACGCCTACGTCGTCGAGGGCATTGGCTACGACTTCATCCCGGACGTGCTCGACCGCGACCCCGCGACGGTGGACGTGTGGCTGAAGACGACGGACGAGGAGTCGTTCGCCGCCGTGAAGCGCATCATGCGCCTCGAGGGCCTCCTCGTCGGAGGCAGCAGCGGCAGCGCGCTCAGCGGGGCGCTCCGCTGGTTGCACAGCGACGCGGGGCGCGGTGTCGCCCAGACGAAGGGTGCGAACGTTGTCGTCCTCCTTCCTGACGGGTGAGTGCCGCACACGTCGTGCTCGTTTTTGCTTGCAGTGTCGCTGATGGTGCACATGGGAAGCATCCGGAATTACATGAGCAAACAGTGGTTCCTCAAGATGGCGCTGGAGGCCGAGCCCACGCCGCTTGCGGCGCGCATCGCGGACGTCCTCAAGACGTCGAAAAGCGAGGTGCAGACGGGCATGGAGCTCCCCAACGGCGCTCCGGATAAGCGTGGGGTGTAGGATACGGAGACGGATTTCCTGGGTGACTCTTATAGATGTAGACTTCGATAGACTTGCGCGTCGCTACTTCTGGCCTTCCTATACATTGAGCGACGATCAGCGGGAGTATGACTGGTTTCGACAACATTCTTCTTCCGGCTGGTCCTCACATGTCGCAGAGACAACTAGTCGGTTTGTGGAAGGATACCATGCATAAGTCGAGCCCGGAGCAGATGATCACCTGTGGCTGGACAGCAGAAAAGACAACAAGACACAATGCGGATAATAACGTCGACAGGAGTGCGACCATCCCAATAATCGTACACGGCGCGGCTCGGCGGTACAGACGCAGAGTCGTCCTAACGTTCGGATCTCCGGTAAGACAGCACAGAAAAGTAGCAGTACATAGTGAGAAGAGGACAACAAACAGTCTGGCGTAACATGGTGGAGGACGGGATACAGTCGTAGTCTGAGGTGTCACAGAGGGGACTAGGCTGAGGGGATAGTTGGAGACAAGGGGAGAGGGAGAAACATGGCAGATTACGATCGAACGATGCAAGAATGATGGGGGAGCAGTAGAGGCGGGCAGAGCAGAGGTAGGGGGAGAATGGTTTGTCGAGCAGGATGAGGGGGCTAGGCAGAACGACGGAGGCAGGACGGGAGGGCTGGCGTAAGTGGGGTAGATGACGCTCGTGTAGTGAGGTCGGATGCCGAAGCCGATAATCATTCCTACGCCATATAGATGACAGAGCTATAAGGATAGATGGAAGGTATAGATGAAGGATACATATCACTCGTGTGAGAGAGCTTGTGGTGATGCAGGTGGAGAGATGCAGGTAGGAGTGAGACAACCAAGACTGCAAATGAGACAAACCAAACCAGACAGTCATGAAGTGCAGACGCGTTGACGCTTAGAGCGTTTGTTCACCAGCGATCGCCACCAGTGGGACTGCCCATATCTTGCATCCCTGCAAACAGGCCTTCGTAAGAGAGTACTGGGGGGCTCTGGAAGAACCGTGAGAGTTCGTCATCGAACTCATCCCGAACCCTGCTGCCACGAGGACCACGACGTGAGGGAGTACCCATGGGAGATGCGAATCGTGGTAGGCCGTACGATGATCCAGGCCTGCCCGCACTTCCGAAGGGGGATTTCTTGGGGGTACGGGGAGGAGCGCCTGGTGATACAAATAGGGACAAGGGGTCGGCGTCATCCGCGCCTCCCTGGAGAGGAGCACGCTGGGTGAACACTGAGAGGGAGGGGGAAGAAGAACTGAAGGGGTCGCCTGCAGGAGACTTGTGAGGGGAGTAGTTAAACAACTCAGATTCCAGTTGATCGAGGCGGGAGGGAGTAGAGGGAGGGGGGGAGTCGTCGTGTGACCGCGCGTAGGAGTGGTAGGGCGTTCAATCGATGATGATACCATCGTACTGTATACACCATTCTGAGGCGGAGAGCGTTTTGAGCGGGAGCGGGTAGCTTGCTCGGCGATGCGTAAGGCCACCTGCACATCAGAAATGGGAAGAGGTGCTATCGGCCTGGAAAACCAGCGGTGTGCGCTGTGCGGCTCTTCGGTTTGCGTCTAGGGGATGGGGATGTTGGTGGAGGCATGTGTAGCTGACAGCATTTTGTGAGCGAGCTAGAAAGAGAGTTTTTTCCAAAGTCACTCACCGAGTCCAGTTGAGAAGGTCGAGGTTTCTCCGAAGCCAGCATAACTTGATTAGCAACCGAATCATCCTTGAATAGATCGTCGAAGAAATCGCTATCGTCCAAGTTCGAAAACGCTGGAATTGGACAGCTCGCAGCCGCAGGAGATACACCGCGAGAGGTGCCATCGCCTAGGCTTGGATGTGAAGAAGGTGCAGGGCTTGATGAGGAACTGAGAGTCGATACAGGCTCGAGGTCAGGAACGGAGGACGACGAGGGAGGACGCTGGATGGGAGATGATGGATACAGGAGATCTTCCACTTCAGTATCTGTCCCTGGATCTGTAGACGGCTCGGGGATCAATTCACAATCCGACGAAGGATCTTCGGGCAACGGATTCGACGAAACCAAAGGGGCCGCGCGGTACAGGTTCGACGAAGGCGGAAGAGGAGGGAAGATCGCCTCTACTGGGAGCTGTGGCTGTTGCGGCAAGAACGCACTCGAGTAGTAAGGCTGGTGATGAGGATTGGAGGGGGCGAAGTGGGGGAAGAGGGGCGGGAGCATCGGAGTTGGCATGGTCATTGGGGGAGGCTCGGCGACAACCTTCTTCTTCTTGCTCCGGGGGTTGCCTCCGGAATCGGTCGCAACTCGTTTCTTCGGTCCCTTCGACATGGCGGCAGCAGCAACCATATCAGCACAGAGCGTCTTCTTGAATCCACCTCCTTCGAAACAAGGCAAGTCGCAGTCATGAATTGCCCAGAGACTCTTCCCTTCGGCGCGACCTCGCGTCACTTTACGGAAGACCGCCATCGTACTTAGGGCATGCCGGACCGAGTTCATCCATGTCGTCTCACCACGCTTGTAATGTGGGAAGACGGTCGTGATGTACTCATAGATATCCTGCAATGCCAAGGCATGTCCCGGAGAGGCCAGGATAGCACGTCCAATAATGGCAGCATATCCTATGTCGGGCTTGATGGTGGAATATGGACCAGGAGGCAGCATAAAAGGGAGCTGTTCTTCTTTAGGAGGATCTTGCCGCATGGGTCCCGGAGACGAAACCAGATTGATTTCAGGTGGAGGACTAGAGCGAGGCGTGGCAGGGACAGAAGACCCATAAATTCTGCCAGAAGGGGTCTGTAGAATAGAGGCACGGGGAGGAGGCATCTTGAATGCCGTTTTGCCCTTCTTTCGGGACGGTGTTTCGGGAACGCGCTTGGGGTCCTGTAGTACACACGATATGGAATAAATTCGGCGAGCTACAAGAGCAGGAGCCACTGAAATCGCACACGTACTGGTGTCTGTTTGGAAGAGGAAGCGGAGCTCACCACGCGCTCCGAGTAATGCCGGTAGTGATGCGGTGTACCCGGAGGAAGCTATGCCACGACGCGATCAGTCGAGTGCTATGGTGAACAACATATCCCGCACCACGGCAGCCCTAGGAGTATATTCCTCTCCACCAGGACCAGATGAAGCGGCGGTCATCTCACGTCCAGCTGGCGTATGGGATATAAGCACTTGACCACCTCCATGCACTTGACACGAAACAGACCTTTCTTTCCCTCCTCCCGAGCCCTATTCCTCCTCTCTATGATTGCTTCCATCTGGTCGCGCGGCGGAAAGGGAAACCGACTGGTCTCTTGAGCGGATCGCATGGGGGTGCGAGGGCATGCGGGGGAGTGCGCGCGTGAAGACGTTGAACTGGACAGCGAACTGGAGCGGGAACGGGAGCTTGAAGGTCCCGCATGACTCGAAAGGTCAAAAGACGCGAGAGCACACGCGTTTGCGGGCTGGGGAGAGAACGGTTCGTTCTGGAGGAGGCCCTTCATGAGCTCTGCTTGCTTTGCTTGGAATTGCTCGAGGGTGATCCCGAGACTGCTGAGCGTGCGCGACATATTTGCCGTGTTTGACGCGTCGGAGGCCGAGGAGTTAGCCCTCGACTTGCGAGAGGCCATGCCGGGGAGGGACAGGAGGGAAGGCGGAGGAGAGGCGACGCGGGAAGAGACAAGTTGTAAGACACGCTCAGCTGTGGCGGAATGAGGCCGCTTATGTCAGCAATAAGGCTGCCCACAGCCAAAAGCGGCCGCTAGCGAAAGATCTTATCTGTGCCGGAAATAATTGAGCCGTCACGTTGCTTGCCTGTGTGAGCGAGGCGCGCGCGGGTGTCAGACCTGTGTCGACCGCGCGCACATCCTCGTCCTCCCCGCTTCCCTGCCGATGGTGTACCATAATCTGAAAGGTACGTCATGCCCGCCCAGACTCGTATACCCGCTCACACGTTTTTCAGCTCTGATCAAGGGCATTCGCGCGTGCAAGGTCTGTCCGCTCGTGGCGCACACTGCTTCAACCCAGTACTCATCCAAGTAGACTGTCGCAGACGAGCGCGCCCTCATCAAGCAGGAGTCGGCGGCCATTCGGGCATCCTTCCGCGAAGAGGACTCATACGCAAGACACAACAATGTCGCCAAGCTCCTCTACATCCACATGCTCGGCTCCGAGGCCCACTTCGGTCAGATGGAATGTCTCAAGCTCGTAGCCAGCCCTCGCTTTGGAGACAAACGGTTAGGGTACCTCGGGATTATGTTGCTCTTGGACGAGAAGCAGGAGGTATTGACCCTAGTCACGAACTCGCTCAAGAAGTACATCTTCCTCTAATATCTGCTATTTGTCCTGCTCATCCACTCTCAGCGACATGAACCATGCCAACATGTATGCCGTTGGTCTGGCTCTATGCACGTTTGCGGACATTGCATCGGAGGAGATGTCGCGAGACTTGGCCAATGAGATTGAGAAGTTGCTTGGGTCAAGTAACACATATATCAGAAAGAAGGTGCGCTTTCCCGTTCATTCACATCACATCTTTTCTTACCCTCTCCTCCAGGCCGCTCTATGCGCGCTGAGGGTTGTCCGCAAAGTACCAGAACTTGCCGATCACTTCGTCACAAAAGCCAAGAACCTTCTCGCGGACCGCAATCACGGTGTATTGCTCACCGCGATTACACTGGTGACGGAGATGTGTGAGATTGACCCGAACTGCTTGGAGGAGTTCCGTAATGTGCGTATCCCGGATTGATCGTGTGCACACTCCCTCCTTCACGCCTCATCCTCCGCCCAGGCCGTCCCTATGCTCGTACGACACCTCAAAGCCCTTGTTACAACAGGCTACAGTCCGGAACATGATGTCTCAGGCATCACGGATCCCTTCCTCCAGACCAAGATCCTTCGTCTTATGCGCTTCCTGGGTCGCAATGATCCCAAGGCGAGCGAAACGATGAACGACATCCTCGCTCAAGTAGCCACGAACACGGATTCCACCAAGAACGTCGGTAACTCTATCCTCTATGAGACCGTCATGACCGTTCTGGAGATTGAGGCGGATAGTGGTCTGCGGGTTATGGCGATCAACATCCTCGGTAAATTCTTGAGCAACAGGGACAACAACATCCGGTCAGTGCACTCCCTTTACACGGCTCTAGTGCAAGATCACTGACCGTGATGACGCGCAGGTATGTTGCTCTGAACACCCTCAACAAGGTTGTTGCTATCGACACCAACGCCGTCCAACGGCATCGCAACATCATTCTCGACTGTCTTCGCGATGGCGATATTTCTATCCGGCGACGCGCTCTTGAGCTTTCATATGCGCTCATCAACGAACAGAACGTCCGGATCCTCATCCGGGAGCTGTTGGCCTTCCTTGAGGTGGCGGACGACGAGTTCAAGCTCGGTATGACTACTCAGATCTGCCTGGCTGCAGAACGCTTCGCTCCAAACAAACGGTGGCATATAGACACCGTGCTGCGCGTACTTAAGCTAGTATGTTCACGGCCTACCCTTCAACCTTACTCGTGTTTCTGACGTACCCTCCATAGGCTGGGAACTTCGTCAGGGAGGAGATCTTGTCCGGCTTTATCAGACTCGTCGCGCATACACCCGAACTGCAAGCATACACCACCTCGAAACTGTACACCTCGCTTCACTCAGACATCTCGCAAGAGTCTCTGACTTTGGCGGCGACCTGGCTTGTCGGCGAGTACAGTGAGATCATCCTCGAAGGCGGCCTTGTGGACGAAGAGACCCCCAAGTCGGTGGGTGCGGTACATTCTCTGTCATTTGCAACTTTTCTAATTTGTCAATTTGCAGATCACTGATCATGAACTGATCGACCTTCTGATCTCGACCCTCGACTCACCATACGCTAATTACCTCACCCGCCAATTCGTCCTTACAGCGCTCACGAAGATGTCCTCACGGCCAACGACGGGCGCCATGCAGCAGGAGCGAATACAGAACCTCCTTCTGTCGTACACGACGAGCCTCGAGCTCGAAATCCAACAGCGTGCAGTCGAGTTTGCGAGCCTGTTCAACCTCAGCCAAGTCCGCGAGGGCGTGCTCGAGCGCATGCCGCCACCGGAGGTCAAGCAGACCGTCTACGGCTACGGTGCGCCCTATTTCTCTGTTTCTTTCTCTCCTCCCTCTGACACTCGGAATATCTCAACAGGCAGCGAGAAGAAGCCAGTTGGCTCCGTACAGTCCGGCCAGGACGCAACGATGATCGACCTCCTCGGCGAGGACACCACACCAGCAGCGAACGGCGCGCCCGCAGTCGCGAACAGCACCCAGGACCTGCTTGCCTCGCTCTTCGGCGGGGCGGACGCATCCCCTGCACCCGCCGCCGCCGGCTCGCCCGCGCCCCCAGCGCCGCCCACGCAGCGCGACATCGCGAAGGACATCCTCGGCCTCTTCGACTCCCCCAACCCGTCCGGGTCCCCTGCGCCCGCCGCCGCAGCCTCTCCTCCCCCGCCCGCCGGGATGTCAGCAATGGCAGGAATGGGCGGGATGGGCTCCGTGTTCGCGGCAGCGGCGGCGACGCCCGCCGCGCCCTCGCCCGTGCCGGTGGCCCCAGCGGGATACATCGCGTACGACCAGAACGAGCTGAAGGTGACGCTCGTGCCGCAGACGTCGCCGACGCGGCCGGGCCTCGTTCGCGTCGTCGCGAGCTTCCTAGCGACGGGGATGGCGCCGATATCGGGCCTGAACTTCCAGGCGGCGGTGACGAAGACGCAGCAGCTGCAGATGGCGCCGATCTCGAGCGCGGAGGTCGTGCCGGGCAAGATGGAGACGCAGGAGATGCGCGTGCTCGCGCCCGTTGGGGTGCGTCCCTCGTTTATTTTATTTTAGTTTCTTTCGTTTTTTGCGTGCAGGGCTGACGATGTGTATAGGCGGCGATCCGGCTCCGGCTCCGGATCGCGTTCACCGTTGGCGGGCGCACAGTGCAGGACACGGTCGATTTCAACAGCTTCCCGCCCGGACTCACCGGGGGCACGTGAGTGGGTGCGGGGGTCGAGATTTCTGGGTGTGGGAAGCGGAGGTGCATACGGGGTCCGTCGCGTTGGGATGTTATCCTCCCCACTGTCGTCGGGCGCGATGTAGCAACTCACATTCGCTTGTGTGCGCTCTCTAAGTACGTACGTGTAACCTGGCGCTGTAAAGCTTTTCGGAATGTCATGATACGGTCTTTCGCTCTTAGATCGATGACACAAGGGGGACGACCCTGTACCGATAAGAGGCAAGCCCGGAGAAGAGGGGATGCGATGCGGGAGGTATCCCCAGTGCGCGTGCGCTCGCTCTGTTCATTTCTGGAGAACCAATAAGTGACTCATGTGCAATTAGTCGCCTTCGGCCAGGCCCTGCGGCTTATTGTGTTCTCCGTGTTCACGTTCAATTATAGCAACCCTCCGCCCATCATGTTTTTCCGATCTCCGACAAGTCTGTATTAGGTAAATTCCAAATTTACATCATAAGAATTGTGTGTGCTCTCGGATTGGAGCGAGAACACGATAAACGAGGATGGGTAGGAGCCTGAGAACACCCAGGCAAATCTCCCGGCCCACGCCGGGTTCCACCCCTCCTGTACCACCGTCGCGCACCACAAATGCAGTCTCCGAGTCAGCTCCTCGCCAAGCTGCTTCTAGTCTTCGGGCTCGGGTGTGACACTTCATTCAGTCACCTATGAGGCTCCTGACAGAGGTGCTCGCTTGTTGGTTTCAGGCGTCGTGGTTCTCGTCTACAACTGCACCTTCAAATTCTTCCACCTATGATGCGTGGGTCGCACGATACACTCAGACCTCGACGCTCAGATGGAGCAGCAAGTACTGTCGTCCAAGCCGACTCAGAGGCCCGCACTCACTCGCACCTTCATTTCAATCATAGTGCATGAGAGGAAGAGACGAGCAGTCAAACGGAACCCGCCAAGCATAGAGCACGTCGACCAAATCAAGCCGAGTTGAGTAGTAAATGCCAGTACATTGTGCCAGTCCAACCCTGTTCGAACACTGACTGAATGCAAGCAGATATGCGACTCATACTCAGCTGTTATATGATACATCGGGATACATGTACATCGGAGCTTATATTTATCTAAAACACAGAACTCATCCCCAGAGGTTCAAGACCTGCGCGGGCAAATGATCCACGTAACGCCCGCCCTGAACGGGCGTGCTCGCCAGGATCTGGCCAATCTCCGTGAGCTCGGCGGCGGTCAGCGTGATATCCGCCGCGGCCAGGTTCTCGAGGTTGCGCGTCTTGACCCTGCGGGGCGAGGAGCACACCATCAGTCGCGATGCTACGTCGCAGGAGGAAGAGCGGGAAGGTACTTACGACGAGCCGGGGATGGGGACGACGTGGTCGCCGAGGGACGAGACCCAGGCGAGCGCGAGCTGCGCAGGGGTGACACCCTTGCGCGCTGCGAGCGCCTTGGCGGCGTCAACGAGCGCGGTGTTGTGCGCGAGCTCGGCCTCCTGGAAGCGGGTCAACATGCGGCGCATGTCTTTCTCTGTGCAGCATTTCGGAGCATCAGCGCACGGACGGCGGTGCAGACGGCATGTTGCGACATACCGGACAGGTCGGCTGGGCTCGTGATGGTCCCGGTGAGGAAGCCACGCCCGAGGGGACTGATGGTTGGGTGAGCGGCGACATAGAGAATGGATGTCAGTGGATACATACGAGTACGCGGCGACGACGATCCCGAGCTCCTTGGCCGTGGCGATAACCTTCTTAGTCTCTTCCTCGTAAGACCACAAGCTGACCTCGATCTCCACAATGCTGATCGGCGTGATCTGAAAAGGCGCAGTCAGCTTTCGGCCGTCTCCGGAGCATCAATCAAATATGCTCACCGCATGCGCCTTGCGCAGAGTCGCAGCACTGCACTCAGACATGCCAATGTGCTGGAAGTGACCCTCGTTCTTCAACGCGATGAGGGTGGCAAGCGCGTCCTCGAGCGGGACGTCGGGGGGAACCCGCGCACACTCGAACAGGTCCATCTTCTTCGTCCCGCCGAGCTGCACGTTGATATCCAGCACCCCAGCCCGGAGGTTCTCAGCGCTACAGAGCACGTCCATTTTAGACTAAGATAGACGAAGGATGGTGGAAGAGAGGCGCACGAGGAGTCGGGCACCATGTGCCCGGGTTTCAGGCCGCCCTTGACGGAAATGAAGGTCCTGTCCGCGTACTCGGGGTACTTGGCGTAGAAACGCGCGAGGAGTTGCAGGTTCGCAGGGCCCAGGTTCGGGCCATAGAAGTGCCCTGCGCGGACGCAGTGGCTAGGTGAGCACACGAGAGTCGCAGGAAGGGACAGAGACGAAACTGACCGCTGTTGAGGAGCATCTTCACGCCGGCGGGCATGGCGTCGACGCCGGCCTTGATCGCCTCGAACGCGTCTTCGTCAGCGAGTGGGCGGTCTTCGGCGCGCCACCTGAGTACGAAACGGCACACTGTCAGTCGTGGACGTATTACGAGTGGATGAGAACATTGGAGGCTCACGTCATCATCATGAGACCGTGCTGAACGACGAGGAATGGTTGTCAGCGTCGATGGACATAACACTCCGTGAAAAGTTGAGCACTTACCCCGATCTTGCCGATGGTAGTGGCCGAGGCGCCAGAGCCAATAGTAGCTGTCTTGGGAGACATGGTAGCGTGTTGTAAAATGCCGGAAGTGTTTCTGTGGAGAGGAGGGTTGGAGTCGAGGGTTCTGGTGGACGTTGGGCGAGCTCGAGCTCTTATGTACCACTTACCGTCGATACATCCCGGTCGGGAGATACGACTCAGCATGTGCGCATGTGCGTGCCTTGCGCTGACAGCCGGGACGTCCTGCCGAAGCGTGATGAACGAAGCTACCCAGCGCACGCTCAGATAGAATTGTGGGTAGGCCAGCCAAAACCCCAAGACTTGAAACGGTTGAATCCCGAATCCCGATCGGCATACTTCAGCATGCGTGGCACCATCGATACCATCAAATCGACAGCCGGGGAAACGTGTACACCTCCTTCAACCGGCACTGTCTTCTGCAGGAGGAGTCGTACCGTGTACGTAGCTCGGAGGAGAAGTGGGTCACTCGCCGTAACCAAGCCTATGCTGGAAGTGGACCGGAGCTTCAGTCGAGTTGTTTGTAGTGCAGAAAATGATAGCGACATACACCAATCTTGCATGTAGTGAGGGCGGGATCGCCACATCCGACTTTGACGGCACCGGAAGGCATTGCAGTATGGGAAATTCTGTTCAGCTGCGGGGATGCCGGACTCGTGGTGAAAGCTGGACCCCTGTGCACGAGTAGTGTATGTATGCCCTTACGACGCACCTACATTGGTCCTGTCGTGCATTGGTTGGATCGTCCGCATGACTTCAATTTTATATGCACGTAAATGATCCGACGAGGGCGAAGTACAGCGGCACACTGGGTTTAACTTGAACTTGTCACCGTGAAGTTGCCAGACCAGCGGGCGCCTGAAAGTGATTACGTATAAACAACGACACCGTGGCTGAAGCGCTGAACGTCGAAGGTCTCGTCCCTGGGAACGAGACCATCAAGTCGAAGCCGAACGTCGAGACCCGACCTGTAACAAAACTATGATCAAGCAACTCGATATAATTTAATCTTGACTCTGGAGATTGCTAATGGTTTGAGTTTGTTGCGAGCGTAGCGATCAATTCAGTGCTTAGGGCGTGAGTACTAGTAAACATAAGTCAACTACATCGTGGCAGTGTAGTGCGTTGCTTCTAGTACCGGTCCACCTAGATTCCGATGCCGCCGTGTTCTCTGCGCATGTGAGCGTACACGCCCCCACGCCCCCACCGCTGTCGACGTCCCCGGACGTCTTCATGCAGACCCAGCACATGTCCCTCGCGTACGTCATGTGGTTGTACCCCCAGGTCCGCCCCGCACCCGGGGCACGCCTTGATCCCGTTCTGCTCCCTTCACTCGCGGAACGCTGCGTGGCTCCCAGAGGCGTCGTCCCGGTGCTCCGCGCACGACAAGCCTGTGTGATGCTCGACGTGGCGCGCCGCGCAGACGCGTGCGGCGCACTATTGGCAGCGCACGCGCGTCGGGACCGTACGCGCGCACGGACACGCGCGGGACCGGCGCGCCCTGTGCGTCGCGTGCTGCGCGCCCGGCGCGTCGAGCTCGGCGCGGAGCGCGACGTATTGCGCGGGCGGCAGCGCGTACTTGACCGCGTGCACGGGCTCAAGGAAGACCTGGCTGTTGCGGAGGAAGGGCTGCTGCGTGCCGTGGAGGTTTGCGACGGCGCGCGCAGCCGCGGCGGGGTCCGCGAACTGCGCGAAGGCGACGAGCTTCGCCGACGGCTTCTTGTGCGCCTGCGGGGAGGGCTCGATGGGCTCGAAGGACTCGAGGGGCCCCGCGCGGGCGAGGAGGTCGTGGAGCCGCCGCTCTGCGCCCGCGCGCTCGAATCTGGGGTTGCAGGGCACGGCTGAACCGCTGGATGTGAGGTGCGTCGGCGTCGAGGTTGATCTCCACGGGGAAGTTCCTCGTCTGGTTCCGTGTCGGGGTTTGGAATGAGGCGCGAACGGGGTGCCCGTCGAACGGCTCCCCGTTGATGCGCGCGGCCTCCGTCTTGGCCCGTGCGATCGAGGAGTAGTGCGTCCAGGCGATGCGCGTGGGCGCGTACCGGCTGAGCTTGACCTTGGTGCTCTGCAGGACTGCCTTTCCGCTCTCCCGCGCGCGCAGGTCGAGCCGTGCGGTGGGGTGGCAAGGCTCAGCGATGTCGACGATCTCGGCGGCGGCGCGCGAGGCATCGAAGGCGTTGAGGTACTCGATGCGGGCCGACCCTCGAGAGTGGGTGTCACGCGCGGGAGTGAGGATGCAGGTCTTGAGGTCACCGCAGCGTTCCACCAGGGCGATGAGCCGGGAGTGTGAAGTGGAAGCGGGTAGGTTGTGGACGAGAACGACACAAGACTCAAAGCTGGTTACGATGCTCTCGATTGTTGGGCGTAGAGATGAAGGGTGCCAGAAGGGACGTGTTTCCCCTTTGTTGCATCGACCTTGCGCGTAAAACCTGCAAGACTCAAAGCCAGGAAATTGAGGCGCCGGGTTTATATCTTCAGACTTCGACACAGGGTTCTCGAGTCATCGTCAACTTCGGCTTTGTATCGACCCAGCGACTCTGGAACACTCACCTCGAATGGATCCCCCCCGTCCTACAACATTGCGAAACTCGGGGAACGGGGGAGCGAGTCGAGCTGACTTGGTCACCTGAGGGTGTGTTTGTGTATGACCATAAGGTCAGGCGTCCCCTGCCGAGCATAATCCTCGAGCAAGCAAGCAAAGACGGTGGGGCGGGCCAAGCCCGTGGCATGTGATGCTCCTCCGCCGCCCTAGTACTTACTTTCCTACGATGCCCGTGTTAACCCCCCCCCTCCTACGCCACGACCCCCCTGTATACACCGCGTTCTATTGCACGTCCTTCTCTGCTCTCCAGAAGAGACAACAACAACCAAAAAAAGATGGATCGCGGACATGGGCGAAGCGCCTAGCGCTCAGAGTACCGTCCGCGCGGCGAAACACTGACGACTTTAGGGAGGCTGGCTCAGAAAGGTCATGGACGAATCGATAAAGCTTGTCAGTGTGCATGCTAGCTGGTGGGGATACATCTCGTCGAGCGGACTGTCCAGGGTATAGCCTACACGTGCAGCGACCCCGGGTATCATGATCAGGTGCCTCCAATGTCCATAAATACGGCCCTGGACGCGCATCGTACACACCGGCCACCTGTGCGGCGCGGGCTCCAGGTACACTGAATGAGGGAGCATGCGGATCCCCAATCTCCGCATTCCCTCCACCGCCCTGCGCCCTGCGCCCGGGGCTCTGACACTCCGAGGGGCCCGGAGGCTGGGCGGAGGGCGCATAGCCCCGAGGCTAGCTAGATCGGCACCGTGCGGCGTGAGGGATGAACGCGGCTGGAAACGGAGGGTGGGGCACGGGACCCCGAGGCCCGCGCTCGGCGGACGGGCGGCCTACACCTCTGAGCCGCGCCGGCTGTCGGGCCCGTACGGCGGCGCGCCCTTGACCTCCTCCGAGGGGCGGTAGGCGTACGCTTCGGCGGCGCCGGTGGCGGACTCGAATGTCTGCAGGTGGATCGCGCGGTCGTTCGGGGTGATCTTGGGGCTGCCCGCGGAGCGGATCGTGCTCGACTGGCCGGTCTGTGCGAGGGGCGCAAGAGGAGGTGAGGGGCCGTGGGCAGGGAGCGGGTGGGGTAGGGGAGGACGCACGGAGTGGGAGCGGCCCGTCGCGGCCTGCATGGAGGAGAGCACGGTGGACAGGTTGCTCTTAAGCGCCGTGCGCGCGTTGAGGCTCGCGAGGAGCGAGTTCGCGTAGACTGCGCGGGCGGGCGTCAGCGTGGACGCGGGGCGCACGGTCGGGCGCACGCACGGTTTCCGATGACGGCGTACACGCCGATGTACGCGAACCCGACCCGGTCGATGTAGTGGTTCTGCAGGCAGGGGGTCAGCTTCGCTCGCGACATCCCGCACCGCACCGCCCCATCACAGCACAGCCCCCAGACGCAAATCCGCGCGCGAAGGCAGGGAACCGGGGGGCGGTCCGCGGAAGAAGGAAGGAAGCGGGAAGTGGGCAGTGAATCAACGCACCAAGATGATCACCGCGACATCAGCCAGGCTGCCATCAGCGCACGGGCATCAGCGGACGGGCCCCACACAAAGCAAGTAACGTCGCGAAGCGTGATGGCGTGCTCAGCACTCACACAGTGATCGCCCCCACTTGAATGGCGTAGAACATGAGCAGGTTGATTATCCGGTTTGTTCTGGCCGGCACGTGAGCGGGGGTCGAGGGTGCACGCTGAACTGAGGGCTCACCGCGAGAACCCGGTGCGGGTCCGGCTGAGGAGGAAGACGAGGCATGCGGCAATTGCGACGTCGGTTGCAATCGCGGTGGCGAGCGCGAACGGAGCGAGGACCTGTTAACAGGGAGACCACACAGATGGGTGAGTGGGCAAGAACGGCGAAGTTGTAGACCCACAGTCTGAGCCCCACCGGTGTAGTCATTGATGTTCGTCGCCTGAGCACTACAAATGCGGTGTGAGTGCTGTTCTAGGCATGGCCTGGACGCCGTGTATGAAAGGTACTGACAGATTGACGAAGGTCGCTGCGGGCGCGTTTAATACTGGAAAGATGTAGAGGAGTCATAGGGCGTACCGGTACCCATGCCGAAGTTCCAGAAGGTGAGGACGACCTGTGGCGATGAATGGAGCCAATGGTGATGGGAGCAAGTCAGAGTACTTACCACAAGGCCGGTTAGGACTGGGCGCATCCATCCCACACTGACTAAGACACGGTCAGATCGTTCGGCAGGTCTAGGACTGGATGCATACACATATAGATACGCCACGCGAAGTAGAGATGGCCAAATAGCTCGCCAATGTTCTATGCGTAACGTGCGTTCAGGATGTGGAGAGGGCACTGGGTTTGAAACCACTTACGGTGGTGATGACAATTGACTGATGTGATTGTGGGAATAAATATTAGTACCCCAGCGAAGATGGAGCGGAGGATGGGCTGACTGACACTCAAACTCCTACACAAGTGAAGAAGAGTTTTATCGATAAATGGAAGGGTGGAATTTGACAGAAGAGGCGCACCATACGATTCCTTGCAGGCCAAGGACGTTGCCCCAGTTCAGGACGAGGTAGTAATAGACGGCGTGGGCGGTAAATGTCGACCGAATAAACTCGATAGCTCTGCAGGACGCGATGAGCGGACGGCACAAGGAGGCACGGATAGATATCACGTACACAACACAGAAGACCTGAAAAATGAACGGATGGTGAGGGGAGAGGTAGCAATGGGGGCTGAGAGGAACAGACCATGAGCTTGATCCATTTGGGATCCTCCGGGAAGCTGTTGTAGTAGAACCATGCCTGAAGGACGGTAGCGCCGAGGAGGCTGAAAGAAGACGTAAAGGTGAGACAGTAAGCGGATGGAAGAGGGCGGGGACTAACCCCATGGATGCCAAGCTGCCGATGTACGCGGCACCAAACGTGTTGTGGATGTCGACGAGGGGAGTGCCGGGTGGCAAGATCGGGAAGGCATCCATGATGGAGGCGTGGTTGACGAGGTCAGGGTCGCGGGGGAGGAGACTAGCGGGCTTAGCAAGGGGGACGGGGGAAGGCCGGCGGATGACGCGGGCTTTGAGTATTACTTATAGCTGGGAGGCGTCTCAGGGATTGGCGCATCGCGATTGCCGTTAAACTTATTACGACCAGGAGCGCGTGGTGGCCGCTCTTTCTCGGCGCCCCGGACGGATGGCGGAGTCGAGGCCGGACACCTGCCAGCTGGTGGTTGCCAAGATGGGCTAGACGGACAGAATATCAGTCGGGAACGTCGCCGGTAGTGATACCTCGCTCGGCCTCGATATCGCTCATCAGAGTGTTGTGCAAGCGGCGGGCGCTGATCCGCCCCGCACTGGACGACCGCTGCCTCTTGCGGCGCCCGTTCCTTGTTCTCGAGCTCGTCCTGGCCGGGTCTTCGCGAGATCTTCCTCGTCGGACATTGATCCTCGCCACGCTGCCATCCCCGCGGAACTTTGGTCTCATATATACCTCCGTCCTCAGTCACACGAATGTCCCATGTAAGCTTCTTTCAAACATGTTCCATGTCCACCTTCAGGCACGATGACCTTTTCGCCGCCCATGGCCCACGCTGAGCTTTCCGCGCCCCGTCGCTGCCTGCTTCGGCGTGCGGACCCCCGACTTGGTCCTCTTTCCAATCTCTCCGCCGGCGGGACGCGCCTTTGAGGGTGGCAAGATCGCTCGCATCATCTTTTGCAATCACCGAAGCCCTCCAAGCGCCCACCGCTTCCCCGCCCTCCACGCTCACCACGGCATGCTCCCCAACCCTCCTCTCCTCCCGCGCGAACCCACCCCTCCGCCCCTCAAACTTAGCCGTCTCTCCCCACCGCCTTCCCCCAGCCCCTGCCCTCCCCGACCATGTCCTCCGAGCCCTACACCGAGTCCTGGCGCGACGGCCCGCTCGCCACCAAATTCTACACCCGGCTCTACCTCCCGCCCGCCGGCGTCGCCCCCGTCGCCGTCCTCACCTTCGTCCACGGCTACATCGAGCACGTCGGCCGCTACACCGCCGCGCACGCCGCGTGGGCCGCCGCCGGCGTCGCCGTGTTCGCCTACGACATGCGTGGCTTCGGCCGCACCGCGCTCGGCGACGCCCGCAGCCCGGCCAGCCAGTACGGCAAGACGGGCGGCGTGCGCGAGCGCACGATGGAGTCGACTGGGCGGTGCGCGCCGCGCGCGCCGCGGTCCCGGGCGTCCCTGCCTTCCTCATGGGCCACTCCATGGTGCGTTTCTCCCGTTGTGTGCGCGTCGCGCGGCGCAAGGGCCGGCGAACGCGTTGCTGACCGCACGCGTAGGGCGGCGGGCTCGCGCTCAGCTTCGTCACGCGCGGCGCGGACACGCCCCCGGAGCAGAAGGAGACGATTGCCGGCCTCGCGGCGTGATCGCGTCCAGCCCGCTCGTGGGGGTCGCCCGCCGCCACCAGCCGTACATCGTCCGCAAGCTCGCCGTCCTCCTTGGGAAGCTCGCTCCGAACGCGGTCATCAAGACGCCTGTGCAGGACAAGGTGCGTCGCGTCCGCGTTGCCTGTGCCATCTCTGGACTGAGCGGGAATCGTCTCCCCGCAGGACCTCTCGCATGACGAGAATGTCGGCCCCGATAGCTTGAAGGACCCGTACATCAAAGGTTACGGCAGGCTTGAGGGCCTCATTGACATGATTCACCGGGTGGGTCGTGCTGACGCTTGATTGCGTCTTCCTGATTGACATCGCTTGTGCAGGGCGAGGTTCTCATCTGGGAGGGTTACAAGTTGTGGCCTTCAGACGATTTACCGGTGAGCCATACACCCATTACAAGATACAAAACACCCGAAGCTCACTTTCCTTGCTTAGGTCCTCATCCTCCACGGTACAGCCGACCAAGTGAACGCGTTCCCGCCGACGAAGAAGTTCTTCGAGATGCTCCAGGCGCCCAACAAAGAGTTCATCGTTTACGAGGTACGGGTCGCTTCTCTCCCCGCGCGCCCGCGACCACTCTTGCTGATCCGACGTGGTACGTGTCGCAGAACATGATGCACGACCTCATGACAGAGCCCGAGATCAAGGAAAAGTACTTCCAGGACTGCCTCTCCTGGGTCCAGAAGCACCTGTCCCCTCCCGCAGCTCCCGCGGGACCCGCCTCGGATTCAACCGCGCCGGCCGTCTGAGCTGGGGCTGCAGCAGCGGCTCGTCTAGTTTCTATGATACCCTGTTGGACGGGAGGTTCGTGTGGCCTGTATTGTCAATGGTATACCAGGATTGTTTGTACTGCTGCATTTTTTCTTGTCGTTGACTTGCAGAACGCGTTCGGCCCCAGGCTGGTGATGCCGTGTGATCTGCATGCAGTTATGCTATGCTCTGCGCGGCGCCTTCGAAATTCGTGAAGATGCGTCGGGTGGTATTGGACCTGGATGAGCAAGCCCGACGAATCCTATTTTCGTATGGGACCCAGCATCAGATAGCAAACCCTGGCCGCCTTCGCGCCGCTGGCGAAACGGGGCTCGATCCCTGGTTTCACCCGTGCGACCTTGGGGCTCGTTCTGCGCCGAGAACAGAAAAGGCTTCATGTGCCTCCCACCAGAAGTTCCATCGGAACGCAGTCGTGGTCGACCAAAAGGTGGTGCCCGTGCCCTCGACATCCCCGAGACCAGACCACCTCGACCCGCTTGCCGAGTACTTCGATCACCTTCTGGGCTCGATCGTGGCGAAAAAAGCAGTGCCGCCGTCATTGGACCCAATCCAGGGGGCGGGCCGGGGCTTTCCGGCCGGCCCCCGCCTCGTCCGATCGAGTTCTCCGACAGAGATTCCAGGTTCTATCTGTCAGGCCTTCAGGACCGGCCCCCGAGGGACTGAGGAGGTTCGGAGGCCGACGGCGAGTTGCGCGACGGCGCGGGATAGCGTCGCGCGGACAGCAGATGGAGCGGCTGCGCCGCTGGTCATGAATGGGCGGATCGCAGCACTCAGGCCTCGCTGGGCCTCATGCATACTGCCAACTGGTGTCCGCGCGACAAGACAAAGACAGAGAAATCCCGTGGGGTCCGGCGTGGGAGGCCCGGGCGTAATAAGGATGCCGCGGGGCGCGTCGGAACCCGGGACCCCGTACCCTGCACCCGGCACACCGTCCTTGTGCGCAGGCTCAGGGTAGCAGTCGACGCCACCGCCGAGGCGGCTGGGCTGGTCACCCGTGAGCTGTCCCTGTTCGAGGCGTTGGTACTTCCGTGCTTCCCGCGCCGCACACCTTCCGCGCTGCATTGCGCGGAGAGGGCCACTCCGGAGTGGGAGACCGAGAAGCACGGACTGTGATTCCGGAGATGCTCCGTTCGGCGAACATGGTTCGGGCGTTCCTGGTGTCGGACGCGCGTGACGCTTTCTCGTCGGACGAAGACACCGACAACAGTAAGTGATTGGGTTCGAGGCGGTTCTGTGATATATTGGAACTGAGGAGACCCTTGGCGGCTGCGCAACTGCTGCGTACAGACAGATGTCGCAGAACGCGCGGGGATTCCAAGAACCACTCATCCTCAGAAAAAGCATCAAGGGATCCAGAGCTGTAGAAAGGCATCATGAACATTCGGTTCTCACTGAGTTGGGGACTTATTTTACTACCTCTGACCTGACGCTGACGGACGCTGTGAGCGTTGTGGCGGCCGCCCTTCGCCGCCGGGACCTGCGCGATATCGGCGTAGGCACGACGTCCGCCGCGGCGAGGCTCTCGAGCTTGCCCTTCTTGTACCTGCACATACTTCAGCTGGGTCTGGGGACGGGAACGATGTGGCTCCCAACGAGACGAACCATACGAGCGCGAGATGAGACTCTTGCGCTCGGCGATGAACTCGGCTGCGCCGACGAGCGCGAGGAAGCTGTGCTTGAAGAGGTCCCACGGCGAGAGGCGAGAGACGCCCGGGCGAGTCATCGAGGTTCTCGATGGTACCCGCGAGGAAGCCGCGCCCGAGCGGCCTAGAAGATTGGCTGCAGAGAGGTTAGAGTCTGGGGTCTACGAGTAGAGCGCACTGCAGTGGTTAAGGCTTCTCGTGACTGCAGATCCATGCAGCGACGGCTTTGGAAGCGAGTCCGTTAGCTTCGGCCTGCCACAAGCGATTTCATCAGTGAGCACCTCGCATTCAGCAGCATACGACGAAAGATACGCACTTTAAATAGAGTTTTAAAAATAGAATAACCGCGAGTAATGAGCCAGGGAGTGGTCTCTCCTCAAGTTTTCGCTCAAGTATGCCAGCTCACAGGCGCTCGTGGGCTATCGCCGTGGGCGCCTCGCTCGCGGCAACCGCTTACCAGTCTGAGTGAGTACCTGGCCAGCAATGCTCGCCTTCGCACCCTCCGATGACTCCGTGCCCCCATACGGCTACTTTGTCACATTGTGAGACGCATTTAATCCGACGGACGTGGGTGCTGACGCGGCATGAGGGTGAGAGGAAGCCCTTTCCAGTGAGCAGCTGCCGCAAGTTCGCAACCTGCTGGTTGGCAATGACAGATATGTTGTTGAGGCGCATCTTTGCAAGCATTCGCGAAGGCGACTGCGCGTTCTCGTAACTCCAAATGCGTTTGGATGAAGGCATCTACCAATGCGGCTCTGGTTAGCAAACGACATTCGCCAAGGGACAGCGGCCCATGGCCATTCAGATGCCAAGCAGGGACGTGGGGGAGATCTACAACATACAGGGTTTGAAGAGCCTTGACTGTTGTGCCATTGGTTCTGAGGGGTCAAATCGTTGACATCCTTCCAACGTGCCGTTCTGTCGCGGACATCCCAGAGTTCATGGGTACCGCGGCGTTGTAGCGGCGCGATTTCGACGGCTAAGTATGGCGACCAGATTCTCAAGCAGCCGCTTCTTTCCCCTGCAAACTCAAGTCCTTATTGAGGCCGCGGACACGGCGTCCGAAGTCGGTGACTCACGAAGTACCAGGGATGGGGATGTATTCTTCGAGAGACAGCCTGCGAGAGTAGGCTGAGAGATAGTGACACCTTTATTTTCTGCGACGCCCCGAGAAGCGTTGGGCGCGAACGCTTGGACTGGCGGCGGCTGTTGGCGGCTGGGTCAACTGAGCCCAATTGTGAACCACTCGCCGTGAGGAGGCCGAGCTGGAACTTAGTTCATAGTCTCCTCTTCGCAATGTCACCGTATAGTCACATCATTTTGTTGTGGAAGCTAGGAAGAGATACGGAAGCAGGATAAGAGTCGTGATCAAGGAGAAGGAGTACTTAAAGAAGACGCGAAGAGCGCCTCGGGTGTCAGAGGTCCTCCAGACTCGGAGTTTCCCGAGCCACGTCGGAAGAGCGCCCATAATGAGCCTCCCCTTGTCCTTGTCCAGCACAAAGACGTTCTCAGTTCTCAGCCCTTCTCTCTCGTGGCGCACACTAAACACACTTGCGGGGTTCTGGGATAAGGGGACGATTCTTGATGTATGCCACCCATCTGGCAGATAGACCGCTCGTTGGCGGATGACTGAACGTTCTTCCCTAAGCCGGCAAATCATGGCAGAGATGTGAGATCGTCAAGCTCCCGAGGGACAGCGGGCGCGTCATAATCATCCGTTCATCACGATGTGCCGCAGCATAAGAACGTCTCTCCCCCGACAGGACTTCCGACTAGCATTCAACTCCAGAGTCTCGTCGTTCACTCGATCTTCCCTGCAGTTCAGTATGTTTGGGTGGTCGACCGCGATGGACACTCTCAAGGCGTTCCTACTCTCAATCCCGGCCATCTGCTTCCTCCTCGTACTCGTCCCCCCAAAGCGCGCCAACGAGAAGACTAGCATCTACAAAGGCCAATTTTTTGAGTATGTCGTTCGCTTCTTGTCATCCGCAGGGAGCGTGAGTATTCAATGGTCCCACATCCGCCTCCTTCCTGTGCTCATCCTTCCGTAGGCCGTCGCTGTCGCTATCACTTTAGGCCACGCGATCACCATCCTGGCTCTCCACCAAGACTTCGCCCTCACACGGCCTCTCGTTCCCTACACATGCCCGGCCCCCCCTCCATCGCTCGACGTCCTCGCCGCCTACACCCCAAGTTTCGTCCTCGGCATCGTCCTATCCGCCGCGGGGACCCTCGTCCGCCTCTCCGCCATGCACCGCCTCGGCAGCCTCTTCACCTACGAGGTCGTCATCAAGCCCGACCACGCGCTCGTCGCGAGCGGGCCCTACGCACACGTCCGCCACCCGGGCTACACCGGCGTCGCGCTCCTCCTCCTCGGCACCCACCTCGTCTTCTGGGACCCGGTCGCGGGCTACGTGCCCCGGTGCGGGCTCGCGGGCGCGCCGCTGCTCGTCGTCCCGCCGCTGGCGTCCGCGTTCGCCGTGTTCTCGCTGTACCGCCGGTGCGCGGTCGAAGACGCGCAGCTGCGGGCGCGCTTCGGCGAGGGGTGGGAGCGGTACAGGGACAGGGTGCCGTATTGCATGATCCCACATGTGTACTGATCGGTCGAGGTCGCCCGGTGGCGTAGATAAGAGTGACTTAGCACGGAACGGTAGAGTGGGAAGAGGAGGAGGAGGCGGGTTATCATGTTATGTTTTGAGACATCAGTGTGGGCGTCCGCCGTCGACGTGATCCCAGTCGTGGGCTGATGAGTACGTGTGGCAAGTATTAGTCGGCGGCGGAACAGTCTGCGCCCGCAGCGCGGTATTTGTTTTTCAAATTCCTGCTCCCGAAACATACTCCTTGTCTATTTACAGTGCAACGGAACGATGAAGTTCTCGAAGCGTCTTGGCCAAGGATGCTCGGGGTGAAGCTCACGGCCACCATGAAGCTGTCTCCGCAGGACGTATGTCATCTGGAAAGTAAAATATGGTACGGGAGGGTCATCGGCGTGACCTTCTTCCGCTGTGGACGGAAATCCCTCGGGGCCATTCAAATCGGACTTGGTTTGAGGTCTGGAAGTGAACGTCGGACGTTCCATAGCCATCTGCCGTTAGTTTTAAACTCTCGCATTCCTTGGTTTACCAGATAATTACATGCTCTATGATCTCGAACTGACGACATGATTACACGATGGACAACCACATGCATACAATACAAATGACGACGGCCCCCGGCGTCGACGAGTCCAAACTCAGACAATACAATACATACGAGGAACATTGCAGTCGCGCAAGCATCGCGATCCTTGGGTCATGGGACATCTGAGCATATGACTCTCTCATGGCACAAAGTCTAACGTCCCAGACGAGACTGGTGAGCAGGCGAACTCAACAGCGGTGAGACTGTGACCTACCATCCTCGTCCAGCAGCGTATCTTCTTCGAGGCACGCCTCGATAAACTCGGCAATGACGACGTGGCGCCGCTTCGGCTTCGATGTGCGCTTGATGAGCTCCTGCCGCCGACTGTCGTCGCGCTTGTCGACCACGATGTGCGTGAGCTTGGAGTCATCGAGGCCGGAGACGCGGCCCCCGTGATCGGTGATGGACTTTGAGATCTCAGCGAGGCTGCAAAGACGAGGGGGACATGCGTGTCAGGAGAACGCCAGATGAGGAGTGGAAGGTGGAAGGGAGCCGAACGCACTGCTTCTCGATAGTCGCCTCGTGCTTGCCCTTCGTGGTCATGCCGTTCGCGCGGGCGTTCGTCGGTGAGTCGACGTAAAAGCACCTTAAGGACCCAGCAGTCAGTGTCTCGACATGCGAAGACCCCCTTCGCCAATGACTTACAGATGCTTGAAGATGAGGCCTTCGTCGTAGTGCATCGCGCCGTCGTCCACGCCCATCTTGACGTCCTCGTCCGCCTCCTCTGCCTTCACGCTCGCCTGCGATGCGCGGTCGACCTGCTCCCAGTCGTCGTCGAACGCGTCCGCGTCCCCGCGCGAGTCCTCGTTCTCCGAATCCGCATCGAGCTCGTCCACCTCCGTCTCGCTGCCGGAGTCGGACCCGTTCTCCGCCTTGTTCTTCCCCTTCCCTTTGTCCGAGGACGCAGCCGAAGAAGCGTCATCCTGCGCGCCGACGTCGAACCAGCCGCGGATGGGCGTGCTCAGCGTTCGCGGAGGCGGCGCCGACTCCGTCTCGTCCTCGTCCTCTTCGGGCTCGGTGTCGGAGTCGTCCGCCGCGGTGCCGAGGGTGACGGAGCGGTCGTCCTCGGGGTCACCGTGTGCCTCCGGTTCTTCCATGCTTTCGTCGAGCGCGGCCTGGAACTCGTCGGTCTCTTGGCGCGCAGTGGTGGCGTGGAAGAAGTAGCCGGGGTGAGGGGGAGGATCTCCTTCTTCGCGACACAGTCGATGATCCAGCTGGGGCGGATGATGTCGCAGATGTCCTTGTTCATGACGAGCTTGAGGTCATATGCTGCGTTTCGCAAGGTTGTTAGCGTGGCGGCGGACAAAGCGCGAGCGGGACTGCTTACGGGTCGTCTTGCCGCCATAGACGATGAGCAAATCCGGATCGTCGCGGGCCATCAGCTGGAACTTCCCGCCGTGGGCGTGGATCCTTCGCTGCGCGTCAATAGGGTACAAGCAGGAAAGTCGACGTTGGCCTTACATCTGCAGAAGGGCATTCTTGTCGCTCGCACCACTGCGTGACTTCGGATCCGAAGAGACCACTGTGGAGTACGGCATCAGTGCGAAGTTAATGTCATTGTGGTGACGGCACGCACTGAACTTGAAGCTCTTGAAGAGCTGCGACTCGACTTTGACATCCTTGACATTGATGCCTCGGTACTCTGGAAGAATCATGGGCTGTACCAGTGCCATCAGCGCCCTTCGGGAAATATAAAACTCCTACATAAACAATACTGACCTTTTTCGCAGCACCCTTGGTCTTCTTCTTTGGCTTTCTGTGTCGCCAAATAGAACAAGTGAATACAAACCACCCGCACAGCCGAGAGGAATACAACGCACGCCTCCCCCTCCGCGTCATCCATCTTGCGCTTCTTCTCAGACCGCATTGTCTCGATGACCGCTGAAAAGAAGGTCATCGCCGTCCCCATGGTCAACGTCCGCGATAAGAGGGAAAGGGAACGGGGCATCCAGCGTGGCACAACGTGGTGAACAAGGGCAGGAGCAGAGGAGAAAGACGCTTGCTTACCAGTAGCGGACATACAATCGGCTATGGTGAGGTCTTCGCGTACGTGCAGCGCGCGTGGGAAGCGCATGGTGAATCCGAGATGGTACTGGTCTGTGGTCGTAATTTCGGCTGCTTTGACCTTGACGATGAAGGAGCTTTGATTGAGGGTGGCGCGGGGAGGGGAGGTTAGTGATGGCCGCCAGGGAAGCGTGGAAAGTGAGGAGTGCGTACTCTTCGGGCTCGAGGTAGAGGTCGCCTTTGTCGTCGGTGCCTTTCTTGGACACTTGCAGCCACGCAGGCGGCTGGGCACCCCATTGCTTCCATGGTTTTTGGCGGATCCAAACGTAATCAGCATAGGAGAACCCAGAGCCGATGCGCACGAAAGTGCTATACCTAGTGCCACTGTGAGTGTTGGATGTAGGGATAAAGTAGGAGTACTACATACTTCAGTTCTTCGTCGGCACCAAGCCTTCGTCGATCGTCGATGACGGCACAGATGAGAGTGGAGACTCCGCCGGATCGTCGTCCGGATCCGTAGTTTCCGGCTGCAAAGGCGTCATCGACTGATACTGAAAGATGGATACAGTCTGGACATACCGACGACCAGGACGTCGACTGTCTCGCCCATATTATCCTGTCAGGGCCACAAATGAGCACTTCCAGGTCGAGCCAATGTAACCGTACCATATACTCTGGCTTGACCTTAATCCAATCTTTGTTTCTGCCGTTAAGGATGTACTGGGAGTCGGGATGTTTGAGGATCAGTCCTTCTCCCCGATTCGCCATGATCTCCTCCATACGCTTTCTGACGTCGTTCCCGGTCTGCCCTCAAACTGAGAAACAAACTCGATGCGCCCGTGGATCTCCTGCAGGCACGACTTGAGGTTCCTCTTGCGGAACTTCGTGGACCTATTGAGTAGAGACATCCCGTTGAGGTACAGAAGGTCAAAAACCTTGACTGCGAGCAGAAACATCGTGTGAATCAGCGGCTAAGCGATCTAAAATATGCGATTCGCGCGCACAGCAAGGACGGGGATTATGCTCCTTCTTTGATTTGTCTGTGAAGAGGCACATCAGTAGTGGAACACACCGTCTGTGGAATGTGCTCACCCAACGCGGCCGTCTTCAAGGTACCGAACGGGAGATTCCGTTCTGAAACAGGGTCCCAGACGAGCATCTCGCCGTCCAATATGATTTCGTCAACGCGTTCGTCGAAGGCGGCATCAATGTAAGGCGTGAGACTGCCGGTCCCGACATGTTTGCCGTATAGATATGTGTAGTCTTTGCCTTTCCTACAGTAGAAGTCCCGCACGCGATCAGAACACTTCGCCTGAGTCCTACACATTCATACCTTGAACAATAGAAGTACTCGTTGCCGCGCTTGTGCAGCTGCATGCGTTCCCCGTCGAGCTTCTCTTCGATGATGAAAGTGCCGCCTCCCATCTCTTTGACGGAGTCCTCTATCCTTTTTGTCGGACGCTTGCAGAGCATTGGGGCGAAAGACCGGAACAGCTGAACGGCTTTTTCCTACCAACAAAGAGTTAGTGGGAAGCATACATCGTAGAGCGCGGCTGGTACCTCTTCGCCTAGCCTCAGTTCTGGGTCCCACAGCCCATATGCAACCTTCTTCAGGTCTGAGCATGTGTTGAAGAGATCATGGGCGTCAGGGTGGAATATGCTGAAGACGGTGTTCTCCTTTACGGAGATGTTCATATCTGAGATGGGTCAACACAAGTACCTCTGACGCAGGAAGGCGCTACCTGCCTTTCAGAATAATTCGAGCTATCCATTTCTGCTCTTCAGGAGTGGTCGAACTGTATATATCTTGAAGAATTCGCCACTGCGCCTCGCTAGGGGTCCTATGTGTAAGCTTCTCAGAGCGATTTGAAGACAGAGGAGCTCACGATTTGCCCATGCTCTGGGATATTCTGTCAAGGTAATCGTTGATCTCTTCGATGGAGCACGAGCCTTCAATGATCGATGAACGCTTGTTGATTACCTCGTACAGAACCATGGGGAAATCTCCCGACGTTCTCTACGGTGACCATCTCGTCAGCGTGCCGGTTGGGAGAGATTATGTCAGACGTACGAACCCCGCGGTCGCTGGGCTTCTTCCAATGCGTCAATCGGATGGCATCAGGGTCATACGGGCCGAGAGGGATGAGCTTAATGTATAGCTTCGCAAGGGCCTTCTCTTTCAGCCCGTAAACGGCGCGCTCGCGATCTTTCTGTTCCAAGATGATAACATGAGCGCCGAAGTCGCAGACCGACATCTTCGCTTACTTGTGGAAGAATCAGTCTTAGCACAGGATATAGATCCATGCCCACTTCCTTGCGCCAGTGCTGTCAATGGTGAGAGGGTGGTCAGACCAGGGGACGTCACTGTGGGCGAACTCTTACGTTGAACCAAGACGCAACAAGCTTCCGCCGTTTGTCCGGTTTGCGCTCGCTCTGGAGTCTGTCAAAAAGTGCTGCGAGGACGTAAAAGGGTGCGCTGCCTTTGTTCTTGGGCGGCGCAGGGTAACTGTCTGCTTGGGCCGGTGGCGAGCCGGGTGGAGATGACGGAGCAGGGGTGGGCATCATTCTCGCGCAAATAGACAAGCACAAGATGCCCAGAGTGTATGTTCACGGAAAACGGGGTGCGATGGGCTTCTATGGCTGGAGGGAGTGAGAGCTGGAGGACAACGTCGCGGTTCGATTCCAAGGCGCGCCACGGCTCCATCTAGCGCTCAGGCTCCCAATTTCATGCATATACCGCACGGCCACAAATACTAGGACGTGGTCGTGATGCTCACCCAACTCTGGGACCGGAGAGTGGAGGCTGCATATGGGGACATTTAGAACCCAGCGGTAAGAGCCCTATTCTCCTGGCGGCTGAGTCGCAGTGGCACCAATAAACACCTCCATTTCATCGCGATCAGTGACACCACACCACCTGAGATAGGATCTCGGACATCTCTGCAACCCGTTCTTCAAACGTTCAGCGTCGATCGCACGTTCAGCCCCAAGGACAAGGTCTGATCTTACCGGTGTCGCTCGCATGCTTCCGAGGGACCCGTGAGAATTTTCTCCAACATCAGGAGGCGGATGCATTGAGCGCCGCGTGGCCGTCTCACATTTCTGCCCCCACCTCTGAATGTTCGAGTTTGAGCCGGAGTCGGGCTTTGAAGACCCCGGAAAGGAGCTTACGAAGCATAGGCCGGTCCGGCGGAAAAACTCTCAAGTATATATGATGCCATTTGGGAGTTCAACTGCGTATCCTTGCCAAATCTTTCCATTGGTTTCATCGGGCGTGAGTCTCCTGACTCCTGGGCATAAAAGAAGGTGCACGTCGATCTTCCCGGGTTACTTCGCTGTCTCCTCCCCTCATCCTCCGCCAGTCTTCTTGACCACGACTAAAAACATGGCTCCCATCAAGAACGGCCGCGTCCTCTTCAATGAGGTCCCTGAAGGTCAGTTGCCGCAATTTATGTTTGCCCGCTGTACAGGCTTATCTGACCTCCATCCCCATCAGGCCTTCCTGTGGCTGGAAAGACCACCATCTATGACGAGTCGCACACCATTGACATCGACATCATCCCGCTGAATGGCGGCTTTGTAGCGAAGCTCCTCTCCATTTCCGTTGACCCCTACCTTCGGGGTCGTATGCGTAAACCTGAGAAGAAGAGTTACAGCGTGAGCGATGCTTATCTCGGCGATAGTTGCTCCAGTCTGACAGGTCTGTCTAGAACCCTTTCACGCTGGGCGAGCCGTGAGTGTTTACCACGCCATCTCATTGGACGAGATCATGAGTTTGGGCGACAGTATCTCGAATTACGCGGTCAGCGTAGTCCTCCGCTCTGAGGATGACTCCGTGAAGCCCGGAGACCACGTTTACGGCCTCTTCCGTGAGTAATATCCAAGGGAAAGTTGCTGTGCTCACTAACATGGATCGCACGAACTTCCACAGCTTATCAAGAGTATTCCGTGCTTACCAAGGCACAAATCATGCGCACGCTTGACAACAAAGAGAACCTCCCGTGGTCGCTATTTGTTGGGATTCTAGGCATGACCGGTCAGTGACCACGTGGTTTATCCCTGTTTCCGAGGGGCTGAAAGTATACGTCAGGACAAACTGCTTACTATGCTTGGAAGGAGTATGCTCAGGCGAAGGCGGTACGCAGGGCTCCGATTCCATTTTAATTTCCTCTCAGCGTCGGGGCGCTCATAGTGCTGGATAGGGAGAGACCGCGTTTATCAGCGCCGCGGCGGGAGCGGTCGGCGCGTACGTTCTCTCACAAGTGTGCCACGCACGCGACGACTTGCTGACAGAGGGCCTCTTGATCCAGCACGGTAGTACAGTTTGCGAAAGCCGATGGCATGAAGGTTATCGCTTCCTCGGGATCGGAGGAGAAGGTCGAACTCGCGAAGTCCATGGGTGCTGATGTCTCATTCAACTACAAGACATCTGAGACCGCGGAAGTCCTGCAGAAAGAAGGCCCCATCAGCGTGTGAGTAATGCACGCGCTTTGCCAGCGATGTAACATCTTATTGTTGCTACTCTTACAGGTATTGGGACAACGTCGGTGGACCAACGCTCGAGGCCGCAATCGAGAACGCCAGCACGGGAGCTCGCTTCATTGTGAGTCCAAGTTTTTGTTCTTCCTACCACTCCCGCTTAGCGACGTCTGGCGTCCTTCAGGAATGCGGCATGATCTCCGGCTACAACGGCGAGTCGTACTTTGTCAAGAATTTGATGCAGATTGTCGGGAAGCAACTGCACATCCACGGCTTCATTGTCGGCTACCTTGGGCCCAAGTACGATGAGGAGTTCTACTCGACTGTGCCTGCACGCGTTGCCTCGGGCGAGATCAAGTACAAGGAGCACGTTTACAAAGGACTCGAGGGTGCGAGCCAGGCGATCGTCGACGTACAGAGTGGCGCCAACTTCGGGAAGGCTGTGATCGTCGTTGCCGAGCAGTAAGCGTAAGCATCGGACAAGGATCAATATATATGTAGTCCATTGACCCATTGTAACATCACTACGCGCTTTCTCCCTATGATTCGAAAGTCATGATCGTCATGAATTCTAAGAGCATATACTGCAAAAAATGATCAGGTAAAATCGCAGCACCCATTTCCACAGCGATTCGAACTTCCTCGGAAAAAAAACGCCCGCCACCAGCTTGTTCTTCTTGCACCACGGAATGTCGTAGCCTGTCCCGATGCCGAGTCTTAATCAAGCATCGATAGGCCAGAAATATCCCGACGATTAGAAATTAGAATGCCGGCCATGTAATTGCACTGTGCTCCTGTGTTGCGCGGTTTCGAGAATGTTTAATGAACGTGAACACCAAATAACATGGGAAAGCAAGGGTTTTACGAAAGTGTTAGCGGGACGGGATAGCACGGGCGAACGACGTACCAGTATAGGCGGTCGGTCCTCATAGAGCATCACAGTCTGCTTAGCTCCTTGCCAAGGCCCAAGACAGGACCCAGCCATGACGGAGGTGGAGGGCCGGGGGCGGCAGGATATAACCATGCTCCTCGAGGCAATGCCAGCAGTGATCCCTCCACCGAATCTCAAGCGTGTAGAGACCACTTGCGTCAGAAGGCCCATCATCGTTCATTCTCAAGGTATCTCTTACACCGTTTCCAGAGTTGCTCGTCTTCCATGGGTACTAACAGTGAGCTCGGTGAGAGGAGGAAGAGGCGTGAGATTTTACGTGTTTGCTTACTGGGGCTAATTGCCAGAGGCGCCGATTAGTAGTGCCGACTATACATACTGAAGAATTAACTCTAACCGCAGCCTAATTCACTGCATCCTTCTCCTCACCGTTCCGCTTCTGCTCCCTCGCCCATCCCAGCCTCTATCACCGCTGTAGATGAGGCTTGTCGGATGTCCTTCTTCGGCTTTGACAATCACCACGACCTCGAGCACGAAAGACGCAAGTTTCTTGAAGGAGGTGCCCATGACGATATAGCCGTTGTCACTTGGGGCGAAGAGAGCTACGACGGGCTCGGAGATGCGTTGCAGGAGGGCGGCGATGATTTCAACGACGAGACTTTCGGTGGTGGTGGCAGAATAGGTGCGTTCTAGCTGTCGCTGCATCCCATCGGTCTCTTCATGGCGAACCCGTAGGCAAGGATTTTGACTTCTCCGGCACGGCGCTGCCCGAAAAGCGGCATCAGCAGGAGCACGTTCCCCAACCTGGCCCGTCATTCCAACAGCAATCGCGAGCACCGCAAAAACCCCATACCCCGTCTCATCCCGAATCCCGTACGGCCATCTTTCCTCATGTCGATGCCGCGATCCTCACATCTGGTCTTCAGCTCACCCTTCGCAGTTGGATGCGATATGGGGGAACAAGTCCTCTCCCTTCTCCGTGCTCCCTCGCAGCAACGGCTCTGGTCGAGGCTTCGACCATGCGTCCAGCCCAAGGCATTCGCCCATGCCGGGCCAGCAAGGCGCGGGCTCGCACAAGCCTACCAGCCTCAACCTCGGCCCCGACATGCACAAGGGCGTGCGCACGCTGGAGGAGATCGAGAAGGAGATGAGGGCTGCCGCGCAGGCCCAGCACCGACAGCAGCAACAGCAGGCCCAGCAGCTCGAACAGCAGTTCGAGCAGCAGCTCCATCTGCAGCACCAGCATCAGCACCAGCACCAGTTGCTGCAGCAGTCGCAGCCGTCGCCCTCCCAGAGCCTCATGCAGTCCCCTCCCGCGCCCATGCCCAACGTCCACCGCCTTCTGCTGGGGTGGGGATGCCCATCCAGCAAAGCCCTGGCGTCGGCGTCGGCGTCGTTGCGGCCGCGGCCGCGACTCCCCCGCCTCGGATGCACCCCCACTCGCAGTCGCCGCGCTTCCACCAGCAGCAGCAACAGCACCAGATCCACCTCCTCCAGATGCAACAGCAACAGCAGCAACGCCAGTTGCTCGAGCTCCAGGAGCAGCGCGAGCGGTTCCAGCGGCAGCAGCTACTTGAGCTCCAGGAGCAGCTGAAGATCGAGGAGCTTGAGAGGCAGCAGCAGATCCGCCTGATTCAGATGCAAGCCGACGCGGCCAGCGAGGCGCTCCTGCACAACCAGCTCCTTCAGCAGCGTGGGATGAGCCCGGCCGTCGACGGTCGAGGACGGCAACGCGTCGGACGGCAGTCTCCTGCGATGATGGCTCCTCAGATGGACGGTCCGATGGGTCAGAACGTTGGCTACCTGCCGCAGAACATCCAGATGCAGCAGCGCCTCCTCGCAGAGATGGCTCAAGCGGAGTTTTTGAGCACGATGCAGGGGCCCGGGCTGGAGCGCGAGCTGAGGGAAGCGAGGGAGATTCAAGATATCCTGAGGGTGGAGCGATGCGCAAGATTATGGAGGCCGAACGTATGGACGAGAAACGGAAGCGTAAGCTGGACAAGATTGCTTACATGGTGAGTCAATTCCTTGAGTCTATGCGATTCGTTCCCTTGCTTATAGTTGAGGAACAGTCTCGCTATAACGATCTCATGACGCAATCCGACAAGGACTTCATCACCCGCATACAAGTTTCGCAACTCGTCACTCAGGACCCTTACGCCGATGACTTCTACGCTCAAGTATACACTGCTCTCATCCGCTCGCGTATGGGTATCCCTACATCCGAAGATCGTGTACTCCGCTTTGGATCCGGCGGAGGTGTTGGTCTAGGTGTCGGTCAAAAGATTCCCAGCGGCCGTAGGCAAAATGCGATGCAACGCATGGAGGCCCAGGTCGAGCGGATCGTGAACAACGCGCGACTGAGGGAGAAGGAGAAGACTTGTGCGTCCCCCCAGGGTTGTGCTTGTAATTTGCCCCTGATTTGTTTGCAGCGTTGAGCAACCTGCAAGGTGCACTCGGCAGAACGTCTGGTCGTAGTTATAAGGCGGCTCCCCGTCAATTGCTCCAGGTCGACGCGACGAACGCTTCAACAAGCCCAACCGCTGCGCACTCCTCCGGCGCTCACATCTCCAAGGCTGATATGACTGAAGGCGAGAATGCGGCACGAGAAGCAGCGAAGATGGGCCGCGAAGCCCTCGGGAACGCGTTCGATGGCGTTCACAGGGACCCTTTGACCCACCGAGAGTCGTTGGTCATCCTCGAGCAAATGTACGATCTTATCCTCGAAATCGACCAGAAACGGCGCGATCAACCCCCACCCGAAGAGGAGGTAGAGTTTGAAATTTGGTGAGTCCAGTCGCTGTTTACCAACGTCATCTAACCACCTTATAGGACCGAGCACTGTGCGGCCATTGCGGACAAGCTGTTTGAGAAGCTGATGCTTTCTGTACCCCTCGAAACCAGGTATGCTCGTTGTGGGAATTTTAATCCACCGACCTAAATTCGCGCTCCTCCAGCATTCCTCATCCATTTGTCTCGATCATCACTCCCATCAAGGGCAAGAGGCTACTTATGCGCCTGGCGCGATGCTTCGATACCCAGCGCATGCAGATCATGCTGACGCTCATTGTGCGTGTTTCTTGCAACTGGACGTAGTACGCCAAGCTCCCCTCCTGGACACGCTAGATGAGACGCGCGAAGTAAAGGATCTAGAGCACCAGACGCAGGCGTTCATGACCAGTGTTGTCGGCAGCATCATGAATGTCGTAGGCACGGCGCAGATGAGGCTTGTCAATGGTCTGTTCGCCATCATGATCGAAGGAGACCCCCTTGCGGTCGCTTTCACAAGAGTACGTTTTCGAAGCTCTCTGTTCTTCCTTTGCTTACAAACTGCGCACAGCCTGGTGTTTCGCTCCTCACCATGTTCTGCAGTCGTGCCGACATGCTCATCAATAGCCCTCTCAACGAGGAAGAGGCTCCCCAGCCGGAGGAGATGCACAAGTGGTAAGCCTGCCCGCCTCCACGTATTTCCACATCCACTGACGCGGCGCGGCGCACCCCCAGGAGCACGCTGTACAACCACCTCTTCGACCTCCTCCGCCCGCGCCTCCAGCTCCTCTTCCCCTCGGTGCGCATCAGCCTCAAGACGGGCGTGAACTTCACGCAGGTGCCGAACGCGGACGTGCTCGACCAGCCGGTGTGGGAGTTCCTCGCGACGTTCGCGCTCTTCGCGAGCGAGGAGCAGCAACAGGTGCTCATCGCCAGCCTCCGCGACGTCGTGCTCGAGAACGTCGCGACGGCGACCAAGGGCTGGACCGGTGCCGACTCAGACGAGACGCGCAGGCTCCGGCTCGCGAACGTGAACCTCTTCCTGCGCTCGTTCGGGCTTGACGCGTCGCAGATCCAGCTGTGAGCGGCGGATCGTGGACGCGGGACGGGGAGACGGTGGTTCGCTTTGGGACACGGTTAGGGCTCAGCCTCAGGCGGAACGCTTGCAACGTTGACGCTTCTGTAAAAATATGTGGCTGTACGCTGCGCTGTACACTGTACGAATACGCTATCGACCAAGAGGCAGTGAGTTGATGTCTCATTACGAGGGAGGAGAGAGGGGATCGGTGTCGCCAGTCGTGGTAGTTTGGGAGATAAAGGGGGCATCGCTATCGTCGTCGTTATCTAATGAGGCAGACTGGCATAGATCCACAATGTTATCGACGTCGCATACATCGCACGTACTGGTGTCCGCCTAGCGCACACAGAGGAGGTCGCGGACGCTGAACGGGTCCGTCGTTGGATCGGCGCAGCCGGTGAGCTCCGTGCGCCGTTCGCTCCCTCTCCGGACGATGGTCTCGGCGTCGACGCTCTCCCCAAGAAGGTCGAGGATCGGCAGGTCCGTCCACTCTGGCAGCGTCGCCCCAGGCATCTCGAGCAGCCCGGTGCTCGGCGTCCCGCCGCCGCCCTTCGGGAAGCCGGGAAGTGGCAGGAGCGGCACGTTGAACAGCTTCTTCTTGCGCTCGAGGGCCCTCGGCGGGACCGCGAGTGAGACGTGCGCGCCCGCCTCGAGGTGGTTCGTCGAGAGTGAGCGGGCGCCCGCATAGTTGGGGTAGAGCATGGCGTAGCCGCGGAGGTAGGCGAGCTCGATGAAGTAGCGCTTCCAGGAGCGCTTCCAGCCGTTCGAGCGCACGTCAGGCACGACGGGGACGGAGGGCGGGAAGGGGGCCGCCGGGAGGGACGAGGGAGGGGGTGGTGGGGAATCCGGGAGGTGGCCGGCGAGGCGCGCGGCGAGGTAGGTGTGGAACTCGCGCCAGTGCTCCGGGAAGTAGAGCGCGCCCCAGCTGCAAGGGATTTGGGAGAGGTAGGGGGCGTCTGGGTGGCTGAAGCCGGCGTGTTCGAGCGTGTGCCGAGCGCTGAAGGCTTTGCGGCCATCTGGGTGGAGTTCGATTGCCTTCTGTTGGTATAGGCTTATGCCGAAGAGACGTGGAGAGCGATCGGAAGCTTTGCCATATCTGTGAGAGTTGGCTTTAGGCTGTATGCGCAGTAGCAAATAGCGGAGAAGCTCACCGATAACGAAGTAGTGTCATCTTGACCCATGCATAGAAGAGGGGCGAGAGTTCAACATCGTCTTCTAGCATCAGTCCGTACGTATCGTTGTCCCTTGGGTACCAAGACTCCACGACCGCGGCCATGAGTCCTCCATGCTGGACGCGATGGTGAACGAAAACGTTCCCGTATGGCCATTGATAGTTGTTCACAATTTCTTGAGTATCGAAGTCGGCGGACTGCTCCATGTTGATACGCAGAGTAACAGAGTCGCCGAAGAATCGCCCTGTCTCTAGAGACAAAAGAAGACGACGCAGAGATTCCGGTCGACTGTCCGTGATGATGGAAAGTTCTACACGGGGAACAGACCAATCTGTTGCGAATGTCAGTGGACACGATAAGTGAAACATTCGACAAAGAGGGCGTACTCATCCACTCGTTCAAATCCAAAGTCGCCATCCAGTCACAGTACGGTAAGTCTTCATGAGGAATGTGGACATAGGTGGCATTGGAAAGATCGATATCGGAGGATATGGAGTACCAAGAAAAGTATGAAACATCAGGATCTTCGACGGCTGAAACGATAACGTTCACAGCTCCGAGGAGGCCAAGTTGGGCACTGGATGCGGAGGAGGGATTTTCTGAGCTGATGTCGATGACGGTGATGGCCGATTGACAATGACGAGGGTAGGTGTAAAACACAGAAAGAGCAGACACCTCGCTTGTCACGACAAGGACTACGTCGTGACCTCTGGAGGCCAAACTGCAAGCAATGGATTGGAGGTACTTCGCGGCTCGATTGTCGACGACAAAGACGAAGCTGCCCGTATTCTCGCTAAGTGGTTCCGATGGATCCCGAGCGTGGCCAAGCGTGGAGGTGTCCTGTGTGGTATTCTTCATAGAGGTGTAACGTTCACACCAATGAGATGAGCTGTGAGTGGATCCGACGACTAGCCCGCCTGTCGACGATTCCCCGGAGCGAGATATGTGCGTCCCAAGTGCATGCCAACTCTCCACTTTGTGTTTGTGAGAAGACTTCGTCAGCAATTCAGTGGGGATGACGAGAGGTGGCACTAGATACGAAGCGTTTTGCGGGGTTGAACTAGGCTGTATGCAGAGCTTTTCGGTATGCAAGTCCATGCCATGGGGACCATATGGGATATGCGTGAAGGGCACGTCTTGAAGAAGGAGATGTTCGCGCGTAGAGGGAGAGACTTCTGAGAGCGCGAGGTCGTCCATAAGGAGTACCCAATCTGTCGTTGCCCGCCGCCCAGCTGCGAGAACTGCTGCGTCCAGTGAGAGACCGTCCGGCCAGTGATCGATAGATAGCTCGCTTTCCAGGTGTTCGTTGTCGGACAGAACGCGATGCAAAGCGCGTCGTAAGGGGGCATTGAGACTGCGAGGTGCGAGCAAAACGACTTCGACCAGAGAATCGGATACGCCGAGGAGATCCGCCAAGGTGGAGTTGAGAGCTGAGAGAGACGAATTTGTGACCGGGACGATTGCCGATAGAGAACGATCCGGAGGGATGGGCGGGTTGACATTCGTACTGAGGAGGTGTCGCAACGAGGACGAGTTGAGCGAGTCTGGCGGAACCCGCTGTGAATCCCAGAAGCCCGAGGTCATGTTCGTAGGGACGGTAGGTGGCAGAATGTTGGGAACTATTGAAAGCCGGCAGAGCCATATAAAGACCAGCACAAAGGCGAAGAAGAAGAGCATGCGCGAGTAAAGCTCTTGCGACCGTTGGCGGGCTTTTGCTACTGGATTTAAACTTGGGACGCGTACTGAGGATTGCATTGCGGCATGTTGTGGAGCGCTGACAGTACGAAGACGGATACGAGAGCTTGGTCGACGTTCGTATGCTGGAGCAGACATGCTAGGAGGTGGAAGAGGACTTTCGAAAGCAGAACTGGTAACGGAGAGGTTCATAGGCAATACTTCTAGGCGTGCTGCAGGCCCATATATCCCGCGCTTGCCCGGCCCGGTCGGCACACCACTGCAGCGCTGGAGTTTTGTATCACTCACTTAGCATTTGCTTAGCATAAGTAGGCGGCCCCAAGCTGCCAATTGCCATCCTTTCTACCTCTGTCTACAAGTTGATCACCACAGCTCCCCTCGTCTGCTCGTCTCTGAAACCTCCCAAGCACGCGGCATTTACAAGAACCGTTTGTCTTATCGACGCCGCGTTCCAGCCGATTGCCCCCCAAAGAACAACGAGCAAGTCCATCCAACCTCCCACCTTTGCGCAAATCCGTTCGTACGCCGTCTGTGCACGATCCCACCGAAGCACTTCAATGCCTCTCCCAGCATGGATATGTCCACAGATGTGGAGCAGCGGTCGCACTCGCCACAGAGCAGCGAGCAGCGCGTTACATCCCGACCCGCGGTCGGTATGGTGTGCGGGAGGGCCGTGGGTTATGAGGATGTCGGTGTCGGGAGGAATGGCATCCCACCGTGCGTCGTGTTGTGCGCCGCGCCGATATTGGAAGGGCCAAGATCCATGGGCGGGCGTGAAAGGGCTGCCGTACACGTGTAGGGTGCGTCCGCGAACGGATAATGCGGTAGAGGACTCTTGCAGGTATGTGAGCGTCGGATATGTGGCGAGGAGGGCTGCGCGTTCAGTGTCGTCGATGCTGAGCGCGTGGTCGTGGTTCCCTGCGATGAAAAGCTTGTGGGGATGGGGATGTGAGGCGAGCCAGTCGAGGGTGTCGTGGAGTTCTTCCAGTGTGCCCGACTGGGAGAGGTCGCCCGCATGAATGAGGATGTCGCCGTCGGGGAGCAGTCCAATGTGGTGGTGATGGTTGTGTGTGTCCGCAATGCAGACGATGCGTACGGGGGGTTCGGATATGACGGGGTGTCTGCAAGTTGACCAGGAGTTCACTCGCTGAGAGAGGAACAGCAGAGGGTTGCTTCTGAGCAGCTCGAACGCAGTGGGTTCGCGACGATGGAGCAGTGCATCCAGACTCATGGTTAATGGTGCAAGGTCTAACCGAAGTGCACTTGCAGATGATGGAGAGTACACGTATGTGTATTCCACGATCTCCACGTTGTCGCTCAGGCGCCGGCAAGGTGCCCGGTCAGGCAAGGGGCGGCCAGAACTAAAGCGCCAGACACCCTCAGACATCGTCTCCTCCCACATAACCGCCCGCCGGTCGGGCCTAGTCTCCCCTAGGCAGCCCTTCTATCAAAGGTCGGGCTCGGCTACTTAGAACCATGACTCGGTGAGCGAATTCGTCTCTGAATACCCGACAACTGAATGGCCATGTTCACATCGAGGTGAGGGATCCCCGAGGAAGGCTTGTTAATCCGGCCTCAACTTGTAGCCGGTTCCGAGCGACAAGCACCAGAAACACACCGCGTCCGGGCATCTGTCGGACATGCGCTATGGTCGACGAAGCTCCGACCTTGTACGGGCGAAGCTCTGGCTTTGATACCGCGCTTTGTATATGCTGACGAAGAATTTCGGGAGCGTTGTAGTGAGTCCGTCCGGCCGGATGCATTGTGCTGGATGAACCTACTCTCTGAGGCACATCCTCCGGTCTCCGTGGCCCTCTTGCTAAGCAAACACCATCCTGCACTTCGAACCTCTAGGCCTCCAGACTCAGCGACGTCATGGCAGGCGTCGGGTTATTAGCGTTCGCCGTCTTGCAGCCAGCGCCCACGCACTACGCATATATAGGATCGATTACATCTGGTCTCGTTCAGCATCTCACCTATCCCCCGCAACCTAGCCGTCTCCTTTTCGCTGCGATCAACCATCCAGATTACCGCAAGTCATAATGAACTTCAACACCGAGCCGACCGTCGACAACAAGGAGCTTTGGACACCGGTCCCCGCTCACATCGCCCTATCGTTTCCTGAGCTCTTTGCTTTCCATACTGAGAAGAATCCCACGCACCCAATCTTCAGCTACGCCGACAAACAAGGCAATGTGCAGGAACTGCTCTATCGAGACATGCACCCCGCTATCCGCAAAGCCGCCAAGCTGATCGTTCAAGAAATAGCAGGCTTAGGCTGCACCGTTGGAGTGGAAAGGCCGATCATCGGAGTCCTTGTCGTTGCCGGTACTTGCATATTTCTCAGAATCTCAGTCGTGCGGCGCTGACAGACGACACAGATTCGATCACTTATACGACGTTTGCAGTGGGTGCTATGTATGCCGGCATTGCTCCGTTCCTGCTTTCGGTCCGCAATTCCGCCGAGGCTCTCGTCAATCTCATCCTTTCGAGCAAGATACATGTCATGTTCGTGAGTTCAGACGAGGGAATGCAGCGCCTTGCTTCCGAGGCCCGCGCCATACTCGCCAAGGACAGTTACGACGTCAACCTCTTGTCCTTCCCGAAATTCCCTCAGTTTTTCAACCTCGAACCCGTTCCCGAGGATGTCAAGTTGGCTTCGACAGACCTGGATCAGACTGCTTTGATCATCCACTCGTCTGGTATGTTAATGTGGTTGCCCTTCCTCTGACCAACAGCCTTACACTTCTCTAGGATCTACATCATTCCCGAAACCCATCTATATACCGCACAAAGCGTGCGCATCATATCCGCACATGTCCGGTGAGTTCGAAGGCTCTCGCAAGTAACATTCGAGCTCATTTCTATATGCAGCGTACTCCAAGCCGGACACCATTAACGATCGCATGAGCATGCACGTTCTGCCAGCATTCCGTCAGTTTTGCCGCTAATTAGCTCTCCCGACGATGTGAACTAAACGTAAAATCGCTGTAGACGTCATGTCATGGCTCGGTCTCGGGATGGCGGTATGTCGAAAACCTCGTTCGGATTGATATTCATATATTCATCACCGAATATGCAGCTAGGGTGTGGTGTCGTCGTGACGGTATTTCCACCTAGTTCGGTCCCAGTTGTGCCAACGCCCGAGAACGTCATGGAGGCGATGGTTGCTTCTAAGAGCACCAGGATAATGATTGTTCCATCGTTCGTTGAGGCGAGTCTGCTTCATAGCATGCTTGGTTGCTATGTTGCTAATCACTTGTTACCTCAGGCTTGGTCGAGGAATCCAGACTACTTCCTGCACTGCAGTCTCTTACTCGTGTCGTAAGTTCCCATTTCTGCTGGCCATCATACTGTTCAACAAAGCCTTCATAGATGTTTGCTGGCGCGCCTCTCAACAAGATGGTTGGTGACCAGCTGGTAAAGCAAGGCGTGAAGATTGTCGCCGGTTATGGAACGTAAGTGATTTTGCCGGTTATTGCAGATTTGTGACTGATGTCTTGAGCCAATAGTACAGAGGTCGGAGTTGTTGCGATGGGTACTCCTACGTCACAAGCCGACGGTGCGTCTTCCAACGAGGCCAATCTTGATTGGGAGTATATGCGCTTCCTCGAACCAGTCAAGGTGCACCGTGCGTACGTAGATGGAGCCTCTGGTGTGTTCGAGCTGGTTCTTGTAGTATGTACCGTGGCAGTCTGATCCTTCTTGATGATCGAGTCTAATGGTCTTTTTTTCTAGGATTCACCTGCTTCGCCCTTGGCTAAAGTCAACACTGAAGTGGACGGGGAGCCCGCATATGCCACCAGCGATCTGTGGGAGGAGCATCCTTCAGACCCTCGTCTTGCAAAGATTCTCGGTAGAGTAGACGACCAAATCATCCTTTCGACTGGAGAGAAGGTGAGTTCCTTTCTTCTGGTTGAGACCACGTGCTCACCTGAAATCCTCGGATATAGACAAACCCAGTGCCGATGGAGACCATTATGAACCAGGATCCTGCGATCCAGCTCTCAGTGATTTTTGGGCGCGGTCGAGTCCAGAACGGCGTCATCGTACAACCTACAAAACCGTTCGATCCTGCCGATGACGCGACACTCGAGACTTTCAGGAACACGATTTGGCGAGTAGTCGTCGTTCATCGGCATGCATGCGCTTCTGTCTGACATTCCTATTGCATCGCAGGCCTTCTGTCGAGCGTGCCAACACGTTCGCGCCATCTCATTCACGGTTATTCAAAGAGGTGGGTAATGCAGCTTGAACCACGCATGCTGCCAGCACTCATTCTGTGTTTACCTAGATGATCATTATGGCACGTCCCGATAAGCCTTTCCAACTGACCGCCAAGGGCACGCCACGCCGACAAGTTTGCATCGATGAATACGCAGAAGAGATCGAACAAGCTTACAAGCGGGTTGAGGAGTCATCTCAAGTAGATGTTGTACCGCCAGCGGTTTGGGCCCAAGACACGACTCTCGAGTATGTGCGGACGCTTGTCCACCGGGTCATGGACAACTCGGGCCTCAAGGACACCGATGACTTCTTCCAGAGTGGCGCAGACAGGTACGCAATCGCTCTCATGAGAGGAATCCACATCTTTGATCGCCTTTTACGTGCAGTCTTCAGGCCACTTGGATTCGTAACAGTGTTTTGCAAGCGTTGCGCACTACCACCAAGGCGAACGTCCACAGCATTCCCGCCAACTTCGTCTACCTTTACCCCACCATTATCTCTCTCTGCACGTACCTCTTGCGAGTCGTCTCGGGCGGTGTCCTCGATGCCACCGCTGAACGTACGGCTCGTCTTGACCAAATGCGCTCCATGCTGGACAAGTACTCTGCCGACTTTCCCCGTCCGCAGTGGAATGCTACTTCTACGCTCACGAAAGATCGTCGCTCACCGCTGGATACGGTGATTGTCACAGGTACTACCGGCCGCCTCGGCTCCCATATCCTCTCACTGCTCCTCGCAAGGCCCGACGTTCGCCGTGTATATGCGCTCAACCGCGGACCGGCAGAAGATCGTCAACGTCAGGCCTGGAAGGAATGGGGACTCGACGCCTCGCTGCTTGAGCGCGGAAAGGGAAGGCTGGTAATGTGTGCTTCGGATACATCCAAGGTCGACCTGGGATTGAGCGAAGAGGTCTTCCGGGAACTCCGAGAGACCGTCACAGCCATCATACACAACGGTTCGTCGCAGTCATGCTTCTCAAAAGTCCCTTCCGATCTCATGCACCCTTTGCCTGCAGCGTGGCGCGTCGATTTCAACGTGTCCCTTCCATCTTTCGAACCGCTCATCGTTGGGACGCGCAATCTGATCGATCTCGCCATCGCCTCGGAGGTTCCAGGCGGCCCCCAGCTACTCTTTGTCAGCTCCATCAGTGCTCTCTTCAGTACGTTTCTTAAATATTAGATTTTAACACCATCCTGACCAGAATCTAGACCATCCGATCTCAAACGCTGTCAAGGAAAGCCTGGAGTACGGCCCGAGCTCGCCGTCGGTCTCGGATACGGCGAGAGTAAGTGGGTCACCGAGCAACTGCTGGGCGTGCCACGAAGCGCACCGGACTACGCACGACTGTCGTGCGCGCCGGGCAGCTGGCTGGAGATCGGTCCGTCGGAGGCTGGGGCGTCAAGGAGTGGGTGCCGGCGATCGCGCGTCTGAGCCAGCTCGTGGGCAGCGCGCCGGCCAAGGAAGACGTACGTCGTCAATATTTTTCACATCTCATCACATACAGAAAGCTCATCGGACGCGGGCGGATTGCAGACGGTCGCGTGGCTCCCCATCGACACCGCGGCGGCGGCAGTCATCAATTTCCTCGACCGAGAACGCCCCAGAACGGATATGACGCGCAGGTCTTCCATCTCACCGCTCCTCACCCTGTCCCATGGAAACCGTCGCTGCGCCAATGGCCGCGCGCCTGGCGTGCCTCTGGTCCCCGGAGATGTGTGGGTGGAGAAGGTGCGGGAGTCGGCGCGCACGGCCGACGCCAGCGGCAGGCGCGAGTCGGCCCACGAGCTCGTTGACTTCTTCGCGGTCACGATGGGCTCCAAAGAAGTCTCTTCGACACAGCCCATGCGGAGCAAGCGTCGCTCATGTTGTCTACCATGGAACCTCTGGGTGAGGCAGACGTCGAGAAGTGGTGGGGTACTGGGCGGGAGTCGGCTTCCTGAAGATGTAGAACATTGGTGGCCCGATGTAACCATCACGTAGTTTTATCCGACTTTTGCATTTCCATGAAGTGTAATATCACTGTGTTCGTGTTAGGACGAGGCGTTTGGTAGGAATCGACGTCATCCTCTTCAAGTTGGGCCACGTGGTGCCGATCACGAAATTTCCCCATCGTATCAGACGCCCACGACATTTTGAGACTTCATCTGCACCCATCATCGGGCTCGGATTTGCTCGCCTGCTGTCCTGTCTCACCATGGCCCTTCTTCGAAACCACCAAAGCAGGCGGGAAGAACCCAGCAGGAAAGAAGGAAAAAGTCTTCCACCCCCAATCACGAAAAGCCGGGCAGCTCGTCCGCACACAGATCCGCAAAAGCAAGCTCGTAGAGCAGCAAAGGAGCGCTATAAGAAGCAGGGTTCTGAAGGTGTGTTCGAGCACCCCTCTTTTGGCATGCATTCGTCTGATCAGACGGCCAATGCAGTTAATATCTATGGCTTCTTCTACCATTCACTACCACCCGAGGGCGTGCTGTCGCTGGAGGAACTGCACTACGTCGTCAAGGACATTTGGCTTGCGCGGTTTGACCAGGAGCTTGAGGCGGAGAAGGTGGCGCGGAGGAAGGGGCGGCCCAAGAGCGTGAAGGAGCAGAAGTTGGAGGAGCAGAAGCTGCGGGAGGCTGAGTTGTATCGGACTGGGATGGGTGAGTACATGCGTTCCACATTTTCGGTGGCCACACAGTTCTGAAACCCTCGCAGAGGTCATCGACCTCACGGACCGTACAAATGTCGACCTCTTCCGAATGTGGGACCAGAAGGAGGTTGCGTACGTTCAGCAGCTTCGCTTCATTCGTATCTCTGGTGCGGCACCCGAGACTATCGTAGTCTCGCGCGTAGGGGAGCAACCTCTCTTGAAGCCCAAGGAAGAAGAGAAGGCCGCCGTTTCGGAAGAAAATACGGATGCCATGGATGAAGATGAAGCTCCGTTGCTATTAGACGTGCCGTCGAGGTTCGCTTCTACAATGCAGACGATGGATGGCCCATGAAAGCAGTTGTTACCCTGCTTGTAGCTCTATACCTGGTGAGCATATTCTCCTGCGATCTCAGTACTCCTTAGTGATAGACGGAACCACTCCCCAGATGTATACTATCCACATTTTCGTTCACAATGTATTAGTGGGCAAGTCTAGCAAGTCAGCCGCAGTCTATGAAGCAATCCCTATATCAATCCTCCACCACAACCTCCACGTATCGCTCTTCATCCATGCTCCTCATGCGCAACCTCCCATCGCCCACGACCGGAAGCTCATCAAGGTCCCACTCCTTCTTCATCCGCACATATAGCAACTTCAATCCGCTCGCCGCGCCTTTCTCCAGAACCAGCCGCACAAGCAGCCCGTACCCCGCCTCCGCGTGCGCCGCGCTTGGCTTCCCAATTTCCACCCGGAAGCGCACTTCCCGCGTATGTTGCTGCAGCACCTGGATGTGCTTGTGACCATACCGATGTGCCTCCTCCATCGCCTCCGCTTCCGCCTGCAAGTCCGTCTGCGCTTTCACTCCCAACACCCCTGCGGAGCTCAGCGCGCCCGACGCTGAGTCGTTCCCCGGAGGTCCCACCACGGCTCCAAGACACGTCAGAAGCTCCCGAGTGACAGCATGGGTTTCTGACGGAGAACGCGTCGAGAGGAGGCGGAAGGTGGTGGGCTGCACCCGGAACAGCGCGTTGAACCAGCGCTGCTTAGGCGTCGAAGACCGGTGGAAGACCCTGTGGAGGAGGCGAACGACGCGGGCGATGCAGGAGTGGAGATCGGCGACGCGAGCAGGCTGAATCGCTTCTTGACGCGCCCACGCTCGACAACCGTAGGGGGCGGCGCCAGCAAGAAGGGATCGTCGGTGGACACGGGGGAAGGGGAGAGCCCAGGCGTCGAGGACGCGGCATGCGCGCTGGGCGCGTTCTCCTTGTCTGCGGCCGACTTCACTCGTCGATGTACCGTCAGAGGACGGGTCTCCTTGCGTTCTGTGAAGGGGTCGTCTTCAAGCCCTTTGCTTCTTCCCTTGCCCTTGTTCACCGGAATCCCTGTAACGGGCGAGAAGAGGTCCTCGAGCGGTCCGGGCTCAGGCGCGGGTGCTCGTCCGCCGTGCGTGGCGACGACGTGCTGCGCTATCTCTTGCATGATGGTACGCGGGCTCGCTATTTCGACTTGCGGCAATTGGATTTGTGGCACCTGGACTGGACGATCAAGGGGACGCGCTTCAGGAGTGTCGTCGGCGGAGGCAAGCAGGAGCAAGTCAGAAGCGGCCTGGAGTTGAGGTTTTCGAGCCCGGCTCGGTCCTGGCGTTGGTGATGGCGACGGCGACCTGGTTGGGACGACATTCCTGGTGATCGCACGGGATGGCGTTGGAGGTCCAGCACGCGGGGGGAGTTCCGCCAGCGCTTGTTCCCTCTCCTCCCTCGCAGCCGCCTTCTTCGCTTTCCGCCTCTTAGCGCGCCGGTCGGCCTCGTGGCGCTCCTCTTCCTCGTCGTAGTCCTCGAGACGGGTCGCGCGGTACTGCAGCAGTAAATGATACACCCCCTTCTCCCACGACGGCTTCGAGTCCAGCAGGTTCCTCAGCAGCTCTTCGTCCTCCGCCCCCGGCCAGAGCGTGCGCAAGTTCGCGAAGATGTCGGGGTCGACCTCGGTCGCGCTCGCGAGCGGGCGGGCGATCGCATCGAGCCTCGGCACGTCGCACTGCGTCAGCTTGGGCTTGTGGCTGACGAAGAACGGGTGGCGGACGATCTCGGGGATGGTGATGCGCTTCTTGACGTCGCGCTCGAGCATGCGGCGGATGAGGTCGCGGGCGCGGGGGTCGACGTCGGTCGGGGTGTGGAACCGGCCGAGGCGGACCTTCTCGAGGAGGACGCCGAGGTCGTCGTCGTCGAAGGGGAGGCGGCCGGCGAGGAGCGCGAAGAGGATGACGCCGCAGGACCAGATGTCGGACGCGGTGCCGTCGTAGGCGTCGCCGACGACGACCTCGGGCGCGGCGTAGTGCGGGGAGCCGCAGGCGGTGCTGAGCATGTCGCTCGGGCCCTGCCAGACGGCCATGCCGAAGTCGGCGACCTTGATGTTGCGCTGGCCGTCGAGGAGGAGGTTCTCGGGCTTGAGGTCGCGGTGGGCGATGTGGAAGCGGTGGCAGTAGTCGACGGCGGCGATGATCTGCTGGAAGTAGGCGAGGGCCTCGGGGGCGGGGAGGCGGCCGCGGGCGCAGAGGTGGTCGAAGAGCTCGCCGCCCTCGACGTACTCGAGGATGAGGTAGAGCTCGGAGGAGGTCTCCCAGACGTCGTAGAGGCGGAGGATGTGCGGGTGGTTGATGAGCTTCATGAGCACGATCTCGCGCTCGATGCTGTGCAGGATGCGGTCCGCCTCGTCGGCGAGGCTCCCGAGCGTCATGCGCGACGAGAGCAGCGCCGTCTTCGAGACGATCTTCACCGCCGCGTACTGGCCCGTCTTCGAGTGGCGCGCGAGGCGGACGCGACCTGGCGCGGAGGTCGGCGCGCGGCGGGGGAGGAGAGGCGGGAAACGCACCTGAGCTGCCTTTGCCAATCGTCCTGCCCACCTTCCACAGCCCAATCATCTTGGGGTCTCCGTCGGCCTTGAGGCGCGGGAAGGGCTGCTTGGCCTGGGGCATGGTGTGCTGCGGGTGATGGCAAGAGGAAGAGAAGTGAGTGTCTCTCGACGCTCGAACAGGCGGGTTTTCTCCTTCCGCTGTTCGGTTCAGGTGGGGCTGACTGTCAGCTCCCTGCAGAACCACGTTTATGCTTTCGGCTTTAGCACATTTTATCGTCATTTGCCCATAGTCGCGCACCGAGAGCTAGACGACGCCGGGAAAGCCCTCGGTCAGCTTGCCCTCAACTCCATTTCGAACGTGCGTCTCTGAGTACCGTCAATGTACAGTGTTCTACCGTCTGCCATACCGTTCCGGCCTGCCGCGCCGCCCGGTGTTCACCTCTGAACCCCCACGTACCGCCGAATGGCCACGAGGGTTCGTCGAATAAGCACAAAAATCCTCCTCTCCCATATTCCGATTCCGGCTCTCAACGCGCGTACTATCCTCCTTCTCCCACGGCCGGCCGCAATGCTGCCCGTTGACCTCCGTCTGAACGCCGAGGTCCGAGTGCACATCGTGCGGCTCGCGCATCCCAGGTGGAAGAACTTGAAGGTGCAGTTGTAGACGAGGATCACGATGTCTGAAACCACCAGGCCGGCGCCAGCGCGAACCTCATAGTCTCAAGGGTCACACCCGAGCCTGAAGACTAGGGGCGGCTTGGCAAGGAGCCGACTCGGAGGCAGCATTTGGGGTGCGCGACGGCGGTACGGGAGGACTAGTGGGACCCGGTGTGGGCTGGTACTCTCTCCTACGCTCTCGGCTTCTTGTCAGCATCAACAAATCACTCACTAGTTCGCACGGGCCGGGCCCGACACTCCGGCGCTACGTGAGATAACCTCGCTCGAGTGTGGGAGGCGTTTGCGAATTTGCATTTGGTTGCTGTTGACTGCGGCAGCACCTCCGAATTGGGGGCGAGTTGGAAAATGGCTGTACATGCGACCGGAAGTCCCCCTCACTACGCCGGTAAGCATATCCTACTGTCCCCGGGAAAATGTTTGGATTATCGCAACTGTCGATAACATCATCAAGGGCCTCAACTTCCTAAGTCCGGGCGACACCGTATCCGAACACTTCAGACGAAACTCCAACACAATCCTGCTGAGACTGGGTGCTTGTCACGGAAGCAGTACATGTCCATACCTCAAACCTCACTGGTGGTGCCGAGCGGCAGTACGAGCAGCACGTACGATAGGTACACGCTGTCGCTCCTCTCCGGCATCGACTCGTTCCCAATGTGCTCGGCACCCTCGTGCGCTTCATTTCTGTAGGTCTCCAAGGACCTGGCGAGGCTGAACGCGAAGAAAGGGACGTCTTCGACCCCTTCCAGCCAGGGTGCTCCGCACTCGGTATGGCTCACCTCGCTGGTAGACGGAGCGACGCCCAGTGACATGCCCCGCATATAGGGCCGTTCTTTGTCCCAGCGGTTTCGCCCCAGCGTGGCGGAGAGGTCTGCGAGGTATTCGATGTGCCCCGACGTGAACGGGTACACGGCGGTGCTGTACTCCGCCTCGAACCACGATCCCTCCACGTACGGCGTCCAGGACGAGGCCGAATGCAGCACGACCGGGAGCTGATGCACCGTGACGCCGGGGAGGGCTTTGGCAGCCTGGGCGACGACCGAGTCGAAGGAGGAGAAGGTCGTCGTGTTGAGGCAGTACCTGCGCTCGAGCAGCAACCCGACCGGAGCGCGCAGCTGCGCCACCACCTCGGCGACCTTGCGCCGCACATCCCGCGTGCGCGCCACCTGCGCGGGGTCGACAGCGTCGGTGCGGAAGATTTTGAACGCGAGGACGGCGCGGTAGCCCTTTGAGATCTTCGCGACTTTGTGCGGGACGTCGGGGTAGAAGGCGACCCAGTGTCCGGGCAGGGCGTTCGTCGAGGTGCCGTTCACGATGAGGCCTTCGTAGTCGTAGCTCGTCGTGTCCCCTAAGCCGACGAGGAACGTGCCCACGAGGCCATTCGCCGGGGTGTCGCGATGGTTTTTGAAGTGCCCGCCTGGGCCGTAGAGATGGATTTTGTAGGGCTCGGCGCGAACGCCGTTAGACTTGCCGGTGTAGAAGTTGGCGCCCCAGAGCTCCGCGACACGCTGAACGAGCCACTCGTCTACGGTGAAGTCAGAGGACGGGATGTCGCGGGCGCGGCGGACGTCTTCGTCGACCTTCGTAACTTGCTCACGCACGTCGCCGAAGCCAGAGACGTTTCCGTGGTCGTACCACTTCTTCAATCGCTCCTCCAGGCGTTTGGGCTCCTCCAGGCGTTTGGGATCCTCAAGGCGTTTGGGATCCTCAAGGCCTTTTTCTTTGCCAATGTTGATGTCCTCTTCCTCTTCCACTGTCGACTCTCTCGAATTTGTCGACTCCCTCGAATTCGTTGACTCCCTCGAATTTGTCGAGTTGGTCGAGTGTGTCGAGTGTGTCAATTTTGTCGCCTGGGGTGCGATGGACTCCTTGAACTCACAACCTGCGCGGGTGATGTCGAGGGTGAAGCTGCGTTCAAGAACACCGAGCACGCAGTCGCGAGCGTACTCGCCATGGAGGCGTTGTAGGCTCGACATAAGATCCTATAACACAATGGTTGAGCGAGAATGGAGGTGAATCACTGGTCATCATGTCTCACTCGGTTGTGTTCGTCGTCAGGGGCCATGTCATGCTTGACTTTCTTCTGTTTTTTCTTCGAGAGCTTCATATTCTTAAGGAGCGCGTCGTCCTTGGAGGGAGAGTACCCGATCGAGGGCAGCTGCTTGAAATAATCCATGGCCCTCACCAGCTTCCAGGCTCCCGGGTCTGGAGTAGCGGTGACAGGCTACGTGGAAGAATTAGGATGCCGACAGGCTGCCCACAAATCGAGAAGCCTCGTACCTCGGGAATAACGCTGCCCTCGCGGGATCCAGGAGGATGCGTGGTCGCCATGATGGGTAGAGGATGAGCGGCGGATGATGGATGTGACAGGGAGGACATGGCGGGGGCTGCAGGGCCATATGCCCCGTGAAAGGAGGTGGCTCATGAGGTATGATGTCGTCGGTGTCGTTGGGGGGAAGGATAGGAAGGAACTTGAAGCCGTGGCGATCATTAGGATGGAGGCTTACTAATCAAATGGGTCCAGGCAGAGGCGCCAATTTGCAGCGTTGATCGTGCATTCGCCGCAACGGCCACCAGCATCGTAATCCCGGCTGCGCTTCATCTGACCCTACATCGACTGCTGCGGTAGTTCAGAGACGCCGTTGTCGAAACCTTCCTTTCATCGCGGATCTCGTATGCCTACTTGGGAAAAGGCGTGTAAACCTAATACACGCAGCAGTTCTATCGAGCACAGCGACCACGGGCGGAAGATGCAAGCCACCCAAGCTCCACGTGTTCGAACGTACCGTCCATCCAGCTATCCTAGCCAACTTCATGGTTTCCAATCCCCCAACGCCTCCCGTCCCACGTCCTCAGCCATGCATTTACCATCTTGGTGGCTACTGCTCTCGCGGACCCTCCTGTCGCTTCTCACACGACACGCCCTCCCAGGCGGCGCAACCCCCTCTCAACTCTCAAGCCCCCGCCGTGTGCGAGTTCTACAGACTTGGCGTTTGTAAGTTCGGAGCCTCTTGTCAGCTTTACCATGCTCCTCTTGCGGACCTCGCAATATCCCCAAAAGTCGGCTCCGAATCAGGGGTCAAGGCGTCAAAACCACCCAACGACATCCCAGCCACCTCCAGGGGGATGCCCTCATCTGCTTTTGGGTCGTGCAAGTTCTTTGCTCGAGGATTATGCTCGAAAGGGGACACCTGTCCTTATGGCCATCCACAATTGGCACGCCCTCAGGCCAGCTCGACTCGTTCCCCCGTTCCCAAGTTTCGAAATGGTGTAGCACGTTGGATATCCATTCGAGGTGAGTGATCCAGAGTCGCCGGGTCGACGCAAAGCCATTGACGATGACTCGAGACCCCTCTGTCGATGATATAAACCCAGCGCCGGCGCAAATCCCTGCCTTTGGGTCTTGCAAGTTTTACGCGCGAGGCCGATGCAGCAAAGGGGACACATGTCCCTTCTGGCACCCTTCATCTGTGCACCCAACAATTGATAACGCCCAGGTTACGTCAGAGCCTGTCCGGATGGAGTCGCAATCGCCAGCAGCCAAGGATCGATTTGATCAACAACCAGACAATCCGGTGCGATCGGTATCGTCTCCTCACGCTCCTGTCATCACGGTCGGCGTCCCTTCAGGATCCAGCTTGAGTGCTATTCCCAATCACATCGAACAGGACCTGGACACTCAAGTTGAAGCTGAAGATAACCGAGTGCAAACCATCACTCGAACGAAGCTCGGATGCACGGTCACGTATGGATCAGGAGTCGCAATCGAGAGCATCGTAACCAGCTTTGAGTCTTATATCGTTCTCGTCCACAACATACCTGCTTCTACTTCACACTCCCGACTCATCGCCCTGGCGGAACGCTTCGGTGACCTCAAGACCTGCCTCCTCACTCCCGCGCGTGACACCCACTCTCGAGCGTCGGCCCGCATCGAGTACCTCACCACCTCCGACGCCTCGCGCGCCGCCGACGAGATCGTTGACATCGTTGAGCTCTGCCGCCCAACCGCACGGCTCGACCTGCGCGCGGGGGAGAGCGGCAAGGCAGTCCTGCAGAGCACCAAGGTCAAGCTCAGCTGGTACGCACCCACGCGCATCGCCTGGGCACACTACTCCTCGATCGCAAAGGCCAAGACGGAGGCCGCGCGCATCAACGGGGAGCCGTTCGACGGGCACCCTGTTCGCGCCTCATTCCAACCCCCGACACGGAACCAGACGGGGAACTTCTCCGTGGAGATCAAGGGCCTCCCCCTCGACGCCGACACACCTCACATCCAGCGGTTCAGCCATGCCCAGTCCGTCACCCGCGGCAGCCCCAGCTTTGAGCGCGAGGGCGCAGAGCGGCAGCTCCACGACCTCCTCGCACGCGCGGGGCCCCTCGAGTCCTTCGAGCCCATCGAGCCCTCCCCGCAGGCGCACAAGAAGCCGTCGGCGAAGCTGGTCGCATTTGCGCAGTTCGCGGACCCCGCGGTGGCCGCGCGCGCCGTCGCAGACCTCCACGGCACGCAGCAGCCCTTCCTCCGCAACAGCCAGGTCTTCCTCGAGCCTGTGCACGCGGTCAAATACGCTCTGCCGCCCGCGCAATACGCCGCGCTCCGCGCCGAGCTCGACGCGCTGAGCGCGCAGCACGCGACGTGCCGCCTGCGCGTCCACGACCGCGACGCACAGGGCGCCCCGGCCACGCGCGTGTCCGTGCGCGCGTACGGGCCCGACGCGCGTGCGCTGGGGAGGCTCAAGGCCGCGCTCGAGCGCGCTCTCGAGGGCGATGCTGTGCTCGACCCCAAGGGGTCCCTCGCCTCTGCGGGTGCGTCGGGCACCTTGGAGCGTATCACCGCACAAACGCACGCGTTCGTCGCCCCCGATACGCGCACCCGCACGGTGAAGGTGTGTGGGAGCGAGAGCGCACGCACTGCCGCTCGGACGCTGCTTGCGGATGCGCTCACGAGGCTGGAGAGCGAGGAGCGCTGCATCCCGCTCGACCCGCGTGCGTTTCGCGCCGTGCTCCACGGCGGCCTCGCTGTCGTCCAGGCCACCGTGGCCCCGAGCAACCTGCAGCTGGACGTCGTGCGCCGGCGCATCATGGTGCAGGCCGGCGACGTGCGCGCCGTCCAGGACGCCGTTGCGCGCTTGTGCGCTGGGGAGTCTCGCAATGCGACAGTGGACGCCGAGTGCCCGGTGTGCATGTGCGAGGTGTCCGTGCCGCTCGCGCTGCCCTGCGGACACACCTACTGCCGCGCGTGTCTGCAGCACTACCTCGTCTCCCTCGCCCAGTCCGCCCCAGGCGGCGCGACGCTCGCGACGTGCCTCGCAGACGTCCCCGCTCCGGCCGCCGGCCGCGCCAAATCCAAGCCCTGCGGCCACGCCATCGCGCTCGACACGGTCCGCGCGCTGCTCTCGCCCGCCGAGGAGGAGGTGCTGCTCGCCGCCGCGTTCCTCGCGCACATCCACGCGCGCCCGCACGACTTCCGCTACTGCCCCACCGCGGACTGCCCGACGGTCTACCGCCCGGGGGCGGACGACACGGTGCTGCGCTGCCCGTCGTGCGCCGCGCGCGTCTGCGCGGCGTGCCACGTCGAGCACCACGCAGGCTTGTCGTGCGCGGAGCACCGGGACAACACGGCCGGGGGCCACGCCGCGTTCCGCGAGTGGAGGGAGCGGAACGGGATCAAGGCGTGCCCCGGGTGCGGGGCGGACCTGGAGAAGAGCGGGGGGTGCAACCACATGACGTGCGCGCGGTGCGGGACGCACATGTGCTGGGTCTGCATGAAGACGTTCGGGGCGGTGGGGGCGTGTACGCTCACATGGGCAGAGAACACGGTGGCATCGGAATTTAGGTGAACCAGTACTTTACCAGTCTTCGTGGTACACCGAGCACTCGCGCTTCAAGCACTGAATTGCTCGAGCGTTCGTTCGCAACGAAATCAATGCATTAGTAATTTCCAGAGTCAAGATTAAAGTATATCGAGTGTTCCAGGTTGCTTGATCATCGTTTTGTTACAGGCCGCGTCTCGACGTGAGGCTTGTAAAGTTGGAATTCGTTCGACTTCAGTCGACTGTGACAATCAAAGTGACGGTCACTGCCCCGTTATAATGTGACGGTGACCCGAATCCAATCTTTTGCTTACGTACATCAGCCGATGCCAGCGCTCATGCGGTCTCTTCGACTCCCTCTCGAACTGTTAGACATTGATTATTCCAAAGAGGATCGCACCCTTCGATGGCTATATCAGTGCGATTTCCACGCAATCTTCACGGCTACTTTCTCCCAATGGCAGTGTCGTACGTCTTCCTCGAAAGTGCAACACGTAGAGTCTCGAGCTGTTTCGCACTGATGCCTCCAGGACCGCTCTTGCGGCTCTGGTTCACTCTGCCACGTTCGTCTCGGTTCCACGCAGATCGGTGTCGTGAACACAAAGGGAAGCATGTTTCCAGCTGGTCGGGTCGGGTCAGGTGCCGCGCCGAGGGTATCGTCTTCAGGAATCAGCGCTCTCGAGCACTCTTCCACCTCTCCCAACCCTTTCCCGCACGCCATCAAAATCATGTATTCACACTCGGACTGCGACGTAAGTGCTCGTTCGCTCCGCTCGCTATCCTTGAACGCTTTGCTAAACCCTCGCATCCACAGGCGACCACCGAAGCTAAGCTTCAGTCCCTCATGGCCGGCCACCCGAATGTCGCCGATGTCCACGCCGTCTTCGAGGACGCCGAGCACACCTACATCGTCACCGACCTGTTTGACGCGGGCGACCTGCACACATACGTCTGGAACAAGGCTGCGCCCCTGGCGGGCCGTCAAGCGCATCTTCCTCGGTATCCTCGACGGAGTCGCCGCGTGCCACAACGCCGGCGTATTCCACCGCGACCTCAAGTTAGCCAACATCCTCGTCGACGAGGAGCGCGGCCGTGTCTGCGTCGTGGACTTTGGGTTCGCGACAACGGAGGACTGGAGCTGCGACTATAGTGCCGGGACGTCGTGCTACATGTATCCAGATCGGTGCCCATCGCTCAGACCCTGGGGAGGACGTGCGCTGACTCGACACACCCGCACAGAAGCACAAGGAGCGCGGACGGAGAAGACGAAGAGATGCGACTCCCGTACGACACTCGCGGAACACGTCTGGGCGCTCGGGACCACCCTCATCGAACTCACCTGCGGCTCCCCCCTGGGAGAGGCCTCTGCGTGCACGAGCGACCGCTTCCGCGCGTACGTCGCGGACCCCACCGCGCTGCGCACGCTCCTCCCGATTTCAACGGAGCTCGACGCGCTCCTCCCCGCATCCTCCTCGTCCGCCCGTACACCAAGCGGGCTCCGCAACAAGCGACGGTCGACGATATCAGAGAGGCCATCAAGCGCGCGGAGACGTTCTGGATCGACGAAGAACAGCTCGCGGGCGCCGGTTCCGCCGCACAGTTCACGTGGGACACGGCGGGCGCGCTGCACCGGGCGTTACCCTAGAGGAGTGCTGGGCGATGGGGTGCACCTATTTATCTCATGTGCAGAGGTCTTTTCAATTCATGGATGTTCGGTGGGTTCGGCCAAGGCTCGGTCTGGGGTAATGCGCGAGGAGCTGCAGTGGTCGAGTGAATGAGCTGACTCACTTTCACTGTGGATGTCCCGATGACAGCGTATCGGGACATGTCAGCATCCATAATCCATGAGCGGCTCGTCATCGGGACTTCCAAGTAGTGACACCACGGTGGGTATTTATAAGGCCAACGCTGTGTGGGGTCAGAAACATCTCAACATACTCGACTCCCCAATTTCACCCTTCGCATTAAATCTCCACGCCTTGAGTCAATGTCTTCTTACGTCGTTCTCGGAGCGTCCCGTGGCATAGGGGTAAGTACTCCAACTGTCCCAAGAGCCTTGCTAACGAACCACACAGCTCGAGTTCGTCAACACATTGGTATGTGTGCTTCCGCCAGCTAGGTCCTACATCGTATGAGCCCAAGATGCTCACTTCCGCTTACCTATAGAGCAAGAACGCGACAATAAGGTATTCGCTGTCGTTCGCACCCCAGAGTCTGCGGCCCAACTGCATTCGCTCGCGTCGACGCGATCGAATGTGTTCACAGTCAAGGGCGACCTCGACAGTGCGGATTCTCTCAAGGCGAGCATGACAGCCGTGGCCAACGCATCAGTCGTGTTCGCCAACTCACAAAAATGACAGGCTGCCGCAACGGAAGTTGCAGGCCATACCAGCGGAAAGCTTGACGTCCTCATACTCAACGGTGCCCGCATAACGTCCCAATACTCCGGTATGACCCTGGACAAGTTGTGAGTCGCATGTCGAGTAACGGTGCGTGGTGCCAGCACGCTCACCAGGTCCGCCAACAGCCCTGACCCCCAAAGCCTCGAAGAGGACCTCATGGCCGGCGTACGTCCGCTTTCCGCTCCCCAGTCGTCGACCGTCCGTCGAGTCCCCAGTTCCGCTGCAACACTGTCGGCGTCGCGCACGCCATCAACGCCTTCCTGCCTCTGCTCCGCGCGGGCGCGAAGAAGCACATCCTCGCGATATCCACCGCCGCCGGCGACATCGACTTCGTGCGCGAGATCGGGATGGGCGCGAACGTCGCGTACGCCGCGTCCAAGGCGGCGCTGAACATGGTCGCCACCCAGTTCTCCATCGCGCTCAAACCCGAAGGCTTCACCGTGCTCTCGATCAGCCCGGGGTACGTGAACACCTTCACCGAGGACCCCAGTACGTGCCGCTTCGCTCTTTTCGGCGGGAGATGGGGGCTGATTTAGTGCGGGTGATGCCAGACGACTTCGCGAGCATCCCTGAGCCCCTCAAGCATTCACGGCCACACTCAAAAGGTTGCCCGGACTTCGACGGGAACCCGCGGACGCCAGCGGTTGCCGTGTCGATGATGCTGGACGTGCTGAACAGAAGCGGGCCGGGCCAGAGCGGTTCTTTCGTGTCCCAGTATGGCAACAAGGAATGGGTCTGATGTAGCCGAATCGCCACGAATAATACGTGCATGTGATTCAACATTGTGTACCGTTGGAATTGGCTACAAGCGAAAGCGACGTAACTCACCGCACACGTTTGGATAGCATCTAGTCCAGTGGATGTAATAGGAGTGTCGGAGATGGCGCGACGTACGGCGCCATTCTGTGTATTAACCATTCTCAAGCACCTGTTGATCTGGCAATCGTTGTGACTTGCTTGCGGAACGGACCTGCGTGGAGATTTTGTGCAGCGAGACGCATGGAGTGCGGACTGGGGGAGCGTTAAAGCGGAGCTGGTGTTGGTGTGCAATTTGAGACATCCTCCGGCGAAGGGGGGGCTACCACAGTGCTCGACGCCGAAAGCGGAAGTGACAGCGCGGAAGGGAAAGGCCACGCCATGGTCATTGTGGTGCCACCCGTAGCCTGACTCGTCCGGGCACGCTTGTCTGTGGTAAAGACACCCGGTGCGACTGTGTCGTACGACGCGACACGTTTCCCGTGCACGTTGAAGACATCGTTGAAGACGTTGTCGGAGCCAGCTGCTGAGCAGGCCCGGGTATCTCGGGGACCGAGCTGAAGGACCACGTTTATACGCTGTCTCGCTGAAGAACAAGGGTGAAACATCACCCGAAGGAATGGTCCGCCGCAGAAGCCGCGGAGCGAGTCTGTAAATCGGATGCGACTGCAAGACGGGGGCCGGAATAGGACGGGTGAGGTTATAAAGCAGTGGCTGAGTTTTTGAGAAGGGGCCGATGCGCATGGAAGGCGGCAAGAGGAGCCGGGCAGAGGGGGAGATGCGGGGCGAAGTTCTGTCTGCTGGCGTCCTGCTCGCAGCCCCAGATGACGCCTTCACCCACTATACCGCAGCGCGCGCACATTGGAGTAAGCTGAGATGACATAGGGGTGTTTTTTCACTCACTCTTCGCCGGTCCGAGGTCTTTTATGCACTCGCACAATGCAGGGCATCGGGGAGGATGCGGAGTATGCCATGAAGCTTAGACAACCTGACTATGCCACCATGGCAATGTTCGAGCCCTTTCCACGCAGCATCCGAACAATAAAACTTATCGCAGCCCCTCACACTCCATGAAGCTATCCCTCTGCGTCCAGGAAGAGGGCGAGGATGTGTTGGATGTGTCCTGAGATGGGATAGACATGTTGGGTGCAGGGGATATGGAAAGTAGGGATGATAGACGCTGATTTGAGTGTTCCGGGGCTTCGCAGATGTCAAAGTGGCGGCGACAAAGCAGTAACAGAGGCGGAGGAGGAGAACGAGCATGCCATAGTCTGTGCGATGAGACGCGCCCGCGCGCGACGCGCCGCGCACGTGAGCGTATGCATATGGCACCGCTGGCACTGCCAGGATACGCGAGCTCGAGCCGCCAACTCCGCGGCGTAGTCTAAGCGACTCCGTTCGACTCCATTCCGGTGGCAACACTTCTTGAACCCACTGTGCCGTCGGACTACTTCGCTCTCATCTGATCATTTACGTGCATATCGATTTGAAGTCATGCGGACGATCCTACCAAAGTAGACAGGACCAATGTGGGTACGTCGTGACTCGTGAGGGCATACATATACCCGTGTACAGCCTGAGAGGTCCACTCCGACCTCGGGCCCACAGCTGAACGGAACTTCCCTTCCTCCAATGTCTCCCGGTGCCGTCAAAGTCGGATGTGGCGATTCCGCCCTCACTACTTACATGCAAGGTTGGTGTATGTCGCTACCTTTTTTCGCACTACAAACAACTCGACTGAAGCTCCCCTTCCAGCATAGGCTGATGCGGAGAGACGCGTGCTTCGCGTTTGAATAGCTGAGGATGAGGTCACAAAGAGGGTTGAAACATCTGCATTCCAAGTTCACTTCCACCTCTCCAACTTGGCAACCAGTGCCACAGCCGCGGCTAGATGGTTATGGCGAGTGACCCGCTTCTCCTCCGAGCTACGTACGACTCCACGGACCTCCTAAAAGCAGTGTCGGCAGGATTGAAGCGGGTGTGCGCGTCCCCCCGGCGGTCGATTTGATGGTATCAGTGGGGTCACGTATGCTGCAAGTATGCCGATCGGGATTCGGGATTCAAACGCTCCAAGTCTTGGGGCTTTGGCAGGGCTCGGCCGCCTACCCTCACTCCTATCTGAGCGTGCGTTGCGTGCTCCGTTCATCACGCTTCGGCAACGTAGTAACGGGTCTTATCCAGACCCCCAGCTGTCAGATGCTGAGTCGTATCTCCCGACCGGGATGTATCGACGGTAAGTGGTACATAAGAGCTCGAGCTCACCCAACATCCACCAGAACCCTCGACTCCAACCCTCCTCTCCACAGAAACACTTCCGGATTTTACAACACGCTACCATGTCTCCCAAGACAGCTACTATTGGCTCTGGCAGCTCGACCACCACCATCGGCAAGATCGGGGTAAGTGCAACTTTTCACGGAGTGTTATGTCCATCGACGCTGACAACTATCCTCGTCGTTCAGCACGGTCTCATGATGATGACGTGAGCTCCACTGTCCTCATCCTCTGTAGTACGTCCACGACTGACAGTCTGCCGTTTCGTACTCAGGTGGCGCGCCGAAGACCGCCCGCTCGCTGACGAAGATGCGTTCGAGGCGATCAAGGCGGCGTCGACGCCATGCCTGCCGGGTGAAGATGCTCCTCAACAGCGGTCAGTCTCGTCTCTGTCCCTCCTGCGACTCCCGTGTGCTCACCTAGCCACTACGTCCGCTCAGGGCACTTCTATGGCCCAAACCTGGGCCCTGCGAACCTGCAACTCCTCGCGCGCTTCTACGCCAAGTACCCCGAGTATGCGGACAAGACCTTCATCTCCGTCAAAGGCGGCCTGAAACCCGGACACATGGTGCCCGACTCCTCGTGCGCCTCTCTTCCACCATCCTTCGTCTATCTAGTCTAAAATGGACGTGTTCTATAGCGCCGAGAACCTTCGGGCTGGGGTGCTGGATATCAACGTGCAGCTCGGCGGGACGAAGAAGATGGACCTGTTCGAGTGTGCGCGCGTTCCCCCCGACGTCCCGCTCGAGGACGCGCTTGCCACCCTCGTCGCGTTGAAGAACGAGGGCACTTCCAGCACATTGGCATGTCCGAGTGCAGTGCTGCGACTCTGCGCAAGGCACATGCGGTGAGCATATTTGATTGATGCTCCGGAGACGGCCGAAAGCTGACTGCGCCTTTTCAGATCACGCCGATCAGCATTGTGGAGATCGAGGTCAGCTTGTGGTCTTACGAGGAAGAGACCAAGAAGGTTATCGCCACGGCCAAGGAGCTCGGGATCGTCGTCGCCGCGTACTCGTATGTATCCACTGACATCCACTCTCTATGTCGCCGCTCACCCAACCATCAGTCCCCTCGGACGTGGCTTCCTCACCGGGACCATCACGAGCCCGGCCGACCTGTCCGGTATGTCGCAACATGCCGTCTGCGCCGCCGTCCGTGCGCTGATGCTCCGAAATGCTGCACAGAGAAAGACATGCGCCGCATGTTGACCCGCTTCCAGGAGGCCGAGCTCGCGCACAACACCGCGCTCGTTGACGCCGCCAAGGCGCTCGCAGCGCGCAAGGGTGTCACCCCCGCGCAGCTCGCGCTCGCCTGGGTCTCGTCCCTCGGCGACCACGTCGTCCCCATCCCCGGCTCGTCGTAAGTACCTTCCTCCTGCGATGTAGCATCGCGACTGATGGCGTGCTCCTCGTTCCGCAGGGTCAAGACGCGCAACCTCGAGAACCTGGCTGCGGCGGACATCACGCTGACCGCCGCCGAGCTCGCGGAGATCGGCCAGATCCTGACGAGCACGCCCGTCCAGGGCGGGCGTTACGTGGATCACTTGCCCGCGCAGGTCTTGAACCTCTGGGGATGAGTTCTGTGTTTTAGATAAATATAAGCTCCGATGTACATGTATCCTGACATATCACAGACCCACTGAGTATCATCTATCTGCTTGCATTCACAGTCAGTGTTCGGACAGGGCTGGACTGACCTAATGCACTGGCGTCTACTATTCGACTCGGCTTGGTCCGGTCGACGCGCTCCATGTTCGACGGGTTCCGTTTTACTGCGCGTCTCTTCCTTTCATGCGCTATGATTGCTTGCTTGCGCGGGCGAGACTCATTCATCGTGGTTGGCGCCCTGTACGTGCACGCAGTACGGAGGACCGGCGTGTAAGGTGCGAGTGAGTGTGGGCAGTTTCTGAGTTGGCTCGAACGACAGTGCGCGGCGACAACATGACGATGCTCCACGGCTGTGGACCTGCGCGAGCATGGGGGAGATGCTGGGTTTATAGATGCTCTCACTGTCTCATAACAGATGTGTAATACAGAGTCTACAACAACTCAGTCTTCCTCCGTGTCTTTCGTGATATGATGCATAAACCTCCCACAGCATTTTCTACAATGACAGCGTGTCCGAGATGATGATGGTATCGAAAACTCGCAACGTGTGTGGTTCCGAGAGTGCATGCGAAGTGGCGACGAACGTGGTCCCAACCGAAGCCGCATCAGTTGCTGAGCTTGTGCACCTCCTCAAGGAAGTCCAGCAAGCAGCTGTTGCTCCACGCCTGAGTGCGGCAGGAGTCGTTGCAGTAGGCGCCATCCTTGTTGGTAAGCTCAGGCAAGCCGGCCCAAGAGTCCTTCTGGACGTGCTCGCGGGCGGGTAAGATGAGACGATGCAAGTGGTGAAGAGTCTCCTTGATGTCCTGCACGGATAGTGAGCACTGTTCTGTTGCACGTTAGGCACTCGAAAAACCCACCTCCTTGCCCTTGCCCGCCTTCAAGTCGAAGTAGAGGTACGCCCTGAGGAAATAACCGAGTGGCCAACCCCATTCCGGACCCTGTGATAATGGTCAGCCATCTCAGCAAGCGCGCTAAACAGCAAGTCTCCTTACCTGGTGGTAGTTCCACCCCTTGGCGACGGCCTTGTCAATTCCGTCGTTGGCGTTGTCGTAGTACGGTCGGTACTGCATGTCGGCAGGGTCGAGCGTCTTCATTCCCAAAGGAGCGCGCAGGACCTCGTCGGCGAGCTTCAGGGCACCCAAGGCGTGGTTGGGATCGAATAGCTCGGGCGCGACCGTCATGGCGATGGCGAAGTTGGGACGAAATTGGTAGTCAGACCACTCCCTGTCAGCCGGAGTTCCGTAGACGTCCTTGTAGATCCCGCGACGGTTGATCATCTGGGTGTTGACGTTGTACTTCGCATCCTCGCTGGGGTCTTTGCTGATGTCAGAGGCGAATGGAACGAGGATAGAGATAGCACCCACCGAGGGGAACGTAGAAGCATTTCTCAAAAGAGTCTTGAATAAGGTCATTCCACTCTTTGTACGTGATGAGACGCTTTTGGCCACCGACTGCAAATATATGTTCAGGAACGTGTGCAAGCAACGTGTCTCTGACACTCACTTTCGGCTTCCACCCCTTTGAAAGGGAACTTGCCCGCGCTAGAGAGCTCGTCCAACCACCGCAGTGTGCTCTTGAGCAACCCAATGATCTCGACCGGGGCTCCGTCACGCGGGGTGCCAGGGAGACCCTTGTTACCCGCCTTCTCGGACTCGCCCATCTTGTCCATCCACGTCCCACAGTTGAAGCGGTTGCCGCCGAAGATGAGACCGGTCTTCCAGTCGACGTGAACCTCGATGTTGAATCCTTCATCCTGCATCTGCATGTCCAAGTTCGGACCGGCGTTGTACTCGCGGAACGAGATACCGTCGGCATGGCGCTGCAGGATCTCCTGGATGATTTCGGCGATCGTGCTGGTACACTCGTATGCGCGAGCGTCGTTCCAGGCAACCCACGTGTCGTCCTTGGGAAAGCGACGCTTCACGGACTCAGACAGGATGGACAGCCCGTCGGGGGCAGAGACCGAGTAGTCTTGAATGTTCTGGAGCATCCACCATGGAGAGTCGCGAGAGTTATAGCTGAAGGAGCATGAGCGAGCATGAGCGACGAGTCGGTCATAAAACATACCGTGGGGTGCGTAGCGAATCGAGGAGGTTCGGGATGAGACCATGCTTGAGAACCGAAGCAAAGGCCAGGATGTGCGCCTTGGCGGCCTCGAAGTTTCCGGTGGTGAGGAACAGGCCACGGAGGGAGATGAAGACATCCCTGCCCCAGCAGCGCGCCCAGCCGGACGAGAAATGAGGAAGGCCAGCCGCCAACGACGGGGTCGGCTTGCCGGGGTCGAGCGAAGCCGACTTCACTTGACCATACATTTGTACCGAGGTCAAAGCGAGGTTATGTGTGAAGTCATGTCCGGTGGAGACAAAGTTCGAACACTGTTCAATTGCCGAACGACGTGCTGCCTTGTATGCCTCGGAAATAATGACCGCAAAGTACTTGGGTCGAAGGAATGGTGGAGCAGAGACTTTGACACGGTCGAGGCGATCCTTGAGCCACTTTGCGGGATGGGAAAGGTTGGGGAACGTCTCAGTTTGCCTGCATACGAATCAGCATGGCGCGTTCGACGGGAGGAAGAACAAAACGTACTTCAACAGGCGGTCAGAGATGTAGTTGAACGCCCACGTCCCCTCGCGCAGATGGCCACAGAGGGGATGTCCAAGGTCGTTGTACCGCATGATGTGTCGCAAGGGATGCATCCAGCCCTCGAGGCCGCAGTATGTCAGACCGCCCATGTTGGGTACACTGTACGTTCCAATAACGCCGTCTGTGGCGTCACGTTCTTCACCCTCGGCACGATGGAGAACAATGTTGAGATCGACCAGGTCGAGGTTGCCAAAGGCGGCGTCAGCGCCCTGAGAGCAGAAGGCGTCCAGATCGTTGTCGATGCCTTGTAGTTGCGTCTGGAAAACCATGAAGCTTCCCGGAGGGAAGTAGTCTGGAACGACGATCTCGGCGTAAGGCCCTTCTTCGTCCGAGCCTTGAGGAACGACCACTTCTGGTATGTCTACCATCTTCCCTGGAAGACCCCGCAGTGTCTCGAGATCCTCTGGCACATCGTACCCAGAGAATTCGACGTGCGCCCCGAAGACGAACTGGGCCTTCGTGCTGCGTAGTTTAATAGGGGTGACTGGCCCAAGGTAAGCACACCGAAGAGGTACTTCAGGAAGAAGCACTTACTGAAGCCGCGGTCTTTCGAGCCCTTCTGGAACGCGTTGTGGGCGACGAGGATATACCCCTTCTGTGTATGAGGCTGTACGCGGTGCATGACAATGTACTACGAGATGTCAGAATAACAGGAGGGTGGAAAATCACCACACTTACATCGTTCTCTTGGTGGACGTGTCCTTCCTCGTATCCACCCAACGCCATTTCCGTGTGCAATGAGTTGAGGAGTCGCTTCGCCCTTCCGAGACCACTGTATTCTCCAAGGCCCGTCACCTCATACTTCCGCCTCTCGCCCACGAGATTGAGCAACTTGGGATATAGATCGTCGAAGCCCTTAACAGATCCGATGGCAGACCAGGAGAAGGTCATCAAAGCACCAGTGGATAAAGCATCCTCGGCAGAGCGCTTGTGGAGGTAGGATTCATTATCATGAGTGAGGTCGTAGAAGAGCGCATGCGGGACGGAGCCATTGTGGGGGATGACGATGCAGTCCAGGGTAGCACCTTTGCCGGTTGGAGGAGGTAATTCGCCCTTGCTCGTCATGCAAGCACCATCCATGGAACCTGAAAAACACTTGTCAGCAGATGAACGGCTGGGGGAACGAGCAGATATGTACCTATGGGCTTCCCCAGACCGTGGCGGTAGAGCAACCTCGACAACTCCTTGGGATCCCATGCGTTCCCCGCTTCACGGATCAGACTGTTGATCCCAAGACGACTAACGAAGACGGTGTCCATCTCTTCGCTCCCTGTGAACAGCTCGGCGCAAACGTAGAGGTTGGGGTTTACAACTCGAGCTGCATCGAGGAGTGTAACACCGACGTGAAGAGGCGTAGAGTGACAGTTGTCGATGCGGAAGCCTTCGAACGACGTCGCTAGTGAGGTGACATAACTCTTCATGTAATCCCAGAGCCACGGGTTCGACGAGGGACCGTCCCCATAGCGGAGCTTGACGCAGTCGCCCCACACGATGACCTCTCGACGCAAATACGCCTTGGAGGGCCATAGCGCGAAGTTGGAGAGTGGGTCGGCGGCCCAAATCCACCCATTGTTGGCGACAGAGTAAATTTCAGGCTGCTCCTTTTTCAGGCGAGTGAAGTAGACCTCCACAAGAGGGTTCCTAAGGAGATGTCAGTACAGTGAAGATTATGAGTCGAATACCAACGCACTTCTCTGAGATGGCACCCAGCTTTGGCCCGTTGTCGTCTAGTCGCGTGTACTTAATACGATTTCGGATGCTGTCCAGCGCGGCCTTCGTATCTTCGGTCCACTCCTCGTACAGAGGGACGTTCAGGACGTCCACCACCCGGACCCATGCTTCCGCCAGAGCATCGCTCTCCGTCACGTTGACGAAAGCGGCCTTGACAAAGCCTGCAGCGACCGGCCCGGGAACATATGCGCAGAACTTCTTCTCTAGCCTCTTGTGTCCATTGATCTTGCCGGCATTCCGTACTATCTCAGCTAGCTCAACGACCGACTTGAGGGCCACATCGACGCCGTCCCAAGGAGCGACGTCTTGCTTGTCCAAGGCTTCCTTGACGGCGCTGCGTTCCGCTTTGACGTCTAGGACATAGTACTGCCACATGTCGCGCGCTTTCAAGAAGTTCTCGAAACCTTCCACCAGGAGAGTGATGTCCCCCTCCGAAGACACGGTAGTGGGAAGACCGAGAGACTCCAAGGCCGCCGAGAACTCAAGCATGGCGGTGTCGATCTCCAGCGCGGGGGTGAGGTGAGGAGTGTTGGCTGGGCTGAAACCTACGATGACGCAGGATGAGATCAGGCTCATGCGATGGTATGTAGTGCTTACCGGCTTCCGGATGCTCCAACAGCCATGGGCTGTCGTTGGCAGTGTGGTTGAGGACGACATCAGTCAAACTCAGCAGTCCGTATTCGTCCCTGGCGACCTTGAGAATCTCTTCAAGCTTCGCCTTGCCGCCGTCGGAGCCGATGTCCTTGGGGTCGGAGAACATGGCGGGTTCGTAGACGAGCTGGTTCCTGATCGAGTATGGGCTGTCGCTCACCCCCCGCTCTTGAAGAGGAGTCCAATGTATCATATTGTAGCCTCTGCTGCTAGCCTCCGCAAAGTGGTCTCGCCAACCAGAGGTGGAACCCATCCACTTGGACACGAGGGTCAGGATCGAGAGACCATCGAGGGGCAAATTGACGTCTTCGGACAGGACCGACGCGCCCTCAGACGCGATGGTGTTGCCGGAGAGAATGGGCTTCCGAGCCTTGACGCGTAGGATGGGGTCGATGTTGAAGTATCCGTCGCGGCCCTTGACGCGAGATCCCGACTGGGTGCCGTCATATTCGACCCAGTACACAAAAGCGCCTGCATGCGAAATGGGGAGGTCGATTTGAATGGGAGACGAGAAGTCTGTGGGTAACCTGAAGAGGATTGGTTCCTTCTCTGTGTGGGATAAAAACAATGTACTGACTTGCGCTCCACGAACGTATCCCGATCAAACGTGCCACCCTCGAGGGGAAAGTTGGTCTTGAACACTCCGTTCTTCGAGGCCGGCGTTCCAGCGTCCAGGGACACGCGTACGACGTAGGGCGTATAAGCGGGGGGAAGGCGCATATACTACGCGAGTGTCAGTACGGACTGCCGAGCACCCGTCGACGCGTCGATCCGACGTTTTCACGCCGTTCTCAACGCGTCAAACTTATCGCAGCAAGAAGAAAGGTACTCAACGGCTTGATCCTTGTTAGGCCCACCATCTGGATCCAACCTCAACTCATACACACGGATCGGTTCTCCTTTGGCGGCAACAGATTCGAAGAACTCGATACCCTCGTCCGCGGGGTCTTCGGAGTTTTGGGCTCGGTGTCTCGATCGGGTTTGGAGAAGTCCGGCTTTGGGATCTTGACAGAGGTGATGGCCTCTTTGGCCCTCTGCGCTGCCTTGGACATCGCGGAGAGGATGGGGGATGGGGAAGAAGGGAGGAAGCGAAGGAGAGGTCGACGTGGCGGACTCTTTTTAAGGACGATCAGCCCCCGTCGAGACTGGATGTGCTCATCCGTTTTCAAGAAGCCGGACAAGTACGGCGAGGCGAAGATCCAGCATGACGTCAGGGAGTCTCTCTCCCCATTTGGGTGGCGCGCTCAAGGGCGTCTGGTAGGCGTGAGAAAGCTGGCCGGGCGCTCTTTCGTTTGCTCTCGTCTCGCGCGCACTCTCCTCAGCCACACCATCATGACCCTCAAGCTCAAGCCCAGTCCCTCCCCACCCGCGTCGCCCTTCTCATGGGATCTCGCGCCCGGCACGCCTCCACCACCACACACTGAACGGCCGCCGTCGCCACCCACGTCGTGGCTGTCCGCGCGCGATATGAAGACGTTCGGCGCGGAACCACTGGTCCTCGAAATAGGCATCGTCAAGTGCAAGGACTGTCTCAAGCCTGTCTTGCGGAGCGCCATCGCAGACCATGCAGGTATGTCCTTTGAGCATTAGGCGCGGATGTATGCTTCATCGTCACCAGATAACTGCGTGAAGATCCGGAGCGGTGGAAAGAAGAATGGGACGAAGGGCAAGGCAGCCGAGGTCGAGGGTATGTCATGGTCGCCCCGCGCGTCCTCGCCTGCCTGTTTTCGCGTCGCTGACTCCGTCGTAGAGAAGAAGGGGAAGAAGCGCAAAGCAGAGGACGAGGTTCCCAACGCCGATGACCCTGCCACTGCTCCGAAGACGAAGAAGCAGGCTCGCACGCGCGTGAAGGGCCCCGTCGACTTCGACAAGCAGTGCGGTGTCATCAACGACAAGGGTCTCCCATGTTCTCGCTCTCTCACCTGCAAGTCGCATTCGATGGGCGCGAAGCGCTCCGTACAGGGTCGCTCCAAAAACTACGACGAGCTCCTCCTCGACTGGAATCGCGCGAACAACCCGAACTGGGTCGAACCCGTCAAGAAGGAGACCAAGGCAGAGAGGAAGGAGCGCAAGGAGAAGGAGAAGGCCGAGAAGAAGAGGCTCGCGATGGAGGCTGCTGCGGCCGCTGGGGTCGACAAGAAGAGTGCTGCTACTGCCGCAGGAGGGACGGTGAAGAAGGGAAAGAAGCCATCCACGACCGCCGCCGCCGCCGCTGCCGCAGTGTCCATTGCAGCTCACGTCGGTCCCACAGACGACGTGTACGAGAACCCTGACGATGTCGACTCCGAGGCGGAACTCGACTCGCTTATTCGAGCGGTTCGAGTCTCGCATGACAGGGCCATCATCGGTACCCCTTTGGCCGTACCCTGTGATACGAGTTCATGGTTCGTGGGTCGGCGGGAAAGACTACGGACTTGTAACCAGCTTCTTGCGAATGCCCTCATGCCTACTCGAAATGCGTCAGTATCTGTCGGAGGGAGGCTGGCCTGATTCGTTGCTCTAGCATTTGTCGCATGTGAGGTTGAATGTATCCTGTACATTATTAGCCATTGTACATTATTTCACCGCCTGCGCTACACCAAGGGGATCTTCGGTTCTTACCACGTATCCACGTGGACGCATACTATTGAACACTAAATCCGCTGCGCTTGTCATCCGGGTACATATTTGACTCTACGACTCATACCGCCTGACCACTCCGTCGTCTGCCGCAGTCCACACATCCCCACCGATGACCCTCACAAACCGCACCTGGTCGCAGTCTGTCCCCACCAGCTCGGCGCGGACAAGTGGTCCGTTCGGTCGCACGTCCGCGACATATGGCAGCCCGTCTTCCGTGGCCACGGCGACACCGACCCCCGTGAAGGAGGGCGCTCCTAGCGAGAAGGACGTCTCGGACAACGACGCGAAGTTGATGTCCTCAATAGGCGCACTGTTCCTACGGAACGTCGTGATCGGTCCTTCCCCCAGGGTCCGGGTGTCGTGTACGGAGACAAAGCCCGAGGCGGATCCCGTTACAAGAAGGTGGTCTTCCGGGCCATATGCGATTGACTGGAGGGCAGACCGCAAACCCGCCGCACCTGGGGGAGAACGGAACTCGGCGCGCTTCGTGCGCAGGTCGAAGAGCTCGAAGGAACCGTCCTGGAGGGCGCAGAACACCACCTTGTCGTTCGTCTCCACTTCTCGCCCGTCTGGAGCTTCTGCAGGGGTGCCGTCCGCGTCGGTGGCGTGTGCGTCTGGTTTCCACCGTTCTCCGGTGCTGAGGGCAAGGATAGGAATAAAGCGATTTGTGCCTGCGGCAAGTGTTCGGATCTGAGCACTTGTTGGGACATCCCAGAGCCGTAGGGAGCCGTCTTTGGACCCTGAAAGGACGTTTCGCCCGCGAGCGACGATGCCAGTGGAGGTTATAGCGCGAGTGTGGCCACGAAGAGTGCGAACAGGGGTCGCTCTGGTGGTTTCATATCCAGCAGGAGTGTCAGATGGCTCTGCAGAGAGAATGGAGAGTGAGAAGTCCACTCCTCCTGTCAAGAGCACTCTGGAAGAGGGGAAGAAGCGGATGGAAGTGACGGTGCTCAGGTGGGCTTTGCTGATCACCGAGGGCGTTGAGGTGGAGGACGACGAAGGCCGGACGACGACAGATCCATCTTGGTAACCGGTCGCAAACTGAGTTCCATTCGGTGCGACGTCAAAAGCGGTGATTTGTTTTCCTTGCTGAGGTTAGGTAAGTATTCGGTTACGTGCGCAAGGATCTACGACAATATCTCACCTTGCGAATGTCTTCTGGACTGGAGTAGGATGCGCTTGGGACCGCCACCCGAGTCTCCCCTAGAGCGAGGGAGGGGCATGATACACTATATGCACCCTATGTACATTTCTTGTTCTGTGCTCAATGATAGAGAACCAAGGACAGAAGTGGTACTCACCTGGCGGCATTCCTTGAATTCTACTCCATCTTGCCCTCGGAAGATGAGAAGGTCACGATTGTTTTCATCTAAAGCCACGACCGCTTTGCCATGTACTGAAGGTTCCTCTGTCTTGTAGCACGACACCCAGAACTTGTCTTCAGGAACGAGCCCGTCTAACACATCCTGAACGACTGCTTGGAAGTCGTGCTGAACTGTAGAGATGGGAAGTATGATGGGTTGCGCCATCCCTAATGCTTATTAGCGGGAAACACCATGGAGGCGAATATTATGGTCGGCGACTTACGAAGCCAAACAGCTGTTTCGTGGTAGGGTGATGTGGTAGTAGTGGCGAAGAGCCAGAGGTGGCTCAGGCTGACGCAATTCGATGTAGATAAGATTAGATTCAAAACCGGGATGGCATGACAAACTCCGAGCCCACTTCATCCCAGACTCCTACTTCGACACTTTCGACTTCGTTTGGTTGTCCTCATTGTGCACACTGTCCGTCTACGAACAGTTCTCCAGCGCGATGATTGCTCTCCAGCAGGCGACGGCGGCACCGAATCCACTCGCCGTCCCTGTAGACGCCCCAGAGCATTGTCCAGTCCGTAGAGTTCCTCTTCCTTCCCGCGCAAAGTGCTCACAATGATATAAATCCATTGCAGGGTACAGATTCTGCCCTTGCCGGTAAAGCAGATGCGTGCAGCGGGTGTGCCAACCAGGAGATCTGCGCTTCAGGCGAGACCAAAGGCCCGGACCCCGCCCTCCCCCTCGTCCGCGCGCGGATGGCGAGCGTGAAGCGGAAAATCCTCGTCCTGTCTGGCAAGGGAGGTGTCGGAAAATCTACGTTCGCCGCGCAGCTGGGGTGGGCCTTTGCTGCAGACGAGCAAGTCCAGGTACGTCGCCCGTCCCTCGTCCCGCAATGGAAAGCCCTCGGCAAAAGCGTATGGACGTTCTGGGACCGAGGGCACACGGGAGCCGTGTTTTGTGCATTACACCGGGACTCATGCACTATATCCGCAGACCGGCATCATGGATGTCGACATCTGCGGGCCGTCCATCCCCACCATCCTCGGGATCGCCTCGGAGCAGGTGCACTCGTCCTCCTCCGGCTGGTCGCCCGTGTACGTGCAGGACAACCTCGGGGTCATGTCCGTCGGCTTCATGCTGCCCTCCGCCAAGGACGCGGTGATGTGGCGCGGGCCGAAGAAGAACGGGCTCATCTCCCAGTTCCTCAAGGACGTCGACTGGGGCGAGCTCGACTACCTCATCATCGACACCCCGCCCGGCACGTCCGACGAGCACCTCTCCGTCGTCCAGTACCTCAAGGAGAGCGGCATCGACGGCGCGGTCGTCATCACCACGCCGCAGGAGGTCGCGCTGCAGGACGTCCGGCGGGAGATCGACTTCTGCCGCAAGGTCGGCATCCGTGTCCTTGGGCTCGTCGAGAACATGTCCGGCTTCGTCTGCCCGGCTGCGGGACCGAGTCGCAATCTTCAAGCCGAGCACCGGCGGTGGGCGGCGATTGGCCCAAGATATGAACGTGGAGTTCCTCGGCGCAGTGCCCCTGGACCCGCGGATAGGGAAGAGCGCCGATTATGGCGTGAGCTTCCTGGACGAATACCCCGACAGCCCCGCGAGCACGGCGTACCTAGATATTATCGAGAGTGAGTCATACCGCGTCTTCGTGAGAATGCGCCGCTGACGAACGTGCACAGAGATCAAAGGCATATTGGGAGATTCATAGCATTGCGACAGCTTGTGTATTATCATCGTAGACGTGTAGCACTTGGGACATGTACTCTCTAGATATAATGGCCATTCTATACTGGCCGGTTGGCATCGCGGTATGTATGCGTAGGTGTATATATGGGCAGAGGACAGCAAGCAGCAAGTGTATATGAACAAATACAAGACATCAGTAGCTACATGAAGATCATGGAGTCGTAGCACCGTCGTAGCGACAGCTTCCCTCGAATCGAGGAATGCCGTTAGGCGTGTATGTGGAACCGTGCCTTGTCCTTCTCGTCTCTGACCTCTTTCCGGCCTTGGCGCTCTTCGGCCTTCCCGCTCGGTGACGAACCTACGTTGGAGTTGGAGTTGGAGTTGGAGTGCGTGTGAGAGTCAAATTCGTGAGGCATCTCCGAGGGCAGCCCCTCGTCACGCTCGACGATGAACTTCCCAATGGGCGCAATGTCCGCAAGGCCGCCCGCAAGACCCTCGCCGCTCTCGTAGATCGAGACCGTCGAGAGCGTGCGGAGCATCCGTCGCGTCATCGTGTCCCCGAAAGAGGACGCTGTGCGCGAGCGTGCCGGAACCACGTATTCGCCTTGTGGCTGCGACGGAAACGCGACGCTGCTCTCGTCACCAGCGGAGGTCGGTAGCCGTTCGAAGACGGAGCGCGCATCGGGTGGGTGCGCGATTGACGAGTGGCGGCTCCGCCCGGCGTACGTGGAATACACAGAGTTCGTCCTGGAGGGCTGCATGAAACTCGACCGCCGAGTGTACACGAGACAGGATCTCCTTGCGGCCGTTCCGATGAGCGTTCGAGTTTCGATATTGACGCCGCTGGCGAATGAGGCTGAAATGGTGTTGGATCCGGAAGAGGTAGACCTGACATGGATTCTGGAGAGGCGACGTCTCGAGGCTTCATCACTTCCGGTGACTCCGTGGGCGCGGGCGCGGGCTCTTCGGGAGGTTGAATCTCGAATGGTGGAGCCAATGCTTCTGATACCTCAGCTGCTGCGTCAGTTGGCACTTCAGTGTCCGACTCTTCTTCAGGTAGAGGAGAGGGGATATCTGGGGGATGCCACCGGCTTTCCTGGCTGCGTTCGGGCGATTCCTGTGCATCGTAATAAACGGATCGGACTTCTTTGCGGTAGTCTTGGATCTCGTTCCAGATCGCTTCTCGGAAGTCGTCAAGGGTTTCAAGCTTCTCAACATCCTGCCAACGCTCGAAAGGTTCTGGACATGAAGGTTCGTCGGCCACGTCGTGATATGCTGATAGCCATGGATGTTCTAATGCTTGGTCCACTGTCAGGCGAGCTGACGGATCGAAGACCATGAGTTTTGACAGAAGATCGATCGCTATAGACAAGGTGTTAGTAGTACATACAGAGTGGGTACTATGACTGCTGTACCTTGCCGGTCCGCCATGGGTATCAGTTTCTCGAACGGAACCTTCTTCTTCCATGGTAATGAACGGAGGTATGCTTGCGCCTATTACGGAATGAGCAAATGGATCTGATGTGGAAGCAAAACTGTTTACCTTCGGGCTGGCTATTCGAGTGATCACTTCGTCGTCAGGTGTGCCTGTATCTACATTAGTATACAATCGAACAGAGCCATGGAGAGGAAAGTCTATACCAAGGACGTCAAGGATCTTGTTGAGTTGGTCAACTGAAGAGTGTGAGCACGCTGCTGACAGAGATTCATACCCACAAAAGCTAACCATAACTAAGACCAGATGAATAAGCCATGGAGTTGTAGACGAGAGAATGACTCACTCTTTCCCCTTGAACAGAGGCTTCCCTGTCATCAACTCTGCCATAATGCACCCTATAGACCAAACATCGACTGCAACAGGTTAGCAGCGACGGGCGAGAAATATCGTGGTTCGACGCACTGGCAGTGTTATACGCCCTGCACCAAACGTCAGTCTAGCGGTGGTGAGGTATTACGAATGCGACGCACTTGTAAACAAGCATGATCTCCGGAGCACGGTACCACCGAGTGGCGACATACTCCGTCATCATGGTCGGATTCTCGTCAGGCTTGGAATTGAAACCTCTGCTCAGGCCGAAGTCACAAATCTTCAGCTCGCAGTCCGCGTTGACGAGTAGGTTGCCTGGCTTGAGATCTCGGTGCACCACTGAGGCGGAGTGTATGTACTTCATCCCTAGACCGAGAGTCAGAGCCAATGAATCGAGGCTCGTGGACGGACCGCACCTCGCAGGACCTGGTACACAAAGTATTGAACATGCTCGTTCGTGAGGGCTTGTCCCGACTTGATGATCTGGTGCAAATCCGCTACAAACGTTCAGGCACAGGGGCAGCATTGAGAAATGAATCTTGCACACCTTCCATGGGCTTGACATCGTTCGTGAGACGTGAGCGCACGCGAGATGATCAGAGGAGCAACGAACCTCCATGAAGATGTATCTGAAGCAGACGTCAGCTTCCTCCTATCGACCACAACGCGAATGCAGGAAGACGTGCATTTCGCTCAGGTCGGATGAACAGTCGACGTCGATGAGGCCGGTAATGTTCTCATGCGCAAAGTGGCGGAGGATGGTGATCTCCCGGAGGACGCGTTTGGCGAGCGCAACTTTGTCCAGCGCACGGGTGACCATCTTGATTGCCACGGGCTCTCCAGAGATCTCGTCCGCCGCGGAGCTAGCATAGGAGGGAAGGGGAAGGGAAAAGGGAAGGAAGAGGAAGCTCAGAATGCGGGACAGAAATACCATAGGAAGCTCGCACACACACTACGAAGCCATACGCCCCCGACCCGAGCTCGCGGATGAGCTTCCAGCGTTTCTCGACGTGGAACACCTTGCCGAAAGATGAGACGAGCCCGTGATAGCCCCTGCGTGCGCCAGGGACGGCGTCAGTGAACTCGTAGGGCACGCAGAGGGACGCAGATCAGGACTCACTGTCGCTTCGTCTTGGACTCGACGCACGGGGCACCCTGCGCGCGCGTACGCGACCGTCCTCTCGCCCGGCCGTCGTCCGATCCAGGAGAAGGTACAGGGGAGGATGACTTGGCTGGGTCCTCCGACTGCTCGTCGCCCGAGTGCCGCCTCGCTCCGCCGTTGGCACCGGGGTCAGGGTGCGCGTCGCCGTGGCCGTTGCGCGCAGCCTGAGGCTGAGCCATCGTCGGGGGTGGAGGAAAGAGGAAAGACCAAGGGGACCGGCGGAGGGGGGCGGGAAGATAGCACGAAGGAGGGCCGGAGAGCGGAAGACGGGGGCGGAGCAGGAGGCGTGGCCGGGCGAGGGACGGTGTTTATATCGAGCAAGGCGCCTTGGGCGGGGTACGAGACGTTTACATACAAGAGGGGCAAAGGAGGGTGCTTCGCGATAGAAGATCAAGCTACTTAGCCGCAGCCTTCAGGCTCGCCGCAGGAGGGCAGCGTTGTAGGCAGGCGTGTACCCGCGAGACAAGACGCGGTGGCGGCGCTCTCCACGGCCGGGCCCGCAGGCGTGCTCGACAACGCCTGCCGGTCGCACAACCCGGCCACAGCCCCCACACGCGGCCGCGCGAGAGGTCCATAAAATGGGCAGCAGGCCTGCTTGCGGTTCTGGATAAGATGCAGCGCGGCAGCGGCAACCCAGCTGCCGACCTGAGTGCGCGTGCGTCACTGGTGCGTCACCCCCCTCAGCCAGTCTCAGCCTCGCGCATCCTCTTGGGCGCTTTAACGCGCCTCGATTCAATCGGGGCGCAAGGGGAAAGCTAGTGATACATACAGCTAACGACGAGCATTTAATACATGTGAAAACGGGTGATCGTGACGGTGGAAGCCTGCGAGGGGATGAATGATGATGGCACTGAATGTCCTCCGTAGAAATAACATGAATCCAGTGCGTGGGTGTCATTGGTTGCTCGTGGCCCGGCTGTTGGACGCAAACACAACTCTCCCGCGCCCGTCGGTGACGAACTCGGCCGCACGCGGGCAGTCGGAGCTTGATCCAACGAGGGGAAGAGATCTCTGCCGTGTGAGACGGCGGGGCGTGCTAGAAGAAGACCTATGGCTGTGACGGTCGCTCTGCATTCCCTCATCGGCGCTTTCTTCGGCTGTAGCCAGCTCCTGCGAAAGCTTCATGTGAGGAGGCAGTGTCGCTGACGAAGACGTAGCACGAGCACGACGGGTTCTGTTGGACGGCGCCGTGCTGCTCCATACAACCCGTCCGCGACCGTCTGTCATGAAAGGGGGGTCCGAGTCTTGCACAGCGTTGACCGCTTGGTCTGCCGGACGACTCGGGGTAGAAGTTGTGGGGATTGGGTGTGGCGACATGGGTGTAGGACCTGGGGGTGTCGAGCTTGATGCAACGCCCGTGTCTTGGGTATCCTCACCACCTAAACCATGTTCTGCCTCAGGCGAGAGAGATGGACCAGCAGGGATGGGACGCAACCTGTCTAGGAAAGAAGGGACAAACTCCGCTGAATACGGATTCAATGCCGGGGTGTCAGGAACCAATGGCGACGCACCAACGGAGCGTAAACATCTGGAGCGCCGTTGTCGTCCGCTGCAGGGATGTTCGCCCACGAGACACTTTCGGGGAGCTCCGCTTCCGAACGATGGATTGAGGGAGAATCGGGTATGACCACATCATCGTCCTCTTCTTCGAATGAGTCTTCGTCCGTAGAGAAAGCTGGATCTCCAAAGGAATTGACGAAAGTTGCAAGTACAGCACGCTGTTGTGATACGTTAGCGAGCTGCGGCGCGGTAATGCAGACATTACGCTACCATCTCCCTTGAGTCGTAACCAGATGGCAGTAGACTGCGTGTCAGAATCCTAAGCATTGGTTCAAATTCGTCTATGCTGGGACCCCATGCGTTGAAGGCGTGGTCTTCCCTTCGAATACGTAGCCGCTGTTCATTAGGTTAAGAGCGAAAACAACAGATACGCTCATTATAGATACCTCTTGCATGTCTTCCACGCGGTAATTGAACTTATGGGCCTTGCCGTCCAAGCCTTCGTGCAAATAGAAGCAATCGTCTCCGAATGGGCAGAACCGCTTGATGACAGGCGACTTCTCGAAATACCTGCACAACTTCAATTTAGATTTAGTCCACCGTAGATGAATGAGCAATACGTACTTGCACTTCACGCGTGACATGCTGGCCTTATACCCCTCAATGATCTCGGACTTCCTGCAGTCGCCTTCTGGAACAAAGATCGTCGAGGGCGTCACAAACCGGGAAGGCGTACGGCACATCGGACATGTCTTTGTGGTTCCAGCTTCTACGATGTCGGAGGACTTCTCTCCGGCACCGCGCCAACTCTTGATGCACTGGAACAGCATTCAGCATGGTTCCGAGCGATATGGTCTTAAGACACTTACTGAGATGCAGAATACATGGCTACATCCGACTATGAGAAGGAGTAAGCGTGCATCCTCGAGAGAAGGACAAGGGCTTTCGGGACGGTCGTCTCTTCACACAAAACATGCATACCACCAACGCTCAAAGTGAATGAACTCACGAAGTAGCCCGTATGTTACCGGCTTGTCGTAACAGATCGCACACAAGTCGTTATCCGAGGGTTCTTCTGTGCCCAAGTCTGTCTTGCTCGGATCGGCATGCTTGAACCAGCACTTCTCCCCATGCTTGCAATATCCGTTCAGGTGATACCTGCAGACCTTGTTCTTATCGTAAGGAGTTAGGCGTTCTGTGGCGCCGTGGAGGAATCTGCAGCGATCGCCGGCATAACATCCCCGAGGTGTATTACTGCCACAAGACAATCAGGTTTCGTAAAGAGCATTGGTAGCACCGTTAATCCGCCATACGCACTAGTATCTGCAGATTCCGCGGGCTTTGGACGTCACAGGCCGGAGTTGGTCTTCGGCGCCATCCGCCATGCCGTGACAAGTGTGGTTGGACAGAGGACGTAGAAAGGATCGGCGTGTGTCGCTGCGTTACCGCAGAGGCGAGTGGCCTGTTAAGTAGGCGTGCAAGGGGGGGGACCTGCGGTAATGAGTGCAGCTGCAGCCACAAGACGGTGTTAGAGTCAAGACTCGGCGACCGGCTGGGGCGCGCAGGGCCGTATCGCCGAGTATGGAACATTACGTAAGTGGCCACCATCCTCCGCCGCACTGCACGTTGTCGAACGCGTGTCCGTCTCGCCTCCATGTCGCTGTCTTCAACAGCCACCGTCAAGAATCAGATAACGACCGCACTAGGCCCTAAAGCGTCCCTTTACTTCGGCGTTCTCAAGGAGTACCTCTCGGGCCGAATCTCGAGGAACGAGTACGACGAACAGGTCAAGACTCATCTCGATAGCACCCACCTTCGTGAGTATAGTGAATATTGTATTATACGCCAATTGCCCAATAATGTCACAGTACAGCTGCACAATGCGCTGCTAGTGTCCCTCTTTGACACTTCCGCACACCTCACACCACCCACACCTCCACCAGATGTACCTAAGCCACCATCAAGGAAGCGCAAGAGGACACTGCCGTACCAAGGACCAGACCCTCACTACGATCCAGCGACACTGAGGTCCGAGCGTCTGAAGAAATGGTCTGTAGGATTAGGAAGGCGCGAGCGTGACCGCATCCGTGCATTGGAAGCCATGGCTCTGAATGAACCGCCACAAGCGAAGTCATACGTGGATGAGATCGCAGCCGAGCGCGGGGTGGAGCTTCTCAAAGAAAGAGGAGGTACGTCACACAACTCGAACCTGTGTGTATGTACTAGAAACCTGGACAGAATCCCCTGGAAGTCGACTTCCTCTCAATCTTGCGTCCATGACCCGTGGCCCAACGCTGCAGCACATCTCGGAACGCCTCAATCTGATATCCGCGCAACATAATCTTGGGACGCCATCGAAAGAAGTTGCGTCATTGCTAATGCTGGCTTTCGAGGTACGCGCGCTCGAGCTCCTGTGAAGTCCATTCTCACTCATCTCTCAACTACCGCAGGCAAAGCTGAAGCAGCTGATCACCCAAGCACTCTCTTTGACATCGACCTCCCATGCCATCACATCCATTCGTGCTGCGGAACCACACTCGCATAGCTATGTGCTTCCCACATCGTCCTTCGACAGCCTCTTCACCGTGTCTCCCGCCGTCTTGCCCAACAAGTCTGCGGCAGCCATGCGTCTTGCGCTGGGAGACAACGAGCCTTCGGAAGATGACTTTATCCTCAAAGATAGAGAGACGAAGGACCCAAGGTGGCAGCTCTTTGCGTTGCTCGGCGAACGAAGTACGGTGAAGGAGGCTCTGCGGACACTGCATTGATACCTGCTCTCCACACCGATGCCCGAACCTCGTCTTTTGTATTGATTCTTGCTTTGTGTAGCTATGTACCGACTGTTTCATACCATACCGCCCCGGGCTGTGGCGTGGCGGATGGCCGGGCCGCGCTGTCGTCATCGATAGGTGGCATCAAGACCAGCCTGACCGGTCAGCGTAACTGCCCTTCGGCAGCATTCGCGCTATATAAGACTCTCACATGCTCCCAAAGCCTATCTTTGCTTCGCACCCCCACCACTGCGTCGAGCTCCCAAGCAATGGCTGACCAAGTCTACACGTTACGTTGGGGTATCATCTCCACCGGATGGATTTCCATGAAGTTCGTCTTGGTGCGCGTTTTTGCCATTCGCATACGATGCAATGTGTTGAGAATGCCATGGGTAGGACCTGTTGGCGGACCCTAAAACGTACGCTTTCGCTCTCATTGTGTTCTCGTTCTAAATTATGACATTCCTAAATTATGACATTCTGGTGGTGAAGCCGCGGAACTACAGATGTGGCCCACAAGGTCGTCGCTGTTGGCTCGCGCAGTCTCGAGTCAGCGCAGAAATTCATCGACACGCACATGGCAGGCAACAAGAGCGTGAAACCCTACGCGACCTATACCGAGCTCTTGGCGGACCAGGTAAAATGGTTTCCTTACATTCAGACGTTCTGTTGAGTCTCATGTCAGACACCCAGGACGTCCAAGCGGTGTACATTGGTACGCATCTACCTATCATGGCACCTGAATTGTTCCGATAGGCGTTCAATCCAGGCACGCCTCATACCATCCACTATGAGAACGCATTGGAAGCCTTGAATGCGGGCAAACACGTTCTGTGTGAGAAGGCGACCACCGCGAACGCTACTGAGCTCAAAGCCCTGCTCGCTCTGGCAAAGGAAAAGAATCTTTTCTTCATGGAGGCTATGTGGACGCGCTTCCAGCCCCTCTCGCTCGAGCTGAAAAAGATCGCAGAGGAGGGTGCGCTTGGCGACCCGGTCGTTTTGCACGCAGACTTGTCTGCTGACTTCAAGACCGAGAGTGCGTGACCTGCAGACAACCTTCGGGATGGGTATTAAGACTCGCCTTCTAGCCCTTCCTCTTACACATCGTATGCTCGACCCCAAGCTGGGCGGCGGTGCTCTTCTTGACCTGTATGTCTACCTCTTCTTTCACGATATTGCTCCACACTAACCGAGCCTTCCCGTTCAGCGGCCCGTACCCTATGTTCTGGGTGCGTACGACCACCCACGCCTCCACACCACGCCTACTGACGAATGTCAATAGTGCATGCTCGGCCTGTACGAGCACCCCTCGAACAAGGGCGCACGCCCGACGAGCGTCACCGGGTCGATCCTCAAGTCCTCCATCACCGACGTCGACGCGTGCTCGAGCTGGACCGTCAACTTTACGTCCACGCTCCAGGCGCAGGCGGTGCTCACCGCGAGCATGACCGTCGACTCCGCGCCGTTCGGCGCGACGATCCGCTACAAGCGCGGCGTGATCCTCGTGAAGCCGCCGATCTACCGCCCGCCGGCGTTCACGGTCCAGTACTTCGGCGAGGGGAACAAGGTCGTGAGGGAGGAGACGCGCGCGTTCAGCTTCGACGACGGGCAGGGGTGGTGCTATGAGGCGGACGAGGTGGCGCGGTGCGTCCGGGACGGGAAGCTGGAGAGCGGGCTGTGGGGGCATGAAAAGAGCATTATCATGATGGAGACGTTCGACGAGGTACGTGTATGGCGACCGCGCGCGCGTGTGTGGGTCGGGGAACTGATTGCGTTTCGTCTCCGCTAGGTTCGCAAGCAGGGTGGGTATGTGCTGCCAGAGGGCGTTGAGAAGCTTGGTCGTGTGCAGTGAACGACGTGTTGCAGCGTGTCGGTGAAAGAGGCGGTCATGATAAGTAAATGAAGCTTCCGTCGTATAACGGTATAGCACGTGTCATCATTGTGCTTCATATTCTTGGAAATAGATGGCTACTATGGCGGCAATCCGAAGAAGCGATGGGCGGAGGGATTGTATGCACAAGTACATACGATTGCGAACCATAAATCGTCGCCTGCTCTCTGGTGTACTGTAAGATGACCACCTTGGTCAAACAGTCAGTCAACGGCCTTTCCGGCGCGACGGTCAGCCTTTCGTTGTTCCATCTGCAATTACACGTGAGCGACGCAACATACACGGGCGAGTTACACAGAATACTCACCCAGGCCTTCTTGCAGTCCCGGTAGGCCTGGAAGTAATCCAGGCACTGTTCACGGTCGTAGTCGTGAAGGTTCATACAGTTCATCGACGCCTTTGAGGCTTCCGCGCACGGGCTGCACACGCAGAGGGAAGACGGTTGAGTGAGCGGGTCTGCGCTCCCTGGAGTCCTGACCTCGACGCACTCAACGAACTTCGACGCACCCTTCCCCTGCAATACGCATGGTCAACACGCCAAATCAACTCCCTGCACACGCGCGCGGCGGGCACCAACGAGAGGTGGGCTTGGCAGGCAGCGTACCTTGAAGTGCTTTTGGTACGGCTCTGGAGCCGCGTTCGACGCGGGGACAGGCAGCGCGGGCGCGGAAGTCTTGTCCGTTCCGTCGTCTGTGATGCGCGACGTCATCGGTAACTGGCTTTTGCGCCAACTAGGTCTGGCAGAGGGTGCGCCGGCGCGACTGTGCGGCGTGAGGCGGGGGAAGGGGCGGAGGAAATAGCGGCCGGCACGGGGGCGTCGCGACTCGCGACGTCAGAGCGCCCGGCGCCTGCGTTCCGCCCCGATCCCGCGACGAGCGCCGACCGCTGCTCTGCTCCCGTGCTCCCGACTCCCGAGCCAAAGCAGCTGCTTCTTGCCGCGACGCCGCGTCTGCCCCCGATCTCTCAACTCTTGAACTTGAGCTTCCCTCCCGACCCGACTGCACTCTCCTCCCCGACCTCTACCTCCACGACGCACACGACCGAGACGATGGCCACGGACCTCCCATACGCTGCTGACGCCGAGGAGGCGCTGTCCTATGACGAGCTCGATGTGCGTGCTCGCTCTAGGGTGCACCTTCGGCCAACGGTGGCGGACTGATATGGACGTGGCCCGCAGGTTCTCAAACTCCAGTACCAGAAGGAGCTCGCGCAGGCACATGTCACCATCCAGACGAAGTTCAACTATGCGTGGGGGCTCGTGAAGAGCCCGCTGAGGGAGCACCAGGTTGAGGGTGTGAAGTTGCTGCAAGGTGAGTTGATCGCGTACTCTTCTGTCCACTTGGCTCACGACAATGCTGTAGAGATCTACCGTGCCGAGGCATCAAGGCGGAGAGAATGCCTGTACTACATCGCGCTTGGGTACTACAAGATGGGCAACTACGAGGATGCGCAGCGGTTCAACGGTATGTCATGAGTTCTCATCCCTACACGTCTCTCCCTCACAAACGTGTCTTTAACTCTATACTTGCCTCTTCACCGTCTGCAGCCCTATACTCGACAAAGAGCCCACAAACTTGCAGGCCCAGAGCTTGGCAGGACTCATCGAGAAGCGTGTTACACGAGGTACGTCTCGTGGTTGCCTAGACCGAAGCACACTTCTCCCCCCTCGCCATCCTCTGACGCACCATGCAGACGGCTACATTGGCATGGCCCTCGTCGGCGGTCTGGCTGCGGTTGGCACCATCGCCATCGCGTCCCTCATACGGCGAGCATCCCGCAAGTGAGCTGTGCTGGTACTTTGTCTGACCTCCTCTCTCACCCGTGTATCTATGGGACACTCCCCGCTCTGGAATCTATGAACACTGGCTAAACATCATTTACGAACGCCAAAACATTCCTGTCCTCTATCAACGAAACATTACGCCTTTTATGACCGACTCCGGCGCGCTACATGTCTTACTTCTATATTTTGTTATTCTTTTAGTGGCAGTCAACGTTCGTAGGGGCGATGCGGTTCATTAGTTTGTCATAGAGAATCTATCACATCTACTGAGTACTGTGGACCAGGGCCGCAAATGTACAACATATTCGATGATTCGTTAGACGACGATCACGGCACGCATGCGATCCGTTGGAGTGTATGTGTTATTCGTATGAGTACATGTGCACTCAACGAGGAAAACGTGTACACGAGCAGTCCGCGAGAATCCATTCGCCAAGTGCAGGTTGCGATGCCCATTCAATGTAGCTGGAGTACTCGTCGTCGACGCCCGTCTACAGCAAAATAACCGCGCACAGAACCCAGTAAAATGCAGAACGGGGGAGTCAGAGTCGGAGTCGGAGGTTTCGAGCAGGGAAGGATGGGGTGAATGTTGGGGGGAGGTATCGCGAGTCATGATGGCGTCGAGCAAGATGGGACTTCAACTTCTACTCATCTAAGGCGTAATACCGTGGTTGACACGACATGGGGAGGGGAGGGGTTCCGGGGACGGTCACGAGCAGCGTAAAGACGTACGTAGATCGGGCGATACACAAAAATGAAGAAGCATGCGCACGCGCAAGCAAATAACCTAGAACAAAGAGCAAGAATATGACACAGCAGGATGGATACAACGGTACATGCGATACAAACGTATTGACACAGCGATTTCGATTGAGGATACTGCTTGAGGGTTCGTGAGCTTTGTTTTGTTATGTGGGGAGAACTGCGCGGCCTCGGCGTACATCTCGTCGGGTGTGCGCTTGAACGCAACGATACCGACAAGAACGAAGCCGGTGATGACAGCGACCTCGAAGATGATCCACAGAGTGGCCCAAAGATGAGCGGCGACCCGAGGGTACATGATCGACCATTGAGTGGCATCGGAATCGTTTGCCTTGCGGAAGTACTTGTCGTCGGCGATGTCCCCTGCAATGGCAAATGAGCGAAAGGTCGCATAGCCCCAAGCGAGCGGCCACGCACAGACGACGTAAAGAGCACTAGCAGTCTGGTTAATATGGTTCGACGAAGTGCTTGAGACCGTACTCACTTCATCACGCCAATGAACAAGCAGTACCACCTCAGCGCTTGTCTGTAAGAACAATGAGCGGTGAGATGCAAAGCTCGCACTGGTGGGCAAAGTTCACGCACGCGTGGTCAATGAACCAAAATCCGATGAGAAGGGCCTCGTACACAATGGCGAATAGGATTGTGCTTCACGGAGCGAAACGGAGCGCCAGAACCGCGTGGTTTGTCGCATGAATGCGCAGGGCAAGCAAGCGCGCGAAGGATCGAGAAACGAGGACGGGGATCGATGGCGAGTCAGACAGTGTTTAGATATGATAGAAGAAGGACGTACAGCTTGTTGCGCACCAAAGCCAGAGGGGCTGCAATGCCTACGCCAATGACAAAGCTCATGATCTTCGAGACCAGAGTGTCAAACCCGGCCATGATGAAAAGACCTCCGAAGATGGTGGACCCGACGTATCCTGCGGCGAGGATGGTGGGGGGATGACCCCCGCTGACAATGGTTGCGCCGCCCATGTCAGGGTCTATGGATACTTTCATGACTGTCCCTCCCGTGAGGACGGCCTACAGGGAGAGTGGGAAGGAGAAAACAACTGCAGCCAACGGATAGCGCACCATGATAATGTGACAGAGCTCATGCCATCCTATTGTGAAAAGCTTCAGAGGGTTGATGACGACTCTTGCCCCCGGGATATTCCAAAAGGCAAAGATGACCACGGCGTAGACAACGATCTGCAGGGGAGGTAAGAGCGTGGAGGAGGGGCGGAAGACGCGATGCACGTACCACGTAGAGCACAGGGACCTAGCCAGATGGCAGGCGTGAGCACGCACAGGCAAAAGCGTGAGGACCAGGACTCGTGCGCACCTGGTCGTGTGTGGGGCTACGGGGCTCATGTGGATGTGCGGAGCCGGAGGAGCGACGGGAGGACGGGGCACGTAGGGAGGAAGGGACATGGGGTAAGTTCGTGTGCGCCGTATTAGTAGGCGGCGGCGAGGAAGAGCATGCAGGACGAAGGAAGGGCGTGTGCGTGGAGCAGAGCCCGGTGGGGGCGAGGACGCCGTCGTCTGCTCCCTCGCCCGCCGTGCCCGTCCTCCAACCAACTTCCGCCCCAGCCACTCGCCTCGAGGCTCAGGCGCTCAACGTCAACGTACGTCCGATCAGATCACAGCCCTCCGGCGTCTGCGCGCTCCTCGCCCGAGACGCGTCAGTCACGTGCTGCTACACCCATTTTGTTGACGCGACGGCGGAGTTCCAATCTCCAGACGCGCTATATAAGCCGGGGCCACCGTCGCGTCCTGTACCCCACCGTTCATCCTCTCCTCCACCACTATCCCCACCTTCACCGCTCTCAACTCACCTCCAACACGCACAAATGGTACGTATAGACTCTACCTTCTGTCGTGCACCGCACACTCATTCGAAATTGCAGTCTGGCAAGGGAAAGGCGTACGCACTTATCCACATAAGGACCTAACGTGCTCCTCACATACTCTTCCTGAACAGTGGCAAGTCCTCTTCCGGCAAGGCCGGTGGTGAATCCTCCAAGTCTCAGTCGCGTTCGGCGAAGGCCGGTCTTCAGTTCCCCGTCGGTCGTGTCCACCGTCTGTTGAAGAAGGGGAACTACGCCCAGCGTGTGGGTGCTGGTGCTCCTGGTGCGTTGGTTGTCTTAGAGGGATTGAACCTCTCTTATGCGCGCCTTCCTCTCCATCAGTCTATCTCGCTGCTGTCTTGGAGTACCTCGCCGCCGAGATTCTCGAGCTGGCGGGTAACGCGGCACGTGACAACAAGAAGCAGCGTATCGTTCCCCGTCACTTGCAGCTCGCCATCCGGAACGATGAGGAGTGAGTTCGCTTTCTGGGTCCGTAGTACGTGGTACTGATGGTTGGTCAGGTTGAACAAGCTTCTCGGCGATGTTGTCATCTCTCAGGGTGGCGTTGTGCCCTTCATCAACCCCGAGCTGCTCCCCTCAAAATCCAACAAGGGCAAGAAGGAGGGTGCCTCGCAGGAGGTGTGAGGGTCCTTCGTTTGTCGTTTTGTCGCTTGCTTTGTCTCGTTCTTGTCGGGATATGTACATGTATCATTCTGTCCTATGTGTCTCTTAATGACTACTATCGCATGCCATGTATTATGATCCCCAGTGTGTGGTCCCAGGCTTCCAGTTGCACCTCTCGTTCAATGCTTTGGACGTACTGTGTGCTGAATGGTATCGCAACCTTGCAGCGTCAGGTCCAGTGTGGGATCCCCAGGGCTTAACCGTCTAATCGTTTCTCTCACTTCACCCTATGCTCTTCGCCGTCCTCATTCTTTGTCCTTGGGCGAGTACCAGCAATCCTCACGAACTCAAGCCCGAGCTGTGCGTGCCAACAGTAGCGCTCGACGGACAAGACCAGCCTGTTCCCTGAGCGCGCTGCTTTATCATCGCGTGCTGCAGCGTCCAATACATCTCTCCCCTCTCTCTTCGGTGCGCCTGCGTGCATAGAGCGATAAAAAGTCGGCACCAGAATGTTGCTCCCGGGATGCACGAAGCGGAGAGTCAGAAGAGCGAGCGATCTAGGGTGTCCGGGCAGGGGCGGATGGATGCCCCATGTGGGTGCGTCGAAGACAGATGTGAAGACATTTTGATCCCAATACGAGGAAGATCGATGTGCGGAGGAACGGCGGTACTTATATGGTGCGTGTGAGTCAGGGGAAGGAAGCAGGGGCAGAGAAAGCATTTCACGGATGGTTGAAACCCGGGCGTGGAGAGACATACGGAAGGCGGTTTGGTGAACGTAGGCCGAGCGGACGCAGTCGATAAGGTGAGTAGCAGGGGGCGGGGTCAACGGCACGGCGTTCTTGACAAGGGTATGCAGGTGCAGGAGAATAACGGCGGTAGCAGCAAGAGAGCAAAGAAAACAGCAGCGAGGACTGAAGTACTGAAGAAAGCAATGACAGTGGTGGCGATGTCCTGAGTCGCGCCCGGACAGAATCCATGCCAGCGCCGGTTGGCAAGTTGGCGCTTAAGTTCCGGCTTGGAGACTCTTGCCACCAGACCGTCACTGTCCTCGCTGTGCTATATAGCACAAGCCATCCCGCTTGTCCTCGCCGTCGCCGAAAGCCGCCTTCATCGCCACCGCTGCTCTGATAGCCTTGTTGTGACCGCCCTCACTCGTCCTTGCCGCTTCACCGGTTCACCTCTCCCTCGTACTTCTGCACACTGGAGCGTTACTGAGGTAGGCATTTCTGCGACCTATTCAAATCATCACGATGCGAGTGGATTAACGTCCGGAATCCCACCATCACCACCACCACACGGTGCACATACTGTGTATTTAGTTGGCTGCATATATAGTGGTGTAAGTCTTGGAATTGGCTCTTCCGTGGATCATGTTCAATAGGATTTTTCACTGCCTAGTCTCAAGTCGGGCATTGCCTCTGTCTATGGCCATCGTCACGAAGAAGCTGACCGCTCAAGGGAGTATAGGCGACTCTTTTGAGCTCAGCAGCGATGACGATACCGATGTGCTTAGCGACCACGATGTCGGAATTCTCAACATGCACGATATTGAGGCCCTGGACGACGAGATCAAGGTTCACAGAAAAATCCTTTCAGCACTCGTGGCCCGCCGGCGGAGTTTGAGGGCGAAGAGTCTCGACGTCATCGAGCTCACTGATTCCGACCCCGACGACGTGCCCATTCTTTCTGGTCCTCGTAAGCGCAAACGTGGCAAGACAGGTAAGTGCATAGACAGTCTTCTACGAAAGCGCATGTATGCCTCTAATACATTTTACCTTTCATGAATCCGTTGCACGTCTCGGAAGTCGAACCAGATGAGCCGGGACGTAATCACGTCAAGAAGTCATCGACACTTGACGCAATGAACCACAAGGAATCCATGGTAATTGAAGCTGCTAACGTGACACCAGTTGCGCAGCACAAGGCCACGGACGAGCACAAGGACGCCGACGACATTCAACGGCCTCCGAAGCACGAGGAAATTGAAGACGTTGAGCCCACGCAAGGGGAAACTGATCGCGTTAGGTATAAGCACGAGGAAACTGGAATTGTCAGGCCTTTGAAGCATGAGGACACCGACGACAACAATTATCCGGATTCCAAAGTCGACAGCGACGTCGACGTCAACAGCGACATCAAACCTCCGAAGCCCGACATCGGCACCGATGTCAAGGCTAAGCCTGACCCTGATCTTCTGGCGCCATGTGAAGCAGAAGTCATTCATGTTTGTGCACATCTCTCGCTCCCGATGGGTTGCAATTAACCCCGGCACGTACAGCATAAAGTCAAATTCGAACCCCTCCTCCAAGAGGGGACATCCTTGAGGTTCTTGCTCCCAACGCACCCGCGCCGTACCCCGTCGACATTCCGGACGGGTTACGCGACGTCACCGTCACCCGCAACCAGCTGTCGGGCCGCTTTGGAGGCAGTCCTATGGAAATGTTCCCCAAACCCAAGGCCGAAGACCTGGCCCGACACGGTCGCGACAACTTTTTGTGCATCAACCCCGTGTGGAACCCGCACGCACCTCTACGACCTGGACATACCGGCCTTCTCTTCGTGATGAGAGAAATACATCCCATCAAGCAGGCGCTGTTCGTTCGGCTACAGTTGAACAAATGGCAGTACATGGGTGACTACGAGCTCCCGTCCTTCACCCCGCTTTCAGCGGAGCGCTGGCTGGCTCTACCCCAGGATGTGCGTCTCTCTCACTCTCTCACTGGAGGAACTTTGCATTGGCGGGAGCTCACACATCACTAGTCGAAAAAAACGTGGGTCAAATCGGTCATGAAGAAGGAATGGGCCAAGCCCATTCGCGCCCGCATCAGCCTACGCATCTCTCTTGGGCGGGAGCCGATGCAAGATGAGGTTGACGGAGCAATGGAACGCTCTGTCAAGATCACCGACAAGGACGTCGCTGCCGCCTTGAATGACGGCTCTGAGGTGAAAACTGTTCATGTTCACGTGGACGGGCCTTCTCTGACACAATCTCCACAGCGCATCCGAGTTTGGACGCTGAAATGTGTCGGTTACGACGAAGAGCTGGGGCGAATCTGTGCCGAAATCTCCGGCACCCGGCCTCAGAGTACGTCGCGTCCGCAGCGTCGTAGATCTCGTCAAGGATAAAACGCATGACTACTTGTGCTTGGATTGTGGAAAACAATACTTAGATAACGGATTAATCGACAACGAGCGGATCGAGCACAAGCCACTTTCGGCATCGCGCAGATATCAACATAATAAGACCTCAAGGGTAATGGCATTAGAACATAGTGATCGTCATCAGTATATGCAATCATAGATCATAACGAGACTACAGCCTCGGACACTACAATATCCCGAGACCCAGCGAGAATGTAGAACCCTCGGTCAAAGGACAGTAGACCAGACTCAATAGAATATCAGCAAACCGCATTCCGACACATCCCCATTTTCCCACTGTGCGTTTCCCCCAGGTAACATGCAAGCAACATCCCAGATGTCGACCCGTACCGGTGCCCGCCGACTCGTGGTTCCTTCACTGAACGATCTCGTCCTCGGCGTCGCTCGCCATCGTGCGGCGCGACAGCTCCGACACGCGGCTGATGCTGCTCCGCTTCGTCATCGTGCGCGACCCTTGCCGCTTGAGCCCGCTCGCGCCGTTGCCCATGCCCTCGGGCAGCGCCCCAGGGCTCGCCGGGCGTCCGACGAGCGACTGGCGGTTGAGCGAGCTCGCGGGGCGTGGGCCGCGCGAGATGCGGGGCCCGCGCAGGGGCGGCGTGCTCGTCGACGTCGGCGTCACGCTCTTCGAGGGCGACGGGCTGCGCGAGTCCGACGGCGTGGTGACGACGCTCGGCGACGCGGAGCGCCGGAAGCCCGCGGGCACAGGCTTCGGCGCGGCCGGGTAGGGGCGCTCGACGTCGTCGAACGAGGGCTCGGCGAAGTGCGCGGGGCGCGTGGGGGTCGCGGGCTCGGGCGGGGGCTCCTTGAACTGCGGGCGGGGCGGAAGGCCGTCCGTTTCGGGCGGAGGTTCCTTAAAAACCGGGTGCGCAGGGGGAGGGGGCGTAATGGCCGGGGGCGGAGGGATGTTGGCTGGGAGAGGGGGAGGGGGAGGGATGGTGCTGAAGTCGACCGTGCGGCTGTCGTTCAAAGCGATGTCGCCAGGGAGGGGAGGAGGAGGGTGGATGATGGTAGGCAGTTCTTCGGGCTCCTCTGAGAACGATGCAGGCTCGTCGTGGACCATGCCTTGCGGCTCGTCAGTGAACTGACGGGGGCTTTCAGGAACCTGAGGAAGTACGGCGCCGCGACTGCCGTTGACGGCCGTAGTCGCGGCAGCGAAACCGCCGGGAATGGCGGGAACCGGGGGAGGCGACTTGCTGCCAACCTTGATACCTCGCTGCGCCAATTGCTGGGCCTGGAGCTCCTTCAGATCCATGCCGGCGGAAATGCGGGAACGTGACATGCGCATGTCCACGGGACGAGTGCGACGCCGCACGGGAACTTTCCGCTCCGACTCCCGCTTCTTTTTGATGATAGCAGGAGGAAGAATCTCGTCATACTTGCCGAGAAGGTCAATGAACAGCACTGAATACGAGGTAAGCTTTGAATGAGAGAAAAGCACGGAGTTGACGTACGAGTGGGATGACGGTCCTGAAGAGACAAATGGTTCTCGGTCTTCGGCCTGAGAATGGCTATACACGAATCGTGAGATGTTGTCGGGCAAAAGTTATCAAAAAGACGCACAACGTCCAAGGCTGAGCGCCAGCTTCGCAATGTAGACCTCATTATTCTCGGTCTCAGACTCCTTCGTGGACTTGATGAGACTGCCCGACCGTCAGCCACCGACAAGCAAAATCACAAGCAAAACCTACTCCTTAAGGTGCTTGACGATAACATCGAGGACCATAAGTGCACCTTCGGCAGCTTCTGTAGAGCCGCCTGTACGTCCAGGATATGTTGCTCAGTAGTGGGCTTGAGTACAGGATTCGCACTGCTTCCGACGGTGGGATACAGCTTCCGGAACTCGTCCCAGCCCTCATACATGCACAGGGGCGGGTCCAGCTCGAGCGCCCAGAGCCTGACGCCACTGGCAAGCACCGGCGCATCGTACTTCTCCAGCATGTCATGCGGGATGTCCTCCTCGGGCGGTACGGCGCTGAGCGTCTCGCGGAGATGATGCACAGCCGGAAGAGGGACCTCGTAAACCCAAGTCTTGCGCTTCTCCGCGTCAGAGGGGAGCTTCGGGTATGCTTCGACGAGCGCGGCGAGGAGCGCGGAGAGCATCGGGGGCACCTCCTCCTTCTTCTCCCCGGGAGCAGTGACGTTCCAGTACGCACTGTCGGCCCACTTGCGCAGGTCGATGCCAAACACGACGTCGGACTCATCGTGGGCGATCGACTCGTAAACCTGGGCAACAGGGCGGAACGGACCGGTGCGGGAGCGCTCGATGAGCACCTTGATGTCGCTCTCAGGCTGGAACGATGTCATCAACGTCTCGACGTGCACAGTCGAACTGCTGTAACTCGTCGACAGCTTGCCCAATTCCGTGTGATACTGCGCGAGCACTGCACAACGGACCGAGGGGTCAGTGGAGGCAGCTCTATCCAAGGAGAATGGACGCACCCGTCTTGATCGCACGAAGCCGCTCGAGCTCCCACTTCTGAAGTAGCTTCAGGGTCTCCTCGATGCGTTCCTCGAGCCCCAGTCGTCGCTTGTCGAGCTTGCGTACAGCCGTCCGGTAATCTTGATCAGCAGTCTCTGCCTCGCGGCGGGCACGGACATGTGCGGGCTCCCCGTTCGCGTTAAATGCTTTGGAAACGAGACTGGCCAAGCCTCCGGTCCGACCTGCGACATTCTGAGCCAGAGGGGAGAGTCGCTGCTCGATAGGAGTGAGGACGGCTGCCGCAGTCGTCAGGCCCTTGCCAGGAGTCGGTGCGGGTACATCGAGGTTGAAGGCACGGGCGCGGAACTGGTAGAACGCGTCGTCCGCGTTCTCAAAGTCATTGCCAAGGTCGCCAATGCGGCGGAGTAAGTTGAACTTCTCAGTGAGAATACGACCGGCGACCTCCGCATGATCGAGGTTCCCGTTGAATTCCTTCACGTTCTCCTTGAGCCAAGTGGCGAACTCCTCTCCGGAGAAAGCGTCCTGATACTCGCCCAGTAGAGGGAAGCGAATAGGGCGAAGATCAAGGCTCTCCTTCGCCTTCTTGAGCATGGTTGTAACCTCGGTAGGACTCATCATGACGCCTGCAACATCCATGGGAGGCGGCGGAGGCGGCGGCACTGGATCTGTCGTGAGCCTAGGTGGGTTGATCCTGGCCGGAGGCATCGGTGGATCCAACGGCGGGGGCGACATCATGCGCTTGGGCGTGCTGCCGCCAGAACCGACGTCGGACGCGCGACCCTTGCCTTTGTCTGCCTTAGGAGTTACTTTCTCTTCCTCATCAGCGTCGAAGTGCACCTCCGGCTTTGTGGGGAGGGGGGGCGGTGCAGCACCTGCATTCAGCCTGAACTCCTTGAGGCGCGCCGTGATGCGCTCAGACATAGTTGCCTGGCGTTGTGGGGGACGCCTCGCTTCCGTGCTCGCATTCAGGGGTTTTATCTTTGGCGATGTGTACTGATCCCCGACAGGGTGCGTGATGGGCGCAAAGCGAGCACTGCCAAGCCGTGTCAGGCTGCAGAAGTACTCGAGTCAAGTGAGACTCACTCGTCGTCTGCCTCGTCTGCCTTGCGGGTCTTGGTCAGGTAGTCATTCTTGAGCCTGGTAACCTGGATACGTCCGTTTAGGATGACTGTGCGACAAAGACAAAGGTCACACCATACCTCGGCCGAATCATGCTCGTATGAGTACACCCAACCCTCGAGAGTGTTGGCCTTGCTGTCTAAGAGACGATTCTACGCGCAAGGTCCGAGTTTGCACACAAAGTATGAAGCGTGAACCGCGGAGACAGACCTTGTGATTCTCCGCCCACTTCTCAAAGGGTTCCGCGACGTCGACGATCAGCTCTTTCGCCACGGTTTCGTGTAGGAGGCCCTGAGCGATCGTGGCCTCGCGCAGGCCTTTCATGGCCATGTGCAGTGATGCCCCATCATCTTTTTCGAAAGTCGAGTCTGCGAGCATGTCTGTCAATGCGTGGGGCAGGGGATAAACGCATAGACGCACTAGCGGGAGACTCCGCCTTGAGCGTCGCACCGATCGCGAGCTCGGCTGCGGCACGCGCCTACGCAGATGCATTGGATCAGTGCGCGTTTCCTCGAGTTGGCCTGTGACACTCACCCGGACGAACTGCGCGGCCTCAGCGTTCTCTGCATTCCCTGGGTGAAAGAGGTCACGACCACTGTCCTAATTGCCACGGAGACGCGTCGCGCGTACCTGTTCCAGTTGGCCATACAAGACTTCCAGCCCTTTCCGGTAGTCCTCAGTCCAGAACGAGTTGGAGAAAGTGAGCGGGAGCGACAGGACGGCCATGGCGGGGTATTGAACGCCCGTAGTTGCGAAGGGGTATGGGCGCGCGGTAATATTTAGATGGAAGATCCGGGGTGCGGTGACTGAGGGGAGTTGGCGAGGAGCGTCCAAGCGCGAGACGACGTCAGTGCCTAAGCGAAAGGGCTATAAGGGAGAAGGGGGCCTGCAATCGCACGTCGCAGCGCAAGGCTAGCAGGCAAAGGGCGGGTACCGGAAAGAGCGAGCGGCAGGGTGGTGGTCAGGTGAAAAGCGTGCGGGAGGTGCGGTGCAAGTGCACTGGCCTCGCCGACGCGGGTCCACAAAGGCGCCCACTCGAGTGGGGATTGGCAGCGCCCGTACTGCCTCGGAGCCGGCCAGCGCAGGCCTTCCCCGCCAAGCATCTGCGCTCAAACAGGGCGGGTCGGCCTCACTCCAACTCGTGGTCCGCGTCCGCGTCGTGCGCCTTCAGGAAACGCCATCCTTGTCTAGCACCATGCTTAACTCGCACCGCAGTGTCCGATCTGTCACTTCTCGCATTGGCCGTTCCGCACATTGGAGCGGGTCCAGAAAGATTAAGCATAGCTGCATTACTACATGTACTCTACGTTGTCCGCCCCCACCGCGAACGAGCGCGCACCCGGTACGCGCGTCCCCGCCCGCCCCGCACTGCCATACAACACCTCCGAATCCCCGAGTGCAACAGGGGCGTAGGCACCCTCAGCGCCCACCGCATCAAAAACGTTCCCTGGTGAGTCCGGGAATGTTGATGTCGGCAGCTGTAATAGATGGGGTGGCTGCCGCGTGAGGTAAAGTCGTAGAAGCGAGTCCTCTGCCGCCTGGATAGGAGCCATCAACCAAAACGGAGATTCCTTCGAAGTGAATTGACTTACACGGTACTCCGCCATTTTCAACGAGCTGCCAAACCCTTCTCCAAGCTTATCCGCGCCGGTAAAGATACCCACGACGAATACAGGCGAACCTGAGAATCGACCCGTCTCCTTGAGCAGCCTGTCGAGAATGTGTAAGTACCTCATATAAGAGCACGAGTACAGGGCAGGAAGGGCACAACAAGACGTCGTGTGATGTGCACCACAGATCACCAGAGGAATCTGGTCGGCCGTCTGTGCCATACATATAATTACGCTGACTGCAAGATAGGATGAAGTGCAATCGCGTGGGGAGGGGAGACATGCCGACGTGGCCGGATAGCATCAGCTCTCCTGACGCGAAATGCACTGTCCATCACTTCAATAGGTATGCATGGCATGCTCCGCAATCGACCAGATTCGAGTTGACCCAACACGCTCTCACAGACCGCGCAGACCGGTGGAAAATCGCAGCAAAAGTACAGTAACGCACCTGGAGATAGGTCGTTCCCTCCCAAACTTCGCAACTGTGTTCAGCAATGACTGCTTCGGATCCTTGAACTTGATCATAGCCTTCATATCAACCTCCCGACTGAAGAAGAACTTCTCCGCAAACCGTCTTGCAGCGTGAAGCGACCGGTACTGGTACACCAGCGCTGTAAGCGCTCTCGGCACGGATGCCAGCGCGTCGTCGTGCAGGACAGGGTCACTCGCCGACGTAGCAGACTATGCACAAGGGATCAGCACTGAATAAGGCAATGATCGCGAAGGATTATACACGTACGGTGCGATGCCAGCGCAGAATAGGGCTTACGCCCATTTCACGCGCGAGACTCGCGCATGTCGTCGGACCGACGTGCGCGGTAATGGCGGCTTTCACGACGCGGGTGGGGAGGTGCGGGTAGGAAGAGTTCACGAATTCTGTCGCGAAGAGACCAAGGAGGAGTTGCCAAGGGTCGCCATGGATGCATTCGTGGCAGGGAGCGGCTGGTCCGGGTGGTCCTGCGTATACTGGGGGACGAAGGAAGGGTGCGTGCATGCCTGCTGAATGACCTCCATGGAAGGCACGACATTCCCGAAGCCTATTCGATGCGTGAACGCGGCGAGTGTCGAGCGTGGCGGAGGCTGAGCAGAGGCCCATTTGGGGGCGTCGAAGTCGACGGATGCGCCAGGCAGAGCAGCAGGAAGGAGGATTTAGGAGGGAGAGATTTTATGTGTTGTGCAGAGACATGGGCGAGCTTGTGAGCCGTGATCGCGACCTTGCGTTGCGCATAGCCCATTGGTGAGTGTCTCCGCCAGCACGCGTTCGGTGCAGGACGCGGTCCAAATTTCGGCCCAAGGGCGACCCCACGGACCCCTGGCACTCTTGCGCGTGACCGTCGCGTCTTTCATGGCGCCTATTTCCAATATTCGCTTCAACGCTGCTAGTGCTTCGCGAATCGCGAGCTCGTGTCCCACCCCCAGCGCCGACTCCAGCGCCGTGTTTTGGCCCAAGAAAGCACCTCCCATCCTCTGAACACCTGTCCGCGTATTCCTCGCTCGTCATCAGGCTATTTGGTTGATATCGCGGGAAAAGAGAGGTGGAGGCAGTCAGATAGGCCCTATGTATTCCCCGTGTACCTGATAGCGCTCTAAATATTGCGCTGCGTTGCGTACGTCGCTTCTTGCCCTTGTACCTCCACCATGTCCTCGAAGACCGACTTTACGAAGGAGTCTCTGCTCCCCTCGACGGCCGTCGAGCCCGCTCCGGTGCAGAAGAGGTGCAGCGTTGGCCTCCGTGTTGTCAAGGCTCTTCTCCTCGGTGCCGCTGTCTGGATTTCTCTCAGGGCTCTGGGTGTTGCACCTTCCTGCCACTCGCTGTCGGACGCGCTTCTTGACAGGACGTACGATGCGCAGGAGCAGTGCCCTCAGGTAATCCCCGTCACACCGGACACCAACGCGAAGGTCTGGGCCGAGCTCGGTGAAACGTATGGCTCCAATGCGTTTAAGCTGCGCGCGGTGGAATGGCTTGGAGGTGCAGTTCGTGTCCCGTGAGTGCCACTGCTATCTTTGAAGATTATGCTCGGCGTAACAAATAACGTGTTCGTGCACAGCACCCAGTCTTACGATAAGATGCTGCCGTCGGCGAAGATCCTCGCTGGGACGCATTTGGTCCATTCCACGACTACCTAGCGAAGGCATTCCCGCTCACCCATTCGACTCTTTCTCTCGCCAAAGTGAACACTTACGGTTTGGTGTATGAGTGGAAGGGCTCCGACGCTTCCCTGAAACCTCTTCTTCTTGCCGCTCACCAAGGTGATCATCTAGCTTTCATCTATCTCGGGCCCACGCCCGTGGTGCTTATTCGTCTGGTCCTCAGCGCAATTACTGATTACAATTATTTTCTCTAGATGTCGTTCCCGTCAACCCGGACACTGTGAATGAATGGATCCATCCTCCGTTCTCCGGTTACTTCGATGGTATGCACAGTCATCATTCTTTCACGGGCCATTGGCTCAAAGCGGGCAGGTGAACGCATCTGGGGTCGCGGCAGCTCTGACGACAAGAGCGGGCTAATCGGTATCATGTTTGTATTCACGACTTGACTTTCCCTGGATGGCACTCATATTATTCTACAGGTCTACTATCGAATCCCTTCTTGAGAAACAGTTCCAGCCCACTCGTGGCGTTGTACTCACTTTCGGATTCGACGAAGAGGCGAGTGGCATCTACGGCGCCTCATCATTGGCGAAGTATCTTCTCTCCACCTACGGCGAGAATGCCTTCTTCATGCTCGTCGACGAGGGCGGTGCGTTGTCCCTGACATCTCACCCACATATTTCAACATACCCATATCACGTCCAGGTGGCTTCGCTCAAGAGTACGGCGGTGTTGTGGCTACCCCCGCTGTCGCTGAAAAAGGATACATTGACGTTCGTGTTGAAGTCACCTCGCCTGGCGGGCATTCAAGCGTGCCTCCTTCGCACACTGTAGGTTCTTCATGACCCGATTTCGCTAGTATTTTCATGACCTTTCTCATTCACCTATCAGACTATTGGCATCCTCTCCCAACTTCTCGTTCATTACGAGGAAAACCCCTACGAACCCCGTCTTCACCGTGGCACTCCCATGTACTGGAAGTCTCAGTGCCTTGCGGCTCATATCCCTGACATGCCTCACAAGCTGCGCAAGGCTCTGAAGAAGGCCGTCAAGTCGGACAAGGCGCTCAAGGAGGCCGGGGATATACTTATCCAGACCAAGCAGCTTCGTGCGCTCATTGGCACCACCCAAGCGATCGACCTGATCAACGGCGGAGTGAAGACGAACGCCCTCCCTGAACAAGCCTGGGCAGTGGTCAATCACCGCATTGCTACGGACAGGTGTGTTGCGTGTCCATACATGTTCCGCGACCGAGTATGCGCTTAACCTGTCTGGGTAGCTCCGTTGACGAAGTGAAGGCGCATGACACAAAACTCTTGAAGTCTTTGGCGCACAAGTTCAACCTGACCTACACCGCGTTCGGGTCTCAGGTCACCGAAGAAGGAAGCCCGGCGTATGGAACGCTTACCATCACCGATGCTTGGGGCGTGGCGCTCGAACCTGCCCCCATCAGCCCTATCGACGCTCCGGAGTACGCTTTACTGTCAGGTACTATCAAGGCCGCGTACAACGCCCACCGTAACCTCCAAGGCGACAATGAAATTGTCGTCGCTCCAGGAATCATGTCCGGCAACACGGGTATGTGCCGACTAATGTGCAGCTAGTGGCGCGCAAATCTTGCACAAACATTCACTGACGACGGCGATCTGGGACATGCGCAGACACTCGGTACTACTGGGCGCTGACGCCGCACATCTACCGCTACAACCATCATAACTCCGGAAACACTACGTCGCTCAGTAACGGCGTCCACACCGTCAATGAATGTACGTTTGTGTCGTGTTATCCTGATACCCAAAATACTGACTGAGGCTCGCCCAGTCCTGGAGGCGGATGCCTTCCTGGAGCAGATCAGGTTCTTTACGACCTTGATTCTCAATGCGGACGAGTACTCGGCGTGAGAGTGGGCGAACCTACCTGTGACAGGAGTATATCGCAGTGTACACGTATCCGGATCGTATGCGTATGAATGTAGTGCTCGGCGTGATGCTGGTTGACTGCCTGCTGGCGTGGATGAGGGGCGGGCTGATCTGGATTGAATCATGAGGCAGTGAAGTGGAGAGTGTGACACAGACCACGTGGGAGGTGTCACGCAGGAGCTGTACGCGAAATTGGTGTCCCGAATGCATGAGCGAGATTGAGCTGGTCCCCGCTATACCTGTTGGCTACCCCGTCCCCCTCATCCTCCTCTCCTACTGCCCGCCCATCGTTAGCCGTGCGCCGCGGCTCTGACGCTGCCATGAGCGGGCCCGATTACCCCAACAAGCAGTCTCTCGACTCCGAGTCCTCCAACTCGGACTCCGCAACCCTCGCCTACATGGCCATGGATTCGGACCATGATCTCCAGCCTCCCCGTTCGGCCCTCGCAAACGGCTCTCACACCCCTCGAACCGGTCTGACTTCCCGCCGACGGATCGCAACGGTCCCCCCACCAGAGCGGTGACCCTCGACTCCCCCCACGACCGCGATCAGCGACCGCCCCGACCAGGGGACGACCGCCCCCATGCCCGGAGCGAGGACCTCAACCACTCGTCGTCTTGGAACGGGCACGATCCCCAGTCCATGAACCGCGCCATGTCGCAGTCGCCCGCCCCTCCTTTCCGCGGCGGGAGCCGTCCAGGGACCCCGGGCAACTCCCAACCGCACCCGCCCTCCTCCTCTGATCATGGCGAGCCCAGCCGCCCTCGCAGCCGGAGCGCAAACTCGGACTCTTCGGTGGCCTCGGATCCACCCACGCCCGGAGGGAGCCAGAGGGGAGCGTCGACGACAACGCACACAAGCTCGAGCGTTGCCTCAACGTGAGTCGTTTCTTTCATTTGATGCATATCCCCTACACCCCTCCATCATCACTTGGGGGTGCCACGGGGGTAGGGCTGGTTGTGAACATCGTCATTGACCACGCATATGTAGGCCATGCGCGGCGTGCGGCAAGGCAATGCAGGGAGCTTTCGTGCGGGCATTGGGTGCTGTATACCATCTCCAGTGTTTCAAGTGTATGGTGAGTGGTTACGCGCGCTCTGAGTGCGATTGGCCGCGGTTGTAACTGTCCTGCAGGATTGTGGTACCGTCGTTGCGTCCAAGTTTTTCCCTATCGACGGCCAAGACGGAAAGCAGCACCCCCTTTGCGAGCGGGACTACTTCCGGCGCTTGAATCTGATCTGCGCGAAATGTGGAATGGCGTTGCGCGGGAGTTATATCACGGCATGCAGTGAGTGCTTCGGACCCTTGAAAGCTGTATATGAGCGATTCAAGCCCGATTTTCAGACAAGAAGTTCCACGTTGAGCACTTCACTTGCTCCATCTGCCCCACACTGTTTGGTCCGCAAGACTCCTATTACGAGCATGAGGGCGACGTGTACTGCCATTTCCATTACTCAACGCGATACGCGACGAAGTGTGCCGGTTGCAACAGCGCTATCCTGAAGCAGTTCGTGGAGATCAATCGTAATATGCGGGATGAATGTTGGCATCCGGAATGCTACATGATCAACAAGGTGTGTATTGGGGATGGCGAGGTATGGTAGGACGCGTGCTGACTTTTGTTCTAGTTCTGGAATGTCAAAGTCTCCTCACGTCGACCGAACAGCTTGCCACCACCAGGAGAGGATGGAGAGCCAGTCGAACAACTGGAGCCTACCTATGTAGAGGAGGAACGCCAGGAGAACGCTCAATCCTTGAGGGAGAAGCAGATTCGGATGGAGCAGCAGGTATATCGGATATGGACGTGAGTATCAGAGCCCATCCCACCCGACCGTTCACTGACGCTGCGCAGTGTCCTTTCTGCCTTCGAAGAATCCAGTGCAGCGTGCATATCCGATATGCTACGACAAGTCAGCAACGGGCAGTATCTTGAGGCCATTCGGATGGCCGAAAAGTTCATCCTGCATGTCGAGGTCCTATTTGCGACTATCGACGACTTGGAGTTCCATTTCGCTAGGATGAGGCTTAAAGGTAATTTCCAGACTTGCTTTGTGGGCTCCGATGGCTCACGTATGACATGCATGAAGGAATGTCCCACGTGCGGGAAGCGAGGATGCTTTGCCGAAAGACAGTCGATCTTTTTACTCTCTTGTCCCATACGCAGGAGACCGGTGCACGGCGCATGGGCATGACACAAGAGCTTCTCGCTCTCGTCACGGGTTTGGCGCATTACCTCAAGATCCTCATTCGTATCGCATTGACCGGTGCGCTGAAGCTCGAGCGGGAGCAGGAGGTCCACGATGCCATCACAAACTTCCTAGACAAGCTTCACATGCTCGCCATCCAGGGCAGTAACGCTTCTGCTCGTCGAATCATGAAGCGCGCAAATGGCGATCTCATCACGCCCAACGAGAATGGCAACGTCGGCACCCAAGGCGTCATGTACGGTTTCAAGAGTCTCGCCCCCGAGAATGCTGGCGAGAGCCCCTTCAGTGCGTCACCAAAGGATCCTGCTCTTTCGAAGGTCCCCGTCGTCAACCCCCCATCCGACCTTTGCGTTAAGTGCAACCAGACGGTAGAAGAGGACTGTGTGCGGTTGGGTACCTACCAGAGATGGCATTCGCACTGTCTTGCTTGTCAGACGTGTGGCAAGCCCGCGGCGATGCCGGCCATTAAGGAGCCCAAGCAGGAGGAACCCAGAGATCCGCAGGACAAGGATTCGAAGCCAAAACTCTCGACCGCTCGACGGCCTCCGGCGAATGTCAACGCGTTTGTATACGAGGCTGACACGATGAAGGAGACTTCATCGTTCGGCACCGTACCAACCGTTGTCTTCTGCACGGATCACGCACACCAGGGATGCCGCGGTGGCTTCCAGGCTGTCTCGCGCTTGGAGCAGTATGCCTTCCTCCTGAACGTAGCTCTCCGACGGTTGTATGTGCTGCTTAAGAAGCGCGGTGTGGTGCCCCTCTCACCTGGTACGTTGGTCGCTTTTCGTTCCATTTGCTGTATGTCTCAATCTAGGGTCAGCTGCAATACCGTCGTCTGGCCAAGATCTCGACCGGGATCCGTACAGGAACTCCGGCGATATCAATCGTCTTCGTTCTGTCCACTTGGACCGCCAGCTGTCGTCGGCCGCTAGAGTACCAAAGCGATCCACAATCGTCGAGAGTCCGACAGGCAAGATTGCACATTCATCAGATGCTGCACCCTCGCACCGTACCCCACACGAGGTCGTTCCGAGCACTCGTCAGCCTGTCCCTCAAGCCGCACAACAAGGTATGGCCAAGCCGGCGAAGGGGCCGGGCCAGATTCAAACCCAGCAGCCTGTGCAGCAACGATCCTTGCCTTCTCCAGGGGCTATCGACACGAATGTCCAGTCACAGGTTATCCGGCCGGCGTTTGCTCGAGGAAATACGGCCGTCAAGATCGTCGAGGAGTACGGCCCGAACTCGCCTGCAGGGATGGGACCGGAAGACGATATGGTTGGCGGTATCGAGGACGGAATCACTCTCGCGGACATCCCCCAGCTCGTTGAGGCCGCTCAAGCACGTGAGCAGCGACGGTCGCTGCCGAGTCAGAACTCGATCCCATACATCGCAGAGCTCAACCCGGTTCAGCTTGCTGTGCTCAAGCACTGTGCGGTTTTGGTGCTGCAGCGGTCCCCGTTGCGAGACCAGTTTGACCTGGACGAGATTCTGGAGCTCATCGAGGTCAAGAAGAGCTCTTTCTGGAAACAGCTCTTCAAACCTGGTAACGACAAGAAGAACGTGAAGAAGAAGGGTGCGTACCATCGTGGTTCGTGCTGACAAGGCTCTGGGTTGACCAGGTGTTTTATAGGTGTTTTTGGCGTCCCCCTGGAACTTCTGGTAGAACGCGAGGGCTCTGACTCGCTTCTCGGCGCTTCTCGCGCAACTCTTCGCATTCCAAGTTTCGTCGATGATGTCATTTCGGCTATGCGACAGATGGGTATGTCCCCAACTCTCTGAGGACCATGGTGTTTACTGATGAATGTTTAGATATGTCTGTTGAGGGTATCTTCCGGAAGAACGGAAACATCGGTCGATTAAGGAAGCTCACTGACGCGATTGACCGCGATGCTTCTTCCGTCGACCTTACACAAGACAATCCCTTGCAGCTGGCCGCGCTGCTGAAGAAGTTCTTCCGAGAACTTCCTGACCCGCTGATGACCTATAAGCTTCACCGGCTGTTTATTGCCAGTCAATGTATGCGCTCTACTTCATTGAGATGCCTACCATGACTCATCCTTCTTGACAGCACTTTCCAACGACACGGATCGACTACGGATGTTGCACATGGTGTCGATCATCCTGCCGAAGTCTCACCGGGATACGATTGAAGTACTCTTCGTCTTCCTCAAATGGGTTGCGTCGTTTGCGCATCTAGACGAGGAGACTGGTAGCAAGATGGACCTCCCGAACCTTGCTACTGTCATTTGCCCGAGCATTCTGTACTCGCGTGGCCAGAACGCGATGAGGGACGAGAGTTTCGGCGCAATCAGGGTGGTCACAATGTTCTTGGAGCATCAAGACGAGCTCTACTGCGTTCCCGAGGAGTTCCTTCCCGCCATTCAGGACGAAGAGTACTTTTCGACCTGTATGGAGCTCCCTAGTCGGGAGTTCCTGAAGCGCGTCGACAACTACATGCGCGTTAAGACGGGGGGCAGAACCCCAGGCCTCACTTCGCCGGTCGTAGGCAACACGCCGTTCAACTTCAACCCCGGAACGCCTGTTGGTAATGAGGCTCGCATTATGCCTCCGAGGTAATTCAAATTCTCCCGTCATTGCCGCGTAATTCTAAAGATATCTGTAGGTCGACGCAGTCGAATCCGCAGTTCCTTGACCGGCCACCGTTGGCAGCCCTGTCACCGTCAGACGGACTTCTCAGGAACGGCCTCCCACAAGCCGGACGCCCTCAGGGTAGTCAACTGCAGCATCAGCCGTTCTCGTACCCGGGAACACCTCAGTCGTCGTCTCAGCCTGCACTTGGGGCAATCCTGTCCCCACAGCCGAGGATGCCTGCAACATGCAGAACATGGCCAGCCCGAACGGCGAGTGGGGTCTGGATCGTCCTCCGGTGCTACAGGATCCTTCCTCCCGCTCGCGGTCGAACTCGGCGTCGCGTACGAGTAGTGAGAGCCCTCGGCCGTTCGCCAACGGCCAGCAGCACCTTCCCCCGTAGCAACAATAGCACGACGATCCTGACCTCTTCCGTCCTTCCCTCACGCTCCCGCTTACCCCGCTGTACTCTGACCGTGCCTGCTCCTCCTCACTCTCGCCACCCCTACCTGACCATCCAATCAAACCGTCTGTATCAATTCGCGCCCCACTCATGTCTGCCACGATCCACGCCCACATCGCACAGCAATGAGCTCGCGAATCATCCACGTATGGCCCTTCCCTCCTTCTCGTCCGTCACGTTGGACTTTTTGCACGCCGCCCAATGCCCTCCGCCCATCGTCACGGTAGTCGTACCTGCACTCATCCGCATATAGCCAGCACCGCACTCTGCACCACCCTCTCGTCCGATGATCGTCCTGTTTTTCCCGCTCCCCCCTTACTCTTTAAATTTGCCGCGTATCTGTACTTCACCTTACGTCATTTAACCTATAGCATGGACGAACATCTATACCCTCTTGAGCTCGGCCGCTGTGGCAATGACTTCTCGACATCGGATGTTGTGGACGAGGTCGTTGGCTGTTGCAGAATCGGCCCTGTTTATTCAGACGGACCCTTGATTGTCAGTGGTACTGAGTAATTCATGATGAGCTTGGATGGCTGCACTAATCTGATCCTTCTCGAGCGACATGGGCGATTGGCAGCCCGAGAATGTCGGGTTCGATCATGTGACTCACGTCATGCCGCAGTCGCGTCGCGTTGGGCGTCGACTGAAGTCTTCGTCCTTTACCACCATCTCTCCCGAACATACCCACCGGTTCTCCCTGTTTGCCCCACTACCCGCCGGTCATGAATGGTGCTCCAGCCTCGGCAACGCATCCACCGCCGCCCCTTCCTCCCCCACAGGACCCCTCCCCTCTCGGCGAGCAGATTCATCAACAGCCTTCTCCTCCCATGCCCTCGAGAGCTCTCCACGAAGGAGCGCAGGAGATAATGGCGTTCTTCGCCGACAAGATCGCGGGCATGGTGGCTGCATATAACGCGAGGATCCACGATCTCACGTTGGAGCGCGACGCTGCCTTGGCCCAGCACGCTGCTACCCAGAGTAGACTCGAGGTGGCGCGGGCCCAGATGGAGAACACTCTGCGGGATGCGAGCGAGCTCATGTCGCTGCGGGAACTGCAACTACAGTGGTCCAGGGATTACAATCAGCTCATGCTCGAGAGGGCACAACTGGAACAAGATAAGGGTGCTCTCCAGGAGCAGCTCAACCAGCAAAAGGCAAGGCTGCAGGAAATGCAGGGTCAGATCGATACCCTACAGGCCACCCAACAACATCCGCCACCCATGTATCCATTTCAGGGAGTCGACGTGAGTCCTCCTTGATATCTTCTGCCACTTTCATACCTATATTCCTGGTAGATTGACAGCCAAGCTGACGTTCTACAAGCCGGCTTTGGCGATGGGTCACTCGACGAGACCGCAATGACCATCTCGCCCGCATTTCTCTCGACGGAGCTCTTCTCGGAAGGTTCTGTCTCGCCAACCTCTCATTTTGATATCTCAACGCGGTTTTCCTCACCTGGCACCAGTAGTGTCGCATTCCCCTTTGATCAACTTGAACCCATCAACACTTTCTCACCCCAGCGGCCACTCGACTTCTTCCGTCCCTCCCCCCTACCTCCAGGCTTAAACATTCACGAAGGGACACATCCGAACGACGATGACACCCCTTCCCCTTCCCCGCACTCGTCCTCTCCAGACACCCCAGACACCCCCCTCTTATCCCCCGGCTCTCTCGGATCATCGTCGAAGACGACGGACAAGGGAGACGTCTGGGCCGTCTTCGACGAGCTTTCAGACCTCTCTCGCTTCGACTCCAGGCCGTCCGACAGCAGCCCCTTGACGTCCGCGTCGAGCGACTCCGAATGCCAAGATGACGTGCGCAAGGCCCTGGAGCTGAAGATCACGGTGCCCGAGTCGATGCGCGTTCGGTCCCTCAAGATGCTCGCGCCCCTGCCGGGGTACTCGCACCCTGGAACGAGCTACAAGCAGGAGCTGATCATACTTTCGGACGCGTCCGCCGGCTCCACGGACGAGCGGAGGCGGGGCGTGATGGCTCGCCGAGCGCGGCCTCGGGCTCGAGCTCCGCGCCGCGAGGTGAGTCGTGCGAGCCCTCGACATCGTCTGCGTCGCGTTCGTCGCCGATGTCGTGTTCGTCGGCCATTTTCTCAGCATGAGGGCAGGTCCCAGGGGATGACGAGGGGCGATGGAGAGAAAACGAAGGGAGTTCGTAGTAGAGATGGACCACGGACTTTGGCCAGAGACTTGATACCCTTCTATGTCGATACCGTTTTGCAAGTGTAGCGTGGAGCAGCAGACTTTTCCGTACCTTGTACATCATAATCCCACTCATGTCCATTACAAACAGCGTAGGCCGACGTTGACGCCGTGTACAGCGTCGACTTCCCTTAGTTTGTGCTCAAATGCGTCAACCTACGAGGCACAACTGAAAGGCGGGGATCTGGTGGGATTAAGGTGCCACGGACCAATGGAGCGATCCCAGGGATGATGTAACTAGACACAGATGGCTGCACAAAATGCATCCAGACGTGGTGCTTAGCTCCCTCTCAACATTGAAGTGATGCATAGCGTGCCGATCTGTGACAACATGGACTTATCACACGCACGATCTACACACAGCGTTGAAATAGTACAATGCAAACAGATATGCGTTTCCGGTGCGCATAGAATGCATGGATTACTTTTTGAGACTACTGCACATGGAGAAGAGCACATAAAGATCGTAAATCCCGGACCTCTACTTGAGAGGAATGCTGCGGAGGAATCAGGATGTTGTCGACGGCAATAGAAGTTGGATGGACGCACAAACGCGACGAATGGGTAGCACCAATACCGGGGCGACCGTGCTTGACAGGCTTGTACGAGCACGAGAATTCGGCAAGGTAGTGGCCGACCATTTCAGGCTTGATCTCAACCGAGTTGAAGACCTGCGAGCGCACGCCATGAACATCCCTCTTGGGCCAACCCACCCGATATGATGTACGCACCTTGCCGTTGTAGATACCGACGACAGAGCCGATCATCTCTGGAACGACAATCATGTCACGGAGGTGGGTCTTGACGACCGCGGGCTTTTCGTTGGGGGGCGCCTCCTTCTTAGCCTTGCGGAGCTTCTTGATGAGACCCATAGGCTTGCGCTTGAGACCGCGCTGGAACCGCCTGCGAGCACGGGCATGGACGACCTATACGCACAAAGCGAATAGGCGTGTGAGGGAAGAGTCCTGCTAGGGGTGTCTTGATCATGAGCGTACCTCAACGAACTACATTCGCCCAACCGTCAGCGAAAGGTCAGATCCATAGTCATATGGAAGGCGTACCTCTTCGTTGCTCAGATCCAGGAGCTTATCGAGCTCAATGCCACGGTAGGAGAAGGTGCGGAACGTCCGCTTCTTCTTGAGGTCAGCGGCGACTTGGGGGTCAGTGACGGAGGAATCAGCCTGTAAGTTCGTAGAAAACGGCACCGTCAGCACTTCCGCTCTCATCGCCAGACGCAATAATGGCAGCACTCACCATCTTGAGGGTCGGAGGCGGTCTTGCGGTGGGGGCTGAAGGCGTTGGTCGGTCGGTCGGCGTCTTTGGAACGGAGTCTGAAACGAGCGGGGTGGCTGGGCGCTTCGTTTTGATCGTGGGAGTGTAGCTATACAGCTCTCAGCCACCGTCGCGCTCCCGAAGGACTCTGAGTCGATCGCGCGTCGGAGTTAAAGTACTCAACTCTCGGATAGAATCCACAGGTCTTCCCTCGCGGATTAAAAGGTACGTTCCCCGCCATCGTTCTGTGCGTCGAGGGCCGGGTGTCGCTGACGCGCGAGGTTTTCACAGCGATTTGTGGCTACCGATTCCCTCATTACACATCAAAATCTACCGCCGTGCGTGTCCTCGCGCTCTTGTCGCCTGGCGAGGCATGTGTTGACCGACCTTTGGGCTAGATGCGTCACATTGCTGCGTACCTCCTCCTCCAGATTGGCGGCAAGGCCTCCCCCTCCGCCGCGGACATCAAGAAGGTCCTCAGCGCTGTCGGCATTGAGGCGGACGAGGACCGCCTCTCGAGCCTGATCGCTGAGCTTAACGGCAAGGACGTCAACACTCTCATTGCCGAGGGCTCTTCCAAGCTCGCCTCCGTGAGCGACCATCCCCCTTGTTTTATGCGTGACTTGTGACTTACGAATCGCGTAGGTTCCCTCTGGCGGTGCGGTCGCTGCCTCCGGCGGAGCCCCCACCTCTGGCGGTGCTGCGGCCCCCGAGGCCAAGGAGGAGGAGAAGAAGGAGGAAGAGAAGGTACGTCCACCCGGTCCATCGTACCTCACAGTGCCTTATTCCTATCCCCCATCTACAGGAGGAGTCCGACGACGACATGGGTTTCGGTCTGTTCGACTAAGACATGTATCGTTAGCAAAACAAGTACCGTTACCGTTCTACTTCGCGCCTTGCGGGCACCCCCATCGCCTTAATGATGACATACTTGTACGATCCTCATACGTCCGATGTTTCTGCGCCATGGTTTGAAGGGCTCCCCCGCGATCAATATTGCATTCGCGCAATCAGCGGCATTATATGAAGTGAGTTATTCATGGCGTGTCTATCCGCCAGCACCACGCCAAGACATTACTCGGCCGCTCTTGTCGAACTAGAAACGGGCGAGGAGGTAGCATGGCAGGTCAGTATTGCTATGAGCTGCACGCGGGGGTGTGATGGAGCGACGGCCCCAAGACTTGATACCGGTAGGAGGAGGAGGAGGAGGCGGGTGATTATGTCACTCACTGGCCGGATGGTGCTCGCGGAGGAAAAGGGGGTTCCCTGAGGCCAGTGAGCAGACTGTGGTTAACGTGCGTGCAACAGGGGCTGGGGTGTCGTGAATAGGCGTGAAAAGCCAGCAATTTCGTATGGAGACGATCGACGTCGCTGCCACGTCCGCGAGGTGGTATACGATCTAACAGGCTTGTACTCGATCTTGTGAATATGCCACCGAGGTGGTTCGGGGGTAGATACGGCGAAGCGACGACGGAGCCTTGTTCAGGCATAGGCAGCCCAGAGGAGAAGAGCTGCGAGTCCCGCGGCCTCCCGCCGGCGGGAACGAGGCGCAAAACGAGGCACCCGAGTACCGCCACCCTCGACGCAGTCTGGGGAGACCGCCGGGAAGGACGCCGAGCCGGCGGCGGGTTGCGGGCGTGGTCAGATCACAACCCTCTCCCCCTCCCAACATCTCCTGTCCCACACGCTGGCCCCTGCAGCACCCAGCCGTCCGCGATGGCCCCGTTCTCTTGTGCCCCCGACCGCGGCGGGTCGGCCGGCGTGCTGGAGGTTGTCCAAGGGGCACCGCCGGAGAGGCCCGAGAGCGTCCACGGGGGAGGGGCGGAGCCGCATAAACCTTGCCCGACAGATGCCGCGGCAGATTCGGGTCCGGGACGCTGGCTCACTCGTCGTCGAGCAGCCGCCCAAAGCCGCCCAACCGCGTTCGTCTCCCGAGCCTGCAATTATATAGCCCATGATATAGTCGGTGCCTTGTGCAACATACGCACTCTTTCCACGCTCCCCTCCCTCTCCCCATCTCTCCCCCCTCCTTCCTCTCCCCCCATCCCTGCTGCTTCCCGCCCTCTCCTCGCCATCAGTCGCTTTGGGCTTCCTCGACCCCCACACCTCCGATGCCTTCTCCCACGGAGCCTCAGACCTCGTTCGATGGATCCCGACAGGCCACCCACCCCGTGGTATTTGCGCCTCAGTCGGACTTGGGCGTGATGCACGATGGCGACCAAATGCCCGTCCCCTTCGTCAAAGGTGGCAAACGCAAGCGTCTGACTAAGGTGTGCATCTTATTCCCTTGCCCGCGAGCCCACCGCCCATTGCGACATTCCAGGCCTGCGATGCGTGTCACAAGAGCAAGCGGCGCTGTGATGGCACAGGTGAGCCCAGTCCTATACGCAACTGCGCGCGGTAGTTAACCCTTTGCAGCCCCCTGCAGCAACTGGTACGCCCTGCCCACGAGACCCTCTCCTTATCTCATCGCATTCCCTCCGCCCGCCCTCCGGCGCCCACAGCTACTATGCTTCGAAGAGTTGCACCTATACCGACGCTGCGGGCCGACCTGTACCCGCCCCAAGGAACACCCAGCCAGAGCGCTCTGTGGTCGCCGCTGCGCCGACGGTAGCTATCTCTGGCCCTCTTACGCCCCGTGCCCTCATCATGCGTTTTGGTAGACCTGTCCGATCAGCAACGAGCCACCTCCCTGGGCCGCTCAGGCCACATTGGCAAGTCCACCCGTTGGCAGGGGACAGGGGGCAGTAGAACGCGATCCCACTTCGAAGCGCTCCCGCCAGGGCCCAAGTTCCCCAGAAACCAGCCCACCGTTGAGGCACAGGGGTGATGTCGCTGCTGCGGAGTCCCTGGCAAGCCCTCTCGATCCAGTTGTGACCCATGAGCTTGTAAACAGTGCGTATCGCCGCCGGCCTCATAAGATTCGTGCTGACACCCATCGATCGTTCCAGTCTTCTTCGCCCACTGCAACCCGCAGCGGATGATTATCCACAAACCCACCTTCTCGGCCGACCTCGGCATGAACAAATTGCCGGCATACCTGCTGCTCGCTGTATGCGCCGTCGCAGCGCCGCTGTCCAAGAGCAAATGCGTGCTCAGCAAGGCGTCGCACGCCCGCCTCGCAGGCGTGCCTTTCTTCAAGGAGGCGCTCGCCCTCATGTTTGATAACTCAGGGCGGCTTCTCTGTGAGCCCTCCGTGAGCACCGCACAGGCGCTCTGCCTCCTGGAGATGCACGAGATTGCGGCGAGCCACTCGTGGACGAACCATCTTAGGTACTTCGGTGAGTCGCGCACCCTGGCCACTAAGATGTTCCACGCGCTCATTTGATCTGTGTTTCCCAGAGTTGGCCTTCCAGGTGCTGGAAGGCAGTCTCCAGGTTGACAAGGCGGACAATTCAGTCCCCCCTGCGCCAAACGACCAGGAGGGCATCCTGCGTTTCATCGACCGCGAGTGCACTCGGCGATGCTTCTGGCTCATCTTGACTATAACCTGGATCAGCAATATCTATACCCGTCGGGGGGTGCGGCCGAGGATGAGCGAACTCGCGGATGTAGTGCGGTTACCTATCGATGAGGCCATCTTTGAGCTAACTTCCCTCACGAGCGCCGCTAGTGAGTGCTTCCATCTGTTGCTGATTCGTATAAGCTGACACATCATTAGCGGTTGAATACCTTCGGCGACCGGCCCCCAGGACGAGGTACGCGTCTCAGTTCGGGCATATGCTCCGCATCCTTGAAATCTACGACACTGCCCAAAGTGTACTTGGTATGTGCTAAACACCCACATTTACGTGCAATCGTTAACACGTAGGCTCTCAGCGGACAAGGAGGGGCTGAAAGGGTAGAAGCTATGCACGTAGTCCGCACGAACATGCAGGTACGTACATCCTTCGTCAGGGTCGATGGACTCTTCTCATCCGCCGGGTAGGAATGGGTCGATTCACTGCCCGCCCATCTCCGATTCAACGAAGAGAACTTGGAGACGCAAATATCCATGTTCGAGACCTCGTCTAATTCTGGCGCGTGGTGTTTCTGCTTCATGCACGCGATGCACCCGTGCTGTTATCTCGCAGTGCAGGAGGTGGGTAATCTAATACTTTGCACGTATGTCGATTCTGAGGAATATTTCGGACACAGGGCGAGGGTACTCTGGGCGACCCGGTGCCCTGGATCCGGAGTCAATTGAACCACATCTTCAATGCCGCAGGCACGAGGGCGAAGACATCAATTCTCTGTACGTACACTAGCTCGCCCTCCCGCCGGCATGAGGCTGATAGGCGTGCGTCCCGTCTTGCCGCCCCCTGGGGTAATGATATCATCAGCCGCGTGTGCTCTGTGGGTGAGTATTCTAGGTTGTGTATGTGTGAAGGTGTACTTACCAGCGGCACGCTGCTAGTCGTATTCCAAGTACAGTGCGGACGATCCCCAGATACATGTCTGGGATCGCGACTTTGAGAAAATCTGGGGGTTCAGGGTGGTGCTCGTCGCGATCAGTGGCGGCAGAGCCAAATCAAAGAAAAGCAGGCAGCCCAACAGGCCACAGCCCAAGCGCAACAGAACCAAGCCCAGATGTACAAACCCCGTGGCTCCCCACACTCCTCGAAGTCGAGCTCCAACTCGCCGACGTCTTCTAATTCATCTCCGCCCGCCGTCCAACTCCATGCACAGCCTTACGAGGGTCGACAAGGCAACCCTCGCGCCCTCCTCCGTACGAATGTCGCGGTGACCCTCGACGGTGCCGCACATGTGCAAGCGGAGCAGATGAACTTGCCCTCTCTGAAGGCGAGCGGGCTTCTGGATTCATGGAAGCCGCCATCGGAGGCGTTCGCTTCGTCTCTCTCCCTTGGTTCACAGAGCTCGTCCACGCGCGACTCGCCAAGGCGTCACCCCCCCAGTCAAAACTCCGTCGCACCTGCCGCAGCGGCTCCCGCGGGCCTCACATGGCTCGCCAATTCAGGTGCGGCCCACGCTACCTGAAGCCGGCCTTTCGCAGCACCCTTGTGCAATATGCCCGCTCTCATCCATACCAACATCCCCTGCCTCCCACGACCCTGCTCTCTACCGGCTCTTCTCGTTCTGGATTCCACCCTTGCCTCAGACAGCGCTACAGCGTTCGGTGTACGATGTCACTGTACCCCTGTGGTCCATATCCAGTTTGCTTTGCTGCCATGCTGCTGTTCTCGTTTTGGCGCCGGCTGCCATTCCCTCACTCTGCCTTTCGTTCACTAATGTCATCCGTGCGATCTTGTCTTGATTAGTTACGCCGCCGTGCTCTGTCCTTCGTTAGCCAGCCATGCAATCACCGTTTCGTAGCCATCTTGGCGTATAGTTGGGTATAAGTGCCTTGTAATTATACATTATGTGTAACGACTCTGTGATGTCGTATAATGATAGTCCGATGGATGGGCGCGGCAACGTCGTGGTGACCACGGCTCGCACGCGGAAGCAGGGGCGAAGAGTATGTATACGTGAGGAATCGTAGCGAATCTACTCTGGCTTCTTGAGGTTGCGGTGAAGCTCGGGCTTAACTAGGACGACGCGGTCTAGCAGCTTCTGGACGACCTTGGACTTGGTAGCATCGTATTGAGAACGGATCTCGGCCTGTTTGGCCTCGGTGTCCTTGTCGACAGATGCCTGTGCGGCCTGAGTGGTCCCGACGTGCTGTTGCAGATGGGGCCAGGAGGGACGGGATGAGCACCGAAACGCGATGAGGTCATGGTAACGGGCGCACCGAGCTCTCGAACGCCTTGAATTCGGCTTCCTTCGACTTCTTGTACTCCTCGATCTCCTTCGCCGCCTCCGAGCGCGCGTCCTTCAGTCTCTGCACGCGGTCTGCGAAATGAAGCGTGTCAGCAGACCGTGCCAGACCGGTCACAGTAACGGGAGCACGAACACTGGCGGGCTTGCTGGACGACCTTGGCGGCCTCCTTCTCGGCCTCGAGGAGAGTCTGGATGCTCTGGGATTGCTGCGCAGCCTGCGTTTCGAGGTCCTTAGCGTACCGCACGAATCGAAGAGGTGGTATGGGGAGGACGGACCATGGTGCGGGATCGTCGGGTGCAGGAAGCAAGAGCAGTGGAGGACGTATTCAGACTCCGCCGCCGATGTCCTCTGACGCGCCGGGAACGCGGGCGCTTGAGTACTTGGGGCACCTGCGCAGGCGCTCAGCGTTCCCCTCCGACCCAAGTTCTGCTCTCCGAGGACGCTGCCGTCCGTCCGTTCATCTTTGCGCTCGTCTGTTCTTCCTGCCGCCTCCTCTACGCACCCACGAAGCGCCTCTGGCCTGAACACAGAAGAAAACACACGACATGGCCGCGGCGGTGGACCCGCTGGCGCAAATGAGCGCGGTGTACGATGCGCCGCCGAACTCGCAGGAGCAGGGGAGGTGCTCGCGGCGTGGCGCGCGTCGCTCGAGAACCACCCCGGGCTCGGGATGGTGTGCACGACGTTCGCGCTGAACGTCCTGCCCGGGCCGGACTCGCTCGTGAAGCGGTGGGCCCTCGACCTGGTGCAGTTCGCGATCTGCCGGTCGGCCTGAGCCTCGACGCGCGGACGAAGAGTGCGTGCTCGTTCACTTGTTTTCCGGCGCGGGGCGGCGAGGCGAGGGGACGCGGGGCTGATGGAGCGCGTTTTGTTTTGCTTTCTTGCGTTGCAGTGGCGGAGCAGCTGCTCGAGGCTCTGGCGGCGCAGTTGAACGACCCCAACGTCAGCATGGTCAAGGTCGCGGTGCAATGCTTCGCGACGGTATACGTGCTGCTCTTTAGGTCATGGTGAGTGGTCTGCCCCGTATGTGCCGCTGGGCAGTCGGCTGAGCGGTTGCGTGAAGTTGTATGAACCCTTCCAATCGCAAGCCTTGGGACATTATCATGAACGTGAAGGCGAGGATTCTGGAGATGGTCTGGGCGCCACACATCAACCAAGGCTTGCGCATTTCTGCGGTCAAGTTCATGCAGAAGGTCGTGCTCGTGCAAACCCGTGGGGTGAATGATCCACGAGTACGTCCCAAGCTCTTGTGCGGCTGTTCGTACGACTCAATGTTGGTATTGTTGCGTACAGTTGCACAACAAGGATGACCCCAACTTGAACATTATCCCTCCGGACATCCATTCATCAATGGCCAAATGCTTGAAGACGAAGGCATCAAGCTTCTTCAACATGTAATCACGACGTTGTACACCAGCAGGTGGGTGGTTGCCTGCTTGCATCTGCCATGCTTTCTCATCCGCGTGTTTCAGTGACCCCGATATGATCACGTCTATTCTCAATAGTTGGTCAACCTTGGTCAAAAAGCGACCTGCACTCGTCGAACTTGTGGTGCATACACTCATTCAATGGGGACCCGGGAAGCTCGAAGGCCAGTCTGCTTCTGCGGTTCGGAGTGTGGAAAAGGGTGTTCGCATTTTCCTTACCCATATCCTACGGTACGTTCAAATTTCTATCACCCGCACGCGTCGAGGCTTCAATGTTGTTACAGGAGCCCCCAGGGACAGCCTTTCCAGAATAAGATACAGGTCGCGCTCTCGGCTCAATCATCTCGCATGGAACAGGCCGCCGCAGCCGAGAAGGCCCGAAAAGCTGCCCTCGCCGAGGCTTCGCGCAAACGCTCCCCCTCCGGCACGCCAGCGGCGGCGACTCCGGAGCCAAAGCGACCGAAACTGGAGCACGACGTAGCATTGACATCCCTAGTCGGCTTCGACTACACCTCTCTTCCCGCAAATCTCGTCACAGAGTTGATTGTGGCCAATCTGCAGGCATACACCGAGAATGCCCTCATCGGTCTCGTTCAGTCCTACCGACACACCAAACACCTCGGTTCCATTCCAGGTCTGTCGTCAACGCCGCCGCCCGCCGGACCCTCACGAGGGCCGGAGCAAGCCACTGCAACTCCGCCGCCAATGGGCTCCCGGATGCCCCCATCAGAACCCCGCGCGGACCGGGACCGCAAGGTGAAGTCTGCCACGCCTCCGCCGCTCGCATCTGTAGTTGTCAAGCAGGAGGAGCCGGTCGATCCGCTCAAAATGGACATCGATGACGAAGAGATGGAGTATGAGCCGGACAAGCTGAATCTGGAAGTACGGAACTCGTCGCTTTTACGTGTGTTGGCGGCTCATTTGACCCTGCGTAGATGGCCGGGGACGACGAGCCCGTCGACGAAGCGGAGGCAGCGCTTGATCATGACATGGATGAAGCGGAGCTGCCTCTGACGGATTTCAAGCTCCCTCCAGCCATGGAGCTCGACGCCGATGACCGAGAGGTTCTCATGACGAAAGCGATTAAACGTATACGAGAAGGTGCTGGGGAGCTCTTCACTCATGATATGGAGCCAGCAGATGCTTCGAAGACATCGCCAGCCGACATGTGGATGCTTATCCTTGTGCGTATGGTCACGCGCGTGAGCCAGCCCCCATCTATGGATATGCAAGAGGATGAGGACGCAAAGGAGGAAGAGGGCGTCGTCGCCAATCGGTCGGAGCTCCAAGAGCGACAAGAACGGTTACGGCATAGGCTAGTTGAGTACATCACGGCTGACTTCCCTGGGAGGTAAGTGACGCTGTCATGCCACTTCATGGTTGACTGAGATCTGCCAGGGTACGGCTCGCAACCGCTTGGATGAACGAAGAGTGGTACAATGACCGGATACGAAGGTTACAGGATCGTGATTGGGTCAGTTGTGCGAACATTCTTCCAAGGCGATCGTTTCTCATGCGGGACTCTCAGCAACCTAACTACGACACCTGGCTCAATCAAATTGTCGCGGCATATCAAACACACGCCGACCACAAAGATCGGACATTCTCACGGTTTCTTCTCGATCTACCCCAAGTCCCACAAGATGTGTTGAACCTCTTGCGGGAATCATGCGTTGAGGCAGAGCGGTCGGTCTCCTTGTTACGCCGGTCGTAATCTATGCTGATGCCGATTGGGGCGTTCATAGACGGCAGATGGGCTTCGCTGCTCTCCGCGAGTTCGTATCGCAACGACCCTCATTACGCGCCGAAGCCATGACCATGCTCCTCGAGCTCACTACTCACCCGGATAAAATCACACGCGGCGCCGCGATCAACACTGTCAAACGATGGATCCCTGACGCCCAACCAATGTCAGACATGATTCGAGACTTTGCCCTCCAGCTCCTTCGACGGCTCCAATCGCGTCCGAAATCCCTGGTTGATGGTAGTGAGGCAGAAGGAGAAGCCAAAGATCACAAGGATGACAACGAGGACGAGGACGTCATAGAAGACAGGGAAGTCGAGGAAGTCAAGCAAGTCAAAGAAGTCACCGATGTCGAGGATGACAAGACTCCGCAGGCCAACGGCACCGACGAGAACATGGAAGATGGTCAGCTCCCACAAGAAGACATCATTCAGACGCCTTACCTGCCGAAGCAACTCGAGCTTCCCGCGGTCGACGCACAGATCCTGCAGCATGTGGAACTGCTGTTCGCACTGTCAACCAAGGTTCCGGAGTTCCTGGAGGAGTACGTGATTTTGAACGTAGTCGGGCGCGTTTTGCTCACCGCCGGTGTTCGGGGTTTGCAGGATCTTTGCTGCGTACGGCGGCATGGAACAGTCAGTGCAAGAGACGATTCAGACGCTGATCACGCCGCTTGTGCGGGCTCTAGGGCCGTCCCACGGGAAGTTGCTTACGATTTTGCGGACGTTCCCTCGAGGAGCCGAGTCACTAGCTCTCCGTGTGCTCAACATCTTTACGGAGTCTGGACGACCCAGCGCGCAGCTGGTCGCTCTCGTCAAGAGTCTCGTCAACGAGCGCGAAAACCGCGAGCTAGATGCGCGGTTCCTCATCCCCATCATTGCGGAGATGGACAAGGTAAGTTCATCGCTTGTTCGCGACCGCCTCCTGTCATCTCATGGACTGCTTGTAGGCGGACATCATGCGGTACTTGCCGCGCATTGTCTCGATCCTGAACAGCACCCCGGAGGCGAAGAACCTCGTGCGCTCGGTTTTCAGTTCAGTGGTTGCAACGCCACCGGAAACATTTGGTAAAATCACGTCTAACCTGCCGCGCGTGCGGCAGAGTGAGCTGCTCACCCCTGCTGAGCTCATGGTGCTACTGCATGAATCTGAGCGGGAAACTGGCCTGAGAAGTGCGATCGAAGGTATACCCGCTTGCGAGCCCATCCTCTGACCAGTGATGCTAATGAGCTGGCCATCCTGCAGCTATCACGATCTGTTTCTCAATGACCGATATCTTCCGGTTTGAGATCCTTGCAGCCGTGATGAACCAGCTCGTTGACGAACCCAACCTGCCAACATTGTTCCTTCGCACGGTACGTTCCACCAGCTAGCTACCTGAGCATCGCACTCATTCTACGCAGGTCATCCAAGCCGTGGGGACCTACCGCTCCCTCCGCGCCTTCGTTTCCACCACGCTCTTCTCCCGGCTCATCACGAAGAAGATCTGGACGAACCCGCCGCTCTGGGAGGGCTTCATCCGCTGCGCGAAGCTCCTCGCGCCGCAGTCGTTCGGCGCGCTCCTGCAGCTCCCGAAGGAGCAGCTCCGCGAGGTCGTCGAGAAGCAGCCGAGCCTCAAGTCGGAGCTGCGCGAGTTCGTGATGAAGAAGGGGACGAACAAGGCGCGCGTCGCCGGCTTCCTCGACATCTTCGGGGACGACGACGCCGCCGCCCCAGGCGCGAACGCCAACGGGAGCGCTGCGGCAGAGAAGGCGCAGTCGCCTGCGCCGTCGCAGACGGACGCCGCGGCCGCGGACTCGCCGAAGCCTGAGGAAGTGGCAGCGTAGTAAATTTTTGGCTCTGGCTCGAGGCGGACGCTGGGCATTGATTGAGCCGCTGGGTTGGGAGTGTAATAGTGTACATATTGTGATCTGTGAATATCGTCCGCGTCCGCATCTTTTTCCTCGCCTCCCAGTAGTTATGCTCGTCGTTTCGCTGTTTCTGTAGCACAGTACGGTCGCGCATGTAGATCGTAGATGTATTGCGGGTGCCTTAGGCATGGAGGAGTAGATAGCATCAAGTTGACATTCCGGAGCCAGGGGGGTACGACCTATTCCTGCAGACGACTGACGACAGGAGCTCATCGACAGGGATATTATGTACAGTAGACACCAACTAGCTCTCCATGGTGAGGAGGCCGTCCCCAAGGTCAAACGCGGATGCGGCGTCCGCGGCGTCCATCGCATTTAGAAGGGTGTCCAGATCTGGCGTCGCAACGAATCTCCGGTTGACTTCCCCGAGGACGCACAATCGTTTGGTGGTCGGGTCCAGGTAAACGGCGTGTTGGAGGAAGGAGGGCCGTGTCGCGGCGGTGATCTGTGTGCGTAGACAGCTTCTGTGAGTAGCTAGACAGAAAAACATGCTCGGTTTGAAACGCGCTTACGTCCATGAGGATGCCGTTCTTGAGACGCATTTTGACGGCGCCGCTCTCGTAGATTTCGAGCTGGCCTACGACACCATCTAGTTTAGTGTCTTCTGCCGCCTTTTCCGACGCGTCCGGTCCTGATCCACCGTGTGCTGGAGGTTTTGTGTCTTCAGCGAAGGTGACTTTCTTGGTGGATTCTTCTCCGTTACCAGGGTCCGCCCTGCCTTTGCCCTTCGCATCGGCAGTGGGTGGTGCAGGGCGGGGCTCAAAGACTGGGAAAGGCTCTGGGAACTGGAAGAAGTATAGAAGTTCTTGTCCAAATGAAGGCTCCTGTTTAAAATAGATTAGGACCCGACCAACAGCACAAAGAGGGATATGCGTACGTCGATTTGCTCTTGCTTTTGGGCAAAATCGTCGATAATGTCCTCCAGTTCCTCTTCATCCTCGCTTTCGCTCAGATCGACGGCGTTGGCCATATTCACAGCCTCCTCTGGAGGGGTCTCCCGGTCAACATCCATCGCCGAGGCTGGAATGTGTAGAAAAGCGATTAACCCAAGCACCCCGCACGCCTCAAAGCATATACGCACCTCTCGTCGCTCCTTCCTCGGTCTTCACCCTCACCCCTTCCTCGCGCTTGACCGTGCTCCTCTTCTTTCGCCCCGCCTCGCGCTCCCTATGCAAGCTCTCCGGCGCCATCCAGTCCATCTGCCGCACGTTTTCCATGTCCACGATGTCCACGCCCTCGTCCGGGTCGGAGTAGACCTCCTCCTCGCCGACCTTCCCCGCAGGCCCCCGGTCCTCCTGCGCCCCCTTCTCGCGCTTGAGCGACGGCGCGGTCGTCTGGGTGAGCCCCGCGCCGAGCGCAGCGGCGCCCCCGTACGGCGTCGGCGCGGCGGGCGCGAAGGTGGAGCGCGCCGCGGGACGGCGGGGACCTGACATCCCTGCGAGCGCGGGGCCCATCGCGAACGGCCCGCTCGCGGTCATCTCCACCTGCGGGGGCCGTGGGGGCCCGCCGCCGCGCCCTTCCCCCGCGCCGCCGCGGCCACGGCCCCTGCCGCGAGCACGGTCGGCGCCGCGGCCGCGGCCGCGGTCGGACGAGGCGGATGCGGCAGCGGGCTCTTCCTGCGGATGCGGAGACGGGGAGAAGGGATGAGCGAGGTGGGGTGAGGAGCGGGTGGCGGGGGCGATCACGCACTTTCTTGGGCTCCCTGGAGAAAGGTCAGAGCGGGACGGGGGGCAGGAGGCGTACCATGGGGCTCACTCTTTCACGCGTCGCGGGGGGAGGGTCGGGACGAACTTGATCTTCTGGGTGCCGAGGCGGGTGACGTCGCTCTGCTTCTTGGCGAGGCTGGCGATGGCCTTGCCCTGGGGGGGAGGAGCACCTGAGCCCGAGCCGGAAGGTTGCTGGTCGGCCATGGCGAGTCCAGCTGAGATAGGTCGGACGGAGAAGGTGTGGGGCGTGGGGAACGCGATCTAGGCGCCGGGAGATAAAAGTTTTGGGACGGAGATGATCTTATCCGCGTCCGTCTCGTCGTCTCGACGATCTGCCGGGCCGCAGCTACTTGCCCTTGATCCTCTTCTTGCCCTCTCCCAGCCTATCCGAACCACGCGCAAGCCATGAGCGAGCCCGAGCACCTCCGCGTCACGTACAATGACGTCCACAACCTCATCCGCAAGAGCGCGGAGAAGATCGCGGAGTTCAAGCCGGACATGCTCATTGCCATTGGTGCGCCCTCCTGACCCCGCGCACCGCCCGCGATGCGCTGACCGCTTCGTGCGCGCAGGTGGAGGGCAAGTATATCCCTCTCCTTCGTTCTCCGTGTGACTTGACGTTTCCGAGCAGAGGTTTCTTTCCCGCCCGTGTCATGGTGCGTCCGCTCGGCTTCGCCTTCACTCTAATCTTCCGCCATCTGAGATCGACGCCGGGGCCTGTAGCGCACTTTCTTGAAGCATCCTCAGAGCAAGAAAAACATTCCGATCCATGCTATCGGGCTCTCGCTCTACGAGTCCCTCCCAGACACGACCGAGGAGCAGATTGGCGCGGAGGTCATCCGCACCCAATGGCTGTACGTCTGTCGCTGAGGACGCGGCGACGGACAGATGCTCATAGCCCTGGCGTCGCAGCGGTCCGGAGTCGGGCAAAGTCCTCCTTGGGCGCCGTGCGCTCATTGTGGCAAGTGTTCCTCCAGAGAAGCGCGCGGTGTCCGTGACTGAGTCGAGCGTTTGCAGGATGAGATCGACGATTCGCGCAAGACTTTGCAGTGAGTGGCAGCCGCGCTACGCCGGGCTCTGAGTTCACCTGCTCTCGGCCCAGATACGCGGTCACCGAACTGCAGAAGGACGTCGAGCGCGAGCTCTTGCTGCTGCCGGAAGCCGAGCGCGACGCGAAGCGGACCAAGTTTGCGGTGTTCGTCGTGCACAACAAACTGAAGCCGAAACTCGGGTCGCTTCCTGCGGAAATACCGTGAGTGCGGCCATTGACTCGTGCGAACCGCGCATTGAGCTTGCGACGCAGCTACTACGCGGGCGATGAGATTGAAGACCTCTGGTGAGAATCGTCGCCCTGTCTATTCTTGTCCGCTGTCTCATCGATGCGCGCAGGCTGGACTATCCTTGGGAAGCGCAGTGAGTTCCGGTAGTCTCTTTCGCGCGGACCAGGGATGCTGAACGCGCCTGCTGTACAGGGACATCGAGGAGCACGACCGGCTCGCGAGCCTCGCGAAGCAGAAGACGACTTGATGCCTGACGCCGGGGCTGCTTCGCGGCGTCCCGGCAGCGCAGGCGAGCGGGAGGGCAGACGGAGGAGCCAAGCTTGTGCCAGTGTAGTGTACCTAGATCTCTTGTATGATGAGTCTTCCGGCGGTGGATCTGATTGGGTGGCGGTGGGAGAGAGAGCGCGGGTTCCCATTCGCCGAGCACACGCCCGCGACCAGCACCCTCACGGTCACCCCGCGCTACCCAGCTGGTGCCAGTGCCCTAGTGTGACACCCGTGGACCGCTATAAAGCCCAGCGCACGCGCGTCGCCGCCGCCGCTCCTCCACCCGCCCCTCGCCTTCCCGCCCGTGCACCGTCCTCCGCACCCCCGCCGCCATCTCGCGCGCCGCCATCGTCGGCTTCACTGCGCCGACCTCCACCCTCTCCTTCGTTGCAGTACGCGCGCACGGACACGGACACGTAGTTTTGGCATCCTCTCTCTTCGGTCTCTCTCTCTAGAGTCCTTGGTTTCGCAATGGAGGTCATTGAGGAGATTGAGTACGAGGGTCTGGCGGCTAGCGCGGGTCTTGGGGTGGGTCTCGCAAGCTTTTTGCAACAGCAACCGCGAACTGACACGATGCTGTGAACAGGTCAGCATGGCCGCAGGTGCTCTGGTGAGTTTCGCTAAGGACGGGAGCGGCCGGCGTGCACGGATTTTCGAGCTGACCGAATTTTTGTCCAGGCTGGCATCACAGAGCACGCTGTCATGTTCCCAGTAGACAGCATCAAAGTGAGCTCTTGCGTCGTGCTGCTGTGTTGTGCTCAGCTGAGCGCACTTTTCAGACCCGCATGCAGGTGTTCGCGACGTCACCAGCGGCGGTGTACACCGGGATGGGCAACGCTTTCACGCGGATATCGTCCACGGAGGGCATGCGCGCGCTCTGGCGAGGCGTGTCGTCGGTCATTATGGGTGCAGGACCGGCGCATGCCGTCCATTTCGGCACGTATGAGATGGTGAAGGAGTTTGCGGGCGGGAACGTGAATGGTGCGTCGAACCAGTGGATAGCGACCTGTACGTGGATCCGTTTTCTCGCTGTGTCACCCTCTCTGATTCGCCCCCGCTCAAATTTACGCCCCTGCGCTCGACGGTGGTCTCTGAACGCTCGTAAATCCGATGTCGCCAACGACAGCATTAGCAGGCGCCTCCGCAACCATCGCGTCGGACGCGCTCATGAACCCCTTCGACGGTGAGATGCCCGCTTCGACTCCTGCGTAACTCGGCATCCGAGCATTTCCCCTCCTCCGCCGTGGCCGCGTTTCATCGCGCACGTCTACAGTCATCAAGCAACGGATGCAGGTGCACAAATCGGAGTTCCGCTCGGCCGTGACGTGCGCGCGCACCGTGTACCGCGCGGAGGGCCTGAGCGCGTTCTACGTCTCGTACCCGACGACGCTCACGATGACGGTGCCGTTCACCGCGGTGCAGTTCACGGTCTACGAGCAGATGAAGACGTTCCTCAACCCGAACGAAGTGTACTCGCCTTCAACACACATCGTCGCCGGTGGTCTCGCGGGCGCGGTCGCTGGTGCGGTGACGACTCCTCTGGACGTCGCAAAGACTCTCCTCCAGACCCGCGGCACGTCGGCCGACCCAGAGATCCGCCATTGCCGCGGTCTCACGGACGCCTTCCGGATCATCTGGACGCGCGACGGGCTCAAGGGCTTCGCGCGAGGGCTGTCGCCCCGCGTGCTCACGTTCATGCCCTCCAATGCGCTGTGCTGGCTTTCGTACGAGTTCTTCAGTGCGTATCCTCCCTTGCTCGAGCCATCGTCGCCCGCCCAAACCCCTTTCCCCCATCTCTTTGATTATCTGATAACGGACCCCGCTGACGCGTCGATCACGATCCAGAGGCCGCAATACGAGACTGATCGGAGCGCTGGCCCTTGGACCGCTCAATTGAACCTGGCCTTGCCTGTCCTGCGCTCAACTCGCTCGTACGCGGCCGGGCTCCCTTGCAGCCGTTGGGAAAAAGAGGCCCCGGCTCTCACGCATCCCGCGCCCTGCGACACCCGGAGATGGTGTCCCCGCGATTACGCCCAGGGCGGCCGTCTCCCCCGCACACGTACACCCTCGCAGTCCCGATGTCCCAGTCATTCGCTCTTACGTCCATCGCCTCGCTTTCCCCGGCCCGCGTGCCGCTCTGCCCGCCCGTTCGTCCCACGCACAAGAGATATGTTATCCACCCCCGCATTGGTTGTAATCGCTCCGCTTCATCACATGCTCCAGCTCCGACCGCCTTATGTTTCGTATGCATTTCGACAGATCGCACCCAGGACGTTCAGGCGTTAAGCCGTCAAAACAAAACGAGATGGGAATAGAGCAGCCTCGTCTTCCAGACCGCAGCTTCGCCTCGACGTTTTTGTACGACCACGTCAGAGCGCAATGAGTGGGACTAACGGCACTTCGATGTCGTGTGGGGCATGTAGGCAGCGGCTCATCCGAGGATGATGGTGTTTGGATTCGCGCCCTGTTTTCGGATTCTCCGTCAGCCCATTCTTCACTCACCTGAGACCCCTCTCGCCCTCACCCCTGTCGACCCTACTCTGGATCCGGAGTTGCCGTCACATCAGCATGTAACATCGTCACGACTGTTCCGTGCGCGATGCTAGCGAGATCGAGAGATGGAACCGTTGGTTGGCTCTAAGACCCTCTGCCGCGCGGCGTTGCCCTCGGGCTTATGGCAAGGCCGCCCCGAGCTACCGTCAGTGGGAAAGTGGACGACTACCCAACCAAGACGTGTTCGTACCCAACGAGCCGCCGTTCCACATATGTATTTAGTCGTGGCCCACGACTCCCCTCCCTCGTTCTTGCACCCATGACGCACTACCAGCTGGGCCTGTATGTGTGTAGTTGGTGTGATATATACCGCCACTGGCGTATATTTCGTGATGTCTTCAACATACATAAACGGAGTGCGAGCAAACCAATACTGGATTAGCCAAGGGACACATTACTGTTCACGACGTATCCCAAAGGACATCAGGAGGGCCAACACTCTTCCTACGGTCCCGCCAATATAAACTACGATACGCAAGGCGGTCAAAATGTGCCTCGTCCGTTCTGCGGATGGTCTGCAACGGCGCACTGCTGACTGACAGCCGGCCTCCTCGCCCTCCAACCACCGGAAGTATTGCCTCACGAGCCACGGGCTCTTCGTCATATTTCCACAAATGGTCTGCAAAGCAACACTCGTTCACAGCTTGCCCAGGCCATTAATTGCAATACCATCCGTTGGCATTGGAATCCCCGGGATGGCGCCCGTGCATCCGAATCCGGCACTACGTCTAAGCGAATAGCAGGCAATTCTAATCGCATTCCAACATCCCGGGACTTCCTATGCCTGGGATCCTTACCTGGCCGAACGCACTTTTGCTGATGTCGGTGCGAGTTTCAAGCGAGAGCGCTGGAAGCGCTGGCGGGCGGTTCCGGAAGCCGTGAGAACGCGCTGGGGCTCAGGACAGGATTCAATTAATAGCCTTCTCCGATCGCACTGTGTACGGATCTCCTTAGCTCTCGTATGTATTGGTTTCTGAGCCACCAGCTGCGAGCGCGTTTTACGCTCCGTGGTGGCTCAGGAGAGTATCCAGACGTGGCACAATTAAGGTCCGTACCTCGCACTCCCTCAGAGCCGACTCCCCGATGCTCATTCCCTCCCCTCCTAGGACATGCTTGTCTTCGTTCGAAACTCGGTCCTTGAGAGTACGAGGACTTCCGATGCTTCTTGCCTGTCGCCCATCACTATGCGCACTCTTGTCGTTCCACACAGTCCGAGACAAGGGGCTACCAGCGCGCCTCCTTCAGCAGCCAAGTCTCGTGCCTCCAATTCGATCGCCGCCACTGCCGCGAGCTGGTCCACAAGCTCCCTTTGAGACGATCGGCACTCCGTGGCGGGCTCTGCGCGAGCGTCGGTTAGCCAACTTTCCCCCTGCCTGAGGCATCAGCGATCGCGCCGCCCACGCTCGTGCTCGTATTCATATCCATGGCAGCGATATTCGTGGCGGTCGCTGACGACAATTTCAGTTTCAGCATCATGCCCGCATCGGCATCCGACTCGCACTTCCGGATTCCACGGCTCGTCTTGCCCGTCGGCCAAGCACGACGATGATATAAAGGCGAGCAGCGATGGCCTTTGCACCTCATCTCCTCTCCGGTTCCCATTCCCTTTCGTTCTCTGCCCTCTCTATACCCCACACTCTCTTACCAACGACACTCCTTTGTTGAGGGAACACAGTCCGTTCCAACATGCACTCCTTTACCTCCATCCTCACCTACGCTACCCTCTGCTTCGCCGCAGCTTCCGCCGTACTTGCCGGGCCTGTCCTCACTCAGAGTGATATCGTTCGCCGCTGCGGCTGCGAGGAGTCGTCCATCCCTGGCGTCTTCACCGGCCTTCAAATCGAGCTCGAGGGCTTCCTCCACCCAATCAGTGCGTCTCATATTTCCTTTCCGTCTTAGGCATCGTTGACATGATTACCCGCAGTCTGGGGGACCACCTCCAACGTAACTGTCGATGTCGTCACCAGTGCATTCGGCTCGGTGACGTCCAGCCTACACACTGCTATCTCGTCGTGCCAAAAGCTTTCTGGCGAAAGCACCGAGATCATCCTCGGCGGCCTCGAGGTCACCACCGTCGCGTCGCTCATTGCGGGTTCTGTCAACGTACGTCTCACCGGTGTTTTCATGGGCACTCGGCTTACCCGTTGAAAATGCAGCTGGTCTTCTCCGCCTGCTCCGCTGTCATTACCCTCGGTCTTGGTGGTTCTTGCTGGGCTATCCTTATTGCCTGCTGGTATGCATCTTTATAATCTGACACATGAAGTCCCCCTAACCCTCGGCTTTGTCCATTTTTCGCAGCACGGTTGTAGGCTCCCTCGTCTACACATGCACCGGCCTCGCATCCCATCTCTCGGCCCATATTTCTGGAAGCCTTTCGTCGACGTGTACGGACCTCATCTTGCAATTCGGCCTCACCGCCCACTTCAGCGAGATTATCAGCACCTCCGTTTCCGTTTCCGTCTCCTCCATGCACGACATCTTCGCTAACCTCCATGCCGAGCTCATTGCCTGTCTCCACCCCATCAGTGAGCCCTTACCTTGTGCATATAGCCATTGTTTCTTATATTCTGGTTTACAGTCTACGGGACTTCCTCCAACGTGACCGTTGGCGTCGTTACTACCATCTTTGGAGAGGTCACCACGAAATTGAACGGCGCCATCTCGTCCTGCCAGTCTCTCTCTGGCGATGCCGGCGTCATCCTCGGCGGTGCCACTTCAACTGAGGTTGCGGTCGTAATCGGCGCCTGCGTCAACGTCGTCTTCTCCGCGTGCTCCGCCGTCATCAACCTCGGCCTCAGCGGCAGTACCCTCACCGCCCTCACGGCATGCGCGTACGTCCTTCGTTGCCTCGTTAGTCCTCGCTCACTCATCATATCGCCCCGGTAGCACCCTCTGCGGCAGTGTGATCAGCACTTGCATTGGCCTCGTGTCTGACCTCTCCGCCGGCATTCAGGTCAACCTCTCTTCGACCTGCATTGGCCTCATCTCCCAGTTCGGCATCTCCTCGAGCTTCAGCGGCGTCGTCAGCATCGCCGCTTCTGTGTCCACATCGTACTCCGGCATGCACGCCATCTTCGTCAACCTCCAGTCCGAGCTCGAGACTTGCCTCCACCCTATCAGTGAGTCGTGCTTGCTGTGACTGCCTTGCCCAGGAGTCTAACCATGTGTCTGCAGTCTACGGCACCTCGTCCAACGTCACTGCGCACCTCATCACTAGTGTGTTTGGCGAGGTCACGACCAAGCTCCATGGCGCCATCTCGTCGTGCCAGTCACTCTCCGGTGACTCGACCACCATCCTCGGCACTTCCACCATCACCACGGTCGCCGCCAACATTGCCGGCTGTGTCAATGTACGTCTCTCTTACCTCGCTGCGCCGAGTTGATGCTCATGTGCGACATTCAGGTCATCTTCTCTGCCTGCTCCGCTGTCTTCTCCCTCGGCCTCTCAGCCAAGTGCCTCGTCACTCTGGTCTCGTGCGGGTACGTCTCACCGCACCCGTTTTATCTTGCTCATCCACCCACTCACTTTTGCCTTTGCGTCTACAGCAAGCTCACCGGCTCCATGATGAGCACCTGCACCGGCCTCGTCGGCAACCTCTCTGCCCATATCAAAAGCGGGCTGTCCCCCAAATGCGTATCCCTCATCGGCAAGCTCGGCATCACCAAACACTTCGGCGCCGTCCTCAGCATCTCGTCCTGGCTCACCACCGCGCTCACTGGTGTCCTCGGCGTCAAGGTTGGCGCGTCCATCCACTTCTAAACTCCGAGTCCCCGAGGTTATCTGTCGTTCACTTCCACCCATACGGCGCTCTTCCTTCATTTCGTTCATGGACATTAACGAACACTCACGTTACATTGTTGTATACCCCTTGGACAAGTCAACCTTCATGAACCACATAACACAACTGTACTACTTCACTTCGAAAACTTGCTCCGGACCATGCTGTACTGCCGTCGCTTTTGCTTTCATCCCATTGCTACATACGATTTGGGACGCCTCCTACTATACCCTTGAGTTTCCGACATTGTGACCACCGGCCTACTACATCTACCGCCGCCATTACCACCCTAGCTAGGATACACGGACCTGGAGCCAGTCATCACTCCACCTGTACCGTGAATATATCCTGCCGCACCCGCCTATGCCGCTGTATTCCATTCCCTACCCCGCTTCTCAGCGCAGACAAACACTCGTCGACCTTGGTAGTATGGGCGTACTTCCGAAGTCGAAGTCGGATGCGCTTTCTGCTGTGGTCTCCTCGACGCCTCACCCATGGGCTGACCGAGGCGTACGTCGAAGTGAAGTTGCCACACGAGTCCTGCGGGCGAGTGGCCGGCCGTGGACACTCTGTCGGCGCGACACCCCAAGAATCGCGACACCTTACTCGGGAAAGAAGATACATCTCTGGAGCCGGTGGGCTGCCTTGGTGGAACCGATTCAGTGTCACTACATGCATCCGAAGTCTCGAAGACGATGCACGACCGCACAATGGGCCGGAAGCCGAGCGGCAAGGGGGCACGGGCAGCCTGTTGGCACATGGGCCGGCGTGCAAACGGGGATAGCATTACGATGATAATGTACACGTGAAGCAAAAGAAAGATACCAAGGTGCGGATATGAGGACCAAGGGGCAGTCTACATGTAGAACTCGGGCTTGCGCGAGTTGATGCCGTACTCCGCGAGCGCGGCCCCGAGGTCGTCCATCGTGAGCGTCGTCTTTGTCTTTTCCTGCACGGCGAGAGCACCTCTCAGGGCTCCGTGGCGATAAGGCATAAACAGGGGAAAGGACGCACTCGTGCCGACGCCGCTCCCATCGGCTGGTTCGCCCTCGACCGGCCCCCGCGGCGTTCGCGCGTATGCGCGCGTGCTGGTACGCGTCCGCCGCGATGTCCGACACGAACTTCTGCGCGGCGAGAGACAGGAGGCGTTTCCTGGCGACGCGCCGCCGTGAGCCGCGACGCACGGTCCCGAGAGGCGACGCACACTCACAGCCTGACGTCCTCGCACTCGAACCCGACCCGCTGGAGGTAGTACTCCGTGACCTCGTTCGGGATCTGCGGGGGCGGCGTGAGCGGGGCTCGGGGCAGCGCGGAGGGCGCGCGGCGGAGGCGGGCGCACCAGCGGTTCGTAGTCGTCGAGCATCAGCAGGAACTCGGCGAGCGTTTTGTCCTTGCGCGCCTCCTCTGCGGTGTGGGCGGGGGCTGGCTTCTGGGCCTGAGCGGCGGACGAGCTCGGTCCTGGTTGCGTGAAATCGGGGGTGGACTGGGCGCGAGGCGAAGGTGCGGAGGGGGTGGGCGTGGCCGCGTAGTAAGGGGTGCCCTGGGATGCGTCTTGGTATGGGGTCGCCATGTTACAGTCGTCAGAGAGGGTATTGGGAGCGAGAAGAGGACAAGTGGGGATGGTGGTGGTGGTGCGGCAGCAGCGAAGCGGCGTGCAGTGGTGAGTGACGGACCGGATAGACGCTAGAGTTCCCTATTAGCGAACGCTTGGCACGCATAAATTCCCGGCTGGCCGGTCTGCGCCTCTTGTCCTCCTCCTTCTCACTCGCTCCTCTCACTTTCTACTGTGTGCCTGTAACTTGTGAGTATTTCTTCATCTTCAAGCTTCGTTTCACTTCGAAGACGTTGTTATGATGTTTGAGGCATTTGGCTTTAGCAGGGCCTCCTGCGGTGCAGAAACTTAACTCAGCTACCTTCGGGCCCTTGCTTTGGCGAGCCAGCCCGCTTTTTTCTGAACTTCATTCCCGTGGTCGCTGCCGTATGACTTTATGCTGACGACTCTCTAGGTACTGTCGCGGTTCCGCCCAGTGCATCAAGGTTGTCGAACACTGTCGGAAGTTTTCTCTCACTATTTTAGACGCCCTTGATGTGATGTTTGTCCGTTGCCAATGTCATATCTGCCCCGAGTAGCTCCTCGGCCTGCTCTGGCTTGCTTGTCACCCACGAAACCTCAACCCCGTCACATGAAGCGCGTTCCCTGCACAACGACGACTATATTGACCATGCCGTGAATAGTACATGCAGACCAAGTGCTCAAAGACCGCCCGACGCCGTCCCTACCAGAGGAACGGAACGGGGGGTCTGCACGGGATGAACATTATACGATGTTTTGGGTTCGTACTACGTGTCCGCACAAAGCACACGGAGCCGATTTTGCGTATTCTTCAAAAGGAGACGGGGGTCAGCGTGCGGAGAAATTCGTGCGGTGTCACGTACTTTTCGAGCGCGGGTGGAAGCCTGGGTATCATGCGCAATGGAAGCTTGGGTATTATGCGCGATGGAAGTCGGGGTATCATGCGCGAGAACTTGAGAAGTAGACGAGTAGAGCCAGCGACAATGCGAAGAGATAAAAGGGTGGCCTGATCGGTGTCGATGTATGCTAACGGGGGACGCCCTATGCCAGCCGCCGCACGGCCACCAGAGCTCTTGGTGGTCGGCCACGATGGCACGTTCACTGACGGGGAACTCAGGATCAGACTCGAGAAAAGATACGTCGAGAACAAGGGCGGCACGTACAAGACGACTCTCCCGCCGCGCTGAGGCCTATGACCGGCGATGGTCTGCCTCATGTATCGACACTCTGCGACCTATGAAAGGGGAGAGAATAGAGATGAACCGAGGCAGGAACGACTCCTGTCTCGGTCGTCGAAGCTAGACGGGTCGCTCCATTAGCACCACAGCCGACGACATCGCTAGCACGTCCAAGATGCTCACCGTTGACGACGGACGCCCTATACCAGCTGATGCACGAGTCCGGGAGGGCTTGGGTGTTGAAACCCAAGAGCTTCGGATAGTCGGCTCAGGTGGTACGTTCACTGCGGCGCCGGTGTGGGTCAGAGCGCGACGACGGACGGAAGCAAATACGGGACACGTACTAGACGTCACTGCCGTCGCACCGAGGCCTGTGACTCGCAATGGTCTGCCTCATGTGTCGACACTCCAAAGGGGGCATGCAGAAAGGTAGGCGCGGCCTGACCGCGTATGTCGTGCTGAATGCATCGGATGGTCAGTGCCCGCCCGGCCGACGCCCTGAAGATACACACCTAACGAGGTACGCCCTGTGGGCGCCGTCTGTGGCTAGACCACAAGAGCCTGGGATTGAGTCTCGGATGGAGAACCGGCCTCCTTTCGTGCACGAAGCATGTCCGAGACCTCAGAGCTCCGAGAGTGGCTAGCTCAGATGGCACGTTCACTGGAAGGGGCGGGGGTGAGCGAGCGACGATGGATGGGAGGGAGGAGAAGGACGCACAAGACGTGGCCCTCGCCGTGTTCGACATCCTTCGGCCGTTGGCCGGCATCGTCAAGACTGATCGAGTCCAACCGAGCGCGAACCCGTCAGCGGCCATGGTTCGAATAGGAGGCGAGCAATGACGTACTCGTACTGGCTCGTCCCGCGTCGGGGTGTGTACTCAATGGTCTACCTTATTCACGAGTACGAGCGTCATCGTACTTGGCTGTGCAGGTGCTGTCAGTGACGGGACACGGACCGGCGACGAGGAAACATACCCGGCGCCGCGCAGAAAGGTCGATGGTTGGTCCAGCCAACCAGCGAGCAATACATTGCCGAGCAGTGTGACGAAGAAGGGGTCGCTGGGCTGAGTCGTGAAGCAGGAGAGGTTCGACCAGCGAGGGTCTGTGACAACACCGCGTGAGCACACAGCGTGGACGAGCATAGTGACGGCGTACTGACATATGTACGTCGTCCACCACACGTCGGCACGTCGAGTGACGGCGGCGGTGAAGGAAGAAGCGAGCAGGCGGGACTAGACGGGCGCGGGCCATATGGCTCCGACGGTATCGACTAGTAGGCAGTGTCCACAGCCAGTGGGGATGAGAGGAGAGAAGATGGGAGTCGGGTGGTGAGGAGGGAGGGCGGATTGGAGGGGTATTTTATAGGCTGAGAGAGAGGCTGGCTGGAGAGGCTGGCGGGGGTGTTCGCCTCCAGTGGTCTCGGGCTCGGCGAATCAGCCGAGAGAGGGGATTCTGGCCTTGTCGCTGTATCCGGTGGGGAAAGAGTGGGTTCTGTGATGCCCGCCATGTAGCGTTGCTCTCTGCGGATCCGTCGAGCCCGACAAGTGCGTGATTCGGGCGATGGGTCCGAGTGCTGTGTGTCCTGCGGACGAGGGCGGGGCTGTCAACAGCCGTTCGGATGTCGAGCGAGGTTTCCTAAAATGGAAAGCAGAGGCGACATTCGCGTCGGGCTTCCGGTGTTTGGGCCAGGATCGACGTCGAGGACGTCCAAATTTCACATCAAGGAGACCTACCAAAAGCAGCGACGCCTCGCTCGTCAGGACGAATCAGTATGTGGTGGTAATTGTGCTGGTTGAATAAACAACTTGTTTGCGTGAAGCAAATATTGGACGGCCCGTACGCTCTCAGATGATGCTAGTACGTACATATATTCGGGTCAGCTTCCGGCATTATTCACAAACACTTAGGAACTTACGAGAGGCGAGTCCCAATCGCCACGTCGGTCTATGTGACGCCCGGCGCAGATCCGGACACCAAATTGCGAGAAGCAGGCCTTGCATCCACTGTCACAGTCTCGATCGGTCCACAGTCCAATGGGGGCAGAAACCGACTGTTGTAGTCGGCCACTGCAACTACATTAAATGAGCGGTGCTTCTGTCTGTGAACCCCCAGACTTCGCATAGATAGAGGGAGCGGCTACTTTGACAGATGAAAGCGGTGTGGACCGTAGCAGTTGCTCGACGAGTGAAGGAAAAAGACAAGAAACGCAGCACCGTCGCCGTGTTCGGCGCCTAGATATGATGTTCAGTGTCCGAGAGTCGCGGAATAGTTCTCTTGACTCGCTCCCAGCAGCCTCCAAGGGCAGCCACACGATGATACCGCTTCTTGTCTCGTCGCTCACGCGCCTTCGGCCGCTCCCACCTGGCCTGTCCCTCTTGTCGTCGTAGGACGCTCCTCGCACTGGTCATGGCAGACAGCAAAGGCATCACGCATCTCTTCTCGTACTCGTCCAACGGTTTCCGCGATGTCGCTCCGACTCAAGAGAAGGATATCGCGTCCCGAGGAACGATTCGACGCGTAGGACGACTCGTCATGGCGGTATCCGGCCTTTGTGCACTCTGGTACGCAGCTCGGTTCATCTCGTTGGAACATACATCCGTTGGCGGAGGTCCCCCGTATGCACGGTTTGGGCTCGCCGCGCCCACATCTGCAAGTGCGGCCGAGGGTCTTTGTCCCCAAGTCGATGCCACGTACCCCTTAAAGCACGCGGACCTCGATGGAACATTGATGGCCTTGTACGCCGATGAGACGTTCCAAGCACGAGCATTCGAGGCTCTCGCAGGCGCGATCCAGATTCCGTACGTGTTCTTTGGGCTACCGGACCACTCTACTGGTGTTGATAGAGTGGGACCTTTACCGAAAGAACTGAGTCGTACGACGACCTCAAACCAGTCGGAAAAGACCCTCGGTGGGAGACATTCGGCGTTCTGCAAGAATACCTACAGATCACCTTCCCGAAAGTGTGAGTTCTCAATGTTCTGCCATGTATCTTGTACTAGCAAATTCATGCCGGTTCAAGGTTCCAAACTCTCTCTTTCACGACCGTCAACACATATGGGATTGTGCTCCACTGGCAGGGCTCCGATACCTCAACCCGTCCAGTGCTCATGGCTGGTCATCAAGGTATGACCGCTCACTACGTCGAGGGTTGATGCGCGCAACATAATACACACACGTACAGACGTTGTTCCGGTGGAACCCACTACTGTGAATGACTGGAAGCATCCGCCCTACTCTGGCCTTTTTGACGGTGAATGGATTTGGGGTCGCGGCACGTGCGACGACAAGTCGGATGTTATTGCATCACTGTAAGTGCATTTCATTCTTGCACATACAAAAATTGTCTCACGAGAACCACAGGCACGCCATCGACGCTCTCATCGAGCAGGGTTTCCAACCTCGTCGCACTTTTGTGTGGGCATACGGATTCGACGAAGAGGCTTCGGGCATGGAGGTCAGCATGTCTTATCCTTGGCTCCCGTACCTCTCATTGATACAATGTCTCCAGGGGGCGGGCAAATTGGCAGAGTACCTTGAGGAAACTTATGGCACTCATGGGTTTGAGATGCTCCTGGATGAAGGTGGTTCGTACGGCACTCCGTACGGGGAGGGCGTGATATTCGCGACACCAGCCCTCTCAGAGAAGGGGTACCTCGACGTCCGAGTGGAGGTGACGACGAAGGGTGGACATTCCAGCGTCCCGCCTGCGCATACCGTAAGCATCAAGCATCCATTCCCGGTTTCCGTCATCATTGACGACTACACAGGGCATCGGCATGCTCTCTGCCATGATCGTCGAGCTGGAAGCCAACCCCCTCGAGACGTCCCTCATTCGCGGCGGCAGCCCCTACAACTACACCATGTGCGCCGCCGCCCACGGCCCCGCCTACCCACCCACCGTGCGCCGGCTCGCGCTGCACGCCGCCGAGACCGGCTCCGACGCGGACCTCGCGGACCTCGAGGACGCGCTGCTCGCCGCCTTCCCCTTCTACTCCGCCGTCCTCCGCACGACCCAGGCGGTCGACCTCGTCGCCGGGGGCGTCAAGGTGAACGCGCTCCCCGAGCGCGTCTCCGCGGTCGTGAACCACCGCATCGCGGAGCACGCGTCCGTCGCGGCGCTGCAGGCGCACTACGTCGCCACCCTCGCGGCGGTCGCGGAGGCGTTCGACCTGACCCTCGACGCGTTCGGGACGAACGTCTCGGCCGGGACGGGGCGGGGCGGGCACGTTGCGCTGTCGGATGCGTGGGGGACGGCGCTGGAGCCGTCGCCGGTCACGCCTATGGGCAAGGGCGCGCCGTATGAGGTCTTTGCGGGGACGGTGAAGGCGACGATCGAGAGCTCGGACCGATATGAGGGGAGCAGCGTCGTGGTTGCTCCGTTGCTTACCATCGGCAACACAGGTGAGTTGACGAGGTCAAGGAAGGGTGGAGCGTTACTGATATCAAGCCAGACACACGCTACTACTGGAACCTCACCAAGCACATTGTTCGGTACAAGCACTTGCATAACCAGGACGCTTACAACGGAGCGCACACCGTCAACGAGGCCGTCCGTGCGAAGGGATGGATCGAGACGATCAGGTTCTACACCAAGTTTGTTCTCAACTGGGACGAGCATCAGTGATCCCTGGGGTGCGCGGGAGATGCGGACCGGCAAAAGTTCACATCACGCTATGAAAGTACGGATGCTCAGATGTATCTCTACTCGTCCGTCTATCACCCAATGTCAATCCTCCGTCCACCCAAGCCTCCTCAAATCCTTCTTGCACTCTTCCGTGTCTCTCTTCACACGTGCCATGTCCCTCACAATCTGCCTGAACCCACCATCCGGCCCGTCCACCAGACTCAGCGCCGCCTCATATTTCTCAATGTGCCCGTCGAGCGCCCTCGCCTCCGTCTCTTGCGCCCGTCGCTTCTCCCTAAGCTTCTCGTACATGCCCCCGACGGCGCGGGCGACCGTCGCGTCCGGTCTGTCTTTGGCGGCGGCATGACCGTAGAGCGCGCGGTGGGCGCGCAGGCGCACGACGGAGAGCTTGAGCAGCGCGATTTCGATCGTCGCGGCGGTGACGTCCGCCTCTGCCGCCCGCTGGGCGCGCAGGCGTGGTGGGACGGACCCGAGCGCGTCGAGGAGCCTGGCCTCGAGTGCGTGGTGAGCCTAGCGAGAAGTGAGGTGAGCCGGAAGAGCGCGAGCTCTGGATGCGGGGTTGGGCGTGCCTCGTTTACGCGCTCGACGAGCTCGAGCACGCGGGCGCGGGCATCCGCCAGGGATGCTTCATGCCGAGAATTGGCCTCGCGCCGCCCGCGGATGAGTTCAGGCAGCCCGAGTGCAGCTTCTATTCTTTCTTCTTCGTCAGCCCCCGACGGTCCGTCTGGCCGCGACAACTTGTTCAGGACCAGAAATGTAGCACCCGCTCAGTTGTGCTCGCTCACCGTCTTCGGCACAGAAATAGTCGTGAATCGACAATAACGTCCTCCGCAGCTCGGACTCAAGCCGATCAGCCATGCGGTCTGTGAGTCTCTGCCAGGCTCTCGTCAGGCGGAACACGCAACAGCCGACTCAGGCACGCACGGGAGGAATGGACACGGGCGCTAGATTTCTCACGTCATCCTCGCTCAAACCACCCCCGCTCGATCGGGATACGGGACTGTCCGCGTGACCATCGGCCTGTGGTGGGTGGAGGGTGTGGGCGAGGGCGATGCCTCGGCCAAGGTGTTCCTACGTAAAGCGTGAGGGTCAGTGCGGGCTGCACGATGAATGGTCCGTAGTACCCTGGTACTGTTAGGTGCGCCTCGGAGTGCGCGTTGAAGATGGTCGTGGATGGTCTTGGCACGGGCGTAGCCACTGGCGCTCGAAGTGGGTGGGTCTGCACGATCGTGAGAGGCGTGCATGATGGTCGTGCCGGACGTCCTGCGCAAGTCGGAGGCCGCAGTCAAAGTGTGGTCGTAGTGACAGTTGTGGGAATATCCATGTGCGAAAATCGGCGCTGACACAGCTGGACTATCTAGGCTCGATGATTGGGATTGAATATTTGAATATTGAACCAGACGCGACACCCTCGCAGCCGGGTGGTGGGGGGAAGAGAGGCGGGACCGGGGACACTGACGCGCGTCGCGTGCGCCGGGACCGTGGTGTGACGCGGCATCGGCCCTCTGTGACGTGTGACTGGTCGGCGCTGGGCCTCGTCAGCAGCGGCAAGGCGCGACGCCGCGGCGATGTGCTCTCGTCCTGCCCAAATATGCCTCAGCCTGCGCCTCCCTCGGCATCGAGCCACCCTCCGCGGTTGACGCATCCTTCCGGCGCACCTGCTCTCGCCATCTTCCCCGCCAGGCCGCGCCCCGGCCTCGTCAGCATAGGCCGTGGCCCGCGCAACGCCTCGGCTTACCCTGGGCACCACACTTTCTCCCTCCCTTCCGACCAGCCGCGCACACTTTCTTCCATCCCCCGACGGGTGACGACGCCGCACGGCGCGGCCTACCATCGTGTATTATAAACCTGCCCGCGCGCCCTCAGTGAGTCCCATCAGCCCACCTTCACTCCTACATCCCACGGGCTCATCTAATCTACTCAACTCTCCTCAACCTCACTTCACCCCCCAACCCACACTTCGCCCACCCGCACCCAGATCAATATGTACCACGGCGCGCACATCCACCGCTGCTATCGCGCCTCTTCGCGCTTCCTCTGGTTCTTCTTCGGCGCCGGCACCGCGACCTGGTGGCACTACCACAAGGACGGCCATCGCCACTACAACGAGTGGCTCGCCGCCCGCCAGTGCGGCCGCGACCTCATCCCCCAGCAGGCCTACCCCCTCCCCGGTGCCCCGGGCACGCAGACCGAGGCCGCCGCGAACCCCAACCAGCCCACGACCCCGGGCACGATCGACAAGAGGGACCGATGGGGATGGAACTGGTCTTGGTCCACCGGCCCTCATGGCCCATCCGGTAGCGGCAGCGCCGAGTGGCACAGAGGCCACCCGTGGGGCCGCCCCGAGTGGTCGCAACAGCAGCAGCAACAGCAACAGCAAGGCCAGGACAGCTGGAACGGCGAGAGGCACTGGGGTCGGTGGGGCCGCGCGCCACCGCCCGCGGCGACGCCGGTTCGCCCTGAGGGCGCGTGGGGGCCGCCGTCCCCGATGCCGACCGCGCCCGATGCGGAGAAGGACGTCGTGCAGCAGGCGACGGACACGGTACGTACTGTTCACGCGGTGTGCGATGGAGCGGGCACTGACTGGACGCGCATGGTGCAGATCACCGACTTCTCGGAGACGACGCTCAACAACCTACTCGTTACTGTGGAGAGCCTCAAGTCGGTTAGTACCGGTCCCACGCATTTGAGTCTGAGCCCTGTTGTTTAACGCATACTTTCCTTCGCAGAAGCTCGCCGAGCACCGCGCGCAGCGCGAGCAGCAGGAGCGCGAGATTCAAGCGCTGCGTGAAGCCAAGTTTAAGCAGTTCGAAGAATGGCAGAGGCAGCAGGAGGCGAAGAAGGACGACCCTCCTCGCCGTCTCGTCTAAGTTATCTTTCAGAAGATGCCTCCACTCGTCTCTTCTTGCATGCTCCCCTCAGCCCCACTACTGTTGAAGTATAATCAACCTCTTGTACTACCACTAGTGCCCACTCAGACCAGGTTTCGTCACTGTCGACATTATCCACCTACACTCTCTATCCCTCCCATTCCTCGGACTTGCTTAGCACTTAACTGTCAATCGTGTATGGAGCGCATAGGCGTTTCGTAAACATCAGAGTGATACACGTTATGGTTGGCACGGTGCGAACATATCCAACCTCCACCTCAGCAAACATCAACTACCTCTTTCTGCCCCACCATGCCATTATACTTTTCTTCTCGTGTCGTGAGGTCATGAGATGCAGAGCGAAGGCCACGCAGGACTACACCTGCCCGGCGATGACGTTCGGGCCTTCGCGCTGGTGGACGTAAGCTGGTGCGCGAGGGTCGATCTTGCCCTGCTCTTCCGCTGAACGGCGCGCGCGACAGTGACGTCAGAACTCGGGGCAAGTGCTGGGAGTCGAGAAGACCATACGTACGGGTCGCATGCCAGAAGTAGATGACAAGGCCGGAGATGACGATCACGAAGGCCGGGAAGTAGAGCCAGTACACCTTGTAGTGCTATATGGAGACAACGTCAATGTTGTCAGCAGTGATCTCACATGCTTTTCATCTCCGGGGCTCGTGCCTCGAACTCGGTGAAGAGGAGCGGGGAAAGGCACGCACGTAAAGGAACAGGCCGAACAGAAGCCCATAGAAGTCCGACGAAAGCAGACTGAGATTGTAGTACGCCGAGGACGCCATCCGGTACAGCACGGGTGCGACGGTGTAGAGGATGAGCATCGCCGCGGTATACGCGACGAGGAGCCCGACTGTCAAAGAAAGTGGCCGCCGCCAGCGGAGATGAGCGGTGGGAGTAGAGGCAGTCGGCATCGCTCACTCGTCGCGCCATTCCAGCTGGCGGTGGTCATGTCCTTGTGCTCGAGCGCAGCGGCTTGGATGCCGTTGATGAGGACGCCCCACATTCCGAGCTGGCCGACGACTTCGTACAGCGGCGACCGACGCACGAAGAACTCCTCGGTCGCGTTTGCTGTGAAGCCGATGATGTCAGAGGCTTGTTGGTGCACGGGAAAGAGGAAGGTGGAGCGCACTGAAACCGTATAGCGACGCGCCAACAAGCATGAAGATGTCGCCCTTCGCACGACTGAGCGCGGGCCAGTCTTTGTCGGTGATCTCGTCGGAAGCAACAAGCAAGCCCAGACCGGCGACGCAAACGAAGACACCCTGAAAGATAGAACGTTAACATTGTGCCCCTCAGAATCACGAGAGACGCACCAGGAGCTGAGTCCAATGGTACTTGGGACGCATATAGATCCAGCTGAACAAGAGGCAGACGGGGATTGCCCATGCGTCAAGAAGCATACATGAGAGCAGCGTCGTGTATTCATATGCCTTCACAACAAGGAAGTTCCCCTCGACGTCGGCCGCGGCCAGAATGAAATCTGATATGATTGTTGAATGCACAGATTGATATGACGGAAGGACGAGGATCAAAACACTCACATTTCCAGCCATCCTTGTAAATCATTTTGAGCCATCCCACGAAGCCGTCTGTCGCTGCTCAATATGCGCCGATCGCAGGATTGATAAGAAGCACGTACATCTGTATATCGTGTACGGGGTGTATATGACGAACAGAGCGAAGTACCTGACAAATGCTTGGTTCAATCATGGACATCATTGGTGAAATCAAGGCAGGGGTTGCTCACAAGAAGAACGTTTGTGTAGTGGGCAGAGACCAGTTTCGTGCAACAAGCTCCGTGGTCGTGACATTCGTGCAGGTGATGCAAAGAGAGACAACCTGGCCCGCGATCAAGGAATACACGAACCGCCTGGTCCAGATGCTAGAGAAGCGAGCCCACAAACTCCCCAGGTACGCCCTCACAGACGAATGGTCCAGCGGAGGTCGTGCAGAGACTCCTGCGTCGAAAGATAGGTCGGGTACATTGGACGCGGAGACTGCATCGTCGTAGGGGATGTCGGTCTTCTGATCTTGGGGGTGGTCGACATGGCTGCTGCCGGAGGACTGCGAGGACTCGTGGGCTTTTATTTGGAGCAGGAAGCCGTGGCAATTGGAGCCTAGCGCAGGGTGGCGAAGGCCAGTCCTATGGGAGGAACTCGGGGCCGGTGGAGGACGTCGGGCAAGCCCAGGGCGGCGGCAAGATTTGTGAAGTTCATCAGAGTCGCCTTTCAACGTCAACTCTGATCGACAGTTCTGCTGTTATCGCCCAGCATTTTGCTAGTTACGCCCAATTTTGGCATGGTGAATGTGGCCCGCGTGCGGATGACAGGTGCCGGTTTTGATGATAACCCCCTCTTATCGTCCAGATATCCCACGCGCTGGCGTGTCAACATCAGGCGCAAACCTCGACGTTCAGTCCTCCCACCTTGCTCTCTGCCGCATCCATCCGCTGACAACATGGCCACCACAGGCGAGAATATGGGTGAGTAAAAGAACCTTTTTCGCTTCTTTTCGTCCTTCCCATTCCCTTCTGGAGGCAGGGATGGGCGCGGTCGAGTCGACGAGAATCACAGGTGACACAAGCCTCGCCCGAGGCCACCTCATCCACCTTTCTAGCGCAGCAGATATATCACGGATTCTAGTTCGCAGCGCGCGCACATCCAAAGGATTCCTTTACAGCTTTTACAGCTAGCCTGCGTCTGTCTCTGTCCGGTCCTCAGACAGCTCTCCCTAGTGGTTTTGTGCTGCAGGTTTCCGCAGGCGTTGGCGTTTTGCATCCATCCCACTGGCCTCCTACTGACCAGACCCAGAAGCAACCGCGCACGATACTCACAAAGCCTTTGCAGACCAGTACGGCGAACGCCACCACTCCCACCACGACCGCGACCGCGACCGTGACCGCAGACACCGCGACAGAGACCACCGCGACCGTGACCGCTACGACTCTCGTCGGCACTCTGACCGCGATGGCCACCGCGACCGCGGCAACAGGGACCGCGGCGACCGTGACCGCTACGGTGGCGGGCCCGTCGGAGGGCGCGAAGACTACGAAGAATTTGCGCGGCGTCATCGTGGCGAAGATGACCGTCGTCGGGATCACCGCCGGGATGACGACCACGCTGGCCAACGCCGGCCACGGGATGAGGGTGACAGAGGAGGAGGAGGAGGAGGAGGGGGACGGGGACGGGGACGGCAGAGAGATGGGCTGGGCACACCCGAGAGGAGGTCTCCGACCCCGACGGACGTCGTCCCACTGGCGCAGAGGAAGAGGAAGGCCAGCGGTTGGGACGTTCACGCTCCAGGCTACGAGCAGTACACCGCTATGCAGGCCAAACAAACCGGTGAGCACCAGAGTCCTCTTCTCGCACGTACAGTTTTTGCGAAGGCTTTCCTCCTTCCACTCAGACATCGGCCCCTACACCGTTTCGCGTGATTGGCCTACATTGGCGGTGGAAGTTGGTCCAATCGATCCTTCGTTGCTTTGCGATCGCTCCACATGTGCATCCAAAATACTGATAAACCCCGGCAGGTCTGTTCAACCTTCCCGGCGCAAACCGGACCCAAATCCCAGCTATTCTTGCAATCCCCGGTCTCCCTCCGCCTATGCCTGTGTCCACATTCGGTATGGGCACTGGCGTCAACCCTAACCTGTCCAGACAGTCTCGTCGCCTCTACATTGGTAGCATTACGCCAGACATCAACGAACAAAATTTGACCGACTTCTTCAACTCAAAGATGAAGGAAATGAGCCTCGGCACTGGTGCACCTGGCAACCCTGTGTTGGCTGTTCAGTGCAACTACGAGAAGAATTACGCATTTGTCGAGGTACGCAGTCCTTCCATTCAACGATACCCACATTACTCATCCGATTCCTGGACGCTTTAGTTCCGCAGCGCTGAAGACGCGACCGCGGCTATGGCGTTTGACGGAATCATCTTCCTCAATGGGCCTCTCAAGATTCGCCGTCCCAAGGATTACGGTGGCCCGGACATCATTGCGCCTAACATGCATGTCCCCGGTGTTGTATCCACCAACGTACCCGACTCGGCGAACAAGATCTTCGTCGGTGGCCTGCCCATGTATCTGAATGAGGAGCAGGTCATGGAGCTGCTTAGCAGCTTTGGTGAGCTCAAGGCTTTCAACCTTGTGAGAGAAAACGGAAACGGCGCGTCCAAGGTACGTCTCTGCAATCTCACATCTCTCAGGTACTAAATTCGTCATTGCATCCTCATTTAGGGCTTCGCGTTCTTCGAATATGTCGACCCCAGTGTCACTGACGTCGCCATACAGTCGCTCAGCGGCATGGAGCTAGGTGACAAGTACCTTGTCGTTCAGCGGGCGTCTGTTGGCGCCAAACCTGGCCAACCACCAATCCCTGGCCTCTACGACGAGAACCCGGAAATTCCGAAACCTATTCTACCCGTCGGCGATCTTTCCGGTTCGCAGGACCGGATCCTGCTCATGCTCAACATGGTCGTTCCCGAGGAGCTCAACGACGACAAGAATACGCCGACATCTTGGAGGATATCAAAGAGGAGTGCAGTAACTACGGTCCAGTCGAGGACCTCCGCATCCCGCGGCCGGTCAAGAAGGATAAGGCCAAATGGGGAGAGGGCGGGCGAGACGCAGCGATCGCAGCTCAGCGCGCGGACGAAGCAGCAGGCGTCGGCCGGGTCTATGTGAAATTCGCGGACCCGGACGGGGCAGCGGCTGCGCTCCGTGCGCTCGCGGGGAGGAGTTTTGCGGGACGGAGCATCATTGCGACTTTGCTCAGCGATGAGGCGAACACGACACCGCCGCTCAACCTCGTCTTCGCGCCGCAGCCGGATGCGCCGCCGCCCCTCCCCGAGGACTAAGAGGACTGGAAGCTAGGCACTCTTCTCGATGGACGCTCACTGGTCATCGGCTTCTCGTCCTGTGTACTGTCGTCATCGATCCAAGGCTGCACGCTGCTTGAGTGGGGACTTGGTCTGTCGTTCGTGAGGCTCCTGTCCGTCTGTCGAATCCTTCGAGTACTGAATATGATTGTGTCCTCATGGATGTATGTTGTTACCAGCTACTATCCTACGATGTTGAGCTATGAGCTTTTGTCTGCTCTCGCACCCCAGGTTCCGCGATGCTTCGACAGACCATTTTCGTTCCTCATGGCAGCCGTCCAATCTTCGCCAACGCCCAGTGTCATCTGCTGGTCGCTGGGAGATTGCCATCGCGGTGCCTCGCTTAACTCTGCCCTTCTTCAGACATTTCACTCTCCGAGGGTACGAGGACGTCATACGCCAGTCTTGGAGCAGCGGGTGGATCGTTCACGCCGCACCCACACTCCGCATGGGAGCCTCTCTGCGCGCAATTTCACTGGCCCGAGGCCACAACGGCTTCTCGCCGCCGTGCGTCCTCTGGCGAAGTACCATAGCCAAGGCTGCTGCTAGAAGGCCGAAGACGCCCGCGTGGCTTCCCCGCCCAACCACCGCTCCCTTCTCGCCGGCGGCTGCCGTAACTCGCGATTGGTGGATGCGTTCATGCGACGAGGAGCTCGACCAATACCAATTCGCAATATCCTCGGGCTCGGGGTCGACGGCTCGAGGGACTCTAATTTCCAAGCCTCTCCCGCGAGCGCCGAGGTGGCGGAGGCGGAGGACTTCGGAGGACGTGCGTGTGCGTCGAGCGCACGCTGACACTCGATGATCCTGCTCTCGGATCTGCAGGACGGGCGAGCAGTCCCACGTACCACCGTACGGGCCTGCAGCGCTTGCAGCCCTGGTCAATTTCGCCGCGCCTCCCCTGCGCACACACTGCTAGCGACCGGGGGCTCCACAGGCACCGCCCGCGACGTTGACGGGTCACAGCGGCAACAGATCTCAGGAGGTGAGCCGTCGACGGGGCCTCGCGACGGACACAGCGGGACACGCTTGGAATTCGCCAGACGGGAGCATGGCGGTGGATCGCGATGGGCGAGGACGCGCACCACCAATAGAAGCCCGGACGGGCGACCGAGACCCGCGCGCCCGGGCCCGTCCATAGAGGGCGTGCGGAGCCCACGCGGGCGGCAGCGAGTCCGCGCGAAGGCGAAGGACGAGTGGGAACTTGGCGCGGTCAGAGGCCTGACGTCATGGTCGGCAATGTGCGCGGCTCCCCCGGCCCGCCCGGTTTGGACGCCGTCCTGCTCTGCGGGCTTGCCGCAGCGCGTGAGGCGGCGCTCGACGCTCGTTGTCCGTCGGCTTCAGGGGCGCCTGATCCTGCTCAAGGGGGCCCCTAGCTTACCGCTTGCAGTCCGCACAAACTCTGGCTTGTGCCGTTAGCTCATGCTCAAACTCGTTAGTTCGACCACGACCCACCCTGGCTAGGACAAAGTTGCGATTCAGCGCGACCGGACGCGAAGAGAATTCGGCACGGACGCACGGTGCCGCCACACGCAGACGCGTGGCTAACGCGTGTAAGGACGCTCCCGGGCGTCGACAGGAAGCCGTTCAGGGCGAGTGCAGAGTCGGCGACCCTCGGGCGCGCGGGGCCTGCATGTCGCGGCGCGGGACCCCAAGCCAACTTGGCTCCCGTATGGACAGGCCCCAACGTCAATAGTAATGCCGATGGCCAACAGTGGCGCAGGCAGCTTCGCCGCCATGTCCGCCCGCGACGGATCCGCCAGCCACAAGCGCGCGCAGCGAACCTCACGCGCGGGGCGAGCGCGGCCCTCGTCCGCTCTTGTCGATCCGCTCGCTCGATGCATGGCCTCGCCGCTGCCAGTGGAGGAAGCCGCCGTGCGAGCGAATGACGGAACGAGCTCGCGGAACGGGCAATGGACAGTGCTCTCGTGCGTACGCTGGCGCACTTACGGCGCCGCACAGTTCGCTGCCCACTGGCAGCCACGGCGCGCGCGGGGGTGTCATAAGCGCGCGTCTGCCCCGCTCGCTCCGCGGACATCTCGATCCGCGCGAGAGATCTCGCGTCGCCTGTCCCGCTCCCCAAACCTGTCCGTCCGCGCGCGCGAGCGAGCGATGGACACCGCAAATGCCTTCCTCGCGCGGCATATAAAAGCCCTCTGCCCGTCCTCGCCCCGTCGATCGCGGTCCGCTGCAGCTTCCTGCCCCCCTCCCCTCCGACTTCTCCGCTCGCCCGCCCGCACCTGCCGCACATCTGCTTGAACGTTCCTACTTCTCGACATGTGGCCCTTCTCCACCCCGGCCCACATCCAGGTCGCCCGCCGGAAGCAGGCCGCCCGCGCAGACGCCCTCCGCGACACCACCCCCGCCGACCCGTTCTCACCCAAACTCGTCCACGAACGGTATCTCTACGCGACAGGTGCGTCACCCGTTCCCAGCCACGCCCCCACCGCACCCCGCGAGCCTTGGCCGCGTTCCACGCAGAACCCGCTTCGTCCATTTCTCGCGGTCGTCACATAGCCTGGCGGGCGGGCGCCTCTGGCCACTGGGTTCGATACTCACGCCCGTCTTCTCCATCTGCTTCGCGCGAACACTCGACGGGACTGCGACATATTGCGCCGGGTATGCAGCGTCCGAGATCGTGCGCCAGATCGCGAAGCGGGAGTGGACCGCGTCCGAGGTCCTCGAGGCCTACATCGCCCGCGCCGCGCTCGCCCAGGAGCTCACCAACTGTCTCACCGAAGGTGCGTCCCTCCGTCCTCGCCAGACCGGACGGCGTCGCGCGCGCACACACGCGCGCGCTTCTAGCTCCCTCTCGGCTGTGGTCGACCCGTCTGCTGACGTCCCGCTCTGGTCCCGCGCGCGTTCTAGCGATGTTCGGCGCCGCGCGAAAACATGCGAAGGCCCTCGACGCCGAGTTCGCGAGCACGGGCAGGCTCCGCGGCCCGCTTCACGGCGTCCCCGTCAGCTTCAAGGACACCTGTGAGTGACGCGCGCTGCACGACTGCGCATTCCGCCTCTCACAGGGCTCACCCGCCCTCTGCCCGCAGACGACGTCAAAGGGCAGGACACCACGATGGGCTATTCATCCCGGGCGGGCAAACCCTCGGCCGAGGAGTCGATGGTGCGTTTCGTGTGGCCTTTTTTTGGCATTTGCGTTCCACCGAGGCCGGTGTGGCCGCCCGGGTAGTTCATCTACGTCTACGGACCACGAGGGATGGTCGATCGAGTGCTCGGGGGACGAATATGGCTAGAGGCGACGAAGATGGCTAGAGGCTGCCGCTGGGTTCTGGTGCCTGTCGCGGGCCGTGCAGGCGCGCATATTAATTTCGGACGCCCTCGCTCGGCTTCGTCCGACGCACCCAGGGTGGCCCGCCGCGCTCCCCCCGCACTCGGTGCCCCCGTTCCTCTGCTCCTCCTCATCCGAGTTGTACAAACAATCCGTGCTGATATCGCCGCGCAGGTGGTCGCGCTCGTCCGCAAGGCGGGCGGGATCCCGCTCACGAAGACGAACGTGCCCCAGTGCATCTTCTTCTTCGAGTGCTCGAACCCGGTCTGGGGTCGCTCCCTCAACCCCTACTCACGCTCGTACACCTGTGGGGGCACGAGCGGCGGCGAGGCCGCGCTGCTCGCCCTCGACGGTGCCGCCCTCGGCTGGGGCAGCGACATCGGCGGCTCTCTCCGGTGCGTCCCCTGCGTCCGTCTCCGGTACTCAGTACTCAGCAGCGCCGCTGACTGTGCGCCTACTGCAGCATCCCGGCCGCGTTCTGTGGGGTGTACTCGCTCAAGCCCGGCTTCGGCCGCGTGAGCATGGCGGGCGCGGAAGGTGCGTCCACCCGGCGCCAGTGTGGCTCTGTCCTGCCCACCCTTGCGCACCCGCAGAGAGGCTAACCGTCCTTTGCCTCGCTCAGGGAACTGGTCGGGCTTCGAGGGCATCCGCACTGTCAATGGGCCGATGGGAAGGTCTGTCGCGCTCCACCCCGCTCGACCGCATTCATCCAGGACGCTGACGACCACCATTGCCTTGTTCTCCTTTCGTCCCCGCGCGCCATTCCGTGACGCCTGCCCTTGACGCCACTGCGCCGATCCATCGACACCGACCCAATGCCCCCGATGCGCCCTGCCCGATGCCCGATGCCGCCCCCCCGCCTTCGCGAACCCCCGCACCCGCCTCGGCCGGCACCGCCCCGCGCGCAGATCCGTCGACGACCTCGAGCTCGCCTCCCGCCTCGTCTTCGGGCAGGCCGCCCCCGGCGAGTCCTACCCCGCCCCGCTCCCGTTCCGGGACGTCGACCTGGCGCCACGCCTGCGCTTCGGCTTCTATACCTCCGGTGCGTCGTCTCTCTGTTTCTGTTTCCGCCCAACGCGCCCCGAGGCTCCCTGTCGCCGCGCTGCACGACGGACGAGAAGGCCGCAGAAGCCCCCCCACTGCCGCGCCCGGGCTCCGTGTCGCCGCGCGGTAGCTTCGCGGGCGCCGCGCGCGTCCACGGGATGCGATAGCGCGCCTGGGCTGCTATCTCGATTCTCGGTCGTCGACGATAGCGGTGTCCGCGCCGCGCCGCGCTCGGTAATGCCACCGAGCGAGCACACGACCGGCTTCCCGAGGAGGCGCTCGTTGGCCGCGCGAGATGATGGGAGGAACGGGCTCGCTAACCACACTTTGCTCCCCAGACGGGTTCGTGAGGCCGTCGCCGGCGAACCAGCGCGCGGTGCGGGAGGCGGTCGACGCGCTCCGGCGGGCGGGCCACGAGTGCGTGGAGGTGCGGGTGCCAGACAGTGAGTGCTCTCGCTTCCTGGTGAGCTGCGATGATACTTACTGGGTTTGGGACGCAGTTAAAGGGGTCATGGAGATCTTTATGGGCATCACCGCCGCGGACGGGTACAAGACGATCTCAGCGGACCTGGGGCGGGACCCGATTGTGAGTGCCTTTGCTCGCCGTCCAACTGGCCGATTGGGTCTCATCGAGCGTCCCCGTGTGTAGGACAACGGGGTCTCGTCGCTGCTGCTGGGCCCGTCGTTGTTCGGTGAGTCCACCACGCTCGTCTACGGTGAGAACGCGGGCCAACGATACGCTTTCATTTGTCTTGTTAGGGTGGCTTCGCACCTCGATTGCGTTCGTCCTCGAGCGATGCATGGGAGACCCGATGCTCGCGAGCGTGGTGCGTGAGACGCGCTCGCGGCCAGTGCACGAGTTCCACAAGTGCGTGAAGCAACGAGACGAGTACACGGCGAGGTTCTATCGCGAGGTGAGCGTCCCATCCTATCGGCTGCCACGCTGGTGTGTTCTGTGGTCTATGTTCGACTGTTCGCTCGACGCCGAACACCCGACCGTCGGCCCTTGCTGCCTTCGCTTGGGCTAAAGGCCGGCATTTCGTCGCCTTCGCTTCTCTGCCCGCGCTAGGCGCGGATCTCTCCGTCCGGCTCTGCACTCTGCCTGCGCCCAAAACTGCAGAGACGTCCCGTTCTCATGCTCAACGCCGCGCACGACAGGTCTGGGACAAGCACCAGCTCGATGGCATCATAGCGCCCACGCTCGCCCTCCCCGCCCTCCCCCACAAGTACGTGGACCCGCATCGCGCGCCGCACCTCACTCGCTGACGCATCACACTCTATCCCCGCCCCCCGCGCCCTCCACCGCACCAAACCACGCCCTTCCCCGCCCCCCGCCCCCGCAGCTCCTGCCAGTACCTCGCGACGATCGCCACCGCATGCCTCCTCTACAACGTCGTCGACAGCCCCGTCGGCACGCTCCCCGTCTCGCGCGTCGACCCCGCCGTCGACCGCGCGCCCGCCGGCTACGACCCGGCGCACGCCGCGCCGGGCGGCTCGCCGCTCGTCGACAAGCTGCTCTACGGCCCGGGCGGCTTCTACGACGCGGACGCGATGGCGGGCATCCCCGTCGGCGTGCAGCTCGTCGGGCGCCGGTGGGAGGAGGAGCGCGTGCTCGGGATGATGCGCGTGCTCGACGCCGCGCTCGGCCCGCGCGACGTCGGCCGGCCGGGGTCGTGGACGGGGCAGGGCGCGTGAACGGCGGCGGCGGCGGCGGCGGAGGAGGAGGAGGATGCGAGAGGACGACGCGCCTCGTGGCGCACGCGTGGAGGGGGTGCGCAGCTAACGGCTGTCGATGACGTCGTCTGCGGATGCGGGTTCTGTCGGACTCGCTGGTGGTGTCCCTGTTTTTGGGCGTGGACTGAGCGTGCTTTACGTTACACTGTTTTGAGTTAATCCCGGGTCGTTCCCCTCACACACGCACACACATGTACGGACTGTATCATACTTGCATGTATCATATTTCGAGCCTCGGTCTTGTGTACCAATGGATCAGGACCCATAATTAATCCACAGCGAACCCAGTGATTTGATCTCCTTGTGCCATTAGACTTGTGTGCGAAGCGTCGATAGTTCCACAAATGAGCGATCAACGAGTCTCCTGCTGTTTCCTGAGCTCCAGGCAACTAGAGCATGGAGTGTTGAAACGTGAATCCTATGGCCCCAACACGGAGTGCTTTGACTCCTCTATATATCAGGTATCATGGGGGGATCGATGCAAAAGTCAGTGACTCAGTAAGTAAGCGAGCAAGAGAACCAGAGCTCGAGGCCTGGGACGAAGCGCCCGTGGTCGAGGTGCAACCATAAAGACCGTGAGAAGCTGCGACTCGGGTCGCTGGCATGCTTGTCCGACGAGTCACAACAGGCTCAGCGCTCAGCGCGCATGGCTCATCCCCAGTCTTTCTCCACAGAACCCGGCTCACCTTGTGCGAGTACTGGTAAATTTCTCCCCCCGCATCCTCCATCATGTGTGTTGAGCTTTGGAACAGCTCCGACTGAAGTTGCTCGACTGCGTCCAGTGCACGGCCCTGTGGCCCTCCCCGTACTCTTGGTCAAGTGATCTGCAGTTCGTTTCTTCTGGCTGCTCTCCTGGGTCTTTTTTAAACGAAACACAGAAGAAGGTCTGGTTGCCTTCCGGTCTCTTGCGAACGGTTGGGCCTACTGTAAATACTCGTGCGTCCACAGTAGGCTTGCCGGCTCCTTCACCGGTGGTACCTGAACCTTTCGCCGGCTTCTCCGACTGGTAAGAGCTTGCTCTCCTCCGGCTCCCTCCGCATCGTCGAGAAGCTCGGCATCGGGCATTCTTTGTGGCGCGCTCAACGGTATTCTTGATGCGGAGAAGATCGCCACCAAGATCGGCGCTGTCTAGTAAGTACTTCTGACCACCTCGACGCCGCCTCCTCTAATCCCACAACCCGCAGCACCTGGTTTTGTGCTCTGTTCCCCTCTTGCACGAACATCGTTCACGATCACTTTTAGTACACGCCTCACTAGCTCTGCGCCGTGCGGCCCAATGCTGGATCGATAATCCCCTGCCCCCCTGGTCTTCGCTTCCAACACTTGGCCAAACTGATACTGTGCTACAATCGCCATACCCCGTTGCGCTTTCTTTTTACTTTGGCCTTGGCTTGGGTACACGGATGACCACCCAATCGTCGTCGTACTTGTACGACCGATCGTATCCAGCTGCACCGTTCGGTCACGCCGCTTTGCTCTGTTGAACAATTCGGTTCCATGGGATGAACGTCATGATCGCCTTGAACCGCACACAAGACTGACTCCATGGCCTCTTGAACTCGAATGTCTAGAGGGGTCTGGACTTCAACCATCCTTTGGTCAACGCTATTTTTGGTCGATATGAAATCCGAACGTCTCCGACGTCGATCCTGGCCCAAACACCGGAAGCCCGACGTGGATGTCACCTCTGCTTTCCACTTTAGGAAACCTCGCTCAACATCCGAACGGCCGTCGACAGCCCCGCCCTCGTCCGCAGGACACACAGCACTCGGACCCATCGCCTGAATCACGCACTTGTTGGGCTCGACGGATCCGCAGAGAGCAACCCTACATGGCGGGCATCACAGAACAGTGTCTTTCCCCACGGGATACATCGACAAGGCCAGAATCCCCACTCTCGGCTGAGTCGGCGAGCCCTCGGCCACTGGAGGCGAACACCCCCGCCAGCCTCTCCAGCCAGCCTCCCTCTGAGCCTATAAAACCCCCATCCAATCCGCCCTCCCTCCTCACCACCCGACTCCATCTCCTCTCCTCTTATCCCCACTGGCTGTGGACACTGCCACTAGTCGATACCGTCGGAGCCATATGGCCCGCGCCCGTCTAGTCCCGCTTGCTCGCTTCTTGCTTCGCCGCCGCCGCAGCCGTCACTCGACGTGCCGACGTGTGGTGGACGACATATGTCAGTACGCCGTCACTATGACGCTGTGTACTCACGCGATGGTGTTGTCACAGACCCTCGCTGGCCGAACCGCTCCTGCTTCACGACTCAGCCCAGCGACCCCTTCTTCGCACACCGCTCTGCAGTGTCTTGCTCGCTGGTTGGCTGGACCAACCATCGATCTTTCTGCGCGGCGCCGGGTATGACTCTTCGTCGCCGGTCCGTGTCCCGTCACTGACAGCACCTGCACAGCCAAGTACGATGACGCTCGTGCTCGTGATTGAGGTAGACCATTGAGTACACACCCCGACGCGGGACGAGCCAGTACGAGTACGTCCTTGCTCGCCTCCGAATCGAACCACGGCCGCTGACGGGTTCCCGCTCGGTTCGACTGGATCAGTCTTGACGATGCCGGCCAACGCCGAAGGACGTCGAACACGGCGAGGGCCACGTCTTGTGCGTCCTTCTCCTCCCCCCACCCATCGTCGCTCGCTCATCCCCGCCCCCTTCCAGTGAACGTGCCATCTGAGCTAGCCACTCTCGGAGCTCTGAGGTCTCGGACATGCTTCGTGCAGACAAGGAGGCCGGTTCTCCATCCGAGACTCAATTCCAGGCTCTTGTGATCTAGCCACAGACGGCGCCCACAGGGCGTAACTCGTCAGGTGTGTATCTTCCGGGCGTAGCCGGGCGGGCACTGACCATCCATGCTTCAGCCACGACATCCGAGGTCAGGCCGCGCCTACCTTTCTGCATGCCCCCTTTGGAGTGTCGACACATGAGGCAGACCATTGCGAGTCACAGGCCTCGGCGCGACGGCAGCGACGTCTAGTACGTGTCGGTACTTGCTTCGTCCGTCGCTGCCTCTGACCCACACCGGCGCCGCAGTGAACGTACCACCTGAGCCGACCATCCGAAGCTCTTGGGTTTCAACACCCAAGCCCTCCCGGACTCGTGCATCAGCTGGTATAGGGCGTCCGTCGTCAATGGTGAGCATCTTGGACGTGCTAGCGATGTCGTCGGCTGTGGTGCTAATGGAACGACCGTCCAGCTTCGACGACCGAGACAGGAGCCGTTCCTGCCTCGGTTCATCTCTATCCTCTCCCCTTTCATAGGTCGCAGAGTGTCGATACATGAGGCAGACCATTGTAGGTCATAGGCCTCAGCGCGGCGGGAGAGTCGTCTTGTACGTGCCGCCCTTGTTCTCGACGTATTTTTCTCGAGTCTGATCCTGAGTCCCTGTCAGTGAACGTGCCATCGTGGCCGACCACCAAGAGCTCTGGTGGCCGTGCGGCGACTGGCATAGGGCGTCCCCCGTTAGCATACATCGACACCGATCAGGCCACCCTTTTATCTCTTCGCATGTCGCTGGCTCTATTGTCTACTTCTCAAGTTCTCGCGCATGATACCCCGACTTCCATCGCGCATAATACCCAAGCTTCCATCGCCATGATACCCCGGCTTCCACCCGCGCTCAAAAAGTACGTGACACCGCACCTGAATTTCTCCGCACGCTGACCCCGTCTCCTTTTGAAGAATACGCAAAATCGGCTCCGTGTGCTTTGTGCGGACACGTAGTACGAACCCAAAACATCGTATAATGTTCATCCCGTGCAGACCCCCCGTTCCGTTCCTCTGGTAGGGACGGCGTCGGGCGTCTTTGAGCACTTGGTCCGCATGTACTACTCGCGGCTTGGTCAATATAGTCGTTGTTGTGCAGGGAGCGTACTTTGTGTGATGAGTAACGAGGTTGAGATTTCGTGGGTAATGGGCTGGGCCACCTGTGAAGATTAGCATGCAACGTTGGACACGAACATCGCAGTACGTCTACCATGGCGAGCGAAACTGTTCGGTGCGATATCAGATCTGGTTCCATTTCGCACAGTATACGAGTACGTGCTCTACAGTCTACTACGCTGACATGCCTCCCCGCTAGAGTACAAGTCGCCCAGATCCATGTCAGGATGTATGCGCCGGTCGACACAATGTCACTATCGCCTATCCTGGGCAGGTCGCTCGTACATGTCTCTCCCGGGCATGGCTGGTCTGTAGTGGCAGAACGAGGAGATTTCTCTTGAGTCGCGGGTTCGCATGTACGGTCCGCGGCGTCGTCAATATAGTCGTGGTTCTGCAGGGAACACCATTGGCCGAGGAATCACGTGTGATCGAGAACGGTACAGCAGGGGAGGCGATGCGCCCGGCGGGATCAGCCAGATGGTCCCCGCCCGGCCAGGCACCTGTAGTCTCTCGCAGGATGATGCACGTTGTCACAGCGGGCTATGAGAAGTCAAGGCGGCGCGCGACGGGGCGCGAGAGGTCGTCGCTGGAGTGTTTGCGTTTGAGCTTGTTGGGGTTCCCGGCGCGTACGTCGAGGCCGCCGCCGTCGGCGTTGCCGTCGAGCTCCTCGAGTGAAACGGCGGCTTCTTTCTTGACGGGCTTGGGTAGCTTGGAAGGGTGAGAGGGGTACGGAAGGGCGCTGAAGTAGGGGTGGTCGAGAGCCTGCGCGAGCAAAAGGGAACGGAGAGTGTCAGAAATCGGGTGGAGAGTGTGGACGATGACCCGGGAAGAACTTGGGGAGGAGAAGAGTTGAGTGCTCACAGCGCGGGCGGAGATACGCCTCCGTGGGTCATACACGAGACATTTGCTGAGCAGGTTGAGGCAATCGGAGCTCGCGGCGGTGAAGAGATCGCGAAGCGGTGTCTTGGGGAACTGCCCGACTGGTACGTAATCAGGTAGCTTCGAGTGTCCCTGTTGCAACCGAGCACGCCGTTAGTCGAATGCACGGAAGCAGCTGAGAGCCATCCGCGTGAGATGGGTGGCAAGAACGGCATGAACTCACCGGCCAGTCGTCTTCTGACGGAGTCCCTAGTGCACGGAAGATAGTCTTCAGTTGGTCCATGTCGGTTTCGCCGGGCAGATATGGCGTCCGGAGCATTAACTCAGCAAAGATGCAGCCCACGGACCAGATGTCGACGGCGCTGCTGTAGTATCTGCAACCCCACAACAGTTCTGGCGGACGGTACCACCTGTTCGACCACAAGAAGATCAGCGACGAACGCGAGATCGTGCGCGCCGCAGGAGCGCCGGGGCATGGGCGCGCACCGAGTGATGACCTGACATGTCATCTTGTAACCTGGGTCCGCGAAGTCGCGGGCGAGACCGAAATCGGCTATTTTGAGGTGACCGTCGGCCGCGATGAGCAAATTGTTGGACTTAAGATCCCGATGGAGAATGAAGTTGCGATGACAGAACTCGAGGCCGCGGAAAGTCATCGCCATCCAACTTTTGATATCAGCGGGCAGAAAGACAAGCGAGCGGTCCTTGATAACAAGTTCCAGGTCGGTTTCAAGGAACTCAAGAACAAGGTTCAAATTCTTTTTAGACGAGAACACGTCCAGTAGCTGCATAGTCACATGCTGTCAGCTAAGTCGAGAACATGCTTCAATGAATGGTTAGCACCTCGATGACGTTTTGGTGCTTGAGCTCGCGCAGGAACTTGACCTCGCGAACGGCCGACATGTCGAGACCATCTTTGAATTGGCCGACCTTAATCTTCTTGATAGCAACCTTCCGGCCGGTTGCAACTTCTCTCCCTGTAAGTCGGAAACGGGTTAGGCGTTGGAACAGGGAGAGTTTGTATGGGGGAGATACCTCTGTACACTACGGCATAGGCACCTTCACCAATCTTCTGGTCCTTGGCCCTGAGGGAAGTAAATGAGAGGGAGAAGATCAGGGAGAACAGCACATGCAGACCATTGCCGCTGCCTATCGGCATTCGCTTTTTCCACTGCGTCCATCTGAAGCCCAGACGACAGCCGTCGAATGCTGCGTCGAGCACAGCGCGGTTAGATAGGGAAGGACGAGAGGATGGAGACGCCCGGAGTGCTGGCGGGTGGCGTCCTGTGGCGTCGAGCGCGTTGATGGTCGCATGGCACGTCGCTGAAGCTGAGTCTGAGACAGTCGGTGACCGCGCCCAGAGGAGCGGTGTCCCCAGTGGCCCCCATCGTTGATTGTCCCTCTGCCAAGTTGCGCCGGCGCCGCGCCCCATGTCTGCGCCTGCCGATAATTCGGACGGTGGCTCTCCCTCCTGCCACCACTGCCCACCGCGACCCCTTCCCCCGCCTGCTTTTTCTTCGTTCTTCGCCGCAGGCGGCCCTCGTTTTCTTTATCTGCTGTATAAATTTCACCCTTGTGCTCTATTCTTACGACCAGCCCCTCGTTGACCGACCCAACGCCCGCCTCCAGCCGAGGAACGCTTCATGGCCGCAACATACGGAAACCATTCCACTACGGACGATGTTCTCGCTCTCCTCCCAAATAGCCAGGAGTTCCTTCTCAGCCGCCCATACACCGATGTCGAGTCCCGGGGTGTTCTGGTGCGTCAAATTCGGTCGTGTGAGTCTTGTCGATGCCTTCTGACCTTCATATCATGCCCGTGCTTGCAGGTTCTCGTGATTGTATCATCCCTCTCTGCGACCGCAGTCGCCGGCCTACTGGCAGCCATAGCAGTGAGCATGAGATTCGGTTCCTCGGGGAGCGCATATACTCAGCAAGCCTTCCCCGCGCACGTAGATTTCTGCATGGAACACTCGCAAGTCCTCCTCCTCTCACCTGTTCGTGAGAAGTCACGTCGCTGCGTACTTCATCTCTCTTCTCCTCTGCGAAGTTGCACAGAGTCTGTCTGTTTGCCTCTACCATGACTTCACGAGCTGAATTGTATGTGATCTAGCCGTGGGCTCGATCATGAGCATCCGTTGGGTCACGCTCCATGCAGTGTCATATGAGCCCTACTGCACCGTGCAAGGTTAGGATACTGTTTTGCGATACATACGAGGGACGAGCTCATATGCGACCGGGCTCAGGCGTCGTGAAACACATTGCCGACGTTGGAACGGCATTCTGGTACGTTATCGCATTCTCTGCTGCCCACCTTGACAATCAATCTTAGTCCCATCGCTTAGGTCATTCATCATCGCGTTGAACACGTTCTGGATCCTGTTTTTGCAGTGGAAGCTCAAACGTCACGTTCTCATCGTAGCCATGCTTGGTACATGGGCTGCTATTGGCGCTATTGTTACAACAGGCCCAGGCGCACTCCAGAGGTCTGAGACAGGTCCCTTTTGTAAGTGCTTCACATACCAGGTATCCCCCTCGAGCTGATGCTGTGGGTGACAGATGCCATCTCAGGCTATTGGTGCTGGATAGCAGACGGGTATCCCACTTCACGTATCACGTATGTGGTTCATAGGCAACGTCACCGATGTCTTCATGATTTGCTAATTCAATACAACAGGCTTGACTACATGTTTGTACGTGCGTCTCCTTCGTACCTGCAGCCGGATAATTGACGGGAGCGTTACAATAGATGTTCCTATCCTCGGTACTCTGCTTCATCATGTACATCCTTGTCTTCCTGAAGCTTCGCGGCAACGTAGTTGTGAATGGCTGGCGCATCAGGGTCAGGCTTCAATCTCGTGATGAGGCCGACAGTATCAAGTACACGGACACCCACGTTATCAACATAGCCAAAGGGATGCTCATGTGAGTTGTGAAGAACAGTCCACTGGGCGTTTTACTAATTCGCTGTCATGATCCTAGGTACCCAGTGCGTGCTTTCTCAGTGATGCATTGACTCCTCATGTTTGATAATTGTGCCAGGTCGCATACACGATCCTGCTGCTCCCGATCGCCGTCTGTCGGTTTGCGGAATGGAGCGGTCACGAAGTACCTTTCTCTGCAACGATCGCCAGGTATGTCTTCCGGTAACATATAGCTCGAGACGCCAATTAAGCGTCAATCCAGCGATGCTATCTTCTTGCTGTCTGGATTTGTCAACGTTATCCTGTTCATCACCACCCGTCGCGTTCTGCCCATTCACAGCGTGGTTCCACGTCGCTTCAGTCGAATTTTCCGTGGGTCCCTCATGGTCAAACCCCGGTCAAGCACATACGCCACTAGCTCGGGCACCTATCCTGCTTCAGTCACTTCAGACATGGACCCTGAGAAATCGGCCGGCACGATCATTTCGTACAACGACGCAGTAACGCGCCCTGACGCGCCCTTGGCTGCTCTCGCAAGCGCAGCACCCACGCCCTACACCTATTCTTATCCCTCCGCGAATGTTGTACACCCCTACTCTGCGACAAGTCCATCATTCACAGTCGGTTCTGCGCGATCGGAGAAGTACGACGATGTCTCGCTCAATAGCGCGCCTGCGCGTCCTGGAGCTGTTCCGGCGCCATACCGCGGAGCTCGCGAAGACCTCGACCATGCCCCTCTGGATCACGGGTTCGCCGCCGAGGACAACTCCGACGCTGAATCTTTCACTACCACCCGAGAGCGCTCCGCCTACCGAGCCTCCGCACAGACTCTCGGCACACAGCTGGACAGCATTCACTCCGAAATCGACTCGACGATAGACATGTATGTCTCGTCGGAGTTGGGGTCTCCAACGGCTGATGCGTACCTACCATCTCGCGCGAAGACTCCATTGTCTATCGCACCTTCGGCCGTACCCTCGGAGGTACCTTCAATGCCACCACCTCACATGGGCAGGGAAACGTCTGGTTAGGGTGATGCGGTATCCTGCAGAGTTCTTGATATTTCCGGGATAGAGTTTGGGTGTCGACTGGCTGTGCCAGCTGTTGTATTGTATTTGCTACGAGGGCATGCGCCCCTCTGCTCGGATTCACATTCGCTCATGTTGTACTGCTCGCTGTACTTTATTTATTGTGTATTTGAAGCCGTCGCTGGTCATCTTCCCTTTCTCCGTGACTTGTGAGCCTTCCTCGCACGGCATCTGCAACCAACGATGTACAGCCCCTCCTCCGCGGGGCAGCTCGGCCATAGTTCCGAGAATGACTTCAAGCGAGGGGCTGGGATCCACGTGGCCATGACACTCTCCCACCGCCCGATGGTGCTGAGGACGGATGAGGCAGGTGCGATATAAGCGATTAGTGAGCAACATGTGAGCGTTCGGTAATGCTATGACGGCCCTCTCTCAGCCCTCACACTCCCTCGCGCGCACGACGCTCTCCTTCCCCAGGTCCGCCCTGTCTTCTCGCATAGCCCTCCCGTTTGCAGCGCACGTCAAAAGGCGTGTCGCGACAAGACGAGCACTCACGCTTGCTACCCCCAGTCTGTCTACCTGCCCCGCCTTCCTGAACATCTCCGCAACCCCCGCGCCCTCTGCACGTCGTTCCCTTCACACCTCCGCCCCAGCCATGTCTGACCCCAGCAAGAGCAAGTCCGAGAGCGAGTGGCGCGCGGTGCTCACTCCCCAGCAGGTGAGCCTCCCGCGCCCTCACGGCGTGGCGATCCGCGGCGCTGATCACGCCGTCCCGTCTCCCCGCTGCCGCCTGTCTCCGCGCCCCCGCGCATGCGCGCGCGAGCAGTTCCGCATCCTGCGCGAGAAGGGAACCGAGCCCGCGGGGACGGGCGAGTACGACAAGCACTACGAGGAGGGCGTGTACGCGTGCGCGGGCTGCAACGCGCCGCTCTACAAGAGCGCGACCAAGTTCAAGAGCGGCTGCGGCTGGCCGGCGTTCTTCGATGGTGCGTGCGTCCGCGCGGGCTCCCTCCGGGACTGCGGCCTGAGAGGGGCTGGAGCTGACGGCGCGACGGTGCAGCCATTCCGGGCGCGGTGAACCGCCACGAGGACCAGTCGTTGTTCGTGACGCGCACGGAGATCACCTGCGCGGCGTGCGGAGGGCACTTGGGGCACGTCTTCAAGGGAGAGGGTTTCAAGACCCCAGTGAGTACTTGTTTGCGTGATACATATTACATGGCGATGGCGCTGACGGTCGTTGACCATCACAGCCGACGAGAGGCACTGCGTGAACTCCATCTCACTCAACTTCGTGGAAGAGAATAACTGAAGGAACTATGACGTCGAACATGTACTCGCATACTTGCGTGGTGGTTATGGACCGACTGAAGGCTTCATTGTAGAAAGAGGTTAACTCATGTCGGCTGCAATACTTTCGGGCCACCTGTGAGGACTAGTTGCTTTAATTGCGCTCACCATGCAGGTGTCGTAACAAATCATCGTGTAGAGTAAAGTATAGAGAGGGGGTGAATGCCATTGCGAAGTGCGAAGGGCATCGCCGCACAGGGTCAACTTGTCCAGGGGACCTCGCCAGACCTTCGTGCAGCCGATGTATGATACACTGCCAGTTCCACAGAAAGTGGGGGTATTTAGAGACCCTCCATAGTCGCGACGAGCTCGTCGAGCTCGCGCTTGGAGTCCTGGTACTTCGCCTGTGCTTCCTAAATGCGGCAATAGGGTCAGTTGAGAATGCTTGCCCGAAACACCACACTCGCTCCGAGTGCACCACGGAGACACGTACCTCGTACTTCTTCTCCCATGCATCACGCTCGCCCTCAAGACGCGTAACCTGCCGCTCGTAGTGCTCCGCCTTGACGTCCACTTGCCGCAGCCTACGCGCCCGCACCCCAACGCGTTCAGGATTAGCCGATCGAAGCGAACGGAGGCCACGTACTTGTCCATTGCCTCCTTCAAGTTCTTGTCTGCGGCATCGAGCTCCTCCTCCAGAAGCTGGATCTTCCTCTGAAGACCTTCGTTAGCGGTCTTGCTCGTCTCGCCGTCCTCTTGAGCGTGTTTGAGATCGGCGAGCTTGGACTCTGCCTTCTCGAGATCGGTTTCGGCAACAGATACCTTGTGTTGGAGAGAGGTAATATCCTGGTCCTTCTCCAGGAGCATCTGCTCGAGCCGCTTGTTCTTCGCCTCAGCCTCCTCGGCGCGCGCGACCGCGTTGTCGACTTCGGTGCGGAGGGTTTGGAGGCGCTATCGAGGCGATCCTGTGAGCCCCACGGATCTCAAAGGGTGCACGACGACGGGCACTGACCTCCTTGATCTTCTCCATTGCTGATGCTGGCGATATGCGGGGGGACGAGGTGGATGAAGCGAAGGGCGGACGCGGCGAGGTGCGAGCACAGAGCGCTGAGCGTGTTGCTTTGGACAGCACTGATAAAGTATCAGCCGTGGAAAGCACCTGCCATATCCGCCACGCTCACGTGCGCGACCCCTACTCCGGACTCGGGACTCGGAGCGCATCTTGCCTTGCTCTTGAGAGGAACCACCTCGCCCTCGCCTCTCGCCCACCCCTCGCGCCCCCACCGGCCCCAGTGGCACGTCACCCGATTTTCTGCCCGCACGCCTCACGCACCCCTCGCGATGTCGGCGCCGGTCGCTCAAGAAGGTAGGCACGAGTCCGCCGGCGTGCTCGCCACCCGCTCCGAAGCTGATCTCCTCATGTTTCGGCATCGGTCAGAGCTGCCTATCCTAGAATCCGTGATCAAGTACGGCCTTTCCATTCCGCCTGTTCCGCAGCGCGCGCCGGCACTGATGTCATTGGCCCCGCCCTCAGCATCCGCAACCGCCTAACCGCCCTCAAGAAGGACAGAGGCGAGTTCATCAAGCCGTCGGACGTAAACCAGCTCTACCAGGCGATCGTGAAGCAAGGTTCGTCTCACATCTCCTTGCGCTTAGACCACTCGCTCAATCTCCCTCGTCCTCCGCACTCTACCCTGCTGCGCGACGCAAAAAACCCGCATTCCGTCGACCAACGCACCTGCTCACCCGTTCTCAGTGACTCGACTGAACGAAGTCCGAGATGACCACACCCCTTACAACAACCGTCTGGACACGACGCTCGCGGACGTCTTCAATCTTTTGTCCCTCTTCTTCCTGACCATTGGCAAGACGCGCGAGGGCCCGGCGACGTACAGTCAGATTGCCTGTCTGAGGGTGAGTTCTGCTTTATCCGCTCTTTTCTCCAGATTTTCCCGGCGGCTATGGGCCCATTCCGCCAAGCGATGTCGTACACACGCTGCCGTACAGTCATGGCGCTGGGCTTCTCCGTCCCGGTCCCGGGGATGCCCTTTTCACGCAGCCTCCTAAGCCCCGGGCAAGCTTGTCTCGTTCCGAGCCCGCCGCTCTCTGCGCGCGAAGAACAGCGCGTCGTCATATTGGCGGCCGTGTGCGGGCTCCATCTTCCTATTCACGGCTGCGCGCCCCATTCATCTCGGCGTATCCCACACACGCGGCCCAGTCTGGGCGCAATCGCTTTCCGTTTTTCGAGGATCTGCGTCGCGCGAATCCTACCGCGTGTGCGCTATGTCTGTTCGCCCTGGTGCGCCCCGGCTCTGTGGCTGGGGTGTCTTCGGATGTGCGGGTGAGGAGCCGGGTCGGTGGTCTGTGCAGAACCTGCGGCCTCCCGTGTCCTACACTCCGGGACGCACGCGCATATAAAGGGCGTCGTGTGCGGCGGCTCTGTCATTCATGACAGTCTCACCATGCATCTCTCGCTACCTATCACTCTTCCCGGCTCTCTGTCTGCTTGGTTGTCGCACGGGTGGCGAAAGAAGAAGCGCGCTGCGTCGTCGCGTAGACTGACGATGCTGACTGCCTGTTCCCAGCAAATCCTGGACCACATGGACGAGTCGGGCGTATACAACGAGTCTGACCTACTTCCTTTTCACCGACGGCTGGCCGAGCTTCGGTAAGTCACCTGCCCTCCTCCCCGCCAATCATTCTACTACCCCGCGTCGCTTGCGTCGGTAGCCGCCGCTACTAGCTCATGTGACCCGCGCGGCGTAATGACTACGTACCTTCTTCGCGGGGAAAAGACTAACAACTTACCCACAGGAATATTGTTAGCGGCGACGTGGAGAGCGGAAAACACCCAGCTGCCATGACGAAGCTCTTGGAGCGTCAGCTGAATGACTGTGGTGAGTGTCTTGTCTTGCTTCTCCTCGCGTTCGAGACTCCTTTCCATCACCCCTGCGACGACTCGTTTACGGGTCTCGTACGTCTCATCGAGTCCCGGAGCTCTGATCATACGCGCGCAACCGAACATTTCGTACTATAGTTTGATGTTCCCAACGGTAATAAAACATCACATCCTCTCCAGGTCCTCCGCCGTTTGCCCCCACATCCCGACGCACTCATGCTGATCTTGCCTCGCCTTCTAGACAACCTCCTTCGCAAACTCCAGGACTCGCTATCCGTCCTGTCACCCGAGCTCATCCCTATACATGAACGTCTTGTCACTCTCCGGCGGCAGCTCGTCGCGCTGGCGGCGAAGGAGGTTGCGCTTTCGGACAAACACGAGGACGTGAAGGGCAAGGCAGTCGCATCCTCCCAGGATCTGATTGAGCGTGAGGCTGACACCAAAACACCCACTCGCGAGAGCACACCGAAACCGACGAACTCGGAGTTCAAGGACAAGGAGGTCCTGCGGGTGAAGGCAGAACTGAAGCCGATCCAAGAAGAGCTCCGGAAGATCGACTCGTGAGTCGCCTCGCATCTGTTCGTTGTAGACGCGATATACTAACGTCTACCTGCAGGAAACGTGTCGATGGCAAGTTCTTGGGACCAGGGGGCACGGTGCCAGCATCACAAGCGGTTTGCTCGTCGCTTCTGGAGGAGTGCTTTGACATAGTGCAAGAGATCCGAGCCAAGGACGAGTCCAAGAACGTCGCGACATCTCTGCGGCCAATATATGACCGCCTCAGTGAGATTCGGCAGGAGCTTGAGCAACTGGTAAGCCAGTCTGACTCGTGGTTTTAGGTCTGTATACTAATCGCATTCCGATTAGGTCCTCACGCACCGATGGAGTCTCCGCGAGACAGACCTGTGGAACTACAGCCTCAGTCTCCAGGAGATCGACAAGATGCGCGTAGACGGCAAGTTCATGGATGCCGAAGGCAACCGACCAGAGGGGCAATACGTATGTTCTATACGCGTCTCTCTAGGGCGTATCATTGATCTCTGCATATCGCAGGTGCTGCTATATCTTCTGCGCCGATGTTACGGCCTGATTTACCGGTTGCTTTCGTCGTCCGAGCCGGTTTCCGAGGAGCTGATCCCGATAGTCAGTTGCTCTGATTGCATCATACGTGTTCAATCCACTTACCCGGGTGTCTAGGCGAACAAGCTCTCCACGGTCAAGAAGTGCCTCAACGAGGTGCTGAAGTATGGTGGCCCATTCAGTCCTCGCGATCTGTACCCAGTATGCCCGTTGCTCCGATTAACAGTCTTCAACGTCTCATGTCCTGTCTAGTATCAGCTCGCCTTGCATCAGATCGACTCAATGCGGAAGGAGGGCAAGTTCGTGGGCATTGATGGCTCCATACCCGAAGGCCAGGGTATTGTCATGGCACACTTGAACGAGTGCCACGAGCTTCTTGAGATGGTAAGCGACCACCTTTACCAGACTCCAGACTTGCCTCTCATCTTCATGGTCTAGCTCAAGGAGTCTATGGACGACGGTGACGACGACACCGATTACGTCGATGATGACGATGACTACAACTACAACAGCGGGTCTGGTGACGACGACTATGAGAATCTGCAGAAGGACAGGGAATAGGGACAGGCCGGACGAGAGCGCATAGACGGACCTCCGGAGGACAGTGGAAAACGGCCAATAAATGAGCCCGGACATTGCCTCCATGAGTGTCGACGAGTGAAGTTGTCTCGTTATGTATATGTATATTACACTAGAGGAATCCATGCAGAGGCTCGCGCCACAGGAGCTCAGGACGGAGGATTACGCGCGTCAGTGGAAACTGGTCTGTATGATCGTGGGCGGGGTCTCCGCTACCTCGAACGTTGGGTACTGAAAAGGCCCGGTGGCGCCCCCAGCGGGAAACGAGGCAAGATTTGCATCACGCGACCATGCTTCCCTGCTCAATCCACAACTGTATTGACCTCGTCGCGGAAAGTACATGCAGACTGAATGCTCGAAGACAGCCCGACGCCGTCCCTACCAGAGGAACGGGATGGGGGGTCTGCACGGGATGAACATTATACGATGTTTTGGGTTCGTGCTACGTGTCCGCACAAAGCACACGGAGCCGATTTTGCATATTCTTCAAAAGGAGACGGGAGTCAGCGTGCGGAGAAAGTCGGGTGCGGTGTCACGTACTTTTCGAGCGCGGGTGGAAGCCGGGGTATCATGCGCGATGGAAGTCGGGGTATCATGAGCGATGGAAGCTGGGGTATCATGGGAGAGAGCTTGAGAAGTAGACGAGTACCAGAGCCAGCGACAGTGCGAAGATAAAAGGGTGGCCTGATCGGTGTCGATGTACGCTAACGGGGGACGCCCTGTGCCAGCCGCCGCACAACCACCAGAGCTCTTGGTGGTCGGCCACGATGGCACGTTCACTGACAGGGAGCTCAGGATCAGACTCGAGCAAAGATACGTCGAGAAAGAAGAACAGCACGTACTAGACGACTCTCCCGCCGTGCCGAGGCCTACGACCGGCGATGGTCTGCCTCATGTATCGACACTCTGCGACCTGTGAAAGGGGAGAGGATAGAGATGAACCGAGGCAGGAACGGCTCCTGTCTCGGTCGTCGAAGCTGGACAGATCGCTCCATTAGCACCAGAGCCGACGACATCGCTAGCATGTCGAAGATGCGACTCACCGTTGACGACGGACGCCCTATACCAGCTGATGTACGAGTCCGGGAGGGCTTGGGTGTTGGACGAAGAGCTGCCTCCTTTCTGTGCGTGCTCTCCTGCGCGAAGCATGTCCAACTAAACCTCAAGAGCTTCGGATGGTCGACTCAGGTGGTACGTTCACTGCGGCGCCGGTGTGGGTCAGAGGGCGACGACGGACGGAAGCAAAGCCCGACACGTACTAGACGTCGCTGCCGTCGCGCCGAGGCCTGTGACCCGCAATGGTCTGCCTCATGTGTCGACACTCCAAAGAGGGCATGCAGAAAGGTAGGCGCGGCCTGACCGCGGATGTCGTGCTGAATGCATCGGATGGTCAGTGCCCGCCCGGGCAACGCCCGGAAGATACACACCTAACGAGGTACGCCCTGTGGGCGCCATCTGTGGCTACTAGACCACAAGAGCCTGGAATTGAGTCTCGGATGGAGAACCGGCCTCCTTTCCTGCACGAAGCATGTCCGAGACCTCAGAGCTCCGAGAGTGGCTAGCTCAGATGGCACGTTCACTGGAAGGGGGCGGGGGGTGAGCGAGCGACGATGGGTGGAAGGGAGGAGAAGGACGCACAAGACGTGGCCCTCGCCGTGTTCGACGTCCTTCGGCCGTTGGCCGGCATCGTCAAGACTGATCCAGTCGAACCGAGCGGTCGGAACCCGTCAGCGGTCGTGGTTCGATTCGGAGGCGAGCAAGGACGTACTCGTACTGGCTCGTCTCGCGTCGGGGTGTGTACTCAATGGTCTACCTCAATCACGAGCACGAGCGTCATCGTACTTGGCTGTGCAGGTGCTGTCAGTGACGGGACACGGACCGGCGACGAAGAGACATACCCGGCGCCGCGCAGAAAGATCGATGGTTGGTCCAGCCAACGATCGAACAAGACACCGCCGAGCGGAGTCACGAATAAGGGGTCGCTGGGCTGAGTCGTGAAGCAGGAGAGGTTCGACCAGCGAGGGTCTGTGACAACACCGCGTGAGCACACAGCGTGGACGAGCATAGTGACGGCGTAGTCGTCCACCACACGTCGGCACGTCGAGTGACGGCGGCGGTGAAGGATGAAGCGAGCAGGCAGGACTAGACGGGCGTGGGCCATATGGCTCCGACGGGGTCGACTAGTAGGCAGTGTCCACAGCCAGTGGGGATGAGAGGAGAGAAGATGGGAGTCGGGTGGTGAGGAGGGAGGGCGGATTGGATGGGGGTTTTATAGGTTTAGAGGGAGGCTGGCTGGAGAGGCTGGCGGGGGTGTTCGCCTCCAGTGGTCTCGGGCTCGCCGACTCAGCCGAGAGTGGGGATTCTGGCCTTGTCGATGTATCCCGTGGGGAAAGACACTGTTCTGTGATGCCCGCCATGTAGGGTTGCTCTCTGCGGATCCGTCGAGCCCAACAAGTGCGTGATTCAGGCGATGGGTTCGAGTGCTGTGTGTCCTGCGGACGAGGGCGGGGCTGTCAACGGCCGTTCGGATGTCGAGCGAGGTTTCCTAAAATGGAAAGCAGACGCGACATTCGCGTCGGGCTTCCGGTGTTTGGGCCAGGATCGGCGTCGAGGACGACGCGGGTGAGCTGTGCCGGCGTCGAGGACGTTCGGATTTCACATCGACCAAAAATAGCGTCGACCAAAGGATGGCTGAAGTCCAGCCTCAGCTTGACATCTGGAGGCTTGTACCTCGGCGATGCCTCATTAGTTCATGAAGTTGGCAGCGATGGTGAGTCCATTGTGCGCGTCCTGGACGCAAGCTCTGGTCAGTTCCTGTCACCATATCATGAGAGCAACGCACGATAACAGAAACATGTGCCCCACGAGTCGAAATCCCCACGAAACACAATCCGTTGCACTCGAACACACGTGAAAGATGTCGATGAGAGCGACCCCTGCGCCCGCCGAGGCGGGCACAGAGTAAAGCAGGGCGTGAGCGGATGCAAATGCATGAACCCGTACACGCCCCAATCTTGTTCAGCAACAGACACCAGAACGGCAACGGCGGCGTCGGGAACCTACAGGTCCGAGTGAGCCGGCGCGCAGTACAACTAGGTAGTTACCGGAGGCAAATGTAAACTAATGAACCGCGATTTAGGCGAACTCGAGGAATGGTGACAGAACACAACGGGCAGAGAATATAGACACAAATACAGGGGGGATATGAGACCACGAATCTTGTTCGGACGACAAAAGCTGAGGCCGTGTAGCCGACACGAAGAGCAAGGAGATAGGTAGAGCCAACGCATCAATCACGATCACCGTGGCGTCTCGCACACACCGCACTGCGTGGAGGACGACGTGTTCTGTAACATGCATGTCCCACACGTCCACTGTGACCCTGCAGGAGGAGGAGGTTTCATGCCCGCCGCAGCCCAGTTGAAGCCTCCAGACGCGGCGACAGGCTTCGGCTTGTCCGGACGCGGCGACTCGCACGCGATGCACTTCTCCGCGGTCGCGGGGCTGCGCAACATGCACACATTGCACGCCCACTCGTCGGCAGCAGGCTTGGGCGGAGGCGTCATGCCTGCAGCGGCCCAGTCGAATCCGCTAGAGACTGATGCCGTGGTCTTGATGGCAGGCGCGGCGGGGGTCGGCATGGGCTCGGAGAAGTCGAAGATGGGGAGGGACGAGAGTGGAGCGGTAAACGCGGCCTGACGGGCTTTCAGCGTGCTGGGGCCAGCACCTGAGGAAGATGTGGGAACTGGGAAGGCGTACTTCGGAAGCTCGTCTTCGCGCAGCGCCGCAACAAAGGAACGCGCATCCACCGGCTTGGCTGAGGCGGGCTTGGGGACAGGAGTAAAGGCCGTCGGGGTGAACGCGGCCGGAGCGGGGGCAGGCGCAGACACAGCAGGGGGCATCTCTTCATCCTTGTCCTCCTTCGGGGGCTGAATGCTGAAGCGCAGCTTGGAGGGTGCTTTGGGAGCCGAGGACCTGGTTTGCGGGAAGCCATTTCGGAGACTTGGCGCCGAAGACGTGGGCGATGTGGCGCGCTTCTTCTCCAACTTGTCTTCACCAGGCTCGATGATCTCGGATGGCAAGGTATAGGTAGGGGTGGGGGTAGGCTTCGTGGGCACACTCGACGACATCTCCACATCCTCGACCTCTTCCACAGTAACAGTGGAACGCTTGGCAACCGCGGGAGGCGACTTGACTGTGCGCGCCCTCTTGGGTGGAGAGGGCGACTCTTCGTCTGAAACCTCCTCCACAGTGACAGGCTTCGGCTCGACGGTCCTCTTCGGGGCACCATTCACCCCGTTGATGGGAGCAGTGGTGGACGAGAGTCGGGTACTTCTCCGTGGCGCACCCAGCTCCTGTGCAGGGGAAGTTACGCCCTTTTCAGGAGACTTCACGCCGACAAGTTCGGGTGGCGGTCGAGAACGCTTGCTGCCCTGTAGAGCCATGAGAAGTGCAGACACATGCGATGGGATGAGGTTACACACCTTGGGTACGGTAGCCTCAATGATAGCTTGAGGTGTGAGCTCCTGCTCTTTCTTCGGCCCCTCAACCGGCTTTGCGACACGAGGCTTACGCACAACCGACTTCTTGGCAGCAGGTTTGACCATCGGATTCGCTGCTTCGTATGGATTTGCGAACGCCGGCTTCTGAGGTGGCGTGACCTCCTTGATGAGTTTGGTCATGTAGCTGGCGGCACGAGTCGGCTTGCCCGCGGGTGGCGACGGGGCCGTCTGCGGCGGAGAGTCGGCTTGACTCCAAGTCTGGCGCAAGGGTGAAGGGTTGGCGGGAACCGTGGGTCGAACACCGTTCGTTCGAATGCGAGGGGTGGACGGAGGGGGTGCGCCACTGGCACGGCCGTTGGTAGTAGGCGTGCTGTTGAGGGCGGCAGGGGCAGACATCGAAGTCGAGAGGGAAGGTGCGGCTGCACCATTCGGCCTCCCGTTCGCATTGCCAGTGCGTTGTTGCGTCGAGGTGGTGGCGTCCTCGCCCACGCGGCGGCGCTTGGTGTCGACCTTCGGCTTGTCGGTTATTATCTTGAGAGTTGGCGCTCTCTGTTGCATCGACCCGAAGCTGGGTGATTGGAAGCGATTGCGGGGACGGGAGCTGCCACCCCCTTGCCAACGATAATCGCCCATCGGGTTCTTGGACAGCATCTTACGGGGAGGCTGGCCGTTAGTGGAAGCACTAGCATCTGCAGGATCAAGACCAAACGCCGGGGTGTTGCCGCGGGCGGGAGTGAGACTAGGGCTCTTGGAGAATCGGAAAGGCTCGGGGTGCTCGTCGTTGTCTTGATCTAGAGCACAATGAGATACACGAAGAGGGAACCATGACGGACAATGGACGAACCTTCAACACTGTTTTGAAGGAGGTGTACTAGCCCGGCCAACTCAACGTGGTTAAGGGGACGACCACCCTTCTCGTTCAGGAACTCCTGGACCCTCATGAGGTTGGCTGATGAAGACGATTGCGAGTCGTCGCTGCGGGGGGAGGTGCGGTGGGCACCGTTCATGGATGAGGAGGGAGGGGAGTGTGAGGTGGGCTGCACGGGTGGTTGAGGCGCAGGCCGCGGGCGTGATTGCTGCGACGGCCTCGACTCGGGTGTTACGGCGCCGGCAGGGCTGTTCGCCGCGTGCAGCTGGTGAGGTGAGAAGGCGGCTGTCAGTAAGTCGTACGGCCCGGCGAGAACTACGACGCGCACATCATGACCCCTGGCGGCCAGTCGTTTCGCGGACGCCGACTCGGTGGGAGGCTCGTTCTCCGTTGGCGTGGTAGATCGCAAGGGATTGAGGAAGCTGAGAAAACCGCCGAGACTCCAGCCCTAAGATAGTTGGGGGATGAGACCAAGCTCAGAAAGCAAGTGAATGAACTTACGGTTGTGGCTTTCTTCGTAGCAAGGCGCGCGTAGGGAGACGCGTTATTGTTTCGAACTTGACGGCGCGTGTTGGACCGGAGGGCACCGTTGCTCATGGTCGTAGTCACGGGTAAATCCTAGACCTTCCCGGAAATGCGCACAAGCGCGACGGAGAGGAGGGACAGAAGTTGGCGGGCAGGGGAGGGGATGAAGAAGGAGAAGAGAACAATCGGGGTGGCCTCGCCCTCGCTGTCTCTTCCCACGAGCCGGCCCTAAAGCGTTCCGGTCACGTCCTTCTCCCATACTGGCTCCCAGCACTCATCCTCCTCATCGCTGCCCACAATGCCGGACAAGACGGTCGAAACACCGTTCCCGCTCATCGACGCGGACCCCCATGCTGGCCGTGTTATTCGCTACATGCGCCCATCTGACTACGCGACATGGGCGGGGATGACCGCCGCCTTCCCGGGCCTACTGTATGCTTGGGGTGCGTTACACGCATGGTTCACCTTGTTATCGTCACTGAACTGGCTGTTATAGACAAGTGGGAGCCCAGCGGGCATAAATTGAAGGGTGCTCTCCGCCTTGGTGGGGTATTTGGCTTCGTAGGCGGGTTCCTCATGGCTTACCAACGTTCAAGTTGTGAGTAGTCAGTCGTGGCGCGTGTTGCCTATTATGCTCACCAGATACTGCGCGGCAAGTGCGTTTCTGGGGCTGGACTGAGAACAAGCGCGAGCAAGAGAAGGACTTCGAGGAATTGTCCGACCGTGCCAAGCGTGGCCTCCCTCTGTACGGCCACTCCGACCAGCCGGAATGGGTGCAGGGCGTTGCGTACCGCAACTCTGTCTTCTCTGCGCTCAAGTTCTGTACGTGACGATGTCCCCTTCTCTGTTGTCATCACAATGCTGAGACGATGCCTCCAGCCGCCTTCCCCATGTAAGTATCATCACCTCCATACAAATTGTCTCGCTTACATTCCACAGGATCAACTTGGTCCAGCATCAGCACCATGGTACAGACGAGGCGAAGTACAAGCCGACGGAAGAGTCTTCGTAGATAGTGACTGGTAATGCTAGTCTTTTGCTCTCGCGCCAGAATGCCCATACGTAGAGGCTCTACGTGCGATTCCTTTTTCTCCGACGACCTTCCTGTCCATTATTCGTAGTCATCGCGACGTCTTCATCTGCACCATTCGACTGGTCTTTGCTCTCAGCAACCAAGCGCTGCACCACGGACTCCCACATCACGTCGTTAATCCCCTTGGCCTTTCCAAGTTGCTCCTTCAAACGAGCGACTTCTCCTTCCAATTCAGTGACCCTCGACTGCAGAGCAACCCCAGGGGTTGCGTCGGCAGTGGATGGTGGCTGCACGAAGAACGCATGGTCGTTGATAAGCTCAGCACTGGAGTATGAGAAGAATGCGTTTGGAGTGGTCTACAGTCGAGTCAGTTCCCGAGGTGGGCACTTCGAAGGACAGGGCGTACCTTGGTCTGGGGTAGCATCATCGTTACTTCGTGAGCTTCGCGCGCTTTCGCGTCACGTATGCGTTGGAAGGGTGCGACGGGCCGGACTGGAATGCTTTCCTTGCTGCCGTTACCAGCGGGACCCAGTGATAGACTAATGTGCCCAATGAGGTCCGGAGGGCGTAGCATGGTCGTCAAATATGTGATCGCCATCCCTTTGTGTGTCGACAACGTCCGGAGAAGCTGGTGCGACGCCACGTCGTACATGTGAATGAGCCCAGTGGTCGTACCAACGAGGAGGATAGATGACGTGAGTGACAACGTCATGGCTGATACGGGCTCCCTGCGAAGCCACTACGTCAGATTCACTTAGGTCTAAGGGACTGGGAGGGAAGCGTACCCAACAGAAATCAGCCTACGCTTCGTAGAGGCAGAGCCAGGTTCGTTGACGCGGATTACGTCGCTGATACCTGCGCCTCCAACTGCTTCTATTGCTACCCGGCTGAACTTGTCTTCCCGTTGGCGGAAGAGGTTGACCTGGTGAATGGAACCATCTGACGAGGCGGCGAAGAACATCCGTTCCGTGGGATCCAGAACAACGTGAGCGATTGGTTGGGGGAAATAGAACGTTGTGAGTAGAGTCTTTGAGGCCGGGTCCCACATCTAGAGAATTCTTAAGTTGCCGATGGATGGTATTCATGGCGTACTAGGACTTGCCTTCACTGTGTTATCCGTGGAAGCCGTAAGGATACGGCATTTTGGGAAAGACCCGACGCCGCAGACGATGTGGGTGACGGGCAGGGTGTGGTCGGTGAAAGCGCAATATGGTGTTGGCAACTCATCCTGCAGCACGTTGTCGACAAGCCTGAAAATCTCGTTACTGTCATGGTGCTGTGCATTGAGAGAGCCACGAACGACTGACCTGGCAATTGACCACACGCTGACCCCAGAATCCTCACTACCGGCGATGAGAGCAGCTGCGTCTTGCGAGAAGCACATAACAGTTATAGAGCGGTAGTGCGCATCCCATGAGTTGAACATGATCCCTGAGGCAACCTACTATATTGATAAACGATGTTACTACACGACATGAGATGACTACCGAGCATACGCGCCTCCCAGAGAAATATTCGGCCTTGAGTTGTCGCACCTGCACAATACTTCCCGCTCGGATCTGCAGCGAGCGCCGCCAGTTTCTCTGGAAGGACGATTTTCAACGCAAGCTGATCCTACAGCGGCAATCGTTGGCACAACTTCTAAGAGCGAACCAGAAAAGACCACGCACCTTTTGGAAGTGGTACACGTGCAAAATAGATTTGTCTCGTTGTGCCGCGAGCATGAAGCCCCCTTGTCCATCCCGAGATTGCACCGTTGTTGTGCAGTGCACGTTTGAAGAGGTTTGCTTCCATGAAGCGAGAGATGTGCCATTCTGAATGTCGTGGAGAGACAAGGTGCCTGCACCTGACCCTGAAGCAACCGGAGCGGTGGCGCAAAGGACAGACTCGTGGAGCCGCATGGTGGATGTTGCTTCGGAAAAAAGCTACCTCTTATGAGATGTGTCTGCGTTAGTTACGTGGCGCAGAGTGAAGAAGGAGCAGGAGCAAGAGCAGGAGCAGCGCAGCCAGGGCTGGCCACGGACGCATCAGCAAAGGGCGTATCTTCTTGCCACGCATCGGGGCGTCTGACCGCGCTTGGCGCTTCCTGATAAGGACTTGCCGTCTTTTGTCTGCTGGACGGCTGATGGTAATACATGACAATCAATTATCTGCTCTACTATTGCTTGCAGATCATGGCATATGGGAGATAGACCAACGCCTGCAAGACGAGGGTTTGACATGTATGGTAACGTATGGTGGGGTGGGAATACTGGTAGGCACATTATATATATTGCACATCCCTGAGGCACGGTGTTGTACATTCCGTGCACATCCTCGACACGGGGCTCGAGCATGCGCACAGGCGGGCGTGGGGGCGATAGGCGAGTGCGCGGCGCGGGGTGGAGACCCAGACGTCGACGAAGGCGAGGTTCGGGTGGGGCGGGAGGTGGTCCGCGTCCGAGAGTCGAGACGTCGTTCTCGCGGCCCTCGAAAACGAGGTGGCGGACACGGGGGAGGCGGAGCCGGACGCGCCGTCCTCGTGCTCGTCGTCGCGGGGGCCCATCTCCGTGTGGTCGCGGAACTCGAGGTAGGTGAGCGCGGCACGGTGCGCGCGGAGCACGCCCGGCTGGACGCGCGTGACGAGCAGGAGGACGAGCGCGGTGAGGCGCGGGAGCGCCCAGCGGTCGAAGCGCGGCGGGGGCGGGGGCGGGGCGTGCCGTCGGTGTGCGCGGAGGCGGCGGTCGAGTCGGGGCGGGGGCGGTCGGAAACGGAGAATAGTCCGAGTCCAAGACTTACCATGATCTGATTGCACTCATGATAGATGGAAGTGGGGGCCATTGCGCGCGATCAGCGCCCGCGCAGACAATAGGGCAAACAAGACGCTTCGGCGCGAGCTGCGCGTCTACTGAACGTCTCCCGCAACCGCCATCGTCGCTCCCGATGCCACTCGCCTCACAGTCAGGTATATGAAGAGCACATACCTGGTGCGATATCTCCCTCTCCCTCTCCTCCTCTCATCTGATCATGGTCAAGTTCCCCAGCCTCTCACAGACTGCACGTGTATGCAACGCCTGGGGCGAGTCGGACACGGCGACCGGGTTCCACCACACCCAGTCCCCGGGTGGCAGGTGGTTCAGAGAATGGGATCAGGCGCACATCGGTACGTAGCCCATTCATTCAAATGTGTCTAGCTGAGGTCCAATCGTGCGATCAGGCTGCCCTTGGTGCCTCCAGTCGGACTCACGGCAAGCACCCTGCTCCGGTCGAGCCTCTCGAAGGAGAGCCACATCCCGCCCCTGCCGCTCAGCCAATGCACCAGGTCCTCGTGCCGATGGTCCTCGTCGCCTCCTCGTCGTGCATTCTCTGAATGTAGAACAGCGAGAGTTTGAGTGAGGTCGACCCGACCAAGCCACGAGCTCGTAAAGGGCTCCTCAACGGCGCCCGCCCGCCTGCCCCGGGCCAGTTGATACTCAAGGTAAGCGTCGGTTTTTTACCATACATCTTAATTGACAGTTGCATATTGTTAGCAGGCTTACAAGGCCTTGCACGGCAACCCGGCGGCTGCGATCTGCGGCGATGCGGGTGGGTTACTCACTCGGAACTTGGAAGCAGCCGGGCCGGAAGTCCGTTGCGGAAGGGACGGCCATGGACGCCAACAGCTTCAGGCTGTACTCCGTCGTCGCTACTGCTGCTTTGGTGAGCTCCTCGGTCACGTCTTCGGGCGTCTTCTGACGTATTTTGCAGGTTCGCTTCCGATGCAGACTGTCCCCCGACCACAGGCGATCAGATGCTCGAAGAGAGTGACAGCAAAGAGGAGACCTGGGACACCGAGGAGCCTGTCGGCGACGCGTCAGGCGACGATTGACAGGTATGTATGGTATGCACTTGTCTACGGCAGCACTCGCTCACCGTCTCATTTTACAGATGTAATCATGTATGTTCAAAGTGCGGAAAGCTCGTGATTCACTTTCGTTCTTGTGTCTCCACATCTCCAGTAGTCTCGTATTATATTTTCCATGATCCGATAGCTTCTTCTGAATGATTAATGCGTGTTTTAATCGACCACTATCCAACCAGCGGCAACCTGTGTGTGCTACAAAATGCGGTCTTACATCCCAACATATGACAAGGGTCTAAAATCATTGTGTCAGATTACCATGTCGCCCCTTGTGTATGGTCGGACAACTACAATGCGTGCAGCCAGGTATTGCCATTGTCTCCCTCGTGTATTGCCATCGGCCCCCTCATGTATTACATTGTGCGGCGGGAGAAGACAATTGTCCGACCAACCGGCGTCTAGCAGGCGGTAGATTGCCATGCCAGACGACCGATGGCCGTCTACGGCTACCACCCTGTCATACGTGATCTGTCTTGCGATTACTTACCATGCAATACGGCCGTTGATCACGCACTGCGATGCATTATCTTCGAATCCCCCGTTTTGCTGATGCGGAGCGGGTTCCTTGCCAAAGCGAGCGCTCGTAAGAAATCTGCACCCGGGCCGTGTACCCGGACGCCAATGGAGCCAGACATGCGTCATCATCGTGTCGGAAAGCCGCTGGGGATGGGTTCGAGCGTTTTCTCGCGCACAAGCTTCGATCGCCACCATCAGCTGCTTCTGTGTGCAGACATCCTTGTGTCCCTCTTAGCTATCCGTGTGTGCCTCCGACCAACGCCACTTCCTGTGAGCTGCCTCTTTCTCTCTACGCACTTCGAAAGGCCACCATGGCGTCCAATCTCTATGAGATTCTCGGCATCAAGCAGGACGCAACGTCGGAAGAGGGTCAGTCCACTCACTCATACATGCATACACTGTGCCACTCGCTAACTCCTTTACCGTTTTCAGTGAGGAAGGCCTATCGTAAAATGGCTCTTCAAACGCATCCCGATCGTCTCCCGCAATCCGTGACTGCCGAGGAGAAGAAGGCGGCGGAGGAGCGATTCAGGCTGGTGAACAACGCGTACGAGGTCCTGAACGACACTGAGAATAGGAAGGTACGCATGCCTCCCCTCTCCTTCCCTCTTGTATATCGTCTCAACCCCCGGCATAGTTGTACGACAAGCACGGTGTGTGGCCACCTCCCGTAGAACAAACCTCTCGCAGCAGTGACCCGTTCACGAACACCCCGTTCGCGAACAATCCATTCTTTTCTCGCCCCTCCTTCGCCAACCCTCGTGGACGTGGTGCATTCACGGACCCATTCGAGCTCTTCAACGCCCTCTTCGGTGACTTCGAAGCTGCTTTCGTGCGCGAATTTGGTGGGACCCCGTTCATGCAGTCACCTTTCGATGATCCCTTCTTCCGGAGCCAGTTTGGCGCCTCCGCTTTTCACACTTCTCCCTTCGGACATGCCAGAGATCCGTTCGGAGGCCCCATGTTCGGCGGTTCGCCGTTCAACGCGCTTATTGGCGCACCAATGCTGGCGGGACGCCAGAGCGTGCACCCGGGAATCTCCACACGCATATACAGTTCAAATATTAGCTCGGGAGGCAATGGACATTGGGTTTCGACGAGCACAAGTATGCGCTCGATCAACGGACGTACTGAGACGATCACGAGGAGATTCGACCCGCAGGTATAGTTTTCGCCGCACCATAGTGTCTTCAGATGTTGACTGCTCTGAAAGGGTAACGAGCATGTCACATACTCTTCTCCAGAAGGAGATAAGTATACGGTCAATGGAGTCGAGCAGCGAAGCGGCTCTCCAGAGGATACCCGTCACTCAAATGGCGTACCTCGCCAGCCTCCTGCCCCTGCGGACGCCTCGCGTTCACCCGCCGCCGTTGAAGCTCCCAAATCCTTCTCTGTCCCAATAGCTGGTTGTAGGTATCTTTGTATCATAGGGGCGTTTCTCTTGCTTACGACAGTCTCCAGGGTCGTCCCACAGACACGCTCACAACCAGAGCCAGAGCCAGGTTCAAGTCCCACCTTTACCAGCAATACCTCCAAACCCGCCTTATGAATCTCATCTTTCTCGTCACCACTCCAACCGCTCTCATGGCCGTCACGGCCATGAGCCAGTCGTCCCCACTGACGGCCCCCGGCGGAGTCACACCCTCCCTACCTGTGCGCTTCATTCTTGCAACTCTGCGCTGTTTGGATCCACTGACCGTTCCTTCATTACCACTCACAGACGGCCCGACCTCGACTTCCGACCAAAACGGCGCCACGTTCACCCCCGTCGTCCCGAACGACCATCACCGCCGCCACCACCACTCGATCCACTCCCACTCCCCCGCGGAGCCGGTCGACCCTCGCGCGCCGAAGCACCGGGACTTCGCGTATGAGCAGCCGCGCGTCCGTACGTCGTCGCAACGAGCCAGCGGGAGTGGGAACGGGGCGCAAGGGCAGGAGCAGCCCCAGCACAAGGGCTGGCGCGGATGGTGAGCGCGGAGCGAAGCGGCGGATGCGTCGCGGGGGTCGCGAGACGCGGCGGAGCTCTGACCGACTATCTTCGTGTTCTTCTACCCAGGCTCAGCAGACTAAGTGCGGTGCGTCCGTTTCGTCGGCATCCTGCCACGGAGATGTAGTAAGGCAGGTCGCTAGTGATGGGAGGCGGGTGCTGTGGAACGGGCTTTGCCCGCACCGAACAGCACCGCACTCCGGCCGATCGAAGTGCTGCTGCGATCCACGTTCTCTCAAACGCGTTTCTTGTACCATGGCTCTCACATGTTGATCCTGCCCGCCAATTTATGAGCTGTCGAGTTGTCGTAAGTACTGTGCCCTGCTTTACACTAGCTTTTCCCCTCACACATGCGTTACGGTTTCCTTCCTGATGTATCCAATATTTCAACCGTCTAGTCACTTTGGAGCCTTCCACATATACGAATAAGACGTTCGCGTTCGATATAGGGTGCGACCGGCCAATCAGGAGCTGTAAATATATATACTACTGGTACAGTACTAGGAAGCCATAACGTGCGATGAATGCTATGCCCACAGCAGCAAACAAGGGGGAGAAGGGAGAGAGTGGAAGGGGACAGTACTCTGGGAAGAGCGATTGTAAATCCCACGGGATACTAGATGCAACGGACGAGATGCGTTCCAGGGAGCGGCTGCGACACGAGGATAATCTGTGTGCCATGTAAATGAAGTAGAGGATACAATCGACGCGAGGGTCACTCGATGAATGCAGACAGTCGTCGTGGGAAGTGGACATTAGCAGGCCATTTCAGTGGTGAGGAGAGAGGAGGTAGAGAAAGCGAATACGTCAAGGAGCGGCGTTGAGTAGACGGAGGTCGTCGGAAGGGGGATGCGAGGATGCAAAATGGGATGAGATGAGCAGCCGACGCGGGCGAAACGAGATAGGAGCGATGATGCAGGTCGTGAGAGGTCGTGAGAGGATCGATGTGGAAGAGAAACCCATCTGAGAGTGCAAAACAGCGAGACTAGACTACTGTCGTTACTCGTGACTGTATGGGAGGGAATGCTGACGACATCGGCGATACTTGCGCTTGCTGGCCGGTGAGGTCACGGTACGAAGCATCTGCGTCGCCCACGGTGAGGTTGGGGGCGGTACTGGCATTCGGCGTCGCCGGCGTGCCTCCAGACGAAGGAACCTTGCCAATGAACCACGATGGTACCCATCCACGATCGCCAGTGTCCTCCTTAACAGCCTGTTGATCAAGTAAAAATGAGTGCGAGTCACGGAGACATCGCGGTAGGACACTCACATATGACCAGTGGTTATAACGCTTGAATACACGTAGACAGTCATCCTTCTGGAGATCCAGCTCCTCTTCTCCTTTCCTCTTATAATCCATCAATGCGATGCCAGGGAAACTTGTCGAGAGAATGCTCAAAGGCAAAATAGGAGTTGTGCCTGCCGGCGACAAGGGCGGCGAAGAACCTGCGCCACCGCGCGCAGTCGCTTCTGCAATCGCAACAGAGACGGGGACCTTGGTTTCTAGTAGGCAGCCTGCGGGCACCCAACCTTGCTTGGATGGATCTTGCTCGACTTGTCCCGCGCCGGCTGGGTCGCGCTGTACCACCCACCACCCTCTCGCTCTTGATACGATGATGAACGTATCACCACTGCTGTGTATTAGTGCCGATATGTGACTGAATAACGATAATACTCACACGACGACATCGAACTCGTCCTCTTGCTCCGCCATGTAAGGATAGATGGCTACGGCATAAGACACCTCCGTTGCTGGCGGCATTTCCCGTAGTACCGGCGGTGTAGCTGCCTCCGAGCCTTCTGCGCCATTGACACCGTCGTTCTGAGTCTTGTTCCCATCGGGTCCGGACTCGTGCTTGCTTTCCACAAGAGGCGACATGAGCTCCGGCCACCCTGACTGCCCATTCGGAACCCCAGTGAGAAGTCCGGGTGTCTGATGTGGCAGCTGGCTGTTGACTTGCAACTTCGGTGGTCGGCCGCGATCCTGACCGGGGGACGAGACAAGTCCATGTGAAGGGGTAGGGGTTGACTTCGCTGATCCACCGTCTGTCGTAGCCGACGCCTTTCGAGCAGCTTGTTTCTGTTGAGCAACAGCAATAGGAGAACGAATATCTTTGATATGTTTCAACATGAAGACGGGGTTCTTCTTGGCATCCTTGAGTTTCTGGAAGAGCAATAGCGGTTTCTCGTCATAGCTCAAGCACCGTTCAATGCGATTCCCTATAGATTGTGTCAGTTGTGGTGACATGACCTTGGCTTCCTCGATTACCTGGTGCTCCATAGCAGATGAACATGGCGTAATTCTGCCAGTCGTCATTGTTGATCTTGTACTTCTTCAAAGCCGCAGGCAAGACCTTCCATGCCGGATCATCGAGACTGACTTTGAAGCTCTTCAGGTTGTCCGAACTGTCTTGGCGTTGCGGCCGGGAGGGTAGTGGGTTTGGCAATAAGGTGTTCGAACTTGAGTAGGATGCGTGCTGACTCGTGGAGGCTTCGCTACCAAGAAGGGTCGCACCAGTATTTCTCGATTTGTCCGAGTACACAGTGGACGTTTGTCGTGAACTTTGAATATCATGTTCCATGCGCTGTGGCGAAGGTTGAGGAGATTCAACCTCGGCGGTGGCCTTGGTGGGAGATTTGGAAGAAGGCTTCACGAATGAAGCCCATTTAAAGGAATGTGAGCGCACGGGACTTTCGGCTTCGACCTGCTACCAATATTATGCCACATGACTGGAGTAACGAAACAAGACGTACTGGCTGGGACCTAGTCGGTACATTGCGAAGTTGGTGGAGATCCTCCAGGCAGCTGTTGAGCGCATCGCTCAATCTCCTGTTGTCCTCTTCCACGACACGGATGCGATCGCCTGCCAGCCACGTCAGTACGAAGGCTCAAGTCGGCGGAGGAAACGCGTACTCTGATCTTTGACTATACTGTACAACTTCTCGACACTGATATTCTCTTGCCGCTCCTCCGCCTCAGCTAAAGAGATGTGCCACTACATTTTCAGCCAAAGAGGAAGGACGAGCAAAAAGGCGAAGGGGCGCACATGGAGGAACGTAGTGGTCGGGCTCAATACGGATGTTCTGGGCGAGCTTGACATTGTATACCGCCTTCAAGATGGCCAGTCGCTGGCCGATGGTTGCAATGCCAATCTCCTTGAGACTTTCTGGGTCCAGAAGGCAGAGGACCTCGCCATTGATGTTGTGCTCTGGCGCTCGGTCGGAAGTAGGTCGGTATCGCAAAGAAGAAATGTACCTTTGACCTGCTGCTCGTACTGCGGGAAACCAATCTTGGTGAGCCAGAGGTGGACATCGGTAAGGTCCCAGTCAGAGATAATTGTTCGATGCTCGATGGACGGGATGTCCATGGCGGGAGGAAGGGGGGAAGAGAGGCCGGATAGTGGCCGACGGAGGCGGGGACGAGCTGAGGGAGTCTGAATCCCAGAGGCGACAGCAACATCGCCCGAAATCCGCTCCCCTGTCTCCTCGCCCGTGTCCGGGGTCTCCTTTCGCCACGCGCCCGGCTGGGGACCCCGCGAATCAGCCATGTCGAGCAGACGCCCGTGCGCGCTCCGGCTGCTAGGATCCGAGCCTGTCGGGCTCGCTGCCCCCAGGTCTCGCCACAACGCCCTTCCCCGCTCTCAGACGACCCCGCTGCGCTCTCGACTCCGTCGCGAGCCTCATGACCCACGACCGTTACGCCTATGGACGACCTCTATCAGAATGCCTGGAGTGATCCCGCAGAGACCGGTTCCGCCTCGCTCAAATCCGACGCCGTCTCATGGTCTCCGACTAAAGTCACAAGTACCTATGGCGAGGAAGCCGATTTGTCTATGCCATCGTGGTCTACGGGCGTAGGTGTTACGTGGGACGAGCCTTCTCATAGTCCAGGTCTCTCTTGGTCACAAGCAGACCATGACGCCGGATGGGGGTCAAGCACCTACGAGGGCATCGCAATCGGCAAGTCCTCGCTCTCTGCGGAAGTCCCCGCCGAGATCGACAGCTTGTCGGAAGGCGATCCTCGAGAGCCTAAAGATGACGCGGAGCCGGTCGAGGAGGAAGAGCCTACCGCTTCCCGTACGCCTTCTCCCACATTTCAACCTCTTCCGTCGTCCCCGCCTCCGAATATCTCGTCCCCTCCACTACCAGAGCCCTTCGCAGAGTCGCTCCCGCACTTGGATCCGGAGTCAACACCTGTTCACAGCTATGACCGCAAAGTGATACCTATTCCTGTCGACGTTATCCCGGCGACGGAGGATGCCTTCGGAGGGTTCGAGTCGGGCCTGACAACAGGAGATTCGCCTTCTCCGGGCTTCGCGGCAACTACTGAAGACTCGGATCCGTGGGGCTCTGCCTGGGCGGACTCGAGAGATGCGGAGGAGGAAATCGAAGAGCCCGTGGATGAGTGGGAACGCGCCGTGCGGGAAAAGGCAAAGCAGGACCGTATTGTGGTATGGATGCTCTGTATACGTTATCGACTTGCGGTTAAACTTCGCATTGCCAGCCTCCGGAATTACTGGCCAAACTCGTCCGCGAGAGCGAAGAGTTTGCCAAGGAAGTATTTTCAGAACCCAAAGTTGATGAAAAGTCCTCTGAGAAAGACGCGTGGCTCAACGATCGGCGTAGTGGTTTGGAAGGCGTTCCGGGCTTGTAAGTGTGCTATACATCCAAAAATGTGCGAGGCTGAGCGTAATGTATCGGTATCTTTGTTACCATTAGGACCGCTCTCTCGGAATCTTATCGGCCTGCGCTCGAATTGCGGCCATCCGCGAAATTCTCCCAGACATTGGTTGCGAAACGAATGGCATCCTCCGTCAAGCTGACGAAGAATCTGCCCATTACAAGACGAAGTCCGATGTCGCATTACCTACTGGCAAAGGGTTCTGTTGCTTGGGAGGTCTCAGTGAAGGAACGCAAGGAGGTCGTGGAAGACGATGTCCCCGTCGGATGGCGAATCGTTGAGAAGGCTCCAGTGATATCCACAGACGCGACGAAGGACAAGAAGTCCAGTGGTTTGTTCTCATTCTGGAACCGCCGCCAGACCCCTACTCCCGTCAATGCCAATACCACTGCAGCTAGCGCAGGCAGCCGATCCTCGTCGATAGACAAGCCACGGAGCCCAGTCGTAGCTGAGCTGAAAGCCGAATCCACTCGTCCCAGCCAGGATAGCGCACGGCCATCCGCCGCTGGCAGTCGTACCTCTCCTACCAGCGAAGCTCCTCAGCCAACACTGCCTGCTCCCACCGCACCTCCGCCCACCACATCATATACCACGGCGTCGGACCCGCTGGCTCTTCCTGGGGAAACCCAAGCTCCGTCTGCGGTCTCACGATTCCTCAACCGCTTCTCTCGCAGAAGTAGCCTCGGCGGAAACCCCCGAAGCATGGCGCTCTCCTCCGACGACCTCGAGTTCCTATCCGACATTCCGAGCGCGAGCGACGACGTTGATGAAGACACGAGCGCCGATGCTCTTGAACAGTTTTTCAACGCTCGTGCACCGGCGATCCCTGTTCTCCCACCTCCATTGGCTCCTCCGCCATTAGTACCGCCGCTTCGGCCTGCCAGCACCGCTAGCCTGCCATCAACCCTTGCGGCAAAGTCGATATCTCCCACAGCGGCTATAAACGACCTTGATATCCTCTTTGGTGCGGCGACTGTGGAGCCGGCGATCGCACAGCCAAACATACCAACCCTTGCTCCGCCAATTTCCCCATCACGACCTATGACACCCTCAAATGGCCTTGCTCCCAGGCCATCATCTGTTGCAAGTGGGTCCGCGCTCCCAAACCCCCGCCCCGCATCACGCGCACAGTCTCCTCCAGTTTCTGTACCTTCCGGCTTCGCTCTGCCCCCTCCACCCTCGTTCCAGCCCATTATCTCATCCGCCACCGTGATCAAAGTCGCCAAGCCGAAACTTCCCTCCCCTCTTCCGTTGAACACAATTTCGACAGAACCAGGCCCGATGTCTGCATCATCAACGTCCTCTACGTCGTACGAGACGGCCGGTGAGGTCTCACCATCATCACCTACGTCCGCCTTACCCCTGGGCCAGTTATACCCGCACCTAGTACAACAGGCCCCCAGTCCATTACCGCCCGGTTCTTCGCAAGCGTTAATGCCAGATGGCGATAAGCCAGCAACTTTCGGGCTAGAGACGCCTCTGGCCTCGAAGTTCTCCTCAGGACCTCACACACCTTCACGCCGCCCACTGGCTCAGCCTAACACCAACCTGTTCGACGACGACGACTTTTCTGACTTCCAGTCGCCAGTGGACGCGTCGAAGCCTTCGCCCGCCGCCCCACCGCCCATAGCAAAGTCCCCGCCCGCCCGTGCGAATCGTCTTGTGCACGGCGCGTCATCGTTTGGCTTGCCCCCACCGCCGGCGCCCTCCGTAGGGTCCAAGGACTCCTTGAACAATCGAGCGGCGTTCGGTCTCGACGACGACGACTTCGCCGACTTCCAGGATTCGCCCATGTCCACTTCGGTCACGAATACGTCGACGAATTCTTCCCTGTTCACGAACAGCGCGTCGGACACAATGCTCCTAACGCCGACGAACGCCTCGTCCACGTTCAGCGGCTTTGACGATTTCTTCGGTAGCTCGGTCACCAAGTCGGACCCTCCGCGTGTCCCCTTGAAGCCATCGGCGTCGCTGTACGCCAACATGCAGCCTCCCCCGTTACAGCCGCCGCCGCCGCCGCCGCCGCCGGGACCGCCTTCCTCGAGCTCCGCGCCGCACCTTCCACCGCCCCTACCCGGGCCAAGGCTGGCAGCCCCGGCGAAACGGTCGCCGCCACCGTCGTCAACGTCGTCGTCAAGTTCGATGCCGTCAATCTCCTCCGCGTCCTCGAGCTCGTCCCTGCTCGCGCGGCGAAAGTCCCACGCGGCCGAACACCTCCACACCCTCGACCTCATGAACCGCGCGGCGGCGAGCTCAGGCAAGCGCTGGCCTGCGCCCGCATCGCCGCTACCCGCTGCGATACCTGGGCCCGCAGGCGGTCTGCGGGGCCCGGGCAAGGCGCCGTGGAACTTTCTCGAGGAGGAGGAGGAGGAGGGGACTCGCCCGCGACATCCGCGGCGCCGCTTGCGGCGTCATTCTCATCCCAGGTGCTGCCTCCCCCACCCGTGCCGAACGGAGCATCCTTCGGGATGGGCGGTGCAGGCCAGGGCAAGCGTGGCGGAGGAGAGTACCCAACACTGATGAGTGGGACGCCGCTGCTGACCGGGAGCCCCAGCGTGGACTCGCCCGCACAGCACTCACTGCTGCATGGGTGGGGTTCAACGGCGGCGCCATCAGCCTTCGGCACAACAAAGCCTGCAGCAATTCCAAACGGAGCGAAACCGAACGAAAGCGGGCTGTCGGCACAGGATTTGTCGTTCTTCGAGGGGTTGTAGGGTGGCCAGTTCCTCTGTCTTTAGCATCTAGGGCAAGTAATTTATTTGTGGCCGAGGAAAGAGTTGGACTACATTTCAGGAGAACGTGTCCACAGATGACGACCTACAGCTCGTAACAAAACAATAGAGACCTCAGCTTTCCACACATGCACAGTTGGTTTCAGTGGGGCTCAAAAAATGCAGTCACACACAGGTGCAGCCAAGCAGGGGCAAACCTGGCTGCTTCATGCAAGTTCCACTGCAACCAACTGTGCATGTGCAGAAAGCTGAGGTCTCTATCAATTTGTTACCGGCTGTAAGATATTGGACAAACCAAGTCAGGTCCGCTTTCTGGAAGATTTGCGGTACCGATCGCCCAGGGCCACGTAATCCGCCTTGAGCTTGGCGATGCCACTCGACAACGTCTCCCACTCACGCAAAACATCCGGCGCGTTCTCCACCAGCGCACTACGGCGCTCCCAGGTATCAGCCTCAGGGCCCCACCCCACCCAGCGGATGCGATACAGTCGGTCCCTGCTCTTCTGCCCCTTCTTCTCTGCGACAATGTGTGACACCTCGTAAACGTCCCGTCCGTCCAGAGGATCCGGTTTGTTGTAGTCGAACACTTGCGCGGGGTCAAACCAGTGCGAGGGGATGGTCGCGGTGAGAGCCACCTGTCGGTAACGTCCAGAGTACCTGCGGCCTCCGTTCTTGTCACTGGGCTGTGGGCGGGCGTGGCGCGAATACTTGCCACACTCGCAAAGGGCGTGCTCGATATCGACCATGGTGAGCTTAAATTTGCGGTCATTGCGATCGTCGAAAAGGCATGGAATGTTCTCGGGAGCGGTGTGTCGCCGTATAAATTGATCCGCTTGCATGTCATGGAGGGCACGTATGGCTTCAACTTCGTGGCCGCGCACGCCTTCACCGAACATTCTCTTCAGGCAATCGGACGAGCCCGGGCCGAGAGCGACCCATTCATCTTCAAAGAAGTTGAAGTGGGTCGTCATGTTGAGATCGAGAAGCACTCTAAGAGTGATGGTCAGAGAGGATATGTGAAAGCGAAGAGAATGACGTACTGCATAGCCATGAATTCTCCCATCCCAGGGTAGAGGCTGATGATACCGTGCGCATCTTGCATGTGCTCCACCCGCTTGAGACGACCCGGAAGGTCCATGTTCATCATAAGCTCCAGAATACGTAGGTGCCTAGAAAAGTTCTCCTTCCCTCCAATGAGTTTCTTGGGGATGGTGTTTAGGTACGCGGGAGTATAGAGCGTGTTGCCTGCATCCTGGTACTCTATCAACGCCTTCTCGTAGGCCTCCAAGTCGAAGTTGCGCCAGGTGAGGTCGAACCGCTCCTCTAGGAACTCCCAGGTTTCGATTTTGCTAAAGAAGCGGAATAAGAGGACCCTAAAGCACTGTTCCTGAATGCTCTGATCGCCAACTTGGATGACATTGAGGAGGGAATATTGTGTGGCGCGGTCGAGAACGCGGAAGACGTTGGTAAAGGAATACTTGGCTAGGATTTCGTCCTCCGTCCACGGGCTAACACCTCCTTCAAACCTCCTCCGGAACATGGCGTGGCGCTCTGTGACGAAGTACCAGAACATTTCGAACGTCCCCGTGGGGTGGAACTTCATGTCGCCGATGCGCACGACTTTTGGGGGATTGCTCCGGACTTTCCAGGGAGCGAAACCTGGTGGAGGAGGGGACGCGTTCGATGAGGGGGTAGGCCTTCGAGTACGTGCCATTTCGAGAGCTGAACGAGGCGGGGTAGGAGCGCGACTGGGAGGGATTGTGGGGTGGAGGGGCGAAGGGGCAAAGGGGCGACGCGCGACCGCGTCCAGCCGGGGGGTTACATACGTTGGGGCGTGGGCCTCGGCTGGTTGAGTCTTGCCTGTCAGGGTCGGATGTGTCTTCTTATTGCGCTAGCCCGCCCTTCTCCCGTTGCCTACGATCAACGTATCCCATCTCTGCGTGACTTTGTCGAATGACACTCGCAGCTATCCGAAGACTTCACTGGCTCTCAAACGGACCATGAAAGCACGAGCAATGAGTACGTTGGCACACTACACGAACATAAACATAGTCAGCCCAGGCCTATACTATCGGACCAGAACTCACGGACCTGGGCGGCGAGGTGGTACGACAGGAAGAGCCGACATGACAAGGAGACTCGGATGGCCAATGGACGGCGTTATGGCAGGTAGTACTTATACCCTGTACGAAACTCTCACGCGTTGACAGGGTTTCCCCAATCTCGACCTCACGCATGTCCGTCTATCAGGGCCCTTTTGTCTGTCCTAATTAGGCTTGATTTGGTATCAGTACCTTTTTGCCCTCCTTCTTGTATTATAAGTAGATACGGCCCGAAGGAATGTTGATGCCTGAGAGGTTCTCGGGGGGCATTTGTTGGAACTTCCGTAGTGACATGCTGTGGGAAGGAGAAGCACAGAAGACTTCGAAGAGATACAACCAGTAACTTCAGTCTTTCTCAATCGTCTGTAAGTATCCCCAGAGGTCATAACCCACTGGATTGTCTCATCTACACCCATAGCTCCTTGAGGTCTCGTGAATACAGCTTGCATATTTCAATGTGCGCAGCCATCTCGTCTCCCAAGTGAGTCCGTGATCCGCATCGCGTGTGAGCGCCGAAGCGCGTCGGAACGCGGTCACGTGGCGGTCGCGAAAAACGAACATAGACTTGGTGCCCGCGCGCTAACTGCCTCTGCTCGCTGCCCTTGCGCACCTCCCACCCCTGCCCCTACGTTTCTTTCAGTCTGGATTGCTCATAGCAATACCACAGGCCATATGGCCACAACACGAAACCTGTATGATATCTTGAGCGTTCCCCAGGGAGCTTCATCCGACGATGGTACGTGCTCTCCGCAGTGACTTGTTCGGATCCCATGAATGACGAAGACGTTCGCGAACAGTACGGAAAGCTTACAAGTTCAAGGTCCTCGAAACCCATCCAGGTGTGTTTAATGACCCTGTATCTCAGAATGGTGCGCTAACGGTAAAATGGCAGACAAGCTGCCTCCTGGTTCAGACGAGGCGACCATAGCTGCCGCGGAGGCGGAATTCAGAGACGTGAGTGCCATTTTCCTGATTCCAGTGCGCGATCAAGCCACCAAGCCGCTTTACGTCGCGCCTTCAGATCCGTACGGCGTTTGACGTCCTGAGCGACCCTGCGAAGCGCAAGGCTTACGACAACGGCCTCAACTTCGTCAAACGCCGCGTCAACGTCAACCCGGAAGACGTGCAAGTTCGCCTTGCGCGCGAACGTGCGGAATGGCACAAACAAGCGGAAGCTCGGCACCAGGAGCGCATGAAGGTGCTGCATGAGGAAATCGGCGCCAGCCAGAAGCGGTACCAGGAATCGCTGGCACAGACGGAGCTCCGGTACCAGGAGAAGATGAGGACCATCGAGGAACAGCTCACTTTGCACCGGGAGGTCGCGCGGGCGGTTGCTGCGGGGGAGCCGGAAGGCACATACACCTTGGTGGATGAGATGCTCAGTGACTTGAGGAGACGGTGCCCGGAGTGGGAGATTCGGAGGCAGAAGGTACTCAAGGTGAGTCTCGAAACCCAGCTCCGAAGAAGTAAAGGGCTCATGTCCTTCACGCAGCAACGGGTCGAACGAGTGAAGGAGGAAGCTCAAGCAGTTCAGATTTTGGCCGAGTGAACACGGACGCACGTCTTTCCCCATGTGAAATATCTTAACATGTTGTGTGTCTTCTAGGCTTATGGATATTTAACACGCTATTCTGTTCATGTCCAACTTTGGCGGGTACCGTCAGCCCATCACATTGCATAGTCGTTCATACCCTTTACACACTGCTACATGCGCACTCATCGCTGAGTATTTTCGGCTTTGTCCATGCTACACCTCAATGATACAATCCTCCGGTTCAACATCGTGCGTTACGCACCCTGTGCCTCTTCCGCCTCCCCCAAGGCTCTCAGCCGAGCCTTGGCAATCTTCCCGACATCCACCACCGCCCTCCGCAACTCGCCTGTCCACCTCTCAGTCGCTTCCTCCACGCTTGCCAAACTGTTCGACGACGGTTCGTCCGGGCTCGTCGAGTGCTCGATTCCAAGCTTGTCCTCCATCTCGTCCTTGATCTCCTCGCGCGAGCGGCCGTTCACGAACGTGATGTACACCAACCCAGGGTAGACGCTCTCGTACAGCCGGTTCAGGTGCGCGAGGCGCGCGAGGACCTCGGGCGGCGTCGCCCGCGCCGCCTGCTCCTGCGCGCTGAGCGCGGAGAGCCCCGCGATCTCGCCGATGCGCGGGTGGGCGGCAACGAAAGCGGCCTGCTGCGCATCGGGCCAGGCGGCGATCGTGGTGATCGCGGTGTCGATGAGGTGCGTGTACGAGAGGATGGGGGGTGTGGAGGTGGAGCGGATGGACGCGGCGAGGGCGGGGACGAGGGCGTCGTAGAGGATGGGGGAGGGCTCGAAGAGGAGCGCGAGCGCGCGAGCCAGGGGGCCGGACTTGTCCCCAGAGGAGTCGGAGAAGGTCTCGAGCGGAGTGGGGAGGGTGGGGGCGGAGTCGGATGGAGGGTGAGCGTCGCCGCGCGCGGCGGATGGGAAGTCGCCGAGGGGTTTGACGGAGTGCACCCAGCTGCGTATCTTGGGCGCCATGGTCGAGGCTCAGGTGAGTGTTCCGAGTGAGAGATCGCGCGACGACGGAGGCCATTGTGGCGCTATGTATCTGATTAGATTGGCAGCCTGACGTCGGTGACAATATTGGTGCCGTACCCCCCAGTATTACGATACATATTGCATTGGCAAGTTACATCGAAGAATACAAGGGGCTATGAGAGGGAATCGTCTGGATAGCGTCGAGTCACGGCGGCAGATAAGGATGGAACTTGTAACCCAAGTTGGAATCCATTCAGCACGAGGCACGCCCCATCATGACGAGGCCAGGCTTTCCCTGGTAGTACTGTAGCCCAAAAGCTTGTTTGCAGGCGGTACTCGTTACTTCCTCCGGACCCGTGAGCACGCGCTCATAAGCCTCGGCCGCTTGTGACGCTCCCCTGACCCCAAGCCTTTCCGTGCACTCGCTCGACTTCCCCGATCGACGTGCTGCCTACCTATCACCACGCCTGAGCCCAGCACGACTTCGCGCACGTAGACTTCGGCATCCACAAGCTTGGCACTCACCGTCCACCATGCGCCGGTCGCTCGACGCACTCTCCGTCCTCTCCACAGACGACCTCGCGGACTACGACGTCATCTCGGATGGCCCACGCTCGATGGAGTCCAGCATCGCAGACCTCGGTGCCCCACTGCCCTTTGCAGGGGCGGAGCCCGCTCCATTGCCGTCCGCGCGCGAGAAATTCGCCACGGTGGAACTCACCGCGGAGGAAATCCAGACGTACGTGCAGCGGTCGCTCAACGCATCATTAGCAGGGGGTAGGGGAGACGATGCCAGGACATGGAGGGTATATGTGGATGGGATGTTTGGGCCGCTGATGCCAAGGTACGTGCGATGTGAGCCTTGTGTCGGGCGATAGACCACTCACCTCTCCCCCAAGGGACGTGCTGCAGCTGCGGCAGGCGAAGCTGTCCTTCCCGTCTGTGCATCTCATCGTGGGCGTATTTTCGGACGAAGCATGCGAGCAGCACGGCCTGGACCCGTGCCTACCGCACGAAGACAGATGCGAGGTGTTGCGGCACTGCAGGTGGGTGGACGAGGTGATTCCGGACGCACCGTGGACAGTGTACGACAAGTTCCTGCGGACGCGGATGATTGACTTCGTGGCCATCGACGAGGGCGTGTCGATCGACCCGGACTGCGATAGGGACAGGTTGAAAGGGTACGATCTGGTCAAGAGCCTCAGTACGTGTGTCCGTGCTTGAACGAGGAGTGCATTTCCGACCTTATGCTGCAGGGAAATCGATTGCGACACGGAAGACGAATGTTTCGACTCCGATCCCGAGACATCACAATCCGTTCCAAGGCAAGGTGGAAGAAGATAAGAAAGAATCGAGCCCCCCAGAAGGCGGCGGGACGTTGAAAAACATACCGGCGTCCTTGAGGCAGGCGCAGGAGGCGATGAGAATGACAGAAGATCCGACGACAGCGGATACGCCGCCGGAGACTGGACGTGAGGTCGGGGAGGATACACCATTCGAAGAGCCGCGGGTGGACGAGTTTGGGACAGGACAGGGGATTTGACGTTAGTGAGCAGGCTGCTGCGGCAGTTGGGAACATGTAGAATGTTGACAGTGACATATGCAAGCAGAGACCACTGAGTGCGGGCGTTGTTCATCGAGTCTTGAGCGCTTGAGCCAGCGTTGACGGGTTCATGTCCTGAGGTCGCTGAAACATTACGAGATGAAACAGCCATCGTTGCATGCGAGGCGTCCGACCGGCCCGGAGCGCTCACTATCTATGCTAGCCTTGGACCTCGGTTGACCTCGCCCTGGCCACTCACTGTTGTGATCTCGTGCCCTGGCCTTGTTCATCCACATCCCTAACATCATCCTCATGGATTCAGCCTCCCTCGCACTCCCGTATCCGTCGGGAGGGAAATGGGGGCTGTCGATCCGACAGCGGCATCCGAGCCACATCCGCCACCGACCTCGCGGCTGGAACGATAAAGGGGCGCTTTGGCCGCGCCCTCAGGAACATTTGTACGTCCGATAAAACGCTCCTCACCCGTTCACACGACCACCCCAAACCCCCATGCAATCTCTACCCCCCTTGACTCCCTCAGCGCCGTGGCTTCCGCCCGAACTCATCGTGACCATTCTCGAGGATGTATGGGCATCCCCTCTCACCACGGCAGAGCGTACAGCGACGTTTCGCAGCGCGTCGCTCGTCAATCGCATGTGGCTCGGCCTCTTTCTCCGCATCGCCCTTAGGCATGCCTACCTTCCCCCCCTCGATGTCTCCACTTATCTGTCACTGCTTCCCGAACGCACAAACGCCGATGCCCATGCGAATCCCTTCACCACGGAAGCGTCGTTCCTGGCCAACAAGATATGTCAATCCCTTACATTCGACGTCGACGGACGCGCGCCAGGAGATGAGCCTATAGGCACCCCGGGCGAGATCAAAATGAACTTCGAGGTGGACACGAGCTCGATATCGACGGTGCTGAACATGGTGTCCACGCTCAACCACCTCCCGAACCTGCGCCACATCTCGCTCCGATATACGAACTGGGGGTACGAAGACGCGTTCGAGCAACTCTCCATCTCCGTCTTCCCTCCCCAAGTGACGTCGCTCTCGATCGAGTACGATGCATGCAGCGCGCACGCGCGCGAGACGTACCCCAAGTCGTTCTACACGCGCCGCCCGCAGCCGTGGGTGACGCTGCCGAGGGTGCGACGACTCGCGATCGCGGGAGCGCCGACGGGGTTCGCGGCGGACATGGTGCAGGTGTGCCCCGAGGTGGAGACGGTCGAGCTGCTGCGTCCAACCCGGGTGGACGAGCTCGCGCCGCTGCCGCCGAGCGTGCGCACGCTCGTGATCCGCCACCCGCACTTCCTCCTCCAGTCGGAGCAGATGCTGTGGTGGAAGTTGGAGGACGCGGTGGCGGACGGGCTGTTTGCGGCGAGAGGCGGACGGGTCATCATACGGGCAGGCACGCCGGATCCACACCTGTTCTGGGATATGCAACGACTATGCAGGAAGCACCACGTCGAGTTGGTTTATGTACGAGAGGACGTTGCGCATGTACGCTTATGATCGAGGGCTGTACTCATTGCCTTCTTGTGTATACACTGCTCCTGACTTTGCGCACGTCTGAGTGGCGACATGAGCGCACGAGACTGAGATGACTCGAAATCATCATATGGAGGGCCCAGACGGAGTGGTTCGACGGTCTGTCGGACGCGGAGGCCGACGGGTTTCGGGAAGCTGTGCGGTGTGGCCAATAGGAGGTCATAACGGGCCGTGTGCTTACATCATCCTGCAGAGACCGGGGCGACTGGGGAGGTACTCAGCCTGAGCGTATCCTATTCAGATGAGAGATGGCGACGATGCCCGCTCCCAGCCCGAGTCCTGCCGCCTCAACTCTCTCCTCGGCCTCCAAACTCGTCCCGACCCCTCGCGCCTTGCGCCTCTCGTCCTCGTCGTCCCCATCCTCCACTGCGATCGCGCCCTACGAACACCTTTCCGCCATACGGAGCACACACTACGCGCCCCACGCGGGATCGTCCAAGGCCATGCATCCGCCACAAAATGTCTGCGACGACAAAGAAGCATGTGGCTTTGCCACCGCCGAGGGCCTTCAAGGATGCCATGAGTGTGCTCAGAAATGCGAAGACGCTTGCACCATATCCTCCGAGCTCACCTCCCAATGCACCGACCAGTGTGTCGTCATCGCCTGCAACGACGCGCATCACAGCAAGTACGTGTGTGAGGATGCATGCGACCAGTTTATCGAAGACTTGCCGTGCGGGAAGGAGTGCTCCGGAGACCTCGAGTGCGCCGCTATCATTGACAGCTTCGTGAGTACCTCCCCGTTTCTTCCATCCGCCCCGTGGGCTTGGCGACTCTCCACACGCGTCCATGCCAATTCTAATTCAATCGTTGTCAGTTAAATAGCCAGTGCTGCACAGACTACTCGTGCCACCCCGCCGACTGCTGCCCCGACCCCTCCGAGATCGGGCGATCGGATTTCCTCTTGCCTGGCTCCAACTTCAACTCTTACTTCGCTGGCGCCTTACATCCGCAAATGCAGCGGGTTCAGCATTTCCCCAACGTCTCCACTTTCCCGCCGTTGGACTCGACCTCATCAACACCACAGTTGGTTCCGACCCAGGTCGTTGATCCTTCTCCCTCCCAATTTACCCAACCTCACCTGTCGCAGGGTATATCCTCCCCCAATTTTACGGGCTTGCCGCCTCCCGTCAGCCTTGACACCCCCCCTCACCAGGAAGCGTGCAAATGGGCGGGATGTAACGCCGTCTTTCGCTCGATGTCGGAGCTCGTCGGGCATGTCAACCTCGAACACTTGCGAAGCGCCCCATCAGCGCCGTTGTCCTCACAGACATCGAGCACCTCGCCAGCGAATGGGGAATCGGTGTTCGGCTCCTGCTTAGACGGCCACCAAGGATGTAATCACCCATTCTTCGATGGCCCGTCGTGCATGTGGGGCGATTGTAATCTTTTCCCCAACGGTCAGCCTGCGCCGGGCCCGTCGAACGGCGACGAGCTTGCTCTGGTCGAGGCGCTTTCCAATCACCTCATGCGCGACCACCTCGGCATCTCGAAGCGGCAGCTCTGTCCCATCGAAGACTTGTTCACGCACGGGGTACTGGAGCCGAGCGCAACCCCCTCTCCCATCTCCGCGCACAGTCCGTCGTCGAGCACGCTGAAGTCGACCCTCGGCACCGCGCCTCTGTCGCCTTCCCCCGAGCACGACTGTGCGTCGTCGGCGTCACATCCATGCCGGTGGAAGGACTGTGGGCAAAACTTCGTGACGTGCGAGGACCTCACGGACCATATCGCTGCGGTGCACGTTGGTGGCGGCCGGGCCCATTACGACTGCCATTGGGAAGGCTGTTCGCGCAATGGCGACCACGGGTTTGCGAGCAAGCAGAAAATATCGAGGCATATGCAGGTGCGTATTCTTTGGTTGTGTTGTGTCGCGCTTACCGGATGCCAATCTCGTCTCCTTCAGAGTCATACCGGCCATCGACCGTTCCAATGCAACGTCTGCCAGCAAAACTTCTCAGAGGCGGCGACTCTGGCCCAGCATATGCGCCGGCATACGCAAGAGAGTGGGTGCCTCTGAGCTCCCCTGATCCTCTCCAAAACTCATTGTCTGCCCCAGAGCCGTATTCATGCGATTTTCCAGGTTGCGGCAAGGCGTTCGCAATTGCCGGCGCACTGACCATCCACAAGAGGACTCACAACGGCAGCAAGCCGTTCAAGTGTTCTTACTGTGACCGGTGCGGCGCTTCTGCGTAGTCGCACATCTGATCATGGCTAATTTTGCGTCGATATCAGCGCCTTCTCCGAGTCATCCAACCTGTCGAAGCATGTAAGCTCTTCGTCAGCCCTCGCTTCTCTCGAGTCATTCCTCACGTCTTGTTGCGATAGCTTCGAACCCACACAGGCGCGAAGCCGTATACGTGCGCGGATCCTAGCTGTAACAAGTCTTTCGCACGACCCGATCAGCTCGCGCGACATAGCAACATTCACAAGCGAAAGCCTGCAGCGGATAGGGCTGCCTCGGCTGAGCTGGTTCCGAGCTAGCTTCGAGTCCTTCGATATTTATTCGGTCGTCGCGTTGCTCATACACGTCCTGCGATGCTTAGTAGATTATACGTCACTATCATGTAGCAACATACTATCGCCTCAAAGCATATCTGCCTCCTCTCCACACATACTGCGTATGGTTGTAAACGAAGGTCGTTTGCCACCATCTTCGTGTACGACTGTCAGTGCATTGGCTCTTCCTGTTGGATGAACACAATCTGGGTCCAACGTCTCTTCAAGATTCAAGGAAGCGAATGGCTGTCCACATAACATCGTAGATTCGTAAAGCCAGCGCCCATTGACGCTGATAGTATTATAATACTCTATTGGTTCTGTGGTACTTATCGTGCACGGTCCTGAGGCTCGTCTAGCTGAGCTCAACGCTGCGGGTGTAGTAGTCTCGATGCCTCCCGCATTTCGAGGCGAGGATACAGGCATGTATGTACAAGCGATGGTCTCGGAGGTTCGACAACCAGCGTACCATGTAATGCTCAGTGCTCACTGAGAGCGCTTTGCAATGGATCCGGATGGCTTATCTGCGACCCGACTTTTGTCGACAACGAGCCGCCCCCGGTATTTGGCCGCAAGCGTAGTACATATACACAACTTGTATTGATCGGAGTTAAACCATGTTCGCATCGTGTGTGCACTTCGAAGGACCGGGTTAACACTCCGATGAGGTCGGGCTTGAGGTCGGGAACCGATTTGGAATTGTAGCTTAGTGTGTCGTTCAAAGGACTTGAACCCCCCGTCGGGGTTGCGTGGCATATCGGCTTCGGCCGTTAAACGGCTGGCCCGAGTCCTCGGAGTATCAAGTGGGCCTAGTGTTTTCGCCAATTCGGAGTCAGTCTTCGTTGTGAGCGGGCTCGGTTAAGCCGTGATGCGACCTAGATCATGTAAATGCAGTGAGTTTGGAGGAGATGCAGATTCAAACGTTCGAGAACACTGCAACAAGTGTAAAAGTGAGATTCATAAGCCGTCTCCGAGTCGGGCCGCCTATGACGTTTGTAATCCGGTCGCTTGTTTTGATACTTCCTATTAGTCACCGTTAAAGGAAGACCGCCCGAAGAAAAGCCTCATAGTAAAGCGACGGTGCGCCATCCGTCGTCCGTCTGTCGCCATCCTCTCCCACTCCCGCCCCCATGGCCCATCTCCGCTGCAACAGCGGATCTGAGGGCTGGGGCCCCGTCTCCGCCTTCCGACCATTCGACCTCACGCTCTGCTTCGAGGAGGGCGCCATCTTCACGTCCCTTCACGCCGTCTTTGTCGTTTGCGCTCTCGCAGCATGTGTGGTTCAGATGCGCGCAGAGGCGCATAAACGGTCAAGAAAAAGCGTGTGGGCTGCACGCGCGAAGCTGGTGAGTTCATAGTCTATTGTTCAATTCCACGCTGTGATGCGGAACGTCCCCGAGGAGACCCAGTCCTGACTTCTTTTGGTCTCGGTCGTGTCAAGCTGCTTCTGTTCCTTGCGTTCGCGGTCGGCTGTGCGAACCTCACCCTCCGTTTCGTCACCAAGTCGCCTGTCACGTTCCTTCCGTCATACGTCCTCGAAATCGCGACACTCCTCATCGCGCCGGTGCTCGCGTATCTCAACCACTACCGCGCGCGGACGTCCTCCTCCATTCTCTTGCTCTTCTGGCCGACATACGCTCTCGCTTTCGCGGTTTGGACACGCACTGCGCTCACCGTCTCTTATGACGCCAATATCCATCTCGTGGCCGCGCGCGGAGCCATCACTGGGCTGGGACTCGTCGCGTGGATTGTTGAATGCTTCGGTCCCGAATTCACGCCAGAGGATGGCCCGGAAGAGCTCATTCACGGTCATGTCGAAAGCCCGCTTCTCACGGCCAACATCTTCAGCAAGTGGGGTTTCGGCTGGATGAATGCTCTCATGCAGAAAGGTGCGAAGGACTACATCACGGAGAAGGACCTGCCCGCCTTGGTGCCTCAGGATGAATCGGCGGTTCTGGGGGAGAAGCTCACGAAGGCCATGCACAAGCAGTACGTAGTTCGCGCTCACCCATTCATTTTGTGGCTGTTCTCATCTGCGCTTCAGCTCGTCTCTGACGATCGCGCTGTTTACGTCGTACGGTGGACCGTATGCCTTCGCATTGTTCCTCAAACTCTTCCAGGACGCACTTGCGTTCCTGCAGCCCCAGCTCCTACGTTGGCTTTTGGCGTATATCGCGGAATACCAGTCGACAAGGTACACTGGCGGAGGACCCACCGCCATCGAAGGCTTCGCGGTCGCGGCTATCATGTTCGTGGCCTCGATGATCCAGACTGTCATTCTGCACCAGGTATGTGCAGTCCGGTCCTGGAAACACGCATGAATGCTCAATTTGGTTGCAGTACTTCCAACACTGTTTCGAGACCGGCATGCGGGTGCGCTCTGGGCTGATCACGGCCATCTACAAGAAGGCTCTGGTGCTGTCCAACGACGGCCGCAGCAGCGCATCTGGGGACATTGTCAACCTCATGTCAGTGGATGCTGCGCGTCTGCAGGATTTCTGCACGTACGGGCTCATCGCGATCTCCGGACCGTTCCAGATCACGCTCGCTTTCATCTCCTTGTACAACATCATGGGGCTTCCGGCATTCGTCGGAGTCGTTGTCATGATCGTGTCGATCCCTTTGAACACGTTCATAGCTCGTATCCTCAAGAATCTCCAAGAGAAGCAGATGAAGAACCGCGACAAGCGGACTCGACTCATGTCGGAGCTGTTGAACAATATCCGCAGGTTCGTGGAGTTTGCGAGGAACTTCTTAACGGCAAACTGACTTTCCATCCAGTATCAAGCTGTATGCGTGGGAGAACGCCTTCATGCGGTGGATCTCCAACGTTCGTAACGACCAAGAGCTCAAGATGTTACGCAAGATCGGTATCTACAATGTGGGCGCTCTGAATGGATAAACGCGAGCGTGACTGACACGTAATCTAGTCGGTGAACATGTCGATGTGGATCGGAGTTCCTCGTACGTCAATGGTGGAACTGTGGGTGCTTGTCAACGATGCTAACCTTGACCGCAGTTGTCGTCGCCTTCAGCTCCTTTGTTGTAGCCGCGTACACTTCGGATGAGCCTTTGACGTCGGACAAGATTTTCCCAGCCATCTCGTTGTACATGCTCCTGCAGTTCCCGCTTGTCATGGTGAGTTCCCCTGGATCGTTCGAGCATTCAATTGCTGACAGTTCTGGTTTAGTTCAGCACGGTCACCAGCAACATGATCGAGGCTGTGGTTTCGATCAAGCGTCTATCGGACTTCTTCGCTGCAGATGAACTGCAAGAGGACGTACGCGCTGTGAAGGCGCAGACCGCTCCGCTTGAGTTTGGTGACGTCGTTGTCTCTGTCAACAAGGGCGAGTTCTCGTGGAACAAGAACGCTGTGACCCCAACTCTGGAGGATATCAACCTTACCGTAAAGAAAGGCGAGCTCGTTGGCGTTCTTGGACGTGTCGGTGCCGGCAAGGTAAGCTTCTCGCAGTTCGCTATACACAGGAGCTGATCACCTTCCAGACGAGCTTGCTGTCGGCTATCATCGGAGAGATGCGTCGCTCCGAGGGAGATGTTCAACTGTTCGGGACGATCTCATATGCCCCTCAAAACCCTTGGTGAGCATTAGTTCCTTGCACTTCTGTCAACAGTGTTCATGGTATTGCATTTAGGATCATGAGCGCAACCATTAAAGAGAATATCTTATTCTCCCACAAATATGATGAAGTATTCTACAATTTAGTATTAGACGGTATGCTTTCTTCCAGACGCTTTTCCTACCACGTCCCGCTTACTCTCAGATTTCAGCATGCGCACTGCGACCTGATTTGGCACTCATGGCCAATGGAGACATGACCGAAGTCGGGGGAAAAGGTGTGTTGTCATCAGACTGCGGGTCTGCGGCTGAGTAAATCTGACCGATCCCCGAACACAGGCATCACGGTGAGCATCAAATGACCCCTTGCACCAGAACACCACTAAGCGTACAATTCGGAACGTAGCTCAGCGGTGGTCAGCGGGCCCGCGTTGCGCTCGCGCGTGCTGTGTATGCTCGAGCTGATCTGTGAGTTTGCATCAATTGGCAGTCTTGTCGAGACTCTCATGGCGACTTTCTCTATCGTGCAGTGTGATCCTCGACGATGTACTTGCAGCCCTCGATTCGCACGTTGCCAAGCATGTCTTTGGTGAGTAGCCGAGGCTTCGAGGTGAAAATTTGTCATAATTCGGATTGTAGAGAACGTCGTCGGGCCGAACGGTCTCCTTGGAACCAAGGCGCGGATTGTGGTCACGAACAGCATCCACTTCTTGAAGCATTTCGATCAAGTCCTCTACATCCGCCGTGGTATCATTCTCGAGAGCGGTACTTACAGCCAGCTTATGTCTGACAAGGGCACTGAAATCCACAAGCTCATGTGCGTATCATGGGGATCTAGATTTGCCGTGTTACTGACGATCCGTCTTCAGCAAGGGACATGGAGGCCCCTCCACCTCATTGTCTGCTTCTGGTGTATCAACTCCTTTCACCACTGACCGTGCGGAGTCACCCGGTTCCTCGAACGGCGACAGTAGCAACAACACTGCTGTCGGTGACGGCCAAGAAGACGTTGAAGAGAAGCTTGACACTGTTAGCAAAGCCCTAGTTCGTCGCAAGTCCTACGGTCGCTCTACCCTTCAGACCGTGGAAGACTCAACGTCTTCGTCCGACGGCGCGAACAAGGAGCACACGGAGCAAGGTCGCGTGAAGCGTGAAGTGTATGTCAAGTACATCGAGGCCGCATCGCGTGCCGGGTTCATGCTCTTCATCGTGTCTGCGATTCTGCAGCAGATCTTCGGCCTCTTGGGTAACAACGCGCTCAGGCAATGGGGTAATCACAATAACGACGCCGGCGACAACGACGGCGCGGGTGTCTATCTTTGGGGCTACGGGGTGTTCTCTCTCATTTCGACGCTGATGAGTGCGCTGTCTGGCATCTTGATTTGGGTCCTTTGCTCCGTGAGGAGCTCAAAGCGTTTGCATGATTCGGTGAGTGTACTCGTCCATATTGATGCCGGCAGCTCTGACTGGGTTTCGTAGATGCTGAGTTCGGTCATGCACGCACCTCTGTCGTTCTTCGAGACCACGCCAACTGGACGGTACGTTTGTGGATTCGTGTTATACATCGCCGCTGTGGACTAATTGTATCCGTAGCATTCTCAACTTGTTCTCTCGCGACACTTATGTCATCGACATGGTCCTCGCGCGGGTCGTTCAGAACACTGTCCGCACTCTCGCTGTGACCGGAACTATCGTCATCGTCATTGGCTACAGCTTCCCTCTCTTCGTACGTTACATCATACTTTCGTGTGTGCTCTCGCTGATCTTCTCCTCATTAGCTGATCTCCGTTCCTGCGCTAACGTGGTTCTACATGCGCGTTATGGTGTACTACCTCTCCACGTCGCGCGAACTCAAGCGTCTCGATGCCGTATCTCGTTCACCCATATTCGCCTGGTTCTCCGAATCCCTGAGCGGTCTGTCGACGATTCGCGCCTTCAACCAACAGCAGCTCTTCGTCGCGAATAACGAGCGCCGCGTCGACCGCAACCAGATTTGCTATCTTCCCTCTATTGCCGTCAATCGGTGGCTGGCGGTGCGACTCGAGTTCGTGGGCGCGACGATCATCTTCATTACCGCCCTGCTCTCGATCGTGGCGTTGGTGACGACTGGGGTGGACGCAGGGTTGGTGGGCTTCGTGCTCTCGTACGCGTTAAGCACAACCGGATCTTTGGTGAGTGCATTATCATCAGGAGTCGCTGTATGAGGTCGCTGACGGGGGTTGATGTGGCGTAGAACTGGCTGGTGCGGTCTGCCAGCGAGGTTGAGCAGAACATCGTCAGTGTGGAGCGTATCCTGCACTACATTGAGCTCGAGCCAGAAGCGCCCTGGGAAGTCGCCGATGTCGTTCCGGAGCAGTGGCCGGCTGAGGGCAAGGTTGAGTTCCGGTACGTTCGTCCGAATGATCGTCGTGTAGTGTGGCGAGACTAAGACTTATCGCAGTAACTACTCCACTCGTTACCGACCCGAGCTCGACTTGGTACTCAAGAACCTAGACATCACTGTTGTACGTCTTCATTGCGTGGCATGCCGAGAGAGGTTTTGCTCACGCTCAATACAGAACCCGCACGAAAAAATCGGTATCGTTGGCCGGACAGGGTCTGGCAAATCAACGACGCTCCTTTCGTTGTTCCGCATTCTGGAACCGTCAGAGGGGACCATCTGTATAGACGGTGTGGACATCACCAACGTCGGATTACATGACCGTGAGTACCATTATATCCTGTCTTGTGTCTTCGGCTCTGAGCTATGTACAGTTCGCTCTGCGATATCAATCGTACCCCAAAGCCCTGATCTGTTCGAAGGAACGATCCGTGACAACATCGACCCCATGGGTGCCTCCACAGACCACGACATCTGGGTGGCCTTGGAGCAGGTATGACAGCTTGTGTGAACTCCGCACCACGAGGTTGATTTAATTGTGCTATTTAGACCCACTTGAAGGCCTTTGTGGAGACTCTCGACGGCGGCCTCGACGCGCCTGTCAGGGAAGGCGGCTCTTCGCTTTCTTCGGGCCAGAGGCAGCTGCTCTGCTTTGCGCGGGCGCTCCTACGCAAGTCGAGGATCCTGGTTCTCGATGAGGGTGAGTGGCCTCGGCCCCGGTGGTGCTTGCGGTTGAACTGAGCTTGCCACAGCGACGTCTGCGGTGGATCTCGACACGGACATGGCCATTCAAGAGATCATCCGGGGCCCGCAGTTCGCCAAAGTCACCATGCTCACCATTGCGTATGTGGCGAGTTTATCTGGCGGTGGGAATGTTTTTAACAGGAAGTGCGTCTTTGCGTGCAGGCACCGGGTGAACACGATCTTGGAGTCAGACCGTGTGCTCGTGCTCGATGCAGGGAAGGTGAGTGGAGTGTGCCTTTTCGTCCTCTGGGCGCGACGACTGAAGCGCCTGCGTAGGTGATCGAGTTCGACACGCCAAAGGCGCTGTTGGCGAACAAGGACAGCGCATTCTATTCGCTGGCTGCGGAGGCGGGTCTTGCGTGAGGTGCGGTGTGCTGGGAAGAGTCTTGGGTCGCTGCTTTAGACGAGTAAATAGATGTAGAGCCCTCATAATTCTCGATGCAGTCAACTGTGCTGCGGAGCAAAATGGCCGCGGCGGGACCCGGAACAAGCGAGGGCCCGAAAGGCGGTGGGGCGGTGACATCACCAGGGTCGAGCACTTGAGCGGATCTTGATCTGATCTCGCGCAGATTCTCTTGTCTGGTGTCTCGCCGCGCGAGCTGAGACGCGTCTGTCGCAGACAAGCATGAAGTAAGTCTATTCTTACAGGGGCGGATGCAGCGGCAGCTGCGGGGTTCCAGCCACCCACACACAAAAGAAAACGGGGGCGCCGTTTGAGCAGCGGTTGCCGCGAATGGTCGCGAATCCGTCTGTCGGGATCAAATTCACCTCGCGTCCCACCGACCGCCGGTCCCCCCGTTTGCTCTCTTGCTTCAATCCTCGGCCCTGCCTTCTCTGCCACGTCCACGCCCCCCTCCCCCTCACGCTCTTTAACCCTCACGCCCCCACGCCCCGACCCCACGTCCCGCTGCACCCACGAGCTTCGCGCTCGCTAATATTCCACTATGGCCCCAACGCGGTCTGACCAAGAAATTGGGCTCTCCATTATTGACCAAAAGGACCCTCGCCCGTTCAACGACCGCATCGTCCCCGACATCGTCCATCACCCCAAGGCCGACGTTGACCGTGACCAGATCGCCAAGCCCGTCGACGGCACCTCCTCCGACTCGGACTCCACCGTCACCGACCTCTCCGACCAGTTCGACTGGGATGCGGAGGAGGACGCGAAGTCGGCACACATCGCCGCCTCCATCAAGGCGAAGCGCGGCCGCCGAGTCTACCAGGCCTTCCTCAAGCTCCCCCGCCTCTTCCGTGTCCTCCTTGTCGGCATCCTCGGTGCAGGCGTGCTCATTACCCCCCTCATCGTCGTCACCTTCCGCTTCTCGGACAGCCCGGTCAAAAGCCATGCATACGTGTGGTCGCTTTGGCTCACCATAGCCTGGGCGGCTGGTATCGCAACCTACATCATCGTCGATGCCATTCCACACCTCGTCCTCGTTATCCTTCGCGTTGCCGGCTACAAGATTGAACGTATGCGCGTGACCATCGAGGTGAGTTTCTTCATACCCCGGTCTTCCGGTCCTCGCTCGTCCTACCTCCATCCCTCTGCTGCTTCGGCGGCGGTTCGCGCGAAGTCGCAGTCGAATGTTTTGGCTTAACACCCTGCGCGGTGGAAATCGACCATGTTGTATCTTGCGTATATGAACAATCACTGAACGGGTGCACATTTGCAGCTCATTGCGGCCATTCGTGGCTGGCTCAAGCTCGCTCTCGATGTCGCATGGCTATGGATATCGCTCTCGGTCATTCGCGCCCTCCTCAACCCGCCCGGGTCTTACTGGACTATTGTCAATCGGGTTGTACAGGTGTGTTCCATGACCTTGATGCTTTCTTGCCCCGCTAAGTGCATGTTCCTCCGCAATTCTAGGCCTTATTTGCGCTTGCCATGCTCGTTCTTGTCGAGAAGATCTTCCTGCGTTATGTCGCGATCAACTTCCACCGGAAGGCGCTCGCGGACCGCATCGCGGAGAACCAGCTCGGCCTCCGCGCTCTTGACCGGCTCTCGAATGCGCAGCCGACGCCTAAGAAACAACCATACAACGGCAAGAAGGGCCACCGCTCGCGCGGGTCTAGCCTCGACATGCTCGGCATGGCCAACGGCAACGGCGAAAAGGGGACGGGTTCCGCCTCCGGCTCGCGCGCGGTGTCTCCGACGGAAGCGAAGGAACAGCAGAAGCGCCGCAGCAAGAAGGCAAGGCGGAATATGGTCGCGGCGGTCATCGTCGACCAGCTCGGAGGTGCGCTCGAGCAGGTCACTCAGGACCAGTTCGGATCGCTCGCGAGTGCGGGGAAGTTGGCAAGGAAGCTGTTCAGCACGCTGAGCGATGTACACCCGGCGAGGAAGTACCTCATCGTCGACGGTGAGTGACAACATGTGCTGCGTGTTCTGCGTTGACTGACTGCGGGTGTTTAGACTTTTACCCTTACTTCCCGACTACTGCGGATGCCGTAAGTCTTCTATAAGAATATAGTCAAGCTGCCTGGCTGATGTTGTTTTGGTCGTGTCACAGCACGCCGCCTTTGCTCTTTTTGACAAGGATGGTAACGGTGACATTTCTAAGAAGGAAATGCGCGAGGCTGTTCGCCGTATCTATCGCGAACGCAAGGCTCTCACCGCCAGTCTGAAGGATGTCGGTTCGGCGGTTGCAAAACTTGATGCGGTCATGCTGGGGGCCGTGTTCCTCATCTTCATCTTCATCGCCTTGCTCATCTTCAACCGAACCAACTCGATTGCATCGCTCGTCCCGCTTGCCACCATCATCGTCGGTTTCTCGTTCATATTCGGAAATTCTGCCGCTCAGCTGTTCCAGTCGGTCAGTACAGACCCTCTTTGAACTGTTCGCAATGGCTGACCTCTTCAACCCTCTAGCTCATCTTCATCTTCTCCACTCACGTGTTCGACGTTGGAGACCTGGTTGTGATTGACGACCAACCTCTCGTCGTCCGCGAGTTCGGCCTCTTTGCAACCACCTTCCGCCGTGTGGATGGAATGGAAATTGTTGCACCCAACTCTCTCCTCTCTAGCTCGAAGCTCGTGCACAACCTCCGTCGCTCCAACTCGATGTGGGAGTCAACGGAGCTCATGATCGCCTACGACACCCCTCTCGAGCTGATCGAGCAACTTCGGACGAAGCTCCAGGCCTACGTCGCTGCCAACAACCGCGAGTGGTCTAACTGCGCGGTCAACATCGACAAAATGGAGTACCAAAACGCAATTTTCGTCATCGTCGCGATGGAGCACCGCCCGAACTGGCAGGACTGGGGAGGACGTTGGGTGCGCCGCAACGGCTTTATGCGCAACCTCAAGACCTGTCTCGAGGAGCTCGATATCCGGTACACCAATCCCCTCCAACCCTACATTGTTCCTCGTGGCGGATCCGGGAGCGTACCTTTCCTCGACGTCCCGCCCAGCCCGCGCTCGGGAAGCGGGGGTCGCAGGGGGTCCCCTCAGATGAGCCGCGAGACGCTCGGCAATGCAGGTTTCTTCGAGGCGGGCCCAATGGGCCGCTCACCGTCGCGCAGCTTGCGTCCAAGTGGTGATATGTTCTGAGCGTTCAATCCCGGACGCTCGTATCGGCCTATGCGCCTCGGGCAGGCGGAGGCAGAGGTGGTGTGGTTGTATATATATTGGTGGTGGAGTTCACTTCTTTCATGGTCCTGTTCATCTCTTCTCGTCTCCCACACATGCTCCGCTGTGGCATGTGTCTGCACGGCGTGCCCACGCGTCTGTCGCACTGTACTGCAAATCGCTACACCCAAATGCTCCCCTTATTCCGTCAATATCGGCTGGTGGCAGCTCCCTGCTGCGCACGCCGTCTGCGCCCTGCTCACACGTACTAGTAGAATACGATTGTTACTCTGGCATATCGCCATACGCATATTTTAGATGCCCCTCGTCACGACCACGCTTTTACGTCCAGTTTGCCGTGCATATCTCCGCACGCGCGGTTGTATACGTCACCAATGAAGGACGTTGCTGTTGCTTTGAACCCCATGCCGGCTTCGTTGGATTCAGCCTGTGCTCGGTGCGTCGCCTGCAACTACGAGCCGGCCTACTAACCTGGTTTTTTGTAGATCCATTCGAACATTTTCGTTCGAACTGAGGACCAAACCACAAGGAAGCCGTCCTCATTCACTCACGCCAATCATTCCATCAAGCTAATGTCGCTAGATATATCTAGGTCATAACGACAGCACCCACGAGCCGGGGGCTTGGTGGGTGGAGTGAAAACGTCCGATAGCTGCGCTCTGTGTTCACTCACCGGGTATTCGCCGACTGAAGCTAGCTGGCGAGGGTCCTCAGATGACGCAGGACACAAGAAGTCCGCGTCTATGTCAACAAAGTGAGCATGAAATGTGCGCCGCTTCTTCCCAGGCTGACCACGTTCGCCAGTCCTACGTCGGGGTGATTGGCTCGCCTACTATCCCATCTCTCGCGGGCAGTAATCGGGTCTTGGTGAGTCGCTCCGCTCCAGTCCCATCGTTACTCACGCTCTTCAGAGTAATCAGGGCGTTGAGGGCGTGAGGGATTGCGAGTCTTGGTGGGTCGTCGCGTCGGCAGACCCGGTCCCTCGTCGGTCTCTCGCTGCCCGGGAACACCTCGGTGGCTGTTGCAAGAGTACGTTGGCACGTCCTACAATGTACTCACCTGCTTGGAACAACAGTGCACCGTCATTGTTGGGCTTGTCATCTGGGCGCAGAGCTCACACCCGCCGCCGTCGCGATCCACGTTAATAACCGGGTATTTTCCGCCAAGAGAGTATACATGCTGCCCCGTAGCTCCCCACAGCGACATCGGTTCTCCAGTCGCCCTCTCAGACGCCATACACCATGTTCCCTACCACCGCCCTCATTTCGCTATCCTTCCTCGCCATCGCCTTCGGGCAGCAAGTCGGCAAGCTCACCACAGAGTCGCACCCGGCGCTGACCGTGCAGGAGTGCTCGGCTGGCGGCTCGTGCACCACCCTCCGGCGGTCGATCACGCTCGACTCGAACTGGCGCTGGCTCCACGATATCGACAGCAGCACGAACTGCTACACCGGCAACGAGTGGGACACGGCGCTCTGTCCAGACGGCACGACGTGCGTGGCCAACTGCGCGCTCGATGGCGCCGACTACTCCGGTCTGTGTCTGCACCTTCTCAGTGCGGTTCGAATTGTTGCTCACGCTGGCTGGTCGCAGGCACGTACGGGATCACCGCGGGCTCGAACTCGCTCACGCTCAAGTTCGTGACCCACGGCCCGTACTCGACCAACATCGGCTCACGCGTGTACCTGCTCGACGGGGACGACTCGACGTACCAGCTGTTCAAGCTGAAGAGCCAGGAGTTCACGTTCGACGTCGACATGTCGAACCTCCCGTGCGGCCTCAACGGCGGGCTCTACTTCGTCGAGATGGACAAGGACGGCGGGCTCTCGCGCTTCTCTGGGAACAAGGCCGGGGCCGCGTACGGCACCGGCTACTGCGACACGCAATGCCCGCACGACATCAGGTTCATCAACGGCGAGGTGCGTGTGTGCTCCCGCTCCAAGGCGTTGGGGTCGTCCGCTGACGCTGCTCTCGTGCGCAGGCCAACGTCGAGGGCTGGGTCCCGTCGGACAACGACTCGAACGCGGGCGCGGGCACGTACGGCGCGTGCTGCAACGAGATGGACATCTGGGAGGCCAACTCGCAGGCCGCGGCGCTCACGCCGCACGTGTGCACGGTCTCGGAGCAGACGCGGTGCTCGGGCACGGCGTGCGGCGACGGCGACCAGCGCCACGAAGGCGTGTGCGACAAGGACGGCTGCGACTTCAACTCGTGGCGGATGGGCGACCAGACGTTCCTCGGGCCCGGGCTCGCGGTCGACACCCGCTCCAAGTTCACGGTCGTGACGCAGTTCGTCACCGCGGACAACACGACGAGCGGGGCATTGACGGAGATCCGCCGGCTGTACGTCCAGGACGGGGCGTACGACTCGATCACGGACGACTTCTGCGTCGCGCAGAAGACCACGTTCCGGGACACGAACACGTTCTCGCAGATGGGCGGGCTCAAGACGATGGGCGACGCGTTCGCGGACGGGATGGTGCTCGTGATGAGCATCTGGGACGACCACGCCGCGCACATGCTCTGGCTTGACAGCGACTACCCCACGGACGCGGATCCGAGCACGCCGGGGGTCTCGCGCGGGCCGTGTGCGACGACGTCGGGCGTTCCGACCGGCGTCGAGGCCAACAGCCCTGGCGCGAGCGTGACGTTCTCCAACATCAAGTTTGGCCCCATTGGCTCGACCTTTGCATCCTAGGTGGGTCGGTCAGTTCTTTCCGCCACCTCGCATACTGACTTGCCAATTCAGGGCAAGAGAACGGAATTGGACAGGATGTGACCGTTTCTGATCGCAAAAGGCTGGTAATGTTGTAAGGCGCTTCGGAAATGTACGAATTGCACCGATAGCCAACGTTGTCGTCCATGTATGCACTGTATATGTCTGATTCCATGACATGAAACCGATGTCGAGTGGGTATAAGGATAATCTACAGGAAGAAAGTCCGCCTTGTGGTCTCGAGCTCTGGCTGCGATACAGGTTGACATGTAAGAAGAGGGCGTTTGATAGTCGCAGTGGACGACGACATACCTTCCACATCCAGAGATACTCGTCCTCCGTAGGCGGAAGTACTTCCTTCCGTTCGACAGGTCTTAAGTCGTCGCCCTCCTTCATCTCAGCATCTGTAGGCTCCGGCTCGTCGTCGTCTACGTCAAACTCGAGTGGTTTTGCCGGGGCGCCCAGGGCTTTCACCGCTGGGAGGCCCTTTTTCATATAGCGAAGCTTCAAAGTAAAGCGCGGTCCAATCTCCTGAAGTGCTACTTTCTCCGGCGAACGGAAAGCATAGCTGTGGTCGAGAGCAACAGTCGGCATATGAAAAAAAAAAAAAAAGCAGAACTATAGGTCATACCGATGACGCCTGAAGAACAAGAAATCTCGCTGGTTGTGCAGAGTGACTACTTGACGGCCTTGGAATTCGGGCATTGGTGGGAAGAGTGTTTGGAAGAGACGGCCGACGGTGTGCCCTAACCGGGTCACAAAGCCGTTCAAGACCAGTTCCGGAAAATGTGCGGAAGACCGTGCATGTCCCTACGGGGTCTGCGTGAGAACAAGTTCGATAGCGTGAAGTCGACTAGACGTACTGATATCCTTTGCGAAAGCTGAATGGATGTGAGCTTGAAGTAGGCGGTAGGGCCATCGGGCAGGTGGACCATGGTGATCGCATCTGCACGCAAGGTCAATACTTTACGCGTGACGACAGAGCGGAGGCAAGTTACTGGGCTTCTTCATGTCCTCGTTGACCACTATGAGATGGCTGTATCCACGATTCGCCGCCCAACCCGCGATGCGGCCCATCTCAAAGCCCTTGCCCTTCTTTCGCCTAATAAATTCTGCCCCAGGAAACACGCCCACAATCTCGTCACAAAAGTCATATGTCGTCCGAGTCGATTTCGGCGAGGTCGTGATGAGGACCTTCGGGGGAATGCTGGGGTCCAGGACACCCGAGAAGTAGGCGGCGAAGGGATCTGCAGCCAAGTCGGCGGCAGTTTCATCTTCTGGCTGCACACCTGATTCTGCAGCAGCATTTGGAGCTTCAGCGCTCTCAGATGGCGCATTGGATGGACCGGCTTCGGGCTCGGTAGGTGCAGTAGGGTTGGCGGTGAGGAAGGAAGGGTCATATTCGCGAGAGTTATCTAGCGTGCGAGGAACATTTTGAGCTAGGCGTTTCTGCAGATACACCTCAGCTGCATGTTCACGGCAGACGTATCCGCACTCATGGGCGCACCTTTTTGAGGAGTGGGTCGTCTACCTCAAGCTTCGCCTGCGCGAGCCTCCGCTTGAGTTTGTCTTGCCGTTTTTCCTTCTTGCGCTTGTTCGCGATTTCCTCGCGCTTGATTTTATTTTTGATCAACGACGGCTCAAACCGACTGGCGGGCATTTTGGGCGAACGCGCGGACGAAGAGGAGGGAAGATTTGGGACAGAGTGGAGAATGCGCGAGGGACGGAGACGCAGTGCGCGCGTCCCAAAATCTGGAGAGAGAGTGGGCGGCAAGCAGTTCTCACGCTACCCACTCTCCCTCGCCACGACCGCCGACGACCACGACACGTCCCCCCATGGCCTTTCCTCGGAGACCGCAGGTGCTTTCCCTCTGCCTCCTCCTTCTCTTCGCCGCCACCGCCGCAAACGCCCTTCACTTCTACCTCGACACGAACGAGAAGCGATGTTTCATTGAAGAGCTCCCGACCGACACCGTAGTCGAAGGTGCGTGCTATGTGGCATCAGTACACCTGACACGGAGCTGACCTGCGTTCGCCGCGAGATAGGGCACTACACGGCCCTGGAGTGGTCAGAGTCAGAGCAGAAGTATGTGGACAACGCCAATCTCGGAATCCTCGTTGAGGTCGACGTGAGTCGCATAACCGCATCCGTCCATCCGTCCTAGTCTGCATACTCATCTCTCTCTGTCGCGTATCGTCGTATATAGGAGATCGAGACGGGGCACAATGTCGTGAAGACCCGCGGGCCGTCCGACAGCCGCTTCACGTTTACCTCGCACGACTCGGGCGACCACTCCATATGCCTTTCGTCCAACTACGGTACCTCCTGGTTCACGAACTCGCACATCCGCCTCCACCTCGACATCGTCATCGGCACCACCAAGACAAACGAGGAGCACGACCGCTCGCACGTCTCGGAGCTCTCCCAGAAGCTTCGCGACCTGAACATGAAGCTCGAGGACATCCGTCGTGAGCAGCAGTACCAGCGCGAGCGCGAGTCCGCGTTCCGCGACCTCTCCGAGGTCACCAACTCACGCACGGTGTGGTACACGGTCGCACAGATCGGCGTGCTAATCGCGACGTGCATATGGCAGATGAGGCATCTCAAGGTGTGTTCATGAACCGTTCTGTGACCACATCATGCTCAGGCGACTCCCCTTCATAGAAATTCTTCGAGGAGAGGAAAATGCACTAGTACACTCTCGTCGGTGTTCGTATGATTATATATTATTGGGTTGGAATCTGCATCTGCTGTGTGTCCATGCGAGGAAGGAGGCGCAGACAAGGGTGCAGACAGTGCGCAAAATAACAGACGTCCTGTGTTCTCATTCTCGAATACGCCTCTCGAAGGCCCGTGCTATCGCCACTCCCAGCTCAGTCTGTCCGCCAGAGATAGTGGTTGCGGGACCTAGACGCAAATATGCTTTGACACTACTCCTCCTCGGGCAAAGACCGTCCTCCTAGGGGCGTGGCGCCGGCGCCTAGACCGCCCGGCTCTGAGCCGCGTACTATTGGCATTCTAGACCCATTTATCGGACGTGGAGGGTGTATGATATCGAACTCTCTCGGCTGGCGCTGGCTCTTATCACTCCGGGTGTTTAAGAGAGTTCGACACACCCTCCACGTCCGATAAATGGGTCTAGAATGAGAGCACACGGCTCAGAGTGCGGGTCGCAGCTCCACTTATTCTCGGGTCATGCTATCCTTGGCCCACATAGACTTGCCGGAGGTCTTGAACTGCTGCTCAGACCACCATACAATTTTAGCCAAATGCGTTGAAGGGAAACACGATTTGTGTTCGGCAACGCAAATTCCAGGACCCTGGAAACTTGTCTGGGCGGGGGGGTTTGAGGGGTGGTGTACTCTGGCACTTGAGTTCCCGCCGCAACTCTGGGTCACATCCGGACGGTCTGAGAGCGTTTCACCAGATACATAAATGCACTCGGGAGCGGCCCAACTTTAGCTAGAACTTTCCCCTCTTCTCTTCAGTACTTCACTGCTCGTACAACACCATGTACGTGCACAATGTGTGCATGGTACAGTCCGACCCCGTTAATTCACATTTCTCCGTTAGGTGTCGCACAGTCACTTCGTATGGCACTCACTACCAAGGATGCGGATGCTGGGTCAACAGAGGCGAGACTTATACGGTGGAGTGCGAAGCCAAAGGCACTAATGAATGCAAGAGTGAGTGTCCTCACACTGCTGAGCTCATCAGGATAGTAGCGACTGACAATCATCCTTTCTGCAGTTACGACCGAAAAGATTTCCCGTCTTGAGTCGCCCTACGGCTGTGGAGGAGGCACCAGCGGCTGCGACAGCAAGGGGGATTAACTATGCTCATGCCAGTATTACAATCATCCCCGATCAATCGAAGCGAGACTGCTGTACGCGCATTGCATTCACATGCCCGGTATGAACAACTAGTTTTACGCTGCCCCGTTGGCATCTGTTGCGCGTACCCAACATCGATCCAAGCGACATATGGATTAGATGAGACTCAAAAGCTGTGATGCACGTGCAGTGCTGGAGCATCGAATATTGCGCGACACGAGCAACTTACAGCACTCCTTGTTCCTGTGGAACGCTTCTCGCACAACCAAGTGTACAGGCATTTGTGGAGGATCCAGTCAACGGTGCTGGAGGGAGGAAAGGGAGCGCACCTCAACTTTGACGCCAGCACGCAAAAGCGTCTTTCCCCCGCGCGCGGCGTCGTCAGCGCCCGTTTCTTGAGGCGGTTCATGACCTCCCGCTGCTCCCGATCTGCAGTTGTCGTGTGGAAGCCGACGAATAGCCGGCGGGATCAAGCTTAAAATATTGAGGACCGAACTCGGGAAATGCGAATCATGGCTGCGCGAATATGTAGGTGAGCTCGGCACGGTCGAGTAAAGTGCGAGTGCGGCCTACCGGATCGAGCAGGCGTATGGCCACGCGTTGAGTGTAGACTTGGTTGGTGTTGCTCATCCGTGCCGTCGGTGTGATCTCGTAGCCACACTGGTAGCAGAAGCCTGCGGCTTCAGAGCGTGCGCGCATCACTTGCACTCGAGCGTCGGCTGGGATGAGAGAGAGAAAGCGCAGGGATCAAGTATCAATGAGACCCGGTCATGACGCAGTCAATGTCTGGTGTAATACTGCAGGGATGCGTGACGGTGGGTGCATCAAGGATGGACGCACCGGCGGGACTTCCTTTTGAGTGATGACAACCCTTTTCGCGTACAAAAACCCTGCTGTTCCCTTACCCAGAGATGGCCTTGAACGTGGACGATCCGTGAAACTGTGGAGTACATGTGGTTCACCACCCCTTGTTACAACCGACCCTCGGGTGAAAAGGTGAGGTATCTGAACAAAGCTTCCGTTAATAAGTAAGTTACAGTGGGGTGCTGTGGAGAATTTAGTACTAGTCTGGGGTTAGGGCTTTTCTGATCACGTGTGCAAGGTCTGCTCCTTGAGTCTGACTGCCCCATGCATGGAACATACTACGTCCTGTCTCTGCTGCTTCGTCTGTCAACTCCCTCGTATATCGTGTCATCACAAAATACCACTCAGTCAAGCCACGCATCGAATGAGGAACACGTCTGGACAAGTGGAGGCATTGGCAGCATGAAGGAGTCCGTGTCGCACAAGGCGCCCAAAGTCATGTACGCATTACCCTGAACCGTTATGCACGAAAACCTCTGACATACCTCACAGAAAAAAGCTTCAGTTCAGTCTACTGGATAACCAGGACGCTGTGAAGATATCTGAGTTTGAGGTTACGCATCGTGACCTCTACACTGCAGTAGATCGCCTTCCGGTGAAGAACGGTGTTCTGGATCGTCGTCTCGTAAGCCATGCTCCATTCACGACGCGGATAGTGTTCCAATAGACGTACAGGGAACCACGGAGAAAAGTGCATTCTGCGAGACATGCGGCCTGTCGTCTGTGGATTGTGTCGGACATTACGCGTACATCAAACTCGTAGTCCCAGTCTTTCACATAGGCTATTTCAAGCACACCATTGGGATCTTGCAGTGCATATGCAAGGTATGTCGCCATCCGCTCCATGCATGAAGGAGAGTCCCAACGTCGCCCCAGACCTGTGCCAGGGTGCTTCTCGAGGAGTCGGATCGTCGAACATTTCTCAAGCGTTTTCGAAGGTCGAACCTAGAAAATTTGCAGAGGCAAACCTTCATCAAGGCTGTTCTTACGCTGGCCAAAAAAACAGTCTACTGTCCCTACTGTTCAGCCACCAACGGGACAGTGAAGAAGGCAGGGGCTCTCAAGATCATCCATGACCGTTTCCGCGCGAAGAAAACCGCAGAAGAGATGGAAAAGTGGAAACAGACTTTCGGCCCAGCTGTCGAGGCGCAGAAGGAGCTTGCCGCGTATGTCAGCAAGGCCATCTATGAGGATTTGAACCCTCTGAAGGTTCTCGACCTGTTCAAACGGATCTCCAACGAGGTATATCGTTCATGTGCGATTTTGACGTCGTCATTGACGTTGTATATAGGACTGTGAACTGCTGGGACTGCGGCCAGAGTTTGGGCGACCTGAACAGTTCATCTGGCAGTATATTTCTGTCCCTCCAGTTGCAATCCGTCCATCAGTCGCGCAGGACGGCGCTTCAAATGAGGATGATCTCACTGTTAAGCTAACCGAGATTGTGCTGAGCAACGCACTTATCAAACGCGATCTGCTCAAGGGTGCTCCTACCCCGCGATTCATGGTGAGAATGCTCTTCCGTTTCATGACTGTAGTTCTCATGGGTGATCGAATAGGAAGAGTGGGAGTTCCTGCAGCTTTCGGTAGCGATGTATATCAACTCTGAGCTCCCAGGAGTCCCTTCGCAAATGGGCCAAAAGCCTATACGTGGGTTCTGCCAGCGACTCAAGGGAAAGCAGGGTCGCTTCCGAGGCAATCTCTCAGGCAAGCGGGTCGACTTTTCGGGTCGCACGGTCATTTCACCGGACCCCAATCTACGCATCGATGAAGTTGCCGTTCCGGAGCGCGTCGCGAAGATCCTCACATACCCCGAGCGAGTCACCTCTCACAATATTGACAAGCTGAAGAAGGCTGTGCGGAATGGATGCGACGTCCATCCTGGAGCCAACTACGTGACCGCCGGCAGCAATGGGTTCAAGAAGTACCTCAAGTTTGGGAATAAGGCTGCCATTGCGGATGGCTTGCGCCTAGGTGACACTGTCGAGCGCCATGTTGTTGATGGTGATATCGCCCTGTTCAACCGGCAACCAAGCCTACACAAGGTATGCTCGCTATGGTTATTGGGGAAGTATACTGACTGGTTTGATCTGTTTCGCAGCTTTCAATCATGTGCCACCGCGTAAGTCACGTCATATCTTATATGTGCTCGTATGACTCATCGTCGTTTTAGATAAAAGTACGCCCGTGGCGATCTTTTCGACTGAACGAATGTGTTTGTGGACCGTACAACGCCGACTTTGATGGAGACGAGATGAACCTTCGTAAATTGCTCATTTGCCATCCCTGCATATCGATTGACCCCTGTTGACAGACGTCCCTCAGACAGAGGAAGCACGAACAGAGGCCCTGGAGCTCATGAACGTGAAACACAACCTCGTGACGCCTCGCAATGGCGAACCAGTCATTGCTGCCATCCAGGACTTCATCACGGCCTCCTTCCTGCTCTCACGACGAGACACATTCTTCGATCGCCGTCAATTTACTCAGATCTGCTCCTACTTCTGTGACGCCCATTTGCAGATCGACATCCCACCTCCCACAGTCTGGAAACCGGTCAGGTTATGGACAGGCAAACAGGTTTTCAATGTCCTGATGCGACCCAACAAGCAGTCCAAGATCTTCGTCAACGTAGAGGCGAAGTGCCAAACACGCGATATTCCCGAGCGCCAGTGCTATCCTCGCATCAGTGAACCCATCCCTTCCGATCTTTCCCCCAACGATGGGTGGCTCGTCATTGTGAACAGCGAGATCATGTGCGGTGTGATGGACAAGGCCACCGTTGGAAGCGGAAAGAAGAAGTCTGTTTTTGGAGTCATCATGCGGGATTACGGACCGCACGAAGCCGCCGCTGCTATGAACAGGGTAGCGAAACTCTGTGCACGGTACCTTGGCGAGTCCTTACGATATCACTGTCGGCATATCACTCATGAATTAACTGGCTATATTGCAGCCAACTGCGGGTTTTCGCTTGGTATCAACGACGTAATACCAGGGCCCATCTTGTCAACAAAGAAGGATTCCATGGTCGAGGCTGCCTACGCCGCGTGTGAACAGTTGATCATCAAGGCGAAGAAGGGACTTCTCGAAAACAGGCCGGGTTGCGACCAGGAGCAGACATTAGAGGCCGAGATCGTGGGCGTACTGTCCAGGGTTCGAGATGATGTTGGAACGATATGCATGCAGGAGCTCAGTCGGCACAACGCTCCGTTAATCATGGCAACCTGCGGATCAAAAGGTGCGTATTTTACTGGTCAAGCGAACTTGCGACGTACTGACGAGCCACAGGTTCGGTCATCAATGTATCCCAAATGGTGGCTTGTGTAGGGCAACAAGTCATTTCAGGCCAACGCGTACCGGACGGGTTTCAAGACCGATCTCTTCCTCACTTCCCGAAGAAGTCCAGGGAGCCTCCCGCCAAGGGTTTCGTCCGCAACAGTTTCTACTCCGGTCTAACTCCGACAGAATTCCTCTTCCATGCCATATCTGGTCGTGTGGGCTTGGTAGATACTGCCGTGAAGACAGCAGAAACTGGCTACATGCAACGTCGGCTCATGAAGGCTTTGGAGGATCTCGTCACGCACTACGACTCGTCGGTCCGCAACGCCGCCGGAGGCGTCGTCCAATTTCGTTATGGGGACGACGGTTTGGACCCAGCATGCCTTGAAGGTGACGCGCAGCCTGTCGATTATGACCGGGCATGGCGGCACGCTTGCGTATGTATCTCGAATTTTTTTGCAGAGTGATATCATCCAATGACGCTCATGCAGTCAGCTGGCGCTAGATCCGCGCGCGGGCTTTTGCCCTTCGAAATCATCGAGTTCGTTGACCGCGCATTGGCGACACCCAAGTTCACCTCAGAATGCACGGCGGCATATCTAGCTACGATCCGCAAGTTCCTTTCCGAGAACATCGCTCAAAAGCTCGCGGACATACGCAAGCGACGCGGCATGTTCGATGCCTTGGAGCGTGATGATGAGTGGGATGCGGATACCGACCTTTCCATGGGAGCTTCGAGTATGTTATGAGTCTGCTCCTTCGAATTCTACTCACTCGAATGCAGGGGCGAACGTGGTCGCTGTGGACAATATCATCAAGGTCACTGAAGATCAGCTCAAAATGTTCTTGGATATCTGTTGGACCAAGTATGTCAAGGCGAAGATCGAGCCCGGTTGGTCCTTTCGCTTGATTGACGTGAGGTGTATGCTAATAATATCTCGGGATAGGCTCCACTGTTGGTGCCGTCGGCGCACAATCGATTGGCGAACCCGGTACGCAGATGACGTTGAAGACTTTCCATTTTGCCGGTGTGGCCTCCATGAACGTTACACTCGGAGTGCCTCGCATCAAGGAGATCATCAACGCAGCCAAATCGATTAGTACACCTATCATCAGTTGCAAACTTGTCAACGTGAACAGCGAAGCGTCCGCTCGTATCGTCAAGGGTCGATTAGAGCGCACATGTATCGGCGATGTGCGTCACTCATGCCATTCATACCTAGGGTATCTAACCTGATCTGAGGACGTTCTAGATCGCGTCGATCCTCGAGGAGGCGTGGGCTCCGGAGTACACTTACATCGGAATCATTGTCGACATGAAGACTATCCAGGATCTCCAGGCACGTCTGAAGTGGCTTGACCGATGAGGCGCACATCTAACTTGATCGCTAGCTTGAACTCACTCTTGATGACATCAAGTGGGGTATTGTAGCAGCGAAAAAGTTGAAGATCAAGCAAGAGGTACACAATCCACTTATCTCCCCAACCACTATCGCTGATTGTACAACAGGCTATCACCGTCATGCCTCGCAAGAACAGGCTCCGTGTTTACGTCGAAGGCGCAGACAAGTACTACCGGCTTCGGGAGCTCAAGCGAGCGCTTCCAGGTGTAGTGGTGAAGGGTGTTCCAACAATCCGTCGTGCTATCATCAACATCATAGACAAGGACAACACTAGGGGAAAGAAAGGCGAGAATGAGTTGCTTGTCGAAGGTTATGGTCTACAGAAGGTCATGACGGCCCAAGGTGAGGTTTTTGCACGTGAAGAAAGGGCACCAGGTTATGACACCATTTCCAGGTATCATTGGGGAAGAAACAGTCTCGAATCATGTCCTTGAGGTAGCGCAAGTGCTTGGCATCGAAGCCGCGAGGAAAACCATTCTCAACGAGATCCACCTGATCATGGAGAAACACAGTATGAGCATCGATCCGCGACATGTAATGCTGCTCGGGGATGTGATGTCGTACAAGGTATGAGCTGCCTCTTCTGCTCGGGAGTCGCTCAGGTGTTAACGCGGTTGTGTACAGGGCGAGATTCTAGGCATCACTCGCTTTGGCGTGGCCAAGATGAAGGACAGCGTGCTCATGCTGGCCTCGTTCGAAAAGACGACGGACCACCTGTTCGACGCGTCTGCATATGGCAAGACTGACGCTATCGCTGGTGTGTCCGAGAGCATCATCATGGGCAATCCCGCTGCAATGACTGGTACCTCCATGTGTGTGTTTTTCATGCTTTCTCTGCGCCGCTCATTGACGTCGGCGACAGGCCTGCCCTTGTGTCTCCCGCGCCTTCCATCGGCAAGCCAAGAAAACTGCTTTTCGAAGGAGCTTTGTGAACTGCATGAGCATTTGTTGTACCATATCATTATCATTATGATCGCAATGTATCCATACAAGTGGCGGGGAGATAGAAGAGACTCGACAAGCGTGATACAGAACTTCACGGGGGCGTAGAGTACGACGCTGAGCATATCAAAGCCACCGCCCTGCCCGGATGCACCACGACCACGACCACCGCTATCGTCTCTTGACTGCACGGATGGCATGGCCCCCAATCTCGGTGCCTTCGTCGCAGCCCCTAGGTCTGTGAACTCGACGTAGCCGAAACCGTGCGAGCAGCCGGTGTTGCAGTCTGTCTTACATAACGCGCGGAGAGACAACCTCGCCGCACTCGCCTGCGCGAGCCAGGAGCGGTCGTTCCAGGAGCGACCGACGAAAGGCGTCTGGGTCCCGCTGGCGTCTCCCTCGCCGGTGGCATCGCTGCCTTCTTCGCGGGCGCGGCAGAGTCGTCCTCAGGCTCCTAAGCCGCACCTCCGCGTTAACGATATATTAGGTATATCTCCACAAAACATGTCATCAGCGGGTCTGGCATGATGTCCGCCTTTCTAGCGCCTGACTTCGCTTTCTCAAACCCGCGTGTCGGTTCTCACAACTCTCTCCCCTCGTATTGGGAACGGGAACCTGTAGGTTAGGCTGGACAGGAGCCTGCGATCGCTGGTGACTTTGGCGTCACAGACGCAATAGTATTTTCCTCCCGTATGGCCGCTCCATCCGGTCGAGGGCATGACGTAGCTTCTGGGTTGCCAAGCCGTCGTTGTCTTCGTCTGACAGGTCCAGTATTTCGTGTTCTGGTTCCTTCAACTGAAAGCCACGTCACCGTCAGCTACATTCCATCCAGTTGCCTCTGGCACCTACCTGAAGCGCAGTAAGGACATCCATGAGGTCCTCACGATCCTGGCGGCTATGCTCTTTATACCACCGGCTCTGCCAGTGGCCGTGGGCTTGGAGGTTCTTGAAGATGAATGCCGAGGTCGGCAGGGCGAGTGGCTGCTTAGACATAGCGCCGTACGAAACCAAGTGCGCGTTCTCGCCGAGGTAACGAGTCATGGCCAGAGTAGTTGGTCCGCCTACGCAGTTCAGCATCAGGCGAATTGGCTGTCGACCCGATGAGTAAGTGCTTATCGGGTCGGTGCAAGAATTCAAGTACGTACGTTGCCCGCTGTCCACTGCTTGATGTTCTTGCCGAGCGTACGGTCTTCGAGGGACTCGTAGGTGAAGACATGGTTGGCGCCGAGACTCGTGAGAGAGGCGATGAGGTTGTCGATGTCTTGCCTGTATGTGAACAGTTAAGGATCAACTTGCTGGGCACCGTTCGCAATTACATGCCTTGTCCGCACAAAGTTAATGGTCTTGATGCCCTTGCGAGCAGCGATCTGAATCACGGCTTGGCCGACCTTCCAGGAAGAAGCCATTCAGCAATGTTGCCAACAGATTGGATAGTGAGACCAACCGCGCTATTGGCACCTGAAGGAGAGCGATTAGCGAGGACAGTTGCAAGGGAGAGGGACTAGTCGGTCACCGTTCTGGAGCACCCAATCTCCCTCCTTGAGATCTAGGAACTCATGAAGCATACAAAATGCTGTCGCGGGGTTCACCTACAACATTGAAGTCACCACCGGCCGCAATCGTAGGGGAGACAACTCACAGCAATAGTAGCAGCGTTGACTTCGCTGAGGCCCTGCGCAGGGAGCTTGATTGTGTCGTCTGCCCGAAGGGTACGAGTGGTTGACCATGTTCCCGCTTGCTGCTTCCCACTGATGACCCAGTCGCCGACCTCAAAGCCTTGCACGCCGTCGCCGACCTCGACGACTTCGGCGAGCCCTTCATTACCGCCAACGGAAAGCTCCTTCCCAGAAATTGTGACGCGCGTGGGTTTCGCGGGGTACACGCCTTGCACGATGTTGATATCGGAGGGGTTGATGGGGGACAACCTGAAGCGCACATTTAAGGCACCAGGAGGAGGGGGCGGTAGCGGCTCGTAGGACTTGACGGAGAGGACTTGGGTGGGATTGCCGTTCTCAGAGAAGACGACGGCACGGTTGAGCGCAGGAGCTGAGGAAGACAGTCGCGCAGCGCACAGACGGACGGCGCGCAGCGTGTGTGGGCGCGCGAGGCGGGTTGCAGCCTGGTGAAGGAGAGAAAGGAGGGGAGCCATGCCAGAGTGCGGGGATAGGCGGTATCGTCCGACCGCTCACGCTCATCCAATCCGTGTGGCGACGTAATGGGCTTCCACGCCGCACGTGACGCTACCACCGGCGCCTGTGCCCACATCTTTGCCAGCCGGATAAGACTCGGAGTCCCCGTCACTGCTCGTCTCTGGCCTCCGCCCACCCGCCCACCGCCGCCATGCTCCCCCGCCACCTCCGTCGTGCGCTCCTCACCCCCGCCGCCCCCGCGCAGATTCGTGCTATGTTTCTCGCGCGGCAGGGCCTACGCCCTGTCCCGCTCGCGCTTCGCCCATCCCTGTCCGCCGGCCTCCCCGTCGCGTCCTTCCACTCGTCCGCGCGTCGGCAGAACAACGAGCCGCCCAAGTCGCCGTTCTCGATATTCGTTGAGGTGCTCAGGGAGGAGCTCAAGAAGAACCGCGAGCTACAGGACAACGTGAAGCAGCTCCAGGGAGACGTCGAGAAGTTCCAGGACTCGGAGGCCATGAAGCGGGCGAGGGATGCGTATGAGCGTGCTCGCGTGCGTAGCGTGTTGAGCGTTGCGTCTCGTGCCTGAAGTTGACCCGGTGCTCGTGTGCAGTTGACGTCTAGCATCAAGGAGAATCCTCGTTTGCGGGCGGCCGCTGAGGAACTCAAGAAGGCTGGGATCAAGGTCGGTGACGCGGTAGGAGAGGCCCTCAAGACCATGGAGGAGAGTGAGCTTGCGCGAGCGGTACGTGCCCATGAAATCTCCCCTAGCTTATGCTCACCCTCTACCTGTCTCCAGATCTCTCGTGCTTCTGCTGCCGTGTCGTCCACGATCGAGAAGACTACGGAGCCAATACGGAATACGGCTGCTTACAAGTCCCTCTCCGACACCATAGCGGATGCTCTCGACGACAGCGGCAGCGCAAAACACGCTGGATTCGAAGAGAAGGAGGCGCGGCGTGCACGGCGCAAGCTCCGTCTCGAGAAGGCTGGCCGGAACAGCATCTCTCGCACCAAGGCGAACCCTGAGTATATATCTCGTACATATTACCAGACACCATCACCATACTGACTCCATCCTCAGAGCTGGTCAGGCCATGATTCTCCACAAGAATTCACCCAAACAGGAGCGGTGGAGCCAGCTGAAGGGGTCGAACCCGCTCCTCCGCCAGTTCTTGGAGCTCAAGGAGCGGTACGACGAGAGCGAGAACCCGGTTGTGTCTTCCCTCCGATCAGTTACCCAGACGATCGGCGGCTGGTTCGACGAGAACGAGAGCGCGCAAGTACAGCGACTCATGAAGGCCATGGACTCGACGTTCAACCTGGAGAGCTTCGAGCGCGAATTGCGCGAGTACATCGTGCCCGAGGTCGTCGACGCGTACCTCAGCGCAGACCGGGAAGCCCTCGAGGCGTGGTGCGGCGAAGCGGTGCGTGTTCCGTGGCGCACGCGATGCACATGGTGGCTGATAGACGTGGATTGCAGACGTACAACGTCCTGTGGGCGACCATGGAACAGTATCTCAAGCAAGGACTCATCAGCGACAGCAAGGTTCTCGACATCCGGCAGGTCGATATCTCTTCAGGGAAGATTCTCGAGAACAACGTCCCCGTGTTCGTGATCACCTTCGCGACCCAGGAGATGCTCATCTTCCGGAATGCGAAGACGGGCGAGATCATGGTTGGGGCTGAGAATAGGGTAGAGCAGTGTCACTACGCCGCCGTCATCACGCGAATGGAGGAGGAGCTCGACAACGAGCTTACTGGCGGCTGGAAGATCGTGGAGGTGTGTACGGCGAACGTCTACGCAAATTTTGCATGCTAACTCTTCCGCAGATGGGCCGGAGATCTGCGCGCCAGTACATCTAGGACTTCATCCATCCCTACACATACAAAAGTAATCCCTATCACTATTCTCGTCGTCCTTCATGCCGTCGCACGCCACCCACCAGCACTTACGCACTCACTCACACTCCCCGCTCACACCTAGACTACTTACTCGTGCTTCTCTAGACCATGTAATGTTGGACGATATGCGGCAGCCATCATGGGATAGGGAACTACATTAATGCATTATAGACAATCCATTACATGACATAGTAGCAACTTTTGCATCGTGAATAGCGTGGTGGGTGGGTGAGGGGAGGGGTGTGGCAACGGACGAGAGCGTAAGTGATCTAGGAGTGTCCCGGCGACGAAGTCTAGCAGAGGTCGAGGAAGCGAATGAGGGCAACGAGCTGGAAAGCTCAGTGTGGGCGCGTCTGCGGGTCGTTCTCGCGCAGCGCCGCCCACACGTCCTCGGTCGCGGCGAAAATGCGCTGCTTGATGCTCCCGGCGCTGTCGAGCGCGGGACGGACGTCGAGCGAGAACACGGGCGAGCCGTCGGGCTCGTCCGGCGCGGAGTAGTAGTCGATCACGTAGCGGACCTCCTCCCCGTGCGGGCGGCGGACGACCCAGTCGTGTCGGTCGAAGGGCGGCTCAGAGCTGGGGTGGGACGAGCGGGTCAGCTCGGCAGGTCAGCGGGCGGGAGGCGGGGAGACGCACTTGAAGCGAGAGGGGAGCAGCCAGCCAGCGAAGAGCCAGAAGCGGGCTTTGGGCGAGAGCTCACCAGGGCGGCCCTTGAAGCGCGACAGCTGGGGCACGGCCGTGCTGTTTGTCGGGACAGGACCACCCCCGTCAGCCCGAGGCGGACGCGGAACGGAGGAAGGAGAAAGACACGCACGGGTCCTCCCTGCGCTCCCACTTGACGATCTCCTGCCAGGCCTCCTCGTTGAGGAAGTTGTGGATGTGGACCATCGTCTCGACGTGCTCCTCCGGGGTCTCCCAGCCCTTGCGGACGAGCGCGTTGTAGAACTGCTGCGGGGACGGGTACTCCCACCGCTCGCCGGACGCGTCCCCGCGCGGGATCGTCGACGTCTCGCGCTCCGTCGGCAGCGCGGCCGCCTGCGCGGCCGCCATCGCCTGCGAGAGCGTCGGCATCTGGTTCAGCGGGTTCAGCTCGGGGGCAGAGGGCGCGTCGTGCTGGATCGGGCATTGCGCGGGCTTGTCGTGTTGGATGGGGCACTTCGCGGGAGCTTGCGCCTGCGCCTGCGCTTGCGCCTTGTGGTCTATTGGGCACTTCGCAGGCGCGGATGGGATGGCGGAGGAGGAGGCAGTGGCGGAGGAGGAGGCGGCCTGACCCATGGGTGCAAATTTCGTCGGGCGCGTAAGGTGGGAGGAAGAGGGAGGGAGGAGGCTTGGGATGGTGTCGGTCAGAACAAGGTGGCAGAGGTGATTTCAAGCCTTGCCACCGCCAGATCACCGCAAAGGCCCCGGCCCGCCGGAGCCGGGCACGAATTTCAACGGACACGGAAAACCGGATTCCGAAGCCGTCCGAACGGCTGGCTGTTGTTGACCAGTGCGGGCGGACTCAATTCACACAGCAAGCACAAGGCTCAGCAGCAGAGAGTAGGGTGGCAGAAGACGTGTACCCGGAGGTCAAATTATGATACAACATGCACATGCAAGGACGAAGAGCGAAGAATGTAAACGAGGGTGAGCGTGATGACGAGGCAAATGCGGAGAGTACAACATGGCATGCACAGCCAGAGAGGGTGATAGATAGAGCAAAAGGCGGAAACAGACTTTATACAGGCGAATTCTCGAGACCTCCATAGAGTGGTTGTGTCGGAAAGCGCGACGCCGCTCGTAATGGGTTGAACATGCTCGAGTAACCGTCAAATGCCGGCGATACCTGCGATGTTGGCGGCGGCTGGAAAACCCCCGTTGGGGGTGGGGAAGCCGCGAATGGATCTCGCTCTGGCTGGACGACGGGCGACTGCGACGACCCTCCCAGAGCGAGCGCTGAAAGCGTCGCGTCGATGGACCCCGTGGCCTCAGTCCGCCTGCCGAAACGTGAGGCTCCGGATCTGGAAGAGCTGCCACTGCTGCCGCTATTGCTGCGGCTGGGGGCGGCACCGTCGCGCTCCTTCTTTTTGAACATGTTGGAGAACATCTTCTTGATGTTGCCGGACGAGGTCGGGAACCGCGGCTTTTCGCCCTTGTCGAACGTTGAGAGGCGCGGGGAGGTGTGTGGGGAGGATGAGGTGGTAGCGAAGGAGGAACGGGGGAGCGCGGAGAAGAGGGAGGAGACGGAGGACGCGGAAGAGTGGCCGTGGCCGGAGCTGGAGCGGGGCGAGAGCGGGTCGTTGAGTTCGAGTGATGGTGGGCGTCCGCGAGCGAACGAGCGGGGCGTGTTGCCGAACGTAACGGGTGACGAGAGCGGGCGGGGTATCGCGCTCTGACCGGAACCTGGGCGAGGTCGCGCAGCCTGGGGAGAAACCTTCGATGGAATGAGCGCTCGTTCTGGCGCAAGCACGACCCTGCTCACCTGGCGGAGGTTGCCGTTGTCGTCAAACGGCAGCTGGTCGTCACGGAAGTTGACGATGCTCTTTGCTGACCAGTTGTCTTCTGCCGGGGACTGCTGTGAGGGGGTCAGCACAAGGACACTGAACGAGAGGGCATTATTCACATCTCCATAGATGACATATGTCCGGTTTTTCCGCAAGACTGACGGGCTGACATCCTTGTCGTCCTGGTGGACTGATAGGGTATCTAGATTGGTATTATGCTCCTGGAACCTCCCCAGCGCACCCACGCTCTGATTCCGTAGCCGTGGTTGCGGCATCCGTGCCTGGAGCAGCACAGTGTCGTTGGTGGAAAGCCTCAGCGATGGCGGGCGCTCGCGGGTTCTCCACTGGTCTGGTGGAGGGACGGAGGCTTCGAGCTTCGCCATCTCACGCACGACCTGGTCGTGGGGGATGTTCGCGGCGGAGGCGAGGACCTCCTTCATGTCCTGCTCGGAGAAGGACGCGCGGGGAAGGGCGCGGACGGGCAGCGCGCGCTCGTGTTCGGTGATGAGCAGTGCCTCGACGAACTCACCGAACTGGATGAGGTCGGCGGCGACGTCGGCGCAGTCGCTGGTGAACATGTTGAGCGCCTCGACGAACCAGAATGCGACGTCCTCGTCCATGTCCGGGAGCGGGTCTTCGGGGCCGACGCGCCTGAGCATGAGCTCGAGCGCGGCGAACTGCGAGGCGGCGGCGGAGAGCTGGTCGATGACCTCGACCATGGTGAGGACCTCTTGCTCGAGGGGGGAGTACTCGGCGTATTCGATCCCGGCGCTGAACGTCGAGGTGTTGATGACGGGAAGGTCCCCGTTGACGTAGTCGAACATGTCCGATGGGTCGTCTTCCATTGCAACGGACGGGTCGAGGTATAGTGGGGGTTCAGCCATGTCTAATGCTGGGGGTCGGTGGGGCTGGCGATGTGGGGGCTCGCGGATGAGAGGAGCGTTATTTGGAGGGACAAAGTTGGATGTTGACACGGGTAGACTGATTGTGCGGTTATGGTTCGGGGTGGATGGGGAGCGTGGGTAGGGTGAGGTTGGGTCTTGGGCGTAACAGTCGTATATCCATAGGTCGTCCATCGTCACTTGTCGCGGGCTGCCCATCGTGTCCTGCACGTAGGTGGGGTTCTTTACGCCGACTGCGGGAACGGGACGATGATGAGGCGGGGGCTCTGGGGGCGGGGCATGGACAGAGGACTCACCTGGCGACCGCTGGCCAGTATGGCGGGGGAGCCCAAAGCGGGCCCTATAGGGACTTTCCTCCGACTCCTTAATGGGAGAAAGCATGGCCAGCCCGGGCATGGCGATCTACAGGAAAGAAAAGGCCAAGAAATATTGACAAAGTCCCTGGCAATGTCGTGCCGCCGGGTGAACACAAGCTGACATGTGACTGGAGAGCGCTTACCAGTGAGCAGTCGCCGGGAGAGAAGGGAGAGGTCAAGAGAAGAGAGCGAAAGCCTGGACGAGCAGAGGGAGTGCACCGCCGTCGTCGCGTCGCCCCGTGGCTGAGCGGGCCCGGGCGTTATAAGGAGATGACGGCGGGCGATTGGCGCGTGGGCCATCAAGGCCTTGATGGAATCATCCGAAGGGAATGTCGCACGTCATCCGTGCCCCCTGCAAGTCGACAGCGACCTTCCCAGCCCCCGTGTAGTATGCCGACGCCGACAAATGGTCTACAAACCGCTGCCCAGGCTCGTGAGTCAGGCTCGTTGTACGTCAGGCCGGTCCAAACGAAGAAGGAAACATGACAGTTTGTCGGCTCTGCGGAGGTCCAACGCACGACTAATTCCTGTTCGGCGCCAACCTCCATCCCAACTACGCTTCGGACACGCTTCTCGTTGCTACCAGCCGGGTGCGCTGGAACATTGACAAAGCGGCGATGGAACGAGGAATCGGAGAACGCCCATGTATGGCTCTCCTTTCCCGCAAAGTACCACAGAGCGCTTCTCCATCACATCAGAGCTCACTTCGCTGGAGACTCGCGTGAGGAAGACTCCATGAGCCGGGTAACGAACCCATCTGCTCGCAAGCATCTGAAGCTCGTCCCTCAGATTGTCCAACAATGGGAGAGTCAGAGACTAAGACACCAGTCCAATTAGTCCAGTCAAACAGTCCCAAGAAGCACATACAACAAAGCCGACAGAGTGGATAAGCCACCGCAGGACTACCAACCGAAGATAAGATCCGAGACCTGGCCCAGCATGCCCTTCGACGGCGACATCTGCGCGCCGCCAGGAGGAACTGCAGGAAGGAGCGCCGTCGGGGCTGGGATGGCAGCCGGAGCGCCCGCGCCTGGGCGACGGAACGCGGACGTGGACGGCGCGAGCTTGATCGGCGTCCCAACGGTCGGCGTCGACGGCGCGGAGTGCATGTCGAAGTCGTCGACGCTCATCCGCGAGTTCGACGGTGCGAACGAGACCGACGGTCCTGGCGAAGGCGTCCCGTGTTCGGGGCTCGACGCGCCGAAGTCGGGCGAGCTCAGCGAGCCGCGCACGAGCTGCGAGCCGATGAGCGCCTCCGCTTGCGCTGCATCCTGTATGAGCGGACAGGAACGGCGGCAGTCAGCGAGACGCGATGGGCAGGGCGGCAGGAGCGGGCAGGCAGGGACGATGGAGACGTACAGCCCACTTGGCGCCGACCATCCACGAGCCGCCGAGGATCTCGCCGTTCTTGCGGATCGCGCGCAGGGCGGACGCTGCGTTGTAGTATCCGATGCGGAAGCAGTTGAGAACCTCTGCGCTCTGCTCGACGTCGGTGCACTCGCCGAGAGAGCGGAAGTACTCGACCGTGACGCTGTATTTGTCTTGAGGGTATCCAAAAACTACGATTTGCAGAGGGGTGGTATTGTGCTGGGTGCTGGGCGCGGGTTTTGGGGTCGTTGGTTGTGCAGAGCGGAAAAGAGATGTTCGGCTCTGAGAAGCAGCGACAGAACTCTAGAGTATTCGTGATTATGACATGCGGAGCAAGGGGGTGGAATGGTGAACTCACCCTCTTGGAGAACCTCGACGGCTCGGGAACTTCGTTCACAATGTCATTAACGGAGACCATGGGTGGCGCATCCTCGTCGTCCATGTTTTGTCGTGTCCTTTGTCTGCCATCGGTATTACATGAGGTGTGTATTCGCCAGAAAGTCATGCATACCTCGAGCTCTCGAACATAGAATCCATCCCGAAGTCAGACCCTGGTCTTCCCGTAAACGAGTGGTTCATTTTGGCTTTCGTAGCTACCAACGGAGGGTCGTCACGCAGCCCTGGAGGCGAAGACTGAGGAGAATTAGACGGCTGCGGGAGCGGTCCGTAGGACACAAAACGTCTCACACTGCTCTGGTTCACAGACTGCAGGAACACGTCAATTCATATACAGAAGCCTCAGAAGGCGTGGCGGCGTACCATGAGGTAACCCGATTGATAGTGGCTCCTTGACTGGGAAAGACTGTCGCCCAGTTGGGAGCCCATGCCGAGCGAAGAGCCCATGTTCATGCCCATGGATCCGCCGCGGACGTTAGGCGAGGTCGTAGACTGATTGAGGTTCGTCATGGTGTTCATGCCCGCGACGGAGAAGGGCGAGCCATTGTATTGAACAGAATGTGAGTGCGAGTGCTGGAACTGGTTGCGCTGCTCCTGAGGGCCTCCATTCGGCGCGGGTTGCTGAAACGAGTTCGTGCTCTGGAACATGGTGGGTGAGGGGGTGGAGAGGAGGAGAATGGGGGCTGGAGAAGGGGTGGGTGGCAAATACGACGCGACGCGACGAGCCGAGCGCGAGGCGCGGGTGGGTTGAACCGCACACGTGATACAATCTCCTCGATCGCGCGGAGATCTGAGCTTTTCAGCCACCGTGCGGCTTGAAAACTCTCGCAAGGCTGGGACTGGGCTTGACTCAGCCGTCTTGCTGTATATATTCTCTCGTCTGCGCGTCCGTATCTTTATCTGCTTTCTTGTCCCGCTGCTACTTTACGACCACATCCATATCTGTGGTACTACGACTTCACGCCCGTAATGTCGATCGATCCCACCCTTTTTCCCTCCATCGGCTCCGTCGCGGACCAGACCGAAAGGCTCCCCGTCGAGGCGCAGGCGGTTGATGTTACGCTGGACGAGGAGCGACCAGTGCAGGAGATTGAGTCGCTCTGTATGCGATGCGAAAACCAGGTGCGCAACGCCTCGCGTCTGGCTGCAGAGCATATATGCTGAGCTTCAGCCCAGGGAATGACTCGTCTCTTATTGACGACGATCCCATACTTCCGCGAGGTCATCGTCATGTCCTTCCGGTGCGAGCACTGCGGCTTCGCGAACAACGAAGTGCAGTCCGCCGGCGCCATCCGACGTGAGTCGATGCCCTCAATCTTCCCCGCTGCGTCCCTGCGTCCTGAACCCCGTGGACAGCCGACGGTGCCGTCTACACGGTCCGCGTCCTCGGGCGCGACGACCTCGACCGCCAGATCGTCAAGTCGAACTCCTGCACGGTCATCATCCCCGAGTGGGAGCTCACGATCCCGCCCGGGCGCGGGCAGCTCACGACGATCGAGGGCCTCATCCGCGACATCATCACGGACCTCTCCGCGGACCAGACGCTGCGCCGCGTGCAGAACCCGGTGGCGTACGAGAAGATCGAGAGCATCCTCGACCGCGCGCGCGAGGCCGTGCCAGGGGGCGACGACGGAGAGGAGGACGAGGCGAGCAAGGACGAGGTCGGGCCGCTGAGTACGCCGAAGAAGGCGAGCCAGATCGACGTCCCGCTCACGCCGTTCACGGTCAAACTCGACGACCCGGCGGGCAACTCATTCGCGGAGTTCGCGGGGAGCATGGCGGATCCGAAGTGGAACATGCGCACGTACCACCGCACGAAGCAGCACAACATCGAGCTTGGACTCGTCGCGTCAGACGAGCCTGGTCCTGAGGCCGTGGCCGCGACGGAAGATGAGGAAAGGATTGGAGGGGGGTTGGAGGGTGAGAACGAGGAGATCTACATCTTCCCGGGGACGTGCTCGAGCTGCGGTCACCCGTCGGACACGCTGGTCAAGAAGGTCAACATCCCGTATTTCAAGGTAGGCAATGCAAAGAGGTTGTGCCAATCCGAGTTGGGATCTAACCTACGCTGCGCGGAATATAGGACATCCTGATCATGTCAACAAGCTGCGACAAGTGTGGATACCGGGACAACGAAGTCAAGTCGGGTGCTGCGATCTCAGAACAAGGCAAACGCATCACGCTCGAAGTAGAAGACCGGGAGGACCTGAGCCGTGATATTTTGAAGGTGGGTGCAACGTTGTGTTTGTCAGCACTGCGCTTAGACTGAGATTGATTGAGCGCGCAGAGCGAGACGTGCGGTCTCAGCATACCCGATATTGAACTTGTGCTTCAAGCTGGAACACTGGGTGGCCGATTCACGACGCTTGAGGGTATCCTTGACCAAGTGTACGAGGAACTGTCCGAGAAGGTGTTTGCCTCTGGGGACGCCGTGGACGACGGGCATGCGTTTGAGAACTTCCTCAAGAAGCTCAAAGCGGTACGTACCCTCGAAATCTCCCCGACCACAATCCATTGATCGTCAATGTTGGATGATTGTCATGCAAACAGGTCAAGAACGCAGAGCACCCGTTCACGCTCATCCTCGACGACCCGCTCGCGAACTCGCACCTCCAAAACCTGTACGCGCCAGACCCCGACCCGAACATGACGATCGAGATGTACGATCGTACATGGGACCAGAACGAAGAGCTCGGGCTGAACGACATGAAAGTGGAGAACTACGAGGAAGACGCAGAGCCGCCCAAGGAGGGGGCTCAGGCCGCGACAGCATGATGATGTTGCTGGGGGTTGCGCCGTGTTCTGCTTTGCCCAGTATATTTAAATAGAAGTGCCCTTACTTGTACTGTTCAGCGACGTACATGTTGTATCATACATTCACTACCTCGTGGACCCATGGCCGGAGACGCCCATGGACGCGTGATGACTTCATCGGCTGCGTCGAGTCGCAGGTTGACTCAATCCATCGACCACTTGGGCGAGTCTGCCCCCGTTCCTGCACAGAAACACCGAGATCCTACATGTCTGCTCTCGGAGGTATGTCCCGCTGGATTCCCCTCGAAAGCAACCCTGAGGTCTGTCCTCGCCGACTTCGATGAGCCTCGCGGGTCAGCTCACCGCTCCGCCGCAACAGGTCCTCACGCAGGCTAGCCATCCTCCCCCCGCGCTCCCATCACTCTCTCACCGTCTTGTGCGCCTTCACTAGTGGGCCGTGCGCGCGGGTCTCGTCAAGAGCCAGGCACACTTCGAGGACATCTACGGTCTCGACGATGAGGTGAGTGGCTCTTCGTCACTCAATCGAAGCTCATGTCCTCAGTATCGTCCTGGACCCCAAAGCTGCTTGCGATGGTCACACAACCGGTGAAAGCCGCCATTCTCCTGTTCCCGATCACAGAACAGTATGAGAATGAGAGGAAGGCACAAGATGAGCGGATCGCCGCTGAAGGTCAGCATCCAGTGGACCCGACCGTGTTCTGGATGAAGCAGACGGTGAGTGTTGCAAGCCGTTTCGTCTCAGAAGTGCGCCAAATGAGGTTTACTTGATAGATTTCGAATGCTTGCGGGACGATGGCTCTTCTGCACGCAATGATCAACGTGCGTGTGTCGGATGCCTCTGTTTGCCTGTGTGCTGCTTACTGTCAACGTAGTCGGACGTAGTGTTCGCCCCCGAGAGTGCCATCCAAAAATTCATCGACATCTGCAAAGGTACCAGCCATCCGATCGGCTCTGCGCTCACGCTTCCTGACTTGGAAACTGACAGAACAAACGCCTCTGGAACGCGCAAAGATACTGGAGACCACCCCGTTGTTCGCCAACATCCACGCGGATGCCGCGGCGGGTGGGCAGTCCGCGATACCCCCGAATCTAGACACGGACCTGCATTTCACGTGCTTCGTGCAAGCTCCGAGCCCACCGCGGGATGGCGTGGCGGTTGACAAGACGGAAATGCGCCTACTTGAACTCGACGGCCGCCGCAACGGGCCCATCGACCGAGGGGTATGCCTCGACTTTCTGAAGGTGCGTCGCAGAACGGTGCATGCAGCGTCTGTCTCACTTGTGTTCGCCTGCAGGATGTAGGGAAGGTGGTGAAGGACGTGTACATTGCGCAGACGGCGAACGTGAACTTCAGCCTCATCTCGCTCTCGGGGGGCCCTTTGCCGGAGTAGGCGGCGTGCGATGAAAGGGCGATGTGGAAAACATGTACGTTATCGCAGCCCATGCCAGGGCTGGGTGTAGCGAGTAAGAGCTGCAATGTGATATTTCGGAGCGGTTTCAGCTCTCCAGTTTGACGTCCCCTTTGCTTCGACCTGCCCGCCCGTCTCCGTTCGGCGGCCCCTCCTTGCGCTCGTGCCCGCTCTTCTCGACACCCGACACCCATCACTTGCGACACCTCTCTTGACCCTACCATGACCCGGCACTCTGTGGACATCGACGGCGGCCCTCAGCAAGTTAGCCTTGACGGTGACACTCCCTCCAAGCAGCTCCTCGTTGTCGACGCTATCTTTTGCCTCTTTCTCGTCGAGCTCGCTGGCTTCGTCGTCATCACTCGTGGCCTCCTGCTGCTCTTCCAAGTAGCCCACATCCGTTGGATCCAGGTCATCAAGGGTGGACACCTCGTCGTCTGCACCTTCTTTCGTCTCTGCGGCTACCTTGTGGGCATTCCGGCTGCCGTCGCACTTCTTCACGGACCTGCAAGCATGGCACCCACCATGGACGTCCTCTTCGAGATCTCCGGTCTTGTCTCCTCTTTTGGAACACACCCTCTGAACACAGTCCTGGGCTTGTTTGTGGCGACTTTCCGTCTTTTGGACCTCTCGTTGGTCATCAACCCCGCTGCCCTCTCCGATGAGTGGACAACCCTCTCCTCCCCACAATATCCTCCTGGCACTGTGTTGCACCACATCGTGCGCCCTTTCTTTGTCCGACACAATTCCACGTCCAGCGCCAGCACCAGTTCCGCCGGCTCCTCCTCGTCCCTCCACACGCTCGTGTCCGCTTCCAGCGATCATCAGCTCGCCAAGTCCATCGACGCATCTTCCACCGCTCTCCCCCCGCCTCCCCTCCTTAACGCCGCGTCGGCGTTCACCGGGCTGGTCGCCGCCAATGCCTCGCCCGTTACGAACGGGCTCCCGGCATCCGCATGCGCTCTCCCTGGCTCTGCAGGAGTCGCAAGCACCGAGGAGGCCACCGCCAGGACGTTGGCCGAAATGACCGAGGATGAGCACTGGACGACGCCCCCGCTGCCAGCATCCGAGCAGGACGAAAGAGGCAACGCATCCAACGACTCTCAATGTCAAGGCGGAGGCTGGCCCCACCTCAGCGGCGGGGGCGGCGGCAGCGGCGACAACTCGCTCCGCGCCGCCTGGCGCGACTTCGCCCTCCAGCCGATCGCGGAGGAGCCGGAGCTGCAGTCCCTCCCGTCGTGCGCGTCGACCGCGGCGGCGACGGCGGCCGCGTCCGAGGGCTTCGCGCCGCTCGTCTCCGCCCCGTCCCTCTTCAGCCTCGCCGCGTCCGAGAGCGGGCACCGGGACGGGGACGGGGACGCGCTCGGAGCTGGCCCGGCGGAGGACGAGGCGTCCTGGCCCGGCGAGACGGAGGTGCCGATGTGCAGGGCGTGCTTCGTCGCGCGCGCGACGGAGGGCTGCTATGCGCGTCCTGCCCGCCCCGGGCCCGGCTCTTTCCCTGCCAGAGAGTGGTCGACGCCGACGAGGTCGCCCATCGTCGTCCGCGCGGACGGGGCGGGCTCCGCGACCATCAACTTACAGATACACCTCGTCTTGGAGCAGAAACCGCCCGGCTTCGCCCGTTCTGGAGGTGACCGTCCATTTGGTGGACGAGACCAGTTTGACTCCCCAGGCATGGCGTCTTTTGCGTCGTCTTCGTCTTCAGTCTTCTGAGCAACCATATGACCTCCCTCTGCCCTGTATGTAGACTTCACGCGCACTATACTCCCACATACCCTTCTGGCATCCTACATATCTTCTGAGTTTCCATGCGTGCAACTCGAATGATGAGAAGAATCACCCCAAAGAAATGCAGTCAACTCAATGCCATTGCTGGGAACAGTCCAAGCCGCAGTGAAGGCCCACAGTCATGTCGCTATTACGCAACCATATCAACGTCCTCATTGAGAGATCTGCATGATGGTAGTAGGTAGGATAGGGAGCAAACTAGCAACATTTTGTCGTAGGTCTACCGTCAATGCTTACGAGGAGAACGAAGAAACATGCTCCTCTACGACCTTCTTGATCTTCGCCTCAATGTCAGGAGTGATATTACCCTTGGCGATCTCGGTGAGGAGAGCACCCTCGGTGGCAGTGAGGTGAGCACGGAATTCGGCCTCCCAGCGAGTGATCTGGTCGACGGGGATAGGGTCAAGCTGGCAAGGGCGTCGTTAATGCATGTCGACAACAATGCGCGAATTCAACTTACAAGACCGTTGACACCAGCGTAGATGATGGGGACCTGGATCTCCATGGAGAGCGGCTGGTACTGGCCTTGTTTGAGAAGCTCGGTCAAACGAGCACCACGGGAGAGCAGGAAGCGCGTCGAGGCATCGAGGTCGGAGCCGAACTGGGCGAAGGCAGCGACTTCACGGTACTGCGCAAGGTAGAGCTTGAGCGAACCGGCGAACTTCTTCATGATCTTACTGTGTATGAGAGGAATGAGCCGCGAGCTATGGTGAGATAGAGAAGGCACTCACGTCTGGGCCGCGGAGCCGACACGGGACACAGAGAGACCAACGTTGATGGCGGGACGAACACCACGGAAGAAGAGCTCAGCCTCCAAGAAGATCTGACCGTCGGTGATGGAAATGACCTGCGGGCAAAATTTGAATACGAAGAACTAATGCAGAGAGAGTAGAGAAACTCACGTTGGTCGGGATGTAAGCCGACACATCACCACCCTGGGTCTCGATGATGGGGAGGGCGGTGAGGGAGCCTCCACCGAACTTGTCGTTCATCTTCGCAGCACGCTCGAGAAGACGAGAGTGGAGGTAGAAACGTCACCGGGGTAGGCCTCACGACCGGGGGGACGACGGAGAAGGAGCGACATCTGACGGTAGGCGACGGCCTGCTTTGAAAGGTCATCGTAGATGATGAGCGCTAAAGGAAGCGTGAACGACTAGGGATCCATAAACGCTCAGAAAGTCCGTACCATGCTTGCCGTTGTCACGGAACCACTCGCCCATAGCACAGCCAGAGAAGGGTGCGAGGTACTGCAGGGGAGCCGCCTCAGAAGCGGTGGCCGCGACGACGATGGAGTACTTCATGGCGTCGTTCTCTTCCAGGGTCTGGACGAGCTGAGCAACGGTGGAACGCTTCTGGCCGACGGCCACATAGACACAGTAGAGCTTCTTGTCCTCCTCGGTGCCGTCGTTCCAGCGCTTCTGGTTGAGGATGGTGTCAATGGCGACAGCGGTCTTGCCCGTCTGACGGTCACCAATGATGAGCTCACGCTGACCACGGCCAATGGGCACCATGGCGTCGATAGGCTTAATGCCAGTCATCATGGGCTGGTTAACCGAGCGACGGGGAAGAATGCCAGGGGCCTTGAGCTGAGCACGACGACGCTCAGCGAACTTGATGGGGCCTTTGCCGTCGATGGGGTTGCCGAGGGCGTCAACGACACGGCCAAGGAGGTCAGGGCCGACGGGGACGTCTACAATCTGGCCGGTACGCTTGACCGTGTCGCCCTCCTTGATGGCACGGTCGTTACCGAAGATGGAGATACCGACATTGTCGGCCTCCAAGTTCAAGCACATGCCGCGAATGCCAGAGGAAAACTCAACCATCTCTTCGGCTGTACGGATGGGACATATAAATTCGCTGGCAGAGTCGGTGGACGTAACGCGACGCACCCTGCACGTTCTTGAGACCCCAGACACGTGCGATACCGTCACCGACGCCTGAGAGCGACACGTCATTGAGCGAGTGGACGGTGGAAAAGAAAGACGCGTAGAACTCACTCAGAACGCGTCCGGTTTCCTCAACGTTTGCGCCCACAGAAGTGCCAGCTATGCGGGACTCGAGAATCGAAGAGACCTCAGACGCAGCTGCATGTGACGTGTCACGAGTGCCCCAGCGGAAACATCATGCCGCGACGATGATGGAGGAGGGACGAGTAGAGATCAGGCTTAGACGTGTCGAATGAGGAACGCGGACACGTACCGGCCTTAGCTGTCGCATATGAGCGAGAGGCAGCCGGGGTGCTGCGAACAGCGCTCTGCAATGGGCATTGTTGAGCACGGCACAAGGGGAGAAACGGGGACCGGACGACGGTGGACGCACTTTGGAAGCGGCCAGCGCGGCGGCGCGGACGGAGTTTCGGAGGGCGACTCTGTGCATGGTGCGAGGAGAGGGAAGGAAAGTGGGAGGGTGAGATGTCGAGCGTCCGTAGGGAGGTCCCGGGTCACCAAACTTTGCCTTACATAACCCCATTTCGAGCGCCGCCGCAATTCCGTGTTCCCGCCCTCCCGACTCCTCCGACCCCCAGCGCGGATACCCGCACGGTCCTCGCCGTCGTCGGCAACAAATGGCCTCTTTCCTCCGCTGTGAGTCCCCGCACGCTGTCCGACGCGCAGCCCCCATGCTCATCCCTCCCCTCCTTCAGCCACCCTGCGCACCGCCGCGTCGCGCGCCCTCCACACACAACCCGCCGCGTCGCCAGCAAGCACACCCAATGCGCTCGAGCTCATTCGCTCTCAGCCCTCCCAGTACATCGTCGCCAGCGTTGCAGGTCAGAAGTACATCCTCTCGCCACGCGACCTCCTCACCGTGCCGCGTCTCAACGACGTAAAAGTCGGCGACGTTCTCAAACTCTCAAACATACACGAGATTGGCTCGCGTGAGTACACCGTCCGCGGCAGTCCCATCATCCCCTTGGAGCATGTCAACGTGGAAGCAACGGTGGTGGAGCACACCAAGGGACCCATGCAGTTCATTGTCAAAATGAAGAGGAGAAAAGGCTACAAGAGGACGGTGCAGCACAAACAGACGTACACCCGCTTGCGCATTGGGCCCATCCACATTCCGTATTCCTCGACAGCGTCATCGTCATAGTACCTGCAGACCGGAGCATAGCATACATGGCATAGCATCTAATTGGACCAGACAACGCATGACCTCTAGATCTCGCCCTCCTCGGGTGTCTCAGCGCGTGCAGAGGCAGCAGGCGCGGGTGTGTCCTCGGCAGCGACAACATCAGGGGGGAGGCTATAGCGTGTCCTCTACGTGTTAACCGCAGGTCAGAATACGTCTGAAGGACATAGACGTGATAGATGACATACCTTCGCGTCCCGCTCCTCAGGAATGCGGTCCTCATTAGAGCCACGGTCACGTTTCTCTCGAGTATCCGACTCCCCACGATCGCGCTCCCTGTACGGAGGTACGCTGTCCGTCGCACTGTACCCATCGTCCCAGTCCCGCCCACTCCTATGCTCGCGACGCCTGTCGTCTCTGTCATGTTCGCGATGCCTTGAGGACCGGTAGTGGTCGCGGTCGCGTTCCCTGTCCCGATCCCGGTCGCGTTCTCGGTCCTTGTAAGATTTGTCCTTGGAGTAATCACGATCCTTTCCGTCCCTCCCGTGATCCCGTTCGGAGTGACGCGAGTACCCGTCCTTGTCGCCTCTACGGTCGCTTCTGCCATCACGATCACGGCCCCGCTCCTTGTCGTGTTCACGGTCGCGGTCGCGGTAGTCGCGTTCCCGGTCGCGTTCCCGGTCGCCGTCGCGGTCCTTCACCACCTCCTTCCGGCGGCGACTCGTCGTCGATCCGCCATCTTCAGAAATCTCCCGTTCGCGCTCTCGGAGGCGTTCCTGTGAATGCACGAAAGGCGTGGATGAGCCAGGAACTCACAAGAACGGCGCGGCATCAGACCTGCCTTCTGCCTTTTGGCGAACTTGGCAAATGCCACCTTCCTGCTGTCCTCATCCTCGATCGCCAGGTATTCAGGGAGCTCTTGCATATACTGAACAGCCTGGAAACGAGTTGCATGAGGGCCACGTTCGAGAGGAGTATATCGTCTCACTTACGTCTTGGTAGGAGAGGCTGGCGTCGTGGAGCTCTGGGACCTTTTTCAGAGCATAGCGCAGGTCATCCTGCAGATGCCGTTGCTTGCGCTCTGCCCGGCGCTTTTCATCCGCTTGCTTTTTCACAGAAACGTCGTGCAGCTAGCACGAGGTCGTTAGTACAGCACTTCAAATTCCACGGATGAGTAGAAGCATGTACCGAATGGTAGATTTCCTTGAGATCCACTTCGGACAGAGAAGTTCCACCATCGAGATTATCCTTGACGATGCGCAAGAACTCTTGCTCCGTGGACTCGGGACTGACTTCGAATGCCTTGAGGCCATCAGTGACTGCCGTGCCGTCATCCTCTTTCATCTTGCTGTCAAGAGCCTGATTGTGTTTCTTGATCGCAGCTTCCGCAACAGCAATCTTCTCGTCCAGTTTCTGGTCCAAAACATCGATCACATCCCAAAACAGCTCGATGGGGTTGGAGCCAGGGTTTCCCAGCATGTCGAGATAGCGAGGATCGCTGGAGAAACTCGGGTACACTTGCTTCCACTTCGTACGAGCCTTGATCTCACCCGAAGTCACTAAACCGTTCAACAATTCCTACGGGAAGATGTCAGAATGTGGCAACCAGCCATAGCAGCACATTTGACTAACCCTGAACGCCTCCCTCGCCTTCCGCTCTCGTCGCGTCTTCTCCACTTGGCGACGTCGCATCTGCTCTTCGAACTCACGCTCTCGGACGCGACTGTAATCTTCAAACGCAAGCAGGATATCGAGAGTTGGTAGGTTTTGCAGCTCTGTGTCTCCCTTCCACTCTTCCGAGTCCACGACTTGGTGGTAAGCTGACCGCCACCGAGTGAGAACATCGACATCCAAGCGCTTGAAAAGAGCGACGATCTTCCCAATGCTTCGGGAACGAGCAGCACGGCTTTCTTGCTGTAGAGATTCGCTCTTTGAACGCAGCAACACGATTGGGATAATGGACTACGCACCACCTCCCGTTGCTTGAGCTCGTCGACGTACTCCTCGAAGATAAGCTTCCTCTCCGCCTCGACCTTGGCTTGTTGCCAGATAGGATGCTGAGAGAACAGCTTATCCGCGGTGGCGAAGGTCGTGTAGTGGAAGACGTTGGGGTTGCCTTTCAGCATATTACGGAGTGAAGGACGTAGCTTGGACAGGCGAACATCTCGTTCCTCTTGCTCCTTCGCTCTGAGACCGTCCACATACTACACCAAATCAGCACAGATATGGAAGTGAGCAAGATGTGGACCCACCTTTTGCCATGCCGCTTTTTTCTCCGCTAACGTGTTTAGAGCCTTGTAAAGGGGATCCGTGATGATAGCCCTCATGGTCTGATCCCAAGTCCAATTCGCGTCGACGCCGGCCTTCTTGAGGAGGTGCACAAAAGCTTTTTCGCCTTCCTCCACGGTTGCAAATCCATTGTGAGGAATGACTGGGTCATCTGGCAAGTTGGGCCGAGCAGGCAATACGCTGGAAGGGGCGAATGGAAGTCCACCTGTGTGCATACCAACTGCACCATTTTGGCCGTTCAATTGAGATTGCGGCTGAGAACCGGGTGGGAATGAGGATGGGTCAGGGCCTCCAAGAGTGTTGGGGGCACCTTGTGACACGCCAGCTCCAGCCGGACTAGTAACACGACGTTAGTGGGTAAACGGGGTGGAAATATGATGAATCATACACTAATGCAGTGTTGGAAGGTGCGTTCTTGCCATCCTTCTCGACCTGTTCCAGAAGTAAAAGCAACTCATCTGGCATGTCCCATTTCGACTCTTTTGTTTCAGTCTACAGCGTAATGTGAGTATCACTTCTGGAGGGGAGAATAGACACGCACATTATAGTAATACTTCCTCCCGCCGCTGAAGTACTCTTTCCACTTCGTCTGATTGAGAGCTTTCTGTGTTCACGAAGATTCTGTGTGAGAGACGTTGGAATACGGATAAAAGGGTGGTGCATGCCTCGAAAGGAGTCTTGAGATCTGCTCAGTGTCAATACAGAATTTTGAGACCTAGCGGAGATGCAGCACGCACCATCTGGTTTCTCCCAAACACTCTCACGAGTGTTTGTGTTGAACCAATAAGTACGGCCCTCGGGGTTCCGGTGCTCTGTCTAGGAGGAATTCAAGAAAGGCGCAAGACCCAGTAGCGTACGCACTCACCCAAATACTGATGGCACTCATCTCGCCCTCCAGTCGCGGAGTACAAGGCCGTGGGTGATAGGGTGCAAGTGAGGACCGAAGTGGAGGATGGGAGCAGGTCAGAGACCTGTAGCCGCTTGTTGAGAGACGTTATTGGCTCGTGGTCACCTGACATGGACACCAGCGCTTGTAGAGTACACAGCTGCAGCTTTGCCGCAGCTCAAGTTTCTCTTTCCGCAACTCCCTTCGGGCGCGGCCCCGTTACATTACACATGTAGTCAAACGAACGCGGGATAGGTTCATAGCTGTGTAGTTACACGCGCATATGTGACACATAGGGATTGAAAGGATGTAATAATAAAATAATAATAAGCAGCTCGAGTTTCTCAAATCTGTACAAAATACCGCCCCGCTCTCTCCAACTGTACAGGGAAAGGCGTCACGCTGTTATTGGAGCATGTCTAACTGAGCGTTTGGCGTTCAAGATTCTCGCGCTTTAAACGACCTGATGCTGCGCGCCGGCCGGGTCGGTGACGGGACCTCGAGGTCAGTGACCCGGTCGCCGGTCACCGAAGTTTCTCACCAGCCTTACACCGACCTGAGACTCGGAGCTTAATGCATCCTTCTCGTTCTCCATCCCCTCTCATGTATCGTTTCTCACGTTCTACTTCTCTCTCAACTTTCCTCCGGTGACATCAACATGGCTGTAGCCTCCCATTCCGCTTCCAAGGGGTCCAAGAAGCGTCGCAACGGCGCCACCGTATCCCATACGCGGCCTAATGACAAGGCAGTGGCCCCTTCAGCAGCTCAAGCTCCCGCTTCAGCGAACGGAAAAAATGGCTGGAAAGAATTGCAGAAGGCTCTAGCGGCTTCATTAGTGGATTACACCTTCGTTCTCGGGCTGGTTTTCGGAGGATGTTGCTCGTAAGTGCCCTGCTTTCTCGGGCGTCCCCGGTATGAACATGCTTCCTACAGCAATGTATGGTCCTACGAACAATTGTTGAAAATGGACGCGCATATAGGTGAGATCCATATCGAACTGTGTACATTGAACGACATGGCTCAGACTGTTGACCAGGCACCACGCTCACATTCTCTCAAATGCTCTTCATCACTGTCCAATCACTACCGTCATTCCTTGATTTTGCCCAGGGCGTCCCCCGTTTGAAACCACGGCATGTGCCTCTGAGAAATTGGGCTATGCAAGTTCTTGTCCTCACCTCTGGGTCTTTGATGAACAACTGGGTCTACGCTTTCTCGGTGCCGCTCACCGTTCAGATAGTATTCCGTTCTGCTGGTCAGTCAGTGACAGTGACTCCCACATTATCATCTTCCGCTCACTTGAATGGGGTTCGCACAGGTCTGGCAGTATCTATGCTCTTCGGGTACGTGATCATGAACAAACGATATTCCCTGGCACAGATGGTAATCAATCTCAGTCGCACATTTGAGGCGATTTGGCTCATGGCCTGCACTTCCAGCTTGCGGTGGCAGTGGTCTCTGCCGGTGTCGTTCTTGCGACATTGTTCCGGCCGTCGACACCCAAGACGTCTGATGTCTCTGCAGATGTTAGCAAATACACCACTGGAGTTGTTATGCTCGTGCTGTCGCTATTCACGACTGCCATCCTGGGCATTCTTCAAGAACGTACGTACACGAAATATGGGCCTCATTGGAAAGAAGGCGTGTTCTACACGGTATGTAACTTGAGTTTCGCCATGTGAGCACTGAGTCCTCATATCGCTACTCAGCACTTGTTGTCACTCCCAATTTTCCTATTCTTCATTTCCGACTTGAAGCGAGGGTTCCAAGGCTTGGCACAACCTGTCTCCATCGCTCCTTTCCCCAAGGAATCATTGGGCTCGTTTACGCCGTGGATCCCGTATGCCGTCCTCGGGGCCAATATGTTCACTCAACTGGCATGCGTATCGGGCGTCAACCAGCTCAGCGCAGTAAGCACGTTACCTTCCAGTAGTATGTGGTTCACTAACCGTAGGCTTCAGCGGGTCTCATCCGTGTCAACAAGCCTCGTCCTCACAACTCGCAAGGCCATCAGTCTATGCTTTAGCGTGTGGTGGTTCGGCAACGGGTGGAATGCACAGTTGGGCGTTGGCGCGGGCATGGTCTTCCTGGGGTCGCTCCTGTACACCGTTGTCACCGCACGCAGCGCACCAGTCTCCGCTGGTGCGGTGCGGCGCTCAGTGTCTAAATCGAAGGAGGAATGATCGCGGATATTTGTGGAGTCGAAACTCTGCGTTCCTGTCTCGGTCTAGAACTCTCACCCAGGCACGTTACTGCACGTTTAAGCCATGCGCCTCTCTTCCTCCCGCGTGCGTGCTGTCGGACATAGATTATACAAGACAACGGTGATCGACGATCAGGAGGTGAAACCCGGACAAGCGAAGCGGGATGGACTCAAATTTGCAAGTCCAGACGAGAATAACCGAAAAGAGGGGTATATTTTACGACTTCTTTTGCTCACTACCAGATACGCAAACTGCTTCCAGGGCGTGTAGAGATGCGAATGAAGGCGGGAAGGCGTTACAAAGATGTACAACCGAGCCTCCGAGAGAACCGTGGAATCGAAAGCCATACAAAAATCGCGACCCATACCCCTCGTTCCCCTCCAGGTCTGCCGCCGTCGAGTACATAGAGAAAGGAGTGACTCGGTGAATAGAAAGAAAGTCAATGCTAAGATATGGTAGCAAAGAGGATGGGGGCTGATGAACGGTGGGTAAACGCATATGGGCAAACGTGCCTCCGAGGAGATGCATTGGAGATTGCCCAAGGAACTACAGCAGAGAAAAGATAGAAACGTGCACGGAGGCACTATTAACCACAGTAAGGTACTACGACGCATAAGAGATAGGTGGAGGGGCGACCCGGAATAGAGGGGGTGTGCAAGTGTATGGCGAGACGTCAGCGAACATGAAGGCTGTCACGTGATAGGTCGTAGGGATTGAATCCAACGGGCGTAAGAGGGGCGAGGACTGTCCTTGTGGGGAGGAACAGGTATGTGAGAAGGGCAGGCAGGATGCGGAGTAGAAGGGAGTCGCCGCGGGAGGAAGGGCGATAATAGGACGTATAAATGAAGCGCGAACTCCAGGAAGGGTGGACGGGAGACCGGCACAGGCAGGGTACAAAGCAGTAACACAGGACAGAATCCATAAGGAACAAGCTGCTGCCCAACGTCGCATGAGTATAAGGAGACTTATTGTCCCTTTTCGCTCATGTCGGCCATCTCAACGACCGGAGCGTCCGAGATGCGTTGGCCGTTCTCGTCGAGCATCTGTTTCTGATTGAAAGGGTAATCTTGTGCCCCGTCATTGGCGATGGTCATGGGGGTCACAGGCCGCGAAGACGCAGGTCCAGTCGACGATGTGGCCGTGACGGTAGAAATGATCTGTGTTTGGGGATAATACGACCGTCGTTGCATGTTCTTGAAGTCATACGGCGTGAATCTATTTTAAGGAGGGTAAACACCGGAATGAGGCACAGTGATAGAGTATGGAGACGCCAGGAAGTGCCATGACGTACTGCTCTTCCATCTGCCGCATCTCAGCGCTCAGACTGGTAATGTCACGCTCTTTGCGCTGCCTAGCACGAAGGGGATTGTCTTCCAAGAGCAGCTCCTCCAGCTCATGGGAGGCGTCGAAGTTCGCCTTCTTGGACTAGAAGTGCTATGAGAACGGCGTCTAGGAGAACATGGAACCGCATGACGTACGTCAGGGATGAACGGAGCGGTCTGCTCCTTCGTGTCAAGAGTATCCCAGTCAATAGTCGAAAACCACGGGTGACTCTTGAGCTCCAGGAAGCCCTCGCCGTTGGGTTTGCAAGCCAGTCGTCTTGTTGGGTCACGGTCCAAAAACTAGGGAAAGGAACATGTGAGCAATCGTACAAGGTGGGATTATAAGACTAAGAATAGCAACCAGCGCCCCCACTGTTGCGACCGTCTTCGCATCATTGGCCTAGGTAGCCGTGCAATGGCGGAGGGAAAAATTCTGACAGTATCACACTCACCCCTTTCAACGCCTGAATACCGGCCCTACTACACTTGGACTCCGCGTCCTCAGGGAACCGGAGGGCGTCCTTGGAGATACTGTGTGTCAGGTCGCTGTTGGTCCTTCCGCGGAATGGCGTCGACCGAAGATGAGCTCGTATGCGCATACACCAAGGGACCACCAATCAATGGTGTAGGTATAACCACGCTTGGCGAGGATCTCCGGAGCCATGTACGCCATTGAGCCCGCAACGCCCGTCAGTAGACGCCTCTCCGAATAGTGAACGGCGATGTTGAAATCGGTGATATGTGCATGTCCACGTTCGTCAAGCAGGATGTTGTCTGGTTTCAAATCACTGTGAGGTGTGTCAGGACTGACCGTTCGACGTCGAAGTCGAGGGGTACTCACCGATGGATGATCCGGTGCTCGTGGAGGAACGAGAGAGCAGACCCAATCTCCGCGATGTAGAAGCGAACGACGTCTTCAGGTAGAGAACCTAACCTTTCCAAATGGACTGAAGGAAAAACATTGGCAAATGCATGCAGGGGGTCATCAAATGGGAGCCTACATCTCAAGTCCCCTCCGAGCATGAGATCCAACACAAAGAAGCAGTTCTCATCGTCTTGGAAGGCATATCGCATGTTTACAACGAAGGGATGATCAATCTGCATCACGAGGGTGAAAGGTTTTCAGAGCACGAAACAGTGAAGGGACAGGTGGCCGCACCTCCTCCAACAGCCTCCGCTCCTGAATGATATTCGCAACCGCCTTCATCTTGACACATTTCGCTTTGTTGATGTACTTGAGCGCATACAAGTCCCGGGTCTGTTTGTGCTGGACGACTCGGACCTAATCGCGTGGGCGCGAGCATGAACGCGACGGGAGATGCAGAATATTGGGAGAAGATCTCACCTTGCCGAAGGCGCCTTTCCCTACGCATCGCAGAAGGATGAAATGGAACAGGTTGACGTCGCCATCAAAATCAATGGGCTGGACAGCGAAATGTGAGAAATTTGCAGAGAAAACAGAGGACAGGCGGACCTGAGGCCGACAGCAGACAGCGCCCATGGTGTGAAAAGATAAGGGAGAAGGAGAGCTCCCAGGGAGGGGAGAAGGAGAGCGAAGGAAGGAGGGCTATGAAAGGATGCGGAGGGAACTGCGGCGGGGGAGGGACGGGCAGCCCTGGCGGCGGCGGGGGAGGGAGGACGAAGGGCGAGGCAAAGGAGGGCGACCACTAGAACGCCGCCGCCATCTGTCGCTCACTCCGGGCGCTTGTCCGCCTTAGTGCCTCTTACCTAATAATGCGGCTGAGGAATTATTGTCTATTAATTTTATCGGTCGATCGAAACGCATCCCGCCTCTGGCTCCGAAGCCCTTAGCCTGAGTTTCCTTGTTCTCCATCCATGTCTCCTGCCACCGACTTTTTACGCCCCCTTGTCATCTCAGGCCCTTCTGGCGTCGGCAAAAGCACCCTCCTCAAACGCCTCTTCGCCGACTACCCGGAAAAGTTCGGTTTCAGCGTTTCTCGTGAGCTCATTCTTATGCCGTCCATTCCCTCTTGACTAATCTTCATTCCAACAGACACTACCCGCTCTCCCCGAACAGGCGAAGTCGATGGCAAAGACTACCACTTTGTGACACACGACAAGTTCAAGGACCTCCTTACACAAGGGGCATTCATTGAACACGCACAATTCTCCGGAAACTTCTACGGTACCAGCTTCATGACGGTCCGGGAGATTCAGGAGAGTGGGAGAAGGTGTCTCTTGGATATTGAGGCGCAGGTATGTTTCGTGGGCGTCCTACATTCTATCGTCCAACCCATTGTTGTAGGGTGTTCGCCAAATAAAGGCTACGGACCTGAATCCAGTATATCTATTCGTCTCTCCGCCTACCCTCTCTGAGCTCCGTCAGCGGCTGCAAGGTCGTGGTACTGAGACAGAAGCAGCCGTCGCCAAACGCCTTGCTACCGCGCTGAAGGAGATCGAGTACGCGAAGGAGGGAGCTCATGATCTCGTCATCGTGAACGATGATCTTGACAGGGCCTACGAGAAGTTCAAGAGCGTTGGGCTGGGAGAATATATTGCTAGTGACTCTTTGCCTTCGCTAGACGATTAAACGACGGTCGAGCCATTACGCGCGCGCGGGGCTTTGAGATAACAATAAATGTACAGCTATCAAATACATAGATCTGCGAGCATCGGCATCAGGCATTCACCTCGACGATGGAGTCGGACCTCATAGGCATTATACTGTCACAGGATCCGAGGCTGTGCGATATTATCCATATTGTTGTTCCTCCGAAGCGTGAATGGTCGTATAGAAGAAGTGCATGCACACCGGCAGCTCTAAACTCGGAAGCGCATATATGCCATGAGAAGAGCAGAGCAACCAGTGACTGCAATGAACACGTGTCAATGCTAGGATCACGAAACCCCGCTTGAAATCCACATACCGAAACCAACAAGGTATTGAAGAGTCGTTGCCTGTAAGATGCATCATGATGTATCGGCATGAGGGATCAACGGTTGCCACGATCATAGGCACGCACCTTCGAAACCTGGATAGAGGTACGCAAGGCGGCAATCTCCTGCTCAATGCGGGTGTCTACTTCCTTGATCTTGAGTTCTTGTTTACTGGTTTCTTCGCGCATGCGACCTTTCTCCAGGTTGAGGTCGAGACGGACACCAGCTTGTGTTCGTGTGATCTCTTCACGCAGACGTTGCTTAAGCTTCTCGATATCGGTGACTAGCCGATCATTCTCCGCCTTGATCATCGCGAGCTCGTTCTTCTCCATGAGTTGCAGCTCAGACTTCAGCTGCGCGAAGTCGACCTGCTGCGTATAATGATGCTATAGCGACGCGTACGCATGGGGCCAAAGTCATTATCGACCTCAAGCCTATCATGAATTCAACCAATAACAGACAGACCTTCTCCTGGTCGGCCTTTGTGACCATATTGCTTGTCATATTCCGGATACTCTCGTCAATGACTTCAGCCATGGCTGACATGATGCCCTCGGCTTGGGCGCGGTTAAGTCCTTCGCGCTCGAGCCGTTGAACGAAGTGATGGGTGTCGAAGTGGAACTCCATTCGGCTGGGAGAGGAGTGAAACTGCTTTGCGCGGAGTAACACGATTCGTGAGGGCCCAGCAGCACGAGCATGCGAGGTGAAGGTGGAGAATGAACGAAGCATAGCCAAATGTCCAGAACAAAGGAGAGTAGGTGTCTTATAGAGCTAGAAGACAGGTAAAGGAGACGACGGCAGGAGGCTGTAGTTGGATGGCAGTATGATGGAGACTATACGTCGGACGCGCTAAGCTGAGGGCCTGAGGCAGTCGAGCGCTCCAGTGCAATGCGCGTCTGTCCGATCACAGGCGCTTCTCCAGAATTTTGGGCCGCAGGCGGTCGGCACCCTACCACTCCCTCCATACCGCTCCCACAACCGCCTGCACCTCTCCGATGCAGAGTGATGACGTTATTTGGTCCGTGATCAACACGCAGTTCTGCTCTTACAAAGTCAAGTGCGTGCGTTCTCTAGTTGTCAAGACTTGCCCCGTTCATATGCCTCGGCTTTTCTTTGCAGAACTACCACACAAAACTTTTGCCGCAATGAGTACAATGTCACAGGCTTCTGCAATGGGCAGAGCTGTCCTTTGGCAAACTCGCGTTATGCGACTGTGAGGGAGAAAGAGGGTGAGTGAATAGCTATTCATGGTGCGCGACCGTACCGAAGACCTCATCCCGCTCTTCCATGCATGGCATTTAGGTGTACTATACCTCTACGTGAAGACCATTGAGCGTGCTCACTCGCCTGCGCACATGTGGGAGCAAATAAGGCTTTCGAACAATTATTCCAAGGCTCTGGAGCAGGTATGTTCTCCGCGCAACGTTCCTGTTTTGGCTGAGTCGATGAACGTTTGGTATATAGATTGACAAAGAGCTCATACATTGGCCGAATTTCACGATACACAAGTGCAAGCAACGTGTAACCAAAATTACCCAGTATCTCATCAAAATGCGGCGACTTGCTCTGCGGCAACAGTACGTTGCCCTAATCACCTTGGTGTTGTCTCCAGCTCATCCTCGTCCACCTTTTCAGACCGAAACTCGTAGGGGTGAAAAAGAAACTGGATCGCAGAGAAGCCGTACGAGAGCGAAAAGCACTGTCGGCTGCGAAGCTCGAACGTTCCATCGAGGCGGAACTCATTGAGCGACTAAAGTCGAAGGCATACGGTGACGCTCCGCTCAATGTGAATGAGGCCGTCTGGCAGGCCGTACTGGACCGCGAGCGTGGCGAGAAGGCCGGCGACAAGGGCAAGGGCAAGGAGATGGACATGGAGGACGACGAGACAGACGAGGATGAAGAAGAGCTGGAGGATGAAGATGAAGGGTGGGGAGAGCGGGAGTTCGTGAGTGATTTGAGCGGAGAGGAAGATGGACTGAGTGACTTGGAGGATGTTGTGGTGAGTCTGTTCAGCACATGTGGTATATGCTTGAACTTCACCTCGAAGACTAGTCGGACGAAGAAGACGACGATGAGGATGAGGAGAGCGATGAGGAGGACGAGAAGTCCCGGAAAATGGTCCTCGGAAAGCGCAAAGCACCTTCCAAACCCCAGAAGCCTCCACGCAAAGGGCCCGAGAAGAAGTCGAGGCGTAAGTGCTATGGCCTAACACATGCCAGTGTGAGATCTAATTCACCATTTGTGCTGCAGGTGGCCCGCGGGTCGAGGTGGAATACGAACACGAGATGGAGAGCGTACCGCTTACCAAGGAGGTCCTGGCGAACTGGTAGCATCCTACTCGCATTCCATGTGTATTCCCTTCCATTTTCATTCTCGCATTACACCGTTCTACACGTATCGTAACCTGCGGAATCGTGGGTAGGCAGGGAGACTAGAGAGCATGTACAATAGACGATAACCAAGGTATGACACAGACCGAACTAGATCCGACGACTCTACTGCATCTTGGCCTTCTGCTTCGCGCGACGCTCTTCGATATCTTTCCGGGTCATCCGTGTGCCCAGGATAGCATCCCAGTGGATGAAGAACGGCTGCGAAAAGTTGCTCTTGATACCAATAACCTGTAGGAAGCGTGTCAGAGATGTTCAATGAAGCCACGGATCAGTCGTGTGGACAGCGCGCGCGAGACACAACAGAGTCGAGCGGGCGGTCATCTCAGGAAGACGCGAAAAATGAACCAACCTGATGATGGATGTCATGATAGTCGGCGTTATTGGGGCTGGCGAACTGGAGAGGGTCCCACGGGAGCTTGTAGCCACAGTGGTCATCTACCGTCTTGAGAGTAGATACACCAAAGAGCAGCATGGCTTCCCGCATGGAAAGCCCTGCGATGGTCTCAGCAAGCATCGCACCGCATGTGTCCAGTAGGAAGCCTTCAAGGGGATGGTTGTAGAGCGCGCCGTACGCGTACGGGACGTAAAGACGGTGGTGGTAGGAGTGAAACTTCTTGTACAGATAGGTGTTCATGTGCATGGCGCGGTGGAGGAAGTATTGCCATGTGTCGATGATGAACCTAGTGGTGCACGATGTGGAGCATTAGTATGCTAGACAGGGGATCAAGGTGCAGAACATACATTCCGAATAGGAACTTGGCGAGAGGAATCGCCCACCAATACAGGGTGTACAGTCCATCCACACCGTTGTTGGTCAGCCACTGTCTTACGGTGTCCTCGCCGAACCAAAGTGCTGCAACCTGCACGAGCTTGAGCATGGCCGCCACATGGTCCACCTGTTCCCCAGCCGCAGTCTCCTCTATCCACCAGAGACCAAGCGCGGTCTGCACCAGTTGTTGCAGGATGACTGCTTGCACGACCTGCGATTTGGAAACCAGATTGCGGGACTTGACCTCCGCACTCTCGTGGAGGCGGTATTTGTCAAGCCACTCCCATCCCGACACGTCGAAGATGTGGAAGACGAGACTCAAGGCCCAGTAGGCGATGATGGGGAGCGCGAGGGTGAGATGCTTGTCAGGAAGCCATGACAAGAGCGCGGGTGCTGGGGAGTAGTAGAAGGGAGTGCGGTTGGCGAGGTACTGGAGCTGGCTGGCGTCGAAAAAGCTGGTCGTTGCGTTCATCATCGTGGGCGTGTGGAAGGAGGATAGACAGGGAAGCGGGGCGAGAGGCGGGGCGCGCCCGGGAATAAATGGGGCAGAGGGAAAGAGGCCGAGAGCCTGGCAGGTGCGTTGGAACCCGGCCTGGTCCCACTCGAGATTCATTATCGCTCCGCGGCTCGTACCGTAAGCCAGATTTCTCTCTCTTGATCGCCGCCCGCACGTGCCGGGCCTCGCATCGGCCGACAAGGACCGTCGCGGACACACCTTGTCTGAACACCACCATGCAGGCCCAATCGACAAACGCAACTCAGGCCAAGGACCGGCACTACATGCAGCTCGGACACTCTCTTGCTCGTCTTTCACGCGCCATGGGCCAAACCGCTGATCTGTGTGAGATGATGAAAGTCAACCTTGACGCTATGCGTGTACTGTCCGCATCGCACGCCGCGCAGTGAGTCTTCAAATACGTTCACGAGGACCCATGATCAGCTGTTTGTGTCATAGATTCATGACGGTAGCGATGGAGCTGAATGCTGACGAAGAGGAAGAGACACAAACACCAAGGTAGTGTTTGGTGATTGAAGCGTTGAAGACGCAAGTGCAGATACCGCTGGAACTTGGTTGGTTGACAACTTGCGTCTTCTGATGGACCAGCAGTAACGCCCCCCCCTCTCGTCACCTGTGTCTAGGTTGATGAGCAGAAGTGCGCGCCGCAACGCCGTTCAGGTGCTCGTTGTTGTCGGTACGTTCAACTGCCCTGGTGCATGTAGAAAAGTTTTGTAACATAACCGTATATGATGCGACTAGCATATACCGAGTTTTTCCAACCATGGCGTAGCGCGAGAGGAGGTGGAAAATCCCAACATCTACTTATGTAGAGTAAATACACATACATCTTCGGGCGCTTGTTGCTCACTTGCACACTGCCGCGCGTTGTTGTATGTTTTCTTCACCATCGCCTGCTAGCTTCTCGCTGTCCACTCTTTAGCGTCCCTCGTTGATCCGAAGTCCCATCTCTCTGTGCTTTACACCCCACACTCTGCGATACAACCTGGGGTCTTCGCCAGCCACCCACACGTTGTTCCCAGTCACCTCCGGACACTTCACCAGCGTACTCCGTGTTCAAGGATTTCAAGCTCAACAAGGAGAGAATATGGCGAATTTATCTAAGGACCGGGACGTGGTAGAGATGAAAAAGGCTGTGGCAACCGGAGCGGTTGGCTCGAACCATGCTCCTACATCTGCTGGTGCGTGATGGCGATATATGTTCCGAGAACAGGGCTCATTGTCTCGCAACAGTTGCGCCGATTGTTTGTTACTGCATGGCATCCATTCTCATGACAGTCATGAACAAGGTACGTCATAACATTTCCCGTTTCACTGCGTGTTCTCCCTCAATTCAGTCCATCTTCGCAGTTCGTCGTGTCCGGACGACAGTTCAACATGAACTTCTTGCTGCTGTGCATACAGTCCTTTGTATGCGTGTCGTGCGTCTACAGCTCGAAGAGGCTGGGGATGATCTCATTCCGGGATTTCGATTCGAAAGACGCAAAGACATGGTTTCCCATCAGCGTCATGCTGGTGGGTGTCATCTACACGGGGTCTAAGAGCCTGGTGCGTACTTGGGAGATTACATGGAGCGTCTGGATGACGAATTTCGGTTCGCGTGATGCTTTCTCCGACAGCAATTCCTCAGTATCCCAGTTTACACGATATTCAAGAACCTAACCATCATCCTGATCGTCAGTTATCCTCTCTCCCTCGTTGGTCAATAATCTGACGTCGTTGGTAGGCTTACGGGGAGGTCATATGGTTTGGTGGACGCGTGACTGGGCTCACACTGGGATCCTTCATCCTCATGGTTGGTCCCGTGCAACGGCCTCGAATGTCAGATCCCTTCACAGCCCTCCACAGGTCCTCTCCTCAATCATCGCGGCATGGGCTGATATCAGCGAGGCTCTTGTCGTTGGTGACCCTGCTGTAGTGGAAGCGGAAGCACTGGGCACGTTTGCTACCGTGACCGGGGCCGTCACGAAGCTGAACATCGGCTACTTCTGGATGTTCCTGAATTGCGTCACCAGCGCTGCCTATGTACGTTTGTGGACACTATTCCATGGAACATCAGTACTGACCATGTCAATTAGGTTCTGACGATGAGAAAGAGGATCAAGCTAACTGGATTTTCCGACTGGGATACGATGTTCTACAACAACATGCTCTCGATACCCGTCTTGGCAGTGGCTTCCATCATCGCGGAGGACTGGGGATTCGAAAACCTGAATCGTAACTTGTCGGTTATTTGCGTCAATGCAGTAAGACTGGCGCTGATGAGACATGCAGTCCCCCAGAAACGCGGAACTTGTTGCTCTTCGCGATCGCCTTCTCCGGTGGTGCTGCCGTCGGTATCTCGTACACAACCGCATGGTGTATCCGGGCAACAAGCAGCACGACATACAGGCGAGCGGCGTCTTCTCTCGGATTGGCTGTATATTGACACCACGATGCAGTATGGTTGGTGCGCTGAACAAGCTGCCCGTAGCGGCGTCGGGGATGATCTTCTTCGGCGACCCTGCCACATTTGGGTCCGTGACGGCGGTAGCAGTCGGCTTCTTCGCAGGATTGGTGTATGCGGTGGCGAAGAACAACCAGAAGAAGGCGGAACAGGCCGCCCAGCAGACGATCATCCCACTGGCGAATCGGACGTCGTGATTAGGCGTGTGTCTCGCATGTGTGTGTACAAAGCGGAGGAATACAGAGCGACTGCGTTCTTGGGATGGCAACAGGGAGGAGGACACGTCCTTGGAAGTGGAAACCGGGAGGGGACCGAGGGCTCGGCAGCGTCCGCTCGTCCGCGCCGGAACGTGCGGACGGCGACGAACGTACGATTGGCCTGATACGCCGTGGGGTGGCTCCGATGGAAGAGCACTCGGCGGCTCTCGCCCAGCTCTGGTTGGCTGCCCGCGACAGCGCATGAGCATTCGGTCGACAGCACTCAGGAGGCCCGCCGTAAGGCCGGCGGAGGTTAAGATCGTGTGCAGCGCGGACACACGGCGTGCGGACATACCGCGTTTGCAACCTCTGCTCTGCGCAGCCCGATTTCCAAACGTGCGTTCCGCGAGCTCAGCCTGGCGCGGGAGGCAGGCCGGGTCGGAAGCGCAGACAGCCGCCGGACGACGAGCCCTCGATCTGAGCTATGAGATCATTCGCGATCACTTGATATCTGCCATGCTATCTCGCGGCTCTCGCCTTTATTACCCGTCCCCGCACTTTCCCCCCTCGCCCTCTCTCCCCTCGCCCCCGCTGCCCCCCCTCCCACTCGTCGTCCATAGCCATGTCATCGGCCGCTGCGCCCTCGGACACCCTCCACCCCCCGCGGCTCGCCGCGATGTTTGCGGGGACGCCCAGTGCCCCAGGCACTCCCGTTCACTCCATCCAGACCATGCGCCGCAAGGCTGCAGGGCACTCGGGCCCTTTGACCAAGATTCTAGTCGCCAACCGTGGTGTACGTCCTCGCATGCTCTGCGCCCCATCTCGCTCTCAACGATCGCCCCCTTTCACAGGAGATCGCAATCCGTGTATTCCGTACGGCCCACGAACTCGCGATGCATACTGTCGCCATCTTCTCTTTCGAGGACCGTCTCTCTGCTCATCGCCAGAAGGTACGTCACTGCCCGCCTTCTTGATTGCCATTGCGCGCTCATCTGTGCGCCTGCGTTATGCGCGCATATAGGCCGATGAAGCATATCAAGTGGGCAAGGGCCTCACTCCCGTCGGCGCGTACCTCGCGCAGGACGACATCATCAGGATCGCCCTCGAGCATGGAGTGGACATGATCCATCCCGGGTATGGGCTCTCTCACACTCGCTCTGAGACATGACGATCCTCAAACTCGGACGATCCGCGCACTGCTTCTTCGCAGATATGGCTTCCTGTCCGAAAACGCCGAGTTCGCGCGCAAGGTCGAGATGGCCGGCCTCGCATTCGTAGGTCCATCCCCCGAGGTCATTGACTCTCTCGGAGACAAGACCAAGGCCCGTACGATTGGTGAGTATGTGCGATATGCACGCTCGTGCCACCCACTAATGACATATTACAGCCATGAAGATTGGCGTTCCAGTTGTTCCCGGAACGCCTGGGCCCGTTGCGACTTGGACGGAAGCTGATGCGTTCATCAAGGAGTATGGCTTCCCCGGTAGGTCATTGACTGAGCTGCGTATATGCGGTCACCTGACCGACGCGTCCAGTTATCATCAAGGCCGCGATGGGTGGTGGTGGTCGCGGTATGCGCGTCGTTCGCGAGCAGTCTGACTTCAAGGACTTCTTCGAGCGCGCCGTGTCGGAGGCCAAGTCTGCATTCGGTGATGGTACCGTTTTCATCGAGCGCTTCCTTGAGCGCCCCCGCCATATTGAAGTCCAGCTTCTCGCTGACGCCGCTGGCAACACCGTCCACCTCTTCGAGCGTGACTGCTCGGTTCAACGTCGCCACCAGAAAGTCGTCGAGGTTGCGCCTGCAACCCATCTTCCCGAGGAGGTCCGGAAGGCCATCCTCGCAGATGCCATCAAGCTCGCGAAGAGCGTTGGCTATAGGAACGCGGGTACTGCCGAGTTCCTGGTTGACCAGATGGGAAGGCATTACTTCATTGAAATCAATCCTCGTATTCAAGTTGAACACACCATCACTGGTAGATTTTCCGCACAATAATTTCCGTCTCAGTTCTGCTAACTTCTCAATAGAGGAGATCACTGGTATCGACATCGTTGCGGCGCAAATCCAGATTGCTGCGGGTGCTACTCTTCCTCAGCTTGGCCTCACGCAGGAAGCCATCACTAAGCGGGGTTTCGCCATCCAATGCCGTGTCACCACTGAGGATGCCGCGACTGGATTCCAGCCTGACACCGGGAAGATTGAGGTGTATCGTAGTGCCGGTGGCAACGGTGTGCGTCTCGATGCAAGCTCAGGTTTTGCAGGTGCCCAGATCACGGTTCGTCCCACAACGAGGCCGCAAGCTGTGTTTGTACTGAAATATTGTTCTATAGCCCCACTATGACTCTTTGCTGGTCAAGGTTACAGTCAGTGGTACAACGTATGAGGTTGCTCGTCGTAAGATGCTCCGTGCACTCGTTGAGTTCCGTATCCGTGGTGTCAAGGTAAGTACCCCTTTGAAAATATCATTCACTGCCTCACATGAATGTGCTCTTTAGACCAACATCCCGTTCTTGTTCCGCCTTCTCACCCACGATGTCTTCATTGGCGGTAAAACATGGACTACGGTGCGTGTAGTGGCTTATGAACGCAACTGTTTACTCAAATTCAACTGTTTTAGTTCATCGATGACACTCAAGACCTGTTCAAGCTCGTGCAGAGCCAAAACCGTGCCCAGAAGCTCCTGGCATATCTTGGCGACCTTGCCGTCAATGGTTCTTCTATCAAGGGGCAGTCTGGCGAGCCCGGACTCAGGGATGAGATCGACGTCCCCACCTTTGCCAACCGTACAGACCCCGAAGGGCCTCCACTGGATGCTTCCTTCCCTTGCGAGCAAGGTTGGCGCAATATCATCGTTGAAAGGGGGCCCGAGGCGTTCGCCAAGGCGGTTCGCGAGTACCCTGGTGTTCTCATCATGGACACTACTTGGCGTGACGCTCACCAGTCACTCCTCGCGACGCGTCTCCGTACGATCGACATGGTCAACATCGCGAAGGAGACCAGCTTTGCCCTTGCGAATGCCTATAGTGTCGAGTGTTGGGGTGGAGCTACCTTTGATGTGGCCATGCGGTTCCTGTACGAGGACCCTTGGGAGCGCCTCGTACGTGTGCATTTCACTGAAAGGCATTATCCAATGCTCATGTTCTTCCAGCGCACCCTGCGCAAGCTTGTCCCCAACATCCCGTTGCAAGCTCTCGTCCGTGGTGCCAACGGCGTTGGCTACACGAGCTACCCGTTAGTGGCTGATTACTATCGTCAGAAAGTTGCTCATCCCTTCCAGTGATAATGCCATCTATGATTTCTCGAAGAAGGCTGTTGAGAACGGCCTCGACATCTTCCGTGTCTTCGACTCTTTGAACTACATGGAGAACGTGAGGCACTCGTTCAACTAGTACACAGTCTCCAACTGATATGCTTTACTCGAACAGATGAGGCTGGGTATTGACGCCGCGAAGAAAGCAGGCGGTGTTGTCGAGGCGGTCGTCTGCTACACCGGTGATGTTGCGAACCCCAAGAAGACTAAGTACACCCTCCAGTACTACCTTGACTTCGTCGACGAGCTCGTCGCTGAGGGCATCCATGTTCTCGGTATCAAGGATATGGCCGGTGTGCTGAAGCCTGAGGCGGCAAAAATGTGGGCAACTCACTCGTATCCTCCCAATTTGTGATCTTAATGTGCTCGCCCCTTGATAGGCTCGTCGGCGCCATTCGCCAAAAGTACCCTGACCTGCCTATCCACGTTCACTCTCACGACACCGCTGGGATCTCTACTGCTAGCATGCTTGCCGCGGCCGCGGCAGGTGCTGATGTAGTCGATGTCGCGATCGACAGTAAGCATTCCACTCTTCATCATAGCACGATGATGCTAATATGGCTCGGCCTTAGGCATGTCCGGTCTCACCTCGCAGCCGCCCATGGGTGCCGTCTGCAGTGCATTGGAGCAGAGTGGCTTGGGCACTGGCATTCGCTACGAGGATATCCAGGCCCTCAACACGTACTGGACTCAGGTCCGCACGCTTTACAGCTGCTTCGAGGCCAACGTTCGCGCGTCCGACTCTAGTGTCTTCGACCATGAGATGCCTGGTGGACAGTACACGAACTTGATGGTGGGCCTCAAAATGACACCTATCCTCTGAATGCATTATGACATCTCCCTTCCAGTTCCAAGCCGCACAGTTGGGTCTTGGCACTCAATGGACTCGTAAGCCACCATCTTTGTTTACTTGCTCGTTTGCTTGACCCACCTTCTATAGAGGTCAAGAAGAAGTACATTGAGGCCAACGAGCTCGTAAGTGCCTTGCATACGTGCGATCTGCCCATACCATTTCTCATCAATACGGCTCTAGTGCGGAGACATCATCAAGGTCACGCCATCATCCAAGGTTGTCGGTGATTTCGCGCAGTGGATGGTCCAAAACGGCGTGTCGAAGAAGGATATCCTCGAGCGCGCCGATCAGCTCGATTTCCCCTCGTCTGTCGTCGAGTTCTTCCAGGGATACCTTGGCCAGCCCGTGGGTGGCTTCCCCGAGCCTCTCCGCAGCAAGATCATTCGCAATAAGCCCAAAATCGAGGGTCGCCCTGGGACTGGTCTTGCACCCATTGAATTCAAGAAAGTCAAGGCGGAGCTTCGTAGCAAATTCGGCAAGCACATCACGGACTCTGACGTTACGTCGTATGTCATGTACCCGAAGGTACGTCACATGAACCTCCAGTTTTTCGACCTGAATGCTGATATGGTCTGCTCCAGGTCTTCGAAGAGTATCAGAGCTTCATCGAGCGCTACGGTGACCTCAGGTACGTAGGAATATTAGCTGAAGCTTATAGCATGTTCTCAATTACGCCTGCAGCGTCATTCCGACTCGCTACTTCTTGGCGCGGCCGGATATTGGCAAGGAGATGATGATCGAGATTGAGAAGGGCAAGACCCTCATCATCCGCCTCATGGCAGTCGGTCCCGTCATCGAAGGCCGTGGACAGCGTGACGTCTGGTTCGAGGTCAACGGCGAGGTGTGTACAATAGAAACAAGATGCGGGCGATCGCTCATGCGTCTCTCCAGGTCCGCGCCGTGTCCGTGGAGGACAAGAACTCGGCGGTGGAGACTCTGTCGCGCGAGAAGGCTTCGAATGAACCCGGCTCCGTCGGTGCGCCGATGTCTGGTGTCGTCATCGAGGTGCGCGTGAAGGAGGGCTCCGAGATCAAGAAGGGGGACCCAATATGCGGTATGTTGTAGTGTGTTTCTCAACCGCACTCTCACTCACAAAGTATCCGTACAATCAGTGATGAGCGCGATGAAGGTGCGAATTACCTATCCCTCGACGGGCATGTTCTGATCTTGAAATTTCTCCCAGATGGAGTCGTCGGTCACTGCGCCTGTGTCTGGTCACATCAAGCGCGTCGTCGTGCACGAGGGTATGGACCTCTTATGCGGGCAGACACAAACACTGACGTTAGTACTTGACAGGGGACTCGATCAACCAAGGCGACTTGGTTGTCGAGATTGTACACTAAATGAACGGTTCTACTTGGCATGCATTACGATAACGATGGACTGTTGTATGATACTAGACGAATTGCTATCTGTCCCGCTCCCGCGATCCGAGGTCATGTGTCTCGAGAGTGAATTTACTTCCGGTATCGTCGCCCGAAACCCGGCGTTTCTGGTCAACGGCTGCGCCCCGTTGGGCCTGTGTTCTTCCCATCGGCGACGGCTGCGAAGAAAGTGCCAGAGAGGGGCGGAGATGGGAGCTGGCCGTTGGTCAGATCACTCGTTATCCGGCCTGCGGCACCGTTGGCCCTTGCACCCCGCCTGCTGTGGACAGTCGCGAAGGCCGCCGTCGCCAAAGTCGTCGTAGGCCACCCGGAGTCTCCGATGGCACCGCGGCGGGTCGGGCCCGGGGTCCTGCGCGTGCAAGAGATGGCGCGGAGAGCCACCGCGGCCTGTTGCCGCCACCGTCGAATGGGTGGGTGCTTCAGAGGGACGGTGTGTTGAGTAGCTCCGTGGCGTGCAGCGCGGCCGCAGAGGCGCGCCTGGTCAGCTGAGCGGTGTGCTCTGATCGCTGCGTCCGGCGCGGGGGGACGCGCCAAGGGTGGAGACGTAAGGGGAGGGTCCTGCCGTGGGTCCCGGCGGCAGAAGCGTCGGACGTGAGCAGGTACCGCACGCCCGGGACCCCGCGGACGGCAGAGGTGCGGGCGAGAGGGGGAGGGAGAAGGTTGGGAGGAGGGTGGAATGAAGGCGAGCGGGCGGTGCGCCGAGCGACGCGGTCCTGGCGCACGGAGGGCGTGACAGAAGGGAGTGTGGGCGGCGGGAGGAGTCGCGGGTGGATCGGGGCCAGGAAGGGTGCGATAAGGCGGCGAGAGGGAGGGAAAGTGGTGGGCCGGTGGGAGCGTTCGGCGAGGCTGCGTTGGGGCAGGGGGGCCCGGCGGAGGGGGAGGGGGGTCGCTGGAGTGACTCGTCGAGGGGTCGCAGCGGCCGCGTGTAAACGGCCATGACGTGCTGGCGGGGGCGAAGCCGCGTCAATCAGGGCTTCACAACAAGAGGCGTGATGCACAACGCACCGACAAGGGCAGCCAATACGAAGAAGCGTCTTCGATATTTCTTCTTCGCTCGCTACCTTGGTTTCGTCAAAGCTGGAATGGCGTGCTTGGCTTGCTGCAGAACGGCGGTGCGTGATTCGCGTCGTCCGCTTGTGCTGCGACTATCTTCTGCGTGCAGGTTTGCTGGCCGCATTGTTCTCCCGCCCTTCGCCCGAAGAAGGGGTCAGGCGCGCCCACCACGCAGCCGGGAGGCCGAACATCGAGCGCACGATGAAGCATGTCGGACCGGACGAGCGCGCGGGACGTCGCGCCGAGCGGAGTTTCTCTTCTTGGGCATGCGAGGGCGGGCTCTTGGGACGCGATACGGTGGCGCGGGTCAGAAGCACACCCTGCGCCCTTGAGCGGTCGGGTCGAGGGTAAATCGAGGGGCACCGACTCATGGAAGCTGGCACTGGAGTGCTGCGAGCGGCGACCTAGGGTGTGACGGTGGCTGCTGCGAGCCTTGAGTTTGAGGAGGGCGCTGTGCGAAGCAGGGACCCTCGTGACCGCTTACCTCATTGCCCGAACGGTTCGACGGCGACGATTCGCGAGCGGAGTTGAGGCGGTGTGTTGAGGGCCACGGTGGGCTCCCCTATCCGGCAATCGCCCGAGAAGAGCCGGGACTGCGTTCGACATGCCCGCTCGTCAGCCAAGCAGATGTGGAGAGCGGCGGCCTTCAAGAAGACGAGCGGGACATGGTCCGTCCGTGCGAGGTTGCGGGTGCGACGCGGGGCTACTGGATTGGGACGGAGGACGTGTCGCAGGAAAGTCTGATACTTTGTGCTTCCAGCCTTGCATCACGAGAACTTTCCCTTCCCCGGCCACGGTTGCGTCCGTTTGCTTTCGTCGGCTGGCTCGGAGCGTTGCCATCCGGACTGATGCGGTCGGCGGAGAGGTGCCTTCCCGCACAGATACAGAGACCAAATACGGCACTCTGGATTTGGAGTCACACCTGGGATTTCACGAGTGAGAAACCTCCCGTTCGGATGGGTTCGTCCTGGAGGGGCATGATGAGCGGCCAGAGGGAGTGACACATTTTACGTACGAGCCTATTGAGAAGCCATGGGAAGCTGCGGTTGCCAGCGTCGCATATAGTGTGGGCACGAGTTTGTATTGGCATTCGTGAGGAGTGTTGAGTTATATGTGGTGTACGTGAGTAAAGCGATTTTACGAAGGACCCTTTTTCCGGTGCTCCAAGCTTAGGCTTTGCACCGCAAATTCAGATTCGCAGGCCAGCAGGCATGAATCCGACGCCGGCGGGGCGGGTATAGGGGAATGTTGTGACGAACTACTTTTGGTACACAAGACTCACGAACAATTCGGTCGTTCTATTACTTCTGGCCGCGGTTCCTCCCCCTTTGCAGTGTCAGGGCAGCGCTGGGAGTAGAGATCGGTACTTCAGTATCCGTGCGAGGGATCGAGTGAGCGTGCTCACCTTAGCCGTTCGAAGCAACGACTGACTTGATAACCGATTTTTTTACAGCGCGCCTCGAGGCTCCTATTTGGGCTGCGCACGGCAGTAGTCGCGCGCAAGCTGTTAATTATGTGGTGAAGAAGTAGAGCAAGAGCGGCAGGGTCCAGGCGGAGTATCGTTTATGCCCTCCGATTCTAGCATGAATTTGTATGACCCATCCTCGAAGGGTACAGCACAGAGTGAGCTGCCTGATACACGACATCGAGAGTGTCCTTGTATATCTCCTTCGTCACGTTCTGTGAAGTCGTTAAGAATGGCACCCGAGGGTGTAAAGCGATGAGTAGACACTGACGGGGTTGGGATAGCTCTTGAAAGAGATGATCGATATTTATGAATTGCTGGTTCAAGGCCGTCCGGCGACAGACTCCAAAACTAAGTGGTGGCGACCATGAATCTATGCAACCTGCACACACGGAATTTCCCCGCGTGTACGAGCAGCCTACAACGCTCGGTGCGAAGTACCTAACAGTGAGATCCTTGATACCCATCGGACCACCGTGCGAGAAGTCCGAAGAATCGAGGGCCTAGGCTCTAATCAGAGAAATTTTGTATCAACGGCGCGGATTGGAACAGTCACATATAAGGAAGAGCTGACCAAATGTATGACAAAAAACTTCAACGTGTTGCCAAAATGCCAATGGGAAGGCGCATCTAGTGGATTGATGATTAGAGAATGAGCGGACGGTGAATGTGGAGTGGAAGTGGAAGACGCCCAGACCACGCGTCGAGTCTGTTTGTCTTTGTTTGTTCGGCGGTCCTCAGCCTCGCGCTCACGTCTGCACGCTCGCCCACACCGTCCTCCTCGTCCTCCAAAACTTCTGCCCATCATGGTCTGTCCATAGCATCGCATCCTCCATTTGATATTTTGCTGACGAAGACGCATTCTCCTTTGCCCTCTTGCAGCCTCCGCCCAAGTCCAAGGGCGGCAAAATGCTCGGCCTCATCAACTGGAGGCTGAAAGTGACGATCAACGACGGGCGCGCGTTCGTCGGCCAGATGCTCGCCTTCGACCGACACATGAACCTCGTGCTCGCCGAGTGCGAAGAGTTCCGGCGCGTGCGGCCGAAGAAGAAGGCTGGCGAGACGGAGGCGGGTCCGATGCAGGAGATGAAGCGCACCCTCGGCCTCGTCATCCTCCGCGGCGAGACGGTGGTCAGTTTGAGCGTCGAGGGCCCGCCGCCTGCGGGCGACGACGACAAGAAAAACGCGGTGCGTGCGCGTCCCGCTTTGAGTTTGCGTCTGGGGGGTGGTGGCTGGACATCTGCCCTGGCTGCTTGGTTGCGCGCGCGTGCTGATCGCGTCCGTGTCTCCCTTCTCTTGTGTAGATGCCGCTCGGGCCTGGAAGGGGTGCGCCCGCGGGCCGTGGGATGGGCATGATGCCGCCAGGTGAGTGCTGTAGTGTATTTGCGTCCGTCTGGATGGTGTACCGACGGCCTTCTCTCGTGTCCTTGCCGCAGGCGGCCCCGGCGGGATTGCAAGACCTCCCATGCCATTCGCGCCCCCTGGCATGCCTGGAGGTGGGCCCCCGCCAGGGTTCCGTCCGCCCGGGTTCCCCGGAGGCCCTCCTGGTATGCCCTTCCCCCCACCTCCTGGATTTGGGGGCCCTCCTCCCGGGTGAGTCTTATCGCGCTGGTTCATTGAGGGTACGTGCTGACGCGTCGTGCTTGGGATCGCCAGGTTCCAGCCTCCTCAGTAAAACTTGTATACATCGGAGCCCATCGCAGGCGTTGTACTTTTTGTTGTCTTTCTCCGTCGATGCTATCTCTTGTGCTGCTGAATGGCAGCTGTGCACACGAGGCCGCCAGCCACCTGAGGTCCACGCGACCTCGTCACGTGGGTACCAACTTTCATTGGGACTGCGAACTCGTGCGGGCTTAGCGACCATTCGTCGGTACGGTAGTTGATCCTTTCGAAGGTTTGTATGTTCTTTGGCTCCGAGTATCATGTGTCACTCTGCAAACCAATCTGTTGTGCCATCCTCAATGCTACTTGAGTAATCCTATAGTTATCGTCAGGACGTGATGTTCGAGAAAAGCACAGTACTTGTCAAAGACATCATTCTCGCCAGCTCTTGAGGGCTCGGCACACGAAGTGGGGAAGCGTACCATGCTGACGCATTTTATCCCAATGCTTGGATTGCCCTCTATGTACCACGGGGAAAATGCTACATGAACTCAAGGCCTACGGTTGCGGAGTGTGCGAATCTATGGCATACAAGGTAGGCTAGCATCCGATACCGAGGAGCGCTGTCGCCCGCACCGCTTCGTCAGTCAAACACTGCGGGCCTGATACTGAGTCCCATGAAAAACGCGTTGGGCATGGAGGTGCAGTCGTCGGAGTGATGCATGGTTCTATCACTGCATTCTGGAGCCACCTGGCTGCAAGGATGAGAACATACTGGGTGGGGGCACGGGGGATGTTGCTGCTACCCTGACACCATGCACACGGTAGATCGACCGAGCAGTGGAGTCACGACGCTTGTCTCACGGCGATGCGTGGCGCCTTGGATCCCTTGCGCCGAGCCATGCAGCGGCCGGCCAATCCGTCTTTGCCGTCGTTTGGATCTCCCAAGGCTCAGATTAGGTGGGGCGGCCAGCATGTGCTTACGCAGTTGGAGTACGATCGCGCGCGCCTGGAGCCGCGGACAGGCCATTTTAAGCGAACAGTGTGTGTGCGGCGGCGTCGGCTGGCGAGCGTGCGTGGGCTCCGCAAGTCGGGTGGTCCTGTCTGTCGTGCACCCGTTGGGGGGAGGGTCAGGGCGTGGTTGAGAGCGAGGCTAGAACCAGGGGCAGGACGACGACGGGGGCCGCTGGCGACAGAACGAACGGGGATCGGTGACACTCCGTGCGACGTGCACGTAGATGCGCACCGGTGACGCTGCGAGATGCGCCAGGCTGGCGGGGCGAGGCGGGGGCTTTCGAGGAGGAGTCTAACTAACACCGGCGCTGATGGCTGTGGCTCGTTGAGGGCGATAGGCACGAGGAGGCACCGGGGTCCGTTTCGCGTGCCCTGCGTCCTCCCGCCCCCGCCCCCCGATCGCGAGCATCGTCCACGCGTCAGTCGGCGGCGGGTCGGGCTGGAGCGCACTAAGCACGTACGGCACGAGCGCGTGCTTCTCGTCGGCAGGGCGGGGAAGGGCAGGTGATGTGGGGAGGAGGGGGCGAGCGAGGAACGCGGGAGGACGGACGGTGCCTGTGTGCGTCGGGGGCGAGAGGGAATGACGTCGGGCGGGACGCGGGGAGGGACACGGGGCTCGGGGCGCGAGAGGGGCGGAAGGAGGCTTATCGCGGGGCACGGCCCTCGAGACGCGCTAGAAGCGTCGGCGGCGGGGCGGGCTGGAAGGTCCGGGGCCGCGCTGGGGGCGTGACGGCGACGGATGCGGCTTAGGGCGCGGGGGGTGAGAGAAGGAGGAACGGGTCCGGGGGCAGAGGAGGGCTTGGCTGGCCAGCTGTGCGGGGGCGAGTGCGCGCGCCGTGGATTGGGCACGGGCGGGCGGGCGGGCGAGGCGGGGTTGTCGAGCCTGGCCCGCTCCGCTTGGCGGGCTTCGAGCGAGGTCGTTCCGTGGCCAGTGGGAGTGTGGGGACGGAGGACGATCCCGAAGGTCTGTTTGGCTCGGATGGCGTGGTGGGTACGTAAGGAAGTGAAGGGGAATGCATTGCTTGCGGCAGCGGTGGGCGTACCTGTGGCTGAATAGAGGAGTACATATCAGAAACAAAAAGGAAGGTGCGGACGGCCAAGGACAGCTGGCTGTCGAGAGGAGGGCTGGGCGCGGACTAGGACGGGGAGAAAGAGAAGGATGGCGTACCTGGGCCACGGAGCGGGAGGAGCGAAGGGCGGGGCGGTCGGGAGCGGGTGACAGCAACTGTCAGCGGGCGAGGGAGCCTTCGCGAGCGTGACTGCCTCCTTGGGCGGGGACGATGGCAGAGTCAAAACGGACTTCTAGCTCGCGGCGAGATTTCGGGGGACTCGAGCGTGGCAGCGTCCGCCAGCGTCCGACGGACGGTGTCGCTCGCCAGAGGGAGCATCTCTCGCCTGCAGTGGCGTCGCTGCGCGCGCGGGCTTCCCTGCCTGTTTGTCGAGCTTGGGATGAGAGCTTTCGATGGCGACGTCCCGAGGCCGATCCATCCTCCTTCCCCGCCCTGTCCGTTTCTTTCGATGGCACGTCAGCATCAGCGCCAGCCGTCCCAGCTCGAAGCTCCCCGCGCTCACCGTGCTCGCAGTCGGTCTGGGCTGGGTGACGCAGCCGTTCCCGCAGATCTTCCCAAGCGGCCCTGTGCCGCATGCGGGCAACGTTGTCGACCACGCAGAGCTAGCTCTGTCTTCGAGCTGCGTGGTGGCCCGCGATGGCCGTCCAGCGGGGGGACTGAATGGCGGACAGGCCTGCCAGCGGACGGGTGATCGTTGGAGGATGCCGAGCGAGCGGAGACTTTCCGCCCCGAATCCCTGCGCTCCCAATGGTCTCATCGCTCCTCGAAGCAGTGATTGGCCATCGAGACAAGTGGCCAGGTCATCACCGAAGCTCGGTGGCGCCGACGTCAGTACCTGCGCCGCGACGGGGAGATGGAAGGGTGGGCGAGAGCTGGAAGACGGCGTCGTTCTGACGAAGAACGGGTGTCCTCAGCCTCCACCGTCACGACTCAGACTGCTCCCCTCCCGGCCCCAGCAGTTGCAGATGTCCAGATACGGTGGTGTGCGGTACGTGCCTACTCACCTCTCGTCAGTGGCCGCGTTCGGCGGGGGCGGGGAGCGTGACGGCCCCGCGCACGCCGTGCGCTCGGGGCGGGGGCTGGGAGATCGGGCGCGCCAGATGCGGCCAGGCGAGATAAATTGCGGTTTGGGGCCTGGCGGGCGCGGCTCGTCCTCTGCGCGGACATGGTACGCTTCTCGGTCTGACCGCGCGCGTGGTCGCTGGGATTTCGAACGATGGCGGGACGGGACGCGTCGCTGGGTCGGCGTCGTCGTCGTCTGCGCGAGGCCGGCGTCGTACCCTGTTCTCTGAACCTCTCCGTCACCGTCGCCGTCAAGTCGATGTGGCGGGTGGCAGGCACACCATTCGCCCGCGAGGCGGAAACAAATGCGCAAAGACGTTTGCGAGGTCTACGCGAGCGAGGCGACGAGGAAAAGCAGGACGGCCGGGGAACGGAAGCAAATCGACCCCTGCCCAGCCCAGCGCTCGATTGCACGACGCGCTAAAAGCCTCGAGGCGCAGCAGATTCGGATCCCGTCGCCGGCGGCTTACCGCTCAGAGGTTGGTAAGGCGCGTTTTGGATCCGGGGACCCACGCACTCCAGCTGACCGCCCCCGGCGCTCGCTGCCCGAACCTCGCCCGCCGTGCGGTGGTCGTGGCGTCGTGCAGTTGATTCCGTCCTGCGCGCCGCGTCGGCCACAGGCACGGCGGTCGCGGCGGGTCTCGCTGCACGTTGGCCCCTCCCCCAGCTTCGACGTCGAACGTTCAACGGGCGCGGGGAGATCAGAGTCCACAGGTGAAGCTCAATCTAGACCCTTCGGGCAGCCTGCGTGCACCGTTCAACCGGACGGGCTCGAACGGGCTCGAACGGGGCACGCCCAGCACTCGCGGGTCTCAGATTCATCGACCTGGCAGTGGCTTTGGGCCGCGGCGAGAGCGGAGGGCGGGGCGCACGAGGCTACGGCGCGCATGGTCAGTCGAGCGGCCCCGCACGCGCCCGTTCTGGGCGAGCGGCGTGCTGCGTGGGACACCCTTGCCGACGGGCGGGCTGACTTGGGTGGGATCGCCCGGGTGGGCCCCGAGGGGGTGAGTCAGCGCCGGAATTGGCGTGATAAGGGTACGGGTACGAAGACATTTATCATGGCCGTCGGTCGGTCGGTCGGTCAGTCGGTCGGAGGAGGGGGTGGGCCTCGAGTCTATTTCCATTCGGGCGTACGCGGCTCGGTCGCGAGAGTTCGCGTCCGAGGGCGTGCTATGAACCCACATACTGTACCATTTCGACCCAAAGTTCATGTCATGCGTCACGGAGGCTCATGAACTTTCGATCAAAGTGTCACGGAGGGCCATGAACTTTCCACCCACGGAAGGTCACGGCGTCTAAATTGCCGCCGTTCCAGCAGTCTGAGCGACGAAAAAACGACGGATTATGCACAGGGGAGGCATTACATGTCTACTGAGATAGTCAGACTGGAAATATAATGATGGATACCCACTCCAGCTTCGTCCTCTTCTCTGGGCTGCGTGGGAAGAAGCCGCCTTCCGGATTAGGTGCTCACAAGGCGCTTAGATCCGTGCCAGCACGCTCCCAGCGGATATCCCGACCCACCACTGTTGACATCGACCATCCTCTCGTGCTCTTCGTCGTCGACTTGCGACGGCTGCCCTCGTCGATGGCAAGACCATTGGTCGAATCATGCGTTTCGAGGTCGCCCGTGACAGGATCCGTGCAGATGGAGGGATGCCTGGCGCGGGTATCGGGCTCAAAAGGTCTGGACGAAGGCGATGCGACAGATGCAGGCTGCTGTCTGCCTGGCGATTGAATTTCACTACCATTATAGCCTACACATTATAATCATTTCAGCGAGAGCAATGACACCGCTAGACAAGCCGCTGATATTCACAATATTGCGCGTTTGTCATCATCAAATAGTCGCGGGCGGCTAGGGGGTCGACCGGCGCTATGAACATTCATGGTGTCACAGGGGCCCATGAACAGGGCGAACTTTGATGTCCGCGGTCACGCAGGGCCATGAACTTTTTCGGCTGGAAAAGTTCATGGTCACGCCCAAAATCGATGAACTTTGGGTCGAAATGGTACAGTACAGTACGACGAGCGCGTCGCGTACCCGACTGTGCAGGGTCGCTGCACGTACGGAAGCGCGGAGGAAGCTGCAGGGCTGCTGTACTGCGCACGTGCGCCCAGCGCCTTCCACCTCCGCGAGCCAGGCAAAAACTCAAGCGGAAGCACGCAATCGCCGCGCGGCCGCGGCGCTGGCCGCTGGCCTGTAGGACTCGCGCGCCTGACCACGTTCATTCGTTCCGCGCACCCCCTTCGGTCCCAGACTTGCACGGCGGGCGAGACCGACGACGGTGTGCGTGTGGGGCCGTGGGCACTCTGTCGGCCGCTGTGGGCGTGACTCGGAGGCAATTGGCCCGAGCGTTGGCCGGAGACGCCACATTAATAAAGGCAATGATGTGCGGCCCCGGGCCTGGCACGAGCGCGATGGCGCGGGCTGTCGCGGCTGGGCACGATTCAGGCTAGTGTCGGCGCTGGGGCAGACCGCGAGTCGAACGTGCGAGCGCACCGAAGAACGAGCGTCGGGCGTCGAGCGCGGGGCGGAAGAAAAAACCGAGGGAGGAGGAACGAACACGGCTGCTGGAAAACTGAAATTGGAAGGCGAAGGGCACGACCGTCGACCGTCGACCAGGGCGGGCCCGCCACCGAAGCCGCCGCCGGCGCGCGCGCGCGAGCCTCCCGAGCCCGCCTCGGGAGCGCCGGGACGTCGGCCAGGGCTGGAGCGAGCGCAGGGTCCCGCGACGGCTGGTGGCGTTCCCGATCTTTCCGGACACGCTAACGCGCGCGCGCGCGCAGGCTGCAGCGGCCGCACCGCGCCAAGGCGGATCGGGGCCTCGGGAGGCGGCGGCTGGCCTGGCGAGCTGGATTGATCAGCCCTGGGCGGACGACGGGAGGGGGTTAGTGCCAGCGCGCGGCGGGACCGAGCGTCGACTGGGATCTGAGACGAGGCGGGCACCTGAGCTGCAGGCGGCGATGGACCGGCACTGGTGGGTACAGAGTGTCGCGACGAGGGCTGCGATGTACAGCATCCGGGGCTTGGGGGGCGGAGAGCGCGAAGGCATTTCATTGCGGCCAGAGCGCCAGTTTAGTCCGTGTCCTGGAGGATCGCCAGCCGCTATCGCGGTCGTAGGCAACGGCGCGGAGGGCGAGCGAGATGGCTGTGTCGTGGGTGACGCAGGGCAGGTCGCGTGCATCAGCTGCACGTCTGGTGATGCGGGCGAGCTTGAGTTTGTTTGGCAACGAGACCCGCTGCCCTAGACTGAGGCACGAGGATCGCGGGCTGTTCGTCCGACTTCAGATACGCCCATCGAGGGACGCAGCGGCGAAACATATGCTCGAGATGGGTGCTCCCTGGAAGAGTTCGTCGTGGGTTGAGGGACCGCCGGGCGCATGGTAGCACGAGAGACCGGGTGTGTACATTTTCAAACATCGGGAGGCCAAGAGACCGAATCGACCGGGGTGGCTCTGTGTGAGCCCGTGCACCACGTCGACGCGCTCGAAGAGGACGAGCAGGAGGACAACCTAGGACAACTCGGACATCGGCCACGCTAGTCAAAGTTTCTGAGCCCAGATCGAATCGGCATCGGTGGGCGTGACTCGCGCAGCGGTGACGCGCCGTTCATATAGCCATACGCGGCCCAAGCGTGGACTGGGGGCTTGGCGGGGGCGGGGGGGCGGGACGCGCGCCGGCTTGGGCATGGCGGGGGTACCGGGCGCGTGATGGCAGCACAGGGCGCGCGGGCGGAGCTTGCGAGCCCCACGCTGGCTGGCTTGGGAGGCGTGACAGGCCGCGTCGAGGCCGCTGGGCGACGTGCAGGACGCGCGCCCGACCCGTCACTCGAGGCAGGGCGCGGATAATGAACTCGGGCGCTCGAGGCGGGCACGCGGCCACCCGCGACCGTCGTTCGTCGCTGTGTGGCCCGGCCACGCGCCCCGCGCGCCACCTTCGTACCGTCCCGCGGCGGGGCGAGGCTCTAGAGGACGTCCGCACGGTCGACGGCAACGACTGTCGGATTCGAGGTCGAATCGAAGGCGCGCGGCTGAACATGTCCTCCGCGCCTGCCGTCCGTCCCGTACTTCCGACTCGGCGCCGCCGCCGTGCACGGAATGGGACCTCGCGCCTCGCCCGCGCAGGAGCGCCGCGGGCACCGTCGTGGCCACCGCGAGCCACCTTCGGTCGGCCGAGGATCAACGACCAGACGAGGATCCAGGGCGGGCGTGAGCGCGCGTCACTCTGCGTCCACACGCGCGGGCTCGTTGGGAGTTTGGCATGCATCGGGCATCGGGTAGGCTAGCAGCGACGCCGCCCCCAGATGGCCCCGGAAGCGGCGGGTACCTCGAACCACCTCACCCCGCCCCGACCGGAGGAGGAGGGCTAGGGCTGGGGCTAGGGCGACGACGGTGAAACTCGGGGCGGTCGGAGTGTGTGAGGTGAGTAGGACGCCAACGTTGGGCGCCGGGAGATGGGTCGCGTGCTCGGGTGGTAGCTAGAGCGGAAGTTGCAATCGCAGCGGGCTCTTAGCTCTAGCTCAAGCTCTGCCGTTTGCGCGGGCTGTGTGTCTGCGGCTGTCGGCGTGCGCTACAGGCTTATTTGCAAGATGGGGATGACGCAGCGGCGAGCGATGTGTGCGTGGCCAGGGGAGTACTTGCCAGGGTCGCGGGGCCTGGCACGGCCAGTCGGGTGTGGGTGTGGCAAGAGAAGGACGGAGTTCGCGCGCGCGCCGATCCGAGGCCAGAAGCGGGCGTGGCTGCGACGCGCTCGGAGGCCCGCACCGGCTGAGGACGTGGGGAGACGTGGGGGCGCGGGCGTGCGCGCGGGAGAAGGTGTGGGGTAGGGGCGGGAAGGCGGGGCGGTGTGGCCAGCCGCGGAGGGCGGACGTCAGGAGAAGGCGCGTGCGCACGCCCGTCGCCCGAGCGGGCAAGGCGCGGCGACCGGCCTGTCCGGCGTCGGGAGCGCGTTCCGGGAGAGGGCGCGCACGGGGTCGGAGGGATGATGTCTGGGGCTGGGGCCGCCTGGGCTCCGAAGGCGGCGGCGGTGGGAAGGGCGTGGGCGCGGGCGCGGTCGCCCAGCGGGGCTGCGGGGGAGCAGCGCAGGTCGGCGAGGATGACGGCACCGGGCGCGTGCCCTAGCTCTCCAGCGGCGGACTCGGACGCGGAGCTGGCGACGATTCAATATTCCGGGGCGCGAACCCAGTCGACGCTCCACCCGCCGTGCGAGGCTGCACTGTGGCGATGCTGGAAACGGAGGCGAGAACGAGCGTGTGCTCGGACGACGTCGACGAACGTGGCCCGCCCAGGGGCGGAGGAGGAGGAGGACTCCCCCGTTCCGCCACAAGTCAATCGCGCGCGAAGGGGAGGCGGACCCTGTTTGGATGTCGCGATGTGTGCTGCGCAGCATCCGCCGTGCTTCCTCGCCTTTCTGCGAGGGCTCGGGGTGCGCGCGCGCGAGAACGGGCCCACGGTGACGTCGACGCGGGTTCTGGCCCCCGCTTGGCGTGCCCTTGGCGGTGGGTACGGCGATGGGGTGCACAGTCGTCGGAATCAGTGCGCGGGCGACGCACATCCACCGCCGAGGGGAGCAAAGCCACGACGGACACGGAGGCGAGCACCGAACGCGATCGACGACGTTCACGGAGGATGCGACGGCCAGCGATCGTCCCAGCGCTTGCCAGCCACCAGCGGCCACGTGGGAGCACACGGGCACGATCGCTCACCCTCGGCGCGGGAGAATCTCGCCCGCGCACTCAACCACCTCCGCGACCAGGGCCGTATTTTGTAGCCAAGATGGCGGACATCTCTCTTTCTCACTCGTTCCGTCATCGGCAACTAGGGGTCTATGCATTGCTGCGCATCTAGAAGTACTGGGGTACATGTGGATAGCGTACATCCACGGCGGGCGCCGCGGGAAATATCAGAGATGTGGATATGCCTGAATGGGATATGATGCGAGAGGGGGGAATATGGGGCGAGTGTGATCGAGTATATGAGCATATGCGACTGGACAGAGCAAGCGAGACAAACAACGCGCTCCGGCGAATCGAGTCCGATCCAGCGGCCGTAACCGCACCGATCCTGCACGACTCGGGTGACACGATGTGAAGAAAGGAAAGTCATGGTATGCGCGCGGCAGGCTGCGCGGTGATCAAACAAGCGAGTGGGGGAGCGTGGTAGAAGCATGGCCGAGACGAGGGAGAGGGGAGGGACGACCGAGCGGAGCGGGTCAAGATGGAGGTCGAGGGGAATGAGACGACGCCAACGTGTGGTCATGGGGGTTAAGTCCGTGTACAGAATCGAGGGGGCAGACGTCATCTTTTTGAGGTCCATGCCGGGGAAGTGGAGTGGGGGGCTGAGAGGGGTAGGACCTCGGCGCAGTCGCGCACGGCGACGACGCGGGCGGGATTGGGTTCTTATTTTGCCAATCCCAGTGGCGAGAGAGCAAAGGAAAAAATCATGCGAGTCCGGCGGAGTGGCGGCGGGCGGGATAAATACTGTACAAGACGCGCGACAAGCGTACGTCGTCTATGCCAAGCAGCGGAAAGCGAAGGGCGAGCGCGAGGATGGGGATCATGACGGAACGCGCAACGCCTTTCGGCCGCGCGCTCGGTATGCGGGGTGGTCTCCCGTCGCGGGTCGCCGGCTGGACAGCGGCTGGTTTTCCTTCGACTTGGAACTGAGCCCTTTGCGAGCCGCCATTTCGGGGGTGTAGTAGAGGGAGACGGGCGAAGCCGTTCGCCGGACCTTGAAGGTGGGGTAGTCGACGATCGAGTCCGTGTCGGAGCCGTCGACGACGTGGACTTCGTGTACTCGGGTCAGGGTTGTTGGCCGCTGAGCGTCCTTCTTAGGAGATGGAGGCGCAACGAGAGCCTTGAGCTGGGCGCGAAACCCGCCGAGAAAGGAGCCCGGGCCGGCGAAGGAGCGTAGGCGGGAGGAGTCGTAGAGCGAGCCGACTTCGGAGCCGGTCGCGGGTGTGACGACGGAGGAGGACGATGAACCGGTGGCCAAAGAGAGGACGCTCGCCGACAGCGCGGACGTCGAGTCCCTCGACAAAGACGGCAGTGATTGCTGGGGGGTGAGGATGGGGCGCGATGGCTCCGCGGGTGCCGGCTGCGCGCGGGACATGGCGAGGGAGGGCTTTACGGGGGACGAGGACTGGAGGAGGAGCTTTGGGCGGAGAGTGGCGGTGGGGACGTCGTCGTGATCGTTTGGTGCGCCGCGGGGGATGGAGGAGGCCCACTGGCGGATACCGGCTTCGCCGCGCCCGACCCACGAGTTTCGTGGAGGGGAGGATGGGGTGGGAGGCGGGGGAAGGACGTCTTGGAGGATGTCATCGTCGTCATCGTCGAGGATGGAGTCGCGTTCGAGGGAGGAGAGTGTGAGTTGGGATGGCCAGACGGCGGCGGAGGGGACATCCGAGTTCATGCAGGTTTGGGAGCAGTAGGGAGACGGGCCCTCCTGGGAGGGTGTTACGGCATGACGAGGCAGACAAGGGCGAGGACGTACGACATCGATGCGGCAGCCGCACGACAAGCACCAGTTGACATCTACAGCATCCATCATCGTGAAGGGCGGGAGGGGACGGAGGCGTTGAGGAGGAGGAGGAGGAGGAGGAGGAGGAGGGGAGCCTGGGCAGGCGGTGGACGAGGAGCGGGGCAGGCGAGAGATTCTTATAAGCACATGGACGACGAGGTGAGCAGCCGATCGGTCGAGCAGATCTTGCCCCTTTCATTACATATTCCCGTCCTGCGCCTAGCCCAATCTGGCCCGTCACAGAGAGTCACAGCGGGACGGCCGATGGGGATCTGAAGACCCTGGCCGCCGGCGTCTGGAGGGTGCCCGAGAGCGCGGCGGGGCAGGCCGCAGCCCCCAGCCGCAGCTCGCCCGACGCCCGACGCCCGCCACCGCCGCCCGCTGCCCTCGCGCCACAGCCGCATTCGCTCGCCTTGACTCGCCCGTCACGCGCCCCGCACCCACGCCGACTCATCTCCCAAACAGGCAGCCCGCGTCGGGGCGCGTCCCATCTGCCAGCCGCCCTCCGATCCGCCGCTGCCTGGGCCGGGCCAGACCGCGTTCGTCGCGCTGGCCACAGAGTCCGGCGGGCGCCCTCCAACCTTCGTCTCCATCCTGCTCGCGCTCATCCTCCTTCTCCGTCAGATTCAGATTCGCCTAGCGACCGTGCGACGACGAATCTGTGGGCGCCGCCCTTTACGCGCGCCCTCCCCCCGATGATATCACGACCACCGCCTATCACGACTATTGTCCGCCCCTCGACCGCGCTACACAACCCCCCATTGTACGCCCAGAACACATCGAGGGCCACACCAGCAGACCCTGAGGACCAGTTAGCGTTCGAGGTCGCGCATCCCGTTAGCCTCCCAGCTCCGCCTCATGCCCACGCCCGCCTCCGGGGATCCTCGCCCCCAACATTCAGACGTTCAGAAACATTAAAATTTCGCGCCATCAGCCCAGCCCTCCGCCGCCGTTCCCAGCCCGAGCTCCAGCAACGCGAGACGTGTGCGTGTGAGAGGCCGGACGCGAAGTTCGCCCTGGGTTCGGTGCGTCGACGACGGCGCGCCGACGCTATTTTCTTCCCCTGCGCGGGCCCGCTGCCCACGCTCAGGTCTCAGAGCCCGCGGGTGCGCGCGCCCCGCCGTGGACGAGCCCACCCCGCCCCCTCGCTCGGTGCGCCGCGGCGGGGACGCTCCGCCTCCCGCCGTGGTCGTGTGTGCCCGGGCCCGGCGGGGCGGGCGGCGCCCACCGCGCGCACGACGGTGCGGAGGCGCTCGGGCTCGACTGATACTTTGGTGATGTCCCTCGCTGTCGGGCTCCGGGCAGTCGCGGCATGCAGAGAGGCCGCTTCACGCTGCTGGGAGACCGGGGCGCGAACACCGCTCGCTACATAGTACTTGCTTACAGCACGCTCGCGAGACGAACGAACGGCGACGAACGACGCGACGCGAACCTGCGTGCCGTCGCGGGCGCCAAGTGCGAGGCTCACGGCAGCGGCCGTGCTGGACGCGTGCTGCTCGCCGCCGCGGCTTCGCAGTGGGCCCTCCCCGCGCGCCCGCACACCCACACACCCGCAGAGAATGATGGCGCGCCGCCACCGTCGCCACCGCCGGCACGCGGTGGAAGTTGGGCGTCGCTCGGTCGCCCCCGTTTCTCCGTCCGCTCAATGTCCACACGGCGACCCTTCTTCTCTGTTTATTGCGTTTCGGTCGTCGACGATGATGCCGTCCCACCTAGGTGGCCTTCGCGATCCAGGGTGCGCACGGGCCCTACCGCGCCCGCGGCGGCTTCGGGACGTGGCAGCGTGCGCGCCGTCGCGCGTGCGCTCGGTCGACGACGACGACGACGACAGGGAAGCGATCGAGCGCGGCGGCGGGAGCCCTGGCGACGCGCGGGGTGCTCTGGACCGTGCTCGACGCGCTTGGCGACGGGGTGGGTGTGTGGAGGAAAGAAGAGGAGCGTTATCGGGCCCATAGAGTCGCGCAGTGCGGCGGACTGAAGAGGGCAGAAGGAGAAGGCGAAGAAGGAGATGACGGTGGCGTATAATTAGCCGTGGGCGCGCCAATGGGGGCGCGGCGGGATCGTCACGGCCAAGGCGGGCGGGCGGGGGCGGCGGCGGCGGCGGCTGGGGTCGGGCGAGCTATGTCCGCGCGGTGTGATGGGAGGAATGGGATTCATTGGATGGATCTATGTCCACGTATGTATTTGCTCAGACGGACGCAACATGGGCATCAAATCGGCGTGCGCGTGCAAGGCAAGTAAGTACGACAGGTGCACGGCGCGCACGGGGGCTTCGGTGAGCCTTACCGGCCTCGGTGCGCGCGAAGCGATGCGAGACCGGGCTAGGCAGGTTGTGGGCGGTGGACAGCCCACACGTCCGTCCAAAGTGTAATCGTACTACTGCAACCGGACGGTATCGTACACACGCGGTGCGTGCTGGGAGAGGCAGCGGGCTCGATTGGGTGTGGACGGGCTTGTGCTATGCGTCCCCTCGTGCACTGGGGGACAGGATCGAGAAAGTGCGAGAAGGAGGGTGGGTAGCGTGGCTCGCTCGTGGGCCGTGACAGGAAAGCGCACGGGCGAGAGCCGGGGCAAAGTCCGCCGCGGTGCTCGCATGGCCAGCCCTTCAGGGCTCACTGCTCCAAAAACACGCACAGCGGGCGTGCCCTCCCCTCGCCGGCGCGGATAAAGTCGACTGGTGGGTGATGGGGCCGTTGGGGGACTGGGGCTGGGAGGATGCGCGGGCGTGTTCACGTGCAGCGGACGTTCGTCTTCATTTCCTTCGTCCGTGTCATGGCTGGGGATCGCCGCTCGTCCAACGGAACACGGGCACGGGTGAATGTTTAGGTTTGGGGGCGTGCACGGCCCCGGCTTCGGTTCAGCTCAGGGAGAGCACAGGCACCAGAGCGAAGCAAGCTCTGCGCACCTCCCCGCTCCGTCCGGTCGGGGGCCTATCGAATTCAAATCGTCGTACGTGAGCGCGCCGCGTGAGGCTGATGCCCCGCGCTGCGTACGTGGACGCTGATGAGCCTCTGGACGGTCGGTGAAAACAGGATAAACATGGTGCAGACCCCGCGGCTCGAGACTGGAGAAGCGGATGATACTTGAATACGAGCCGCGTGCGAGCGGGTTCCGGGGGTGCGAGTGCTGGGACGCTGGGACGCTGAACGAGGGTGCACGCGGCTGAACGTCGGCCGCGGCGCAAGAACCGCGCGCGTTCTTCACCCTTGCCCGTCCGGAGCGGTGGTGTGAGCAGGGTGGGAGGTGGTGCCGGCGGAACAAGGAGCGCACGGCCAGCGATAGGGTGGTGTCGTAATACAAGAAACCCTAAGAAGGCGGAGTTGGCAGCGCAGCCTCGGAGCGGCCGTCGAGAGCTTGGGGGAGTGAAGGAAAGCTTGAGCTTCGTGCCACCCGTGCGCAATCCGAAGGCGGCTGGGATCGAAGCCCGCCGAACGCGAACGGCCATCCCGGACGGAAGGGCGTGATGCACGAGGGCGCGCCCGACCGCGAACGCGGGCGTGGGCGGTTTGTATGGGGTGCAGCTGGTGAAGATCGCCAGCGTGGGCCGTGACGGGGCGGGCGTACGCGTGCGTGCGCAGGGCCTGGACCACGCCCGCGACGAGGGACCTCAGTACGCTAGAGTATATAATGACACCTATTAGGTGTCAGATCAATTGGCATGTGCCATATATCCGCGCGCAAAGAAACCACCACGTGACGAGATAGGCCGCAGGCCGCCACGCGCGAAGCGCCCGGCAAAACTCAAACTGCATTTAATCTGTTTCGAACACGGGCATCCGGGATGTACTTGCCACTCCACCAACTGCACCATCAGACTGTTCATAGTGCTCAAACTTGATGTGCTATAGCCTCATCAAATGGTAGGTATGAACACTTGTAAGTCCTCACAGAGGGCTTGTTTTTCGCACTTGCACAAAACGCTCCTGGATGGCGCTTATCTTGGTACTGATTGTGCATCTGCCAATTACGCCGTGTGGCAAACACCAGCGCCTATCTCTGATAGCCGCGCCAGTCAGCGCCTTCCCCCGCCCGCTGTGCCGCCTTGATGGCCCCGATATCTCCGGACGCTCCACGCCGCCGCGTCTTCGCCGGCGCCACCCCGCTCCGCCCCCCGTGCTCGTGTCCCGACAGCGAGCTCGCTGTCCCGCCGCCCCGCTCTCCCTCTCCTCCGTCTCCCTCCATTCTTTTTTGTATCCGCTTGTATTTAAAATGCGCACCTAATGGTATATAATGCAATACCCTCACTCAGTGGGTGAGCCTGCATTGAGCCCTTATACCCCAAAAATGCGTGCAACATAGGAACTTATACAATGATCAATCGTCTGGCTATTATCTGCATCGATAGGATTATGAGAACTCGTTTTTTATCTGAAATCGCAGGTGGATAGCTGGAAGGGTGCAGGTATGATGTCATATGTCATTTCAGGATGACATATTCCACAGTGATATGGTATATACATTTATCGTCATATGGACACCTAGAATCATACATAGAGATCAATCAGAGCGCATATCACAAAGAAGCAGATGAAACGACGATGTTTTGGCGATGATATGACATGTGCTCAGAAGGGAGGACTACATTGAAAATGCGGCCTTCATATGTTCTTGTGCAGACGTCCAATCATTGTACCATTTGCTTCATTGCGTTCCCACACATTTATAGAGCTCAGATCGTCAGTTTCATGCTTATCGGTGGAGGATTGAAGATAAGGTATGGTATGTCATTATTCTATGACATAGTGTATAGCAAGATGACATGTGCTCCGATTACTTTTCTGAAAAGCGGAATAGAACATGGTAGTCTTCTCCTACACGATGCAGAAGTAATCTCGAAAAACGGCCGAGAAACGGCGGAGATATGTTAGAGGAGCCTAGTATGGCAGGTTGTGCAGAGGACGCTCTTGAACCACCCCACCACTTGGCACACTCTGAGCTCCTATGCATGTCTCCGCCGTTTCTCGGCCGTTTTTCGAGATTACTTCTGCATCGTGTAGAAGAAGACTACCATGTTCTATTCCGCTTTT